CGGACCCCTTTGGGGTCGGCGGGGTCGCGCAAATGTTCGAGCGCGATTTTCGATTTTTTGCAAAAAATATTGTATCTACCCTCGGCGTTAGGCGCTTGACCAAGGCACAGGAACGAACCCTCGCGTGGCTACTACCCAGCGGCCCACTAGGGCCAAGACGCCCAAGGTCCAGACAACGCCCAAAGCGACCAGAACTCTCCGCCGCATCTCGAAGGCCTCGCGGAACTCCAGCCTCACAACCTTCCGGTGCATCTTGCTGACGAACCATGGCCTGTCCGCCTGCCTCCCTCCGTCCAGTTCTGCGCGGCCGTCGATGCCAGGAACACCGCCATCCGCCCCCGAGGCTCCGCTGGCGCTCGCGTCTTGCCACGTCGAGTTGGGCATGTGCCGGTAGGGCTCAGGGTCCAGCCACTGCCACGGCGAGAAGTATGACCACCACGGTGGGCTGCGAGACGGAGGATGCTCGGCCAGGCGGTAAGCACGGTTGCGGCGGTCGACCAAGAAGAGCGAGATGATGAATGAGGCGAAGAGCAAGGGCGTCAGGACGAGCTGATGGCGCCGCGGGTCAGCAGATGCCGCCTGGCTCCAGGTCCACTCGAGATGCAACGGTACCGACCTTTTTGAGCGCAGGTTCATCACCGTCGTCCTGGGATGCAAAGGAGCCCGGCGAGCCAGGAGAGCCCAGCGGCGACGGAAGGGGTGTGCTGGCGAGTTCGCGGAAGGGGTCGGGCTTCCGCTTCCGCTGCTTCGGCGGGGTCAGCGGAGGCGAGGAGACGGGCTGCGACGAGTCCGACATTGGGCGGGACGCAGGTATTGGGATGCAATGAGGCGTTTGCAGCCGGCGATAGCAGACTCTTTTGTTGCGGCGTGCTGACGCTGAAGCTGGCGAGCGCTCTGGAACGCGGATCGCCGCGGCTGCCTCGACGTCATCGGGCCTCGCGCATCGCTGCCGCCGTATCGATAAGGAACGCGCTGCTTGCTGAAGCCTACGCCCATGTCGCGCGGTGCGCGCGAAGGCCAGTCGCCGCTGGTCACAGTTGTCTGCGCGCCGCCGCCGGGAGGTTGCGTCTTTGACCCCCGGCGGCCGCGCACTTGGCGTCGCGGGCAGCCGCCGCTTTATCGGCCAGCTACATACGAGGCGGAGATAGGCAGGCTGACTCACCCTGCGCCCGGACGAGCCTACCGGACGAAAACACGGACGAACCCGCGACGCCTCGTCCATCCATCGCCGTGCCACCGTCTCCCGTCTCACCTCACTCTACTCTTCTTGCCCCTTCTCTCGAGTTCCGCCCCTCCGCGATTTGTAACCCAGGCCGCCGAATATAGTCGACCCGCCCCGGACCCGTCACGGTCAAGCGTCGCACTCCGCGAGCCCGCCCGGTGCTCAACACCATGCCCCGCTCTTCGTCCGAAGCCGGCGTCCGCAAGAGGATGCGCAAGGGCACCCACAGCTGCTTCGAATGTACGCCTCTCCGCGCGCCCAGGCGCATGGGCTCGAGCGAGCGGCGGCTTCCCTCCGTCCCTGCGCCGATCGAGATGCCTCATGCGTCTAGTTCCGTGTCCGCTGACCAGTCTCACAAGGCCGCCGGCGCAAGATTCGCTGCATCTCCAGCGACGAGCATCCCGGCGAGTGCACCGAGTGCTTCGCTCGCGGGTCGCGCTGCATCGACCAGGAGCACGCCGATCCAGAAGCCATCGTCGATAACAGAAAGAACCTCCGCGAGCGCGTCGCCAAGCTCGAAGCCCTCATCGAGTCGCTCCTCGACGATCGCTCGGCCACCGGCGCGGCCGAGACGTTGAGGCGGCTGGGCGCAGACGTCCTCCCGCGAACCCCCCTCTCGGATGCGTCGTCGGGCCCGGCCGGCCAGAGCAAGGCCCCCCTCATGGCCATGTTCGACAGTGAAGCCGTGTGTCTCTTTTCGTCCGCTCGGTTTTCGTACCAGCTAACCCTCGCAGCTGGGCCGAGGTGAGCCCTCGCAGCCCCCTGCTGGCCCCGCCAGAAAGCCCGATCCTCCCGTGCCCGTGGCCCCTACCGCCCAGGTCTACGACTTCGGCGGCATGCAGCTGTCGTGCGAGTGCGATGACATTGGAATCCCCAAGGTCAAGAAGTCCAAGGAGAAGCGCACTCGTGACATGCTCCTCACTCTCCTCCCGTCCAAGGAGGTGGTCGAGGAGGCCGTCACCACCAACGATGACTGGTGGCGCGTCTGGCGCCACAAGCTGGGCGGTACCGCCCGTGGGAGGACCCTGCAGCAGTTTGCCGTGCAGACCCTCGACAAGGGGAGCCCCGCCGAGGTGGGCGTCTTGCTCTTGTGCATAGGCGTCGCTCTGGACCTGGAAAACCTCAACAACTCGCTGGCCTTGGTCGATGCCTTGATCATATCAGACGATGAATACGCAGCCACGGTCGAGGGCATGGAGTGCGCCATTCTGGTGTCCAAGTGCTACTCGGAGATTGGCCAGCCGCGGAGAGCTTGGCTTGCCTCCAGGAAGGGCCTGACGTATGCGCAGCTCATGGTAAGTCATGCCTGCCTGTTGTTCTCGCGCGGTGCTGATGGATGCCACCACAGGGCCTCCATCGAAGTCATGCAACCAACGGGACTTGGGATAGCGTCTGGTGGAGCCTGTATCAGACAGACCGCTTCCTGAGCCTGCTGCTCGGTCTCCCCTACGGCGTTTCCGACGCCCACTGCGACATGAACTACTTTAGCAAGGACAAAGACACCGACGGGCAGCGTGACTTCATGCTGAAGCTGTCGGTCTTGGCTGGCAAGGTCATCGACCGTACCCAGGGCGTCCATGAGCTGTCCCTCGGCGCCGCGCTTGAGCTCGACCAGGAGCTCGACACGCTGATCGACTCCATGCCCGCAGGATGGTGGGACACCCAGTCCCAACTCCAACACACCATCGACCCCGTCAAGACCGTGACCTTGCGCGAGAGGCTCCTGGCCCAGATATGCTTCCAACAGCTTCGAGTGTACCTGCACCTGCCGTTCATGCTCCGGTCTGCTTCGGTTCCCAACTCGGCAAAGTTCGAGTATAGCCGTACCACGTGCTACAGTGCCTCCAGAGAGCTCCTGACACTGTACCACTTTCTCCGGGGCGGCAACGGCGAGCCGCTGTACGAGTGCAAGGTCATCGATTTCGTCGGCTTCACCGCCGCGGTGCTGATAATGCTGGGCCTCCTCGGGTATTCTCGGCTGCACAATGCCAACGGCATGGCGAACCATCAAATCTCGAACACGCTTACAGAGGAGCAAGATTGGCGGCTCATCGAGATGACCATGGACATATTCGGTCGCGCTTCCAACGAGAAGGGCGGTAAAGTTGCAGCTCAAAGCCTGAAGGTGATGCAACAGCTGTCCAGCCTGAGGAACCGAGACGTTGCGAGCGAGGACACGGAATGCACGCAGAGGATCGTGATCCCCTACTTTGGCGCCATCACAATTCGCAGGGGCAGCGGCGCGGGCCGCAAGTCCACCAGGGAGAGTACTGGAGCAACGAGGCCCACGGGAACCAGCAACGCCTCCCCACCAGCCGTGGCCTCCGGTGTGGTAGCATCTGCGCACGGCATGTCCCCCCCGACAGCCATCCAACAACAACAACAACCTTACCTTCCTTCACCGTCCACCTCTCAGCACCATAACTCCAACGCAAGCTCGGTGAACGGCGACCCCAACGGCCTCAACAATCCCTACATCGCCTACGACCCCTTCTTGTTCCACGGCGCCGTCGATCCGCAGTCGTGGGCGGCGGGAGAGGATGGTCTCGAGAGTCTGATGAGCGGCAGCCACGGTGGACCGTGGCAGAACCTTGCATCCAACATGGATCTAGATCAGGATTGGGCATGGTATATGGGCGAGGCGCAGGCTGGGGGCATGCAGCTGCCGGGGCAGCAGGCGATGCCACCGACATGAGGAGAGTCCTAGATTGTTTTCGAGTGAGGGAGGCGAGACGGCGTTCGCGGACGATACCAGCTCCAGCCCGTCAATGTAATTGAATCTTACGTGAAAACAATGTCGCATCAATCCTGGTGCCTGTGAGTCTTCTGACCCACTGGTTGCGCATCCCCTGGGTGCTCTGTTTGTGATTGGTGGGTTTGGCCAGGTGGTTCCCCAAGGACGCCACAGTGGGCGACGAAGGAATCGGCCATCTCACAGGGGTAGTGGAGTCCTGCATCTGGGTGCATTGGGACGAGTTCGATGCTCGCGCCTGGGAGGAAGCAAAGCCGAACGGATGGTCCGCAAAGCGGGCGGTCCAAGTGGTGAAACGCAGCAGGGACCGCGGGGCCCCCGCCCGAAGGCCCCGCGGCCGTCACATCCCGGCCCGCCCGGTATTTATCGCCTCGCTGCGCCCCCACCAGCCCGAGAGACGGCTCCCATCTGCAAAGGCGTCCCATGGCTGCCGAAGACATGTATCACAAGGCGTTCGCAGACCACGAACACCCCTACCTCAGCTACGGCCTTCTATACCCGATTGCCGCCGCCAAGCACGTCGACCACACGTTCCATGCCGAAAGGGTTTACATCCTCGCCTCGGCCTCCCTGTCGAAGGACGGCGATGCAGTGACGCGGCTCGAAGACGCCCTTCAGGGCAAAGTCGTGGGCGTGCGCCGGGGCATGACGGCGCACACGCTCTGGTCGGAATGCATTGCAGTCGCGAAACAGGTCGAGGAGCTGGGCGTGGACCTGTTGCTTACCATCGGCGGCGGCAGCCTGATCGATGCCGCCAAGATAGTTGCACTGGTACGTCCTTCGCTTTGACCGGCCCCCGTGTTTCCGCTCGCTCTGACGCTTCTTTCCCGTCAGGCTGCCGCCAACGCCGCTTTCGACTTCCCCAGGCTCGAGCATCTCACCAACAATCGCGACGCGTCTGTCCAGCGGCCCGACCTCGTGCCCCCGCACATCCCCATCGTCTCGATCCCCACCACGCTCTCGGGAGGCGAGTACTCGGACCATGCCGGCGGGACCAACGACCAGACCCAGCACAAGCATGGCTTCGGTCCCAGCCCCCCTCTGGGGCCGCGCCTGATCATCCTGTCGCCCCAGCTCGCCATGACCACGCCGCCGCGTCTCTGGCTCAGCACCGGCATCCGCGCCGTCGATCATTGCGTAGAGACCATCTGCTCCCCGCACAGCACGCCGCCTTCAGACGCCGCCGCCGCCGAGGCTCTGCGCAAGCTGATACCGGGCCTGCTTCGCTGCGCCAACGACGTCGACAATACCGGCCTCGATGCGCGTTTCCAGTGCCAGCTGGGCGTGCGGGACGCCATGCAGGCCGTCAAGGGCAAAGCCCCCCTCGGCGCTTCACATGGGATCGGTCATCAGCTGGGCCCGCTTGGAGTCGGCCATGGTGAGACGAGTTGCATTCTCCTCCCGGCAGTGTGTGCGTTCAACGCACGCCATTCAATCGATGCCGAGAGTGAGGCCCACGCCATGGGCATATCGGCCAAGCAAGAACGCGTTCTCGACGCGCTGTGGACCGAGCCCAAGGTTGCCGCTGCGCTGACGTCGCGGGGCTTGACCAAGGGAAAGGCGGATCTGTCTGCATGTCTCGATGCGGTCATTAGCGAGCTGGGGATGCCAAGAAGCTTGGGGGCGGTGGGTGTAGGGAAGGACAAGTTCGATGAGCTGGCGTCAAGCAGCTTGAAGGATCGATGGTGCCAGACCAACGCCGTGCCTCTGCGACAAAAGGCGCAGGTGATGGAAATCTTGGAGATGTGTGCGTGAGCTGATGAGCACGGCCACTTGAACGATGGAAAAAAGGGAAATATTTTGACTCGTGGGCAGTCCATCTCAGCATACCTGACCGGGTGCTCACACCCGACGCATGGTTCCCTCTCCCCCAAATTGCCACTGCATCTGAAGTCCCATTGACCGCCCGCTCCGTTCCTAGCCATCCGGTGTCCGATCAGCGGATACATATCCGAAATCAACAGGGACACCGGGGCAGCATTCTCCCAGGTATTCTCCATGTCGATGATGGATCATCAAGTAAAGCGGGGCATTGTGACTGTCACTATGATGGGTTGCAACATGTTCGCCCTTCCCGTGACTCAGGAAGGGCACTGCCCTACCTCTCAGTACGGCCAATGCAAGAAAATACTCGGATGCAGACGTACAGTTCATAAGCATCTAGACGTGATATCTGGTGAGACAGGCTTGGCAGGGGGGTGACCCCGGAGCAGCCCTATACGACGTTGACATTCAAATGTGACCTCAGTACATATCCCACGGAAAGCCGTCTCGCAACCTACTCCAGTATGCGTCGCCCGAGCGCAGTGCCTATCCCCGATTACAAAACGTAGGTGAAGTCGGGCCTCATATCTCCCAGCAGCTCGATCTCTTTCTCACCCTTACCCTCGATCCAGACGTCGCGATCGCCACGGCGCCTGCGGGCATTCTCGCGGCGCAGGGCCAGGTGCGTGAAAACGCTGCCCAGGAGCAGGAAGGCGACGAGGTAAGCAAGCACAACGCCGTGGCCGACGAGGTAGCGGGGGCGGTCCTGCTGACGGTATATGTTGCTGCTGACGACGCCGTTGAGGTTGCCCCATCCGATAACAAAGCCGAGGGTGACGCCGCGCTTATAAACGCCCTCGACGTTGTTGGACGCCCACGAGATGGTGTTGGAGACGCACGGGTAGATGCCTGCTGCGCCTAGGAAGGTGCCCGCATACTTGACCGCGGGTGAAGTCGAGCCTAGCAGCATGCCGAACCCAATGATTCCGAGGAAGGAGATGGCAATGTTGCAGTAGCCGCGCAAGCGCGTGCGGTCAGCCAGCCATCCGACGGCGACGGTGAGGATGGCCGCGGCTGCGTAGGGCGGCACGGAGAGGAGGTTGGCGGTCGTGCTGGCGTAGCCCTGTTCATCGTGAGCCCACGGTCAATAGTGCTGCTGGTGATGGATCTACGAGGCTGTAAGATGGATCGGGGTACGGAAACGCACCAGCTCGTTGATTATGGTCGGTAGGAAGAGCGAAAAGGCGTACAGTGCGCCGTCGCATCCCATGTAGATGATTGCAAACGCGTACGTTTTCCAGTCCTTGACGGAAGCCCAGAAGTACTCCATCTTGAACTCCTCGTGCTCGGCGCTGCTCTGCTTGTCCGCCTTGAGCCGGCGGATCACACGCGCTCGGTCGTCTGGGGAAAGAAACTTGGCGTCGTCCGGGAAGTCGTGCACCATCCAAAACGAGATGCCTCCTACCAGGATCGTGGCTAGGCCCTGTTGCAGAGATGAGCCACATCCCACGCGTTCATTCACCAAACGGACTGCCGCGACTCACCTCGAGAATAAAGATCCACGCCCAACCGGGCTTTCCGCCGACACCTCCCATCTGCGCTATCGCGGCAGCCAGCAGCCCACCGAATGAGCCGGCGAGGGCGGCGGCCGAGAAGAAGATGGCAGCGCGGACTCCAAATTCACTCCTCTTATACCAACAGCTCAAAAGATAGTTGATTCCCGGAAACAGACCGGCCTCGGTCAGGCCGAGGAAAAAACGGGCGGTGGCGAGGCCTGCAAAGTTGTGCACCCTGAGGGATTGGCGTTAGCCATAACCAATCGAGTCTGCTGCGCTTCACAGTCTCCGCCATCCTTGCTGTGTTTGTCTTCGAAGCCAACGAGCACGAAAGGTTCTGGAAGCTGGACGACACCTCGCCATGGCGAAGGCGTGTGCGTGCATTCGGGGGAGGAACGGTGGCGCGTCAGGGAAAGAGGGAGGTCAAGGGGGTCTTACAAACCCATTGTCATCATACAGATTCCCCACATGAACATGATGGCGGGCAGGAAGACGCTTGGCCGCATGCGCTTTAGTAGGACGTTGGTGAGGGGCTCGGCAAGCGAGTACGAGACGAAGAAGATGGACAGCGAGGCATTGTACTGGCCGTTGGTCATGCCCAGGTCGTCCTGCAGACCGTCGATTTTTGCGTTTCCTGTCGTTGCCGGCCAAGGGGTTAGCGTCATCCGCCGCGGTTTCCGCTCCACGGCGAGCCTTTGGGACTCTGATGGCTTGCTCGGCAAACGCTTACCGATGTTTGTACGGTCAAGGAAGGAGATTAGGTAGAGGAAACTCAGCTACGACGACGACGAGTCCGAACGTCAGCTTCACATTGCACGGTAGAGCAACCGCAGGTAGACGCAATGGCTTTCAGAGACGACGCCAGGCATGCTTGAGAACGAGTGCATACCCAAGGGATCAATTTCAGATCCAGCTTCCACAGCAGTTTGCGATCCTGCACCGTCACACGCGGATTAGGGCCATATTGGCAACGAGTGCGGGAGAGGCGGCACGTACGATGGCAGCGCGTTCCTCATCGCTCAAGCCCGCGTCGGGGTCCGGAGGCAGGCCGTCATGGACGACGGCGGCCGGCTCAAACTCGCCAGGCTCGACGCCGAGCTTTTTCTCATCGTCGGAAGGGAGACTGGGCGGCTCCGCGGCGCCAGACATGTCTCGGCAGAGGTTTTCCCGGCCCGGGAATTCGGACGAAGCAGTTGCGAGGCGGCGATAGGCTGAGAGGGCGGCGCGAAAGATGGAGGCGAAGCGAGCGAAGCGTCGGCGGGGGCTCTGGTGGGTTAATGTACGCGCGGGCTGGACACCGTTTCCCCGGGGCCAGGGAGGCGCTGGAGCAACGGCGGTGGTGGTCGACGTTATCATGCCCCACACCCCCTTGGGCGGCGGGTGACAATGCCCACCGACGGCTGCGGAGTCGCGGGGCAAAAGAGGCAGGCCGGCTGCTCGGCGGGCGCGCTGACTGGCCCGCGCGTCTGGGGTTGGACGGCGCCCAAGGCGGGGAGGAGGATGGAGCGCTTGGCATGGCCGCATCATGACAGCTCGCCCGTCGACGCCCCGACGACGCCTTACCCGAGTTCGATGCCGAGCTCGGACGGAAGGACGCGAGACCGTCGAGCTCCTCCCCCGCCCTTGTGTCTCCGACTTTCGTACCTACCTGGGCCTGCTCGCTGCGAATCCTCCGACGGAACCCGTCCCGTGGGCACTACGCCGCGCTGGGCTTAACGCGTGCTCGACCCCATTCTCCTCCACATCGTGCACTCTCTCGCCCATGGTTTATCCGCCAGCGTGCGGCGGATCCTCAGCCGTACCTGCGACCACAACCACGCCTTGCTCGTCCGCAATGTCGTCGCCCAACAGTCGCGCTGATGCCGCCCCCTCGACGTCAGGGAAAACAATGGAGAGATGATGCTTCAATCACTCGGTCTAGGAGACGTCTAGGATATAAGGATATACAGCGCACCTTCTTCCCCTTGCCATGCAGCGCTCTTGTGTTTCACCCAACTCTCTCGGCACCGAACCATTTACGGGTATCTCGACTCCGTCCTCGGAACCCCTTCTCGCCGTGGGCCTTTCACGCCTCAATGCTTCGGTTCGATCAGGTCGGGGATGTCCTCGGCCTTTGCCTTGCCCTCGAGGATGTCTGTGTCGCCGTGTAAGCTGACTGCCATCATGTCTCCAAGACCACGCAAAGGGATCAGGGGGGCACCTACTGTAAACGGCCGTGAAGAGGGGGAACTCATCCACCATGCCCTGGCTCTTGAGGAACGAGTGCACCTCGTATGCCGTGCTGGTACCCTGCAGCTTCTGGCCGTTCAGCTCCGTCTTCTCCACATCCTCGACGCTCATGCCCCGCTCCATGGCAATCTTCGCACAACGAAAGTTGCGACCGCCCATGCAGCTGGTCACCACGTCGGCCATGCCGCAGCTCTCCTCGGTGAACGTCGACGTCCGGCAGCTCGACGAGAAGAAGTTGGTGCCAAACCTGACCATCTCGAGCAGGCCCACGCGCATCACGGCAGCCTTCGCGTTGTCTCCCCATCCCATCCCGTCCACGAAACCGGCCGCGAGCGCGACCACGTTCTTCAGCGCTCCGCCGAGCGAAACGCCCGCCACATCCGAGACCATGCGCACGTGGAAGTACGGCCGGTGGAACAGCCTCTTGACGTTTTCATGGCTGAGCGCCGGGTAGTCGATGGGAAGGGGGCGGAGCACCACGGACCGCTCGCCGGGAGACCCGTTGTTGGGAGCAACGAGATCCGTCGTCGACTCGGGCGGCGACGGCGTGGGCGACGGCTGCCTCGAGTCGATCGGCGGCGGGTCGTAGGCCACCGTCGTCTCCGAGTACTTCTCCTGCGCGATTTCGGTTGCGATGTTGGCGCCCGACAGCGCCCCGCAGTAGATGCCCAGGCGCTGGCCGATGGACTCGGAGAACAGCTGGATGCCCTTGTCCGACACGTCGACGCCCTTGGTGCAGCTGATGCCGCGCGCGTAGGGGAGGATCTGGCCCTTGAGCCGGTCGCAGATGCGCGCGATGAACTGGTGCGGGATGACGAAGACCAGGATGGTGCTGTCGCGCGCTGCCGCCTCGAGCGAAGGGTTCGCAATGACGTTGGCCGGCAGTGTGATGTCGGGCAGGTACTTCACGTTCTCATGCAGCTCGTTGATCACCTTGGAAAGCTTCTGCGCTCCCTGACACAGCGACTTGCTGGCGTCGTAGTGCCGCGACTTCTTGTCGATGGTCACTTCCTCCTCGTACACCCACATCTGGACCTCGTCCTCGAACAGCTGCGGGTGCGCCTTGACGTTCTCGGCGACGATCTTGGCCATGGTGGTGCCCCTGCGGTGCGCGGTCGCGAGATCCCTAGCGTCAGCCACTTGTACGTCTGCTTCGCTCTGACAGCTAGAGCGCTGGAGGAACCGGGAGTGGCCCACCAGTTGCCCGATCCCACGATCGTCACCTTGTGCTTCTTGGTCGCGCTGCCCAGGGTCGCCATGGTTGCTCGCGGGTCGAGGCGGTCGTCGAGCGCAGGAGCTGCAGGGGCGGATGCCGAGGCCGACAGGTGGGCGGAGAGGGCGTGCAAACGCTGTTTGGCGGGGAGAGACCTGGTCGTGCGCGCTGTCAGGATCTTTGGTGCGGACTGAGGAAGCGGTGGCAGGGCTCTGAACATTAAGACCGCTTGCAGGCAGGAGCGGTGGCCGCGAGGCGTTGGCGCAAGGACTGGGGGGCTAAATCCGTTGAAGACTGGCTCCCAGAACGGTTGAACAGGAGTGACGTTGCGCGGGCACAGGGTTGGTAGGTCGCAGGGAACTCTTATCGATACGTCGGCTGCCAATTTTTTTTCGGCCGTGAGGGCGTCGCACGTGAACGGATCTTCGTCCGACGACGGCGGTGAGGACGAAGATCCGCGGCTGCAAGGGGAGCCCGCGGTCGGCGCCAATCGGATTGGAGGATGCGCTGCTCGAGATCAGCAGACTCCGCGACGTGCCAGATGCGGAGGATGCACCTGGCGTTGACGCGAATCCGTTGGGCGCCGCCGCCACCGGAACCGCAGTCGGGCAAAGCTTGGTAGCGATCGTCAACAACATCACCATCATCATCACCATCACCACCGCAACACCCAAGAGAGCCCCGCGAGACCGACGACACAGTCAATTGACTAAACTAAACGACGATTCAAGCAAACAATGCGCTCCGTATCTTCATTACCTACGTGTGACAACACTCAATTGCTTTTGCAAAACCATGGGGAATTAAAAAGGACCAAACACCTCCATCTCCGACCGGCCGTCTCAGATACGGCCCAACTCCCACCATCTCGCCCCTCATCCGCTTACAGAGCGAAGCCGAAAGCCGCCAGCAGACCGGCGATCAGCGCGCCGGAACCGTACGTCTTGCCAAAGGCGATGCCGGCGCTGGCCGCCGTGGTCGTCGCCGCGGCGCTCGAGCCCGAGGCGCTGCCCGACGCAGCGGCGGTCGACGACGCCGTGGCCGATGCCGAAGCGGAGCTGCTCGAGGCACTGACCTGAGACGTGACGTTCTTCGAGCCGCAAACAACCGACTGGCAGGCAGCCTGGCCAACGGCGTCGTCGGGGTGGTTGGAAGTGCACTGCGCCACGGCGTACTGGCACTCGAGCGACGGCAGCGTCTGCTCGAAGTCGGACACGTTGAAGTTGGCAATGACCGGGTCGCAAGTGCAGTTGTAGGTGAGGGTGCTCTGATGAGAAAGATGCGGTCAGCATTCCCGGCTCGTGATCGGCAATTTGGGCCCTCGGGCCAACGCGTGAGCCGAACACGCGCGGCCAGCCTTCGAAGACTTACGATATCGCAGGTGTTGTTGGAGGTGCTGCCGCCGCAGAGGGTCGGGCAGGACTGCAGCTGGGCACGGCACCACGTGCTGCGGTCGGCTGCGGGGACGCTGCTGGGATCGGAGACCGTGGAAGCAGCAGTGGCGGAAGCCGAGCTGGTGCTGCTCTGGGCGGCGGCGAAGCCGGAGAAGGCCGAGACGGCGACGAGAGAAAAGGTGGTGAAGCGCATCGTGGCGGCTGGTGGTCTGGGTGCGTGGCGGCTGGTGGTCTGGGTGGGTGGCGGGAGCGGTGTGGTGGAGAAGATATGTAACAGCAGCGGTAATCAATGCCTGCGCTCGGGAGAGGGGGTTAGCAGGCGAGGAAGCAAGGTGGCGCGGCGTCGCGACGAGGGGGAGTGCCGGACCTGCGATTGAAGATGCTAGACGCGCGGAGCAGCAGCAAGCTGTGGCGGGCTGGATGAATTGGTGGTGGAGAGAGAAGTGGAAGAGTGTGTTGACACGCACCGGGGTGGGCTGCTTAAATGAGTTTCGGACGGCTTCAATCTCCCCGGGACGGCGGGTGCAAACAAGAAAGCATCGCAGTTCAGAAAGAGCTAGCGGGGCGGCCAGGGCGCAAGATCGAAGCGGCGCGCGCGCGATAAGTCGAGAAAGCGCGCTGCGCGGCGGGTGGGCAGCCGGCGCTGGAACAGCAGGACGAGCGCACGCTACGCCTGCCCGTGGCACCAGCCGTGGCTACCGCGATACCGAGCTGCGCTGCGCTGTGCTGTTGCCACCGCCGCGGCTCTTTCTGCACTGGCCGCTGGCGGCTGGGCGCTGGCCTCATGCGCCTGCCTGCCTGCCCGCCCGCCCGCTTGGCCTCGTCTCAGACACGCCTCGCAGCGCGCACTGGGCTGGGGCGTCGTGGCGCGGCGCGCTCTCTCGGCGCAACTGGGCGCAACTCCGCTGGGTGACGAGACGGTCGGCTCGGCTCGACTATCAGCTACGCAGCAGCGGCCACTCTGCGCAGCCAATGGGGGGCCGTACGCAGGCAAAATCGACGACAAACCGACTCAGCACGGCGGGTGCAGGGGACAAACAACCCGCCTCCTCAATTTGAACCCTCTCAGCAGATAGATTGGCGCACCGCTCGCCGCTCCCGGTCAGGTGCAACGGTTCGTGCCTCACCCAGCTCCCCTGCCTTCGGGCTGATTGCGCCCTTTGCATCAAGCCCGACGCTCGCCCCTCGCGCTTCGCGTGCGCGACCTCGGGCAATAATCCAGCGCCGCGTGAGGGACGGGCGAGGCGGGCGCCAGCAGTGGGCCGCGGCGGAGGCGATCTCTGATCAGTCGAGCGCACTGTCGCGAGAGCCATCACCGCCAGAAACTCGGGCGGTGGGGTCGCCCGTACCGCCAACGCGGTTGCCAGCTGCTGAGGCCCGTCCAGCCGTCGACCGCTGCGTCCTTTTCGCTCCATCCACTGCCTGCAGTTTCAGCGCGCGGGCCCGCCCACGCCGGCCACTCACGGCCGCTCACGGCCGCTGCCGACGTCCTGCCGCTCCGCACGGAACCCAAGCGCCGCCTGTCCCGGCCATGGGTTTCTTGCTATAGCCGGTTAGCCCGCTGCTAGCTGGCCGGGTTACTGCCGAGCGGAAGGCGTTGGCGCAGAATCCTGCGCGGGAGCTGACGCGGTGGCACGCGGCCTCACGATGCGACCTGCGGAGGGTGTCACGGCGTCGACGACAGCTTCTCCACCCTTCGCGCAGACGTCTCTCGCGGGCTTGTCGCCCTGCCTGCGCGCTATTCCCGCGCGGCATGTCCCACGCTCTACCGCCAGCCCCTGGGGGCGATCACGCAGCCGTTCAAGTATGTAGGTACGTGCCCTCGCATATCGCCCAGGGACAACGTGCTGTCGCCGAGACGCATCGGGCCAAAGCCGAGTCAATAGCACGAGCTTGGTCGTCGGATTTCCGCACGGTGGAACATTCTACACGCCGCCTCTCCTTCGCTAGCGGAATGCTGCGGCCCATGGGCTAAGGGGAGCCGGCGAAAAGGAGTCAGAATAAGCAGTGTCTTGCTACAAATAGGAACCCCGCATTGTGCAAGCCGTGGCATGAGATCATACAGAGCGTAGAAAGCGCGTAAAGCTGAGACCACCGACAATTGAAAATCAAGACTCCGTGAACAGCACAATCTCACCCCTGTCGTTCCTCTTCAACCGGATCGACTTCCACAGCTCCTTCTCCTCCTCTTGCTTGCTGACGCCGTGGCCCCACCTGTCTAGCCTGTCGCGATGAAACCTCTTGAGCGCCTTGTTGAGGCTAAGGCCGCGTTCCGATTCCGGTCCCTTGTTGACATACGAGAGCAAAAGCTCGGCACGTGACTGATTGTGCAGGACGAGAGCACTTGCTTCTCCGCTTCCCTTGCCCTCAGGATGATATTCAATGGCCTTCAGCGGCTTGCCTTTGCGATGCTCTCGTTCAGGAGAACAGGACAAGGTCCGGCGGCGCCTGACCCTGACGATCTCCCGAGGCCGTCTGCGTTCCTTTTCCGAGTCCTTCTCACGTTTCGATTTGCGGCCATGTTCGGTTGAGTCGGAGCCCTTGCGCGAGCTAGACTCGCGTTTCCTTCCTCTCTCCTTTTCGGCCTTCGAGTGCTTCTTCCTCTTGATCGGGCTTGAAGGCGAATTGTCTCCAGCATCGCCTGAATAATCCGGGCTGGGCGGGTACTCAGTATGGCTCAGCATCCTGTTAAGGCCGCCAGTGAGCCCAGTGTGCAGCATTGGCGGCGCATCCGTCATAGTAGCATCCTGTTCCTGCTGCGACTTCACGACTGACATGTCCAATTCATCCACCGTCTGCCGCTTGCGCTTCTTGTCCGATTTCGTTCCCGCAGCCTGGCCTTTGTCTTTGCTGCGGCCTTCTTTGGAAGCGGGGGTATAGGGGTCCTCCTTGGAGGATCCGTAGCGCTCCATCGACGGTTGTAGAGGCCCAGAACCATACGAGTGGCCGTTCTCCTGGACACCACCAATGTCAGCGCTGTCGAATGCTCCCGGCATGTTTTGAGTGTATTCCCGGCAGTCCTCGATCATCCGGGAATCGTCTACAGGCGCCAATGATACCTTCGAAGCATTCGGTGTTGCGTCGCTGACGAGAAAGTCAAACACGTTGACCGCAGGAGGCGGGCTCGGGGCCTTTGGCGGCGCATCGACGACGGCGACGGCGCCAGAATCCGCATCGGGAGCGGCCCCCAGGATGGAATGGCGTGGCACCAGAGCCTGCGAGTTGTTTGACTGCTGCTGTCCCTTTGGCTTCTTCTCCTTGTACAGTTTTCCCTGGTATTTCTGCGCCTCGCTGATACAGCTCTGTTGGGCGTAGAGAGTCAGCATTGCGTCGGGCAAGATTGCGATCGTAGCGGGGAATGATGATGATGATGCTGATGCTGATGCTGATGCTGTTGTTGTTGTTGTTGTCGCTGTAGGGGCTGGGAGCTACGAAGCATGCGGAGCTGGCAACAAGGCTTGGCCTAGCTGCAAGGGAGGGCTCTGAAACGAGGGACGTACGGTATGCGCGCGGTAGGAAGTCCCTTGGAAATGCGTCATGCAATCGATACAGGTGAAAGACGCACCCCAGCACTGGTTGCGATGTCCGTCGAGCTTTTTCTTGGTGAGAACATCACCGCAGCCCTGCAGAAGAGAACGCAACAGTCAGCTACTCGCGCTTCAGAGGCGCGCGCAAGCGCTTCCATGGCATGAGCGGTACCTCGCAGGAGAATGACACCATGCCGGGCTAGGTAATGGCGAGAAACGGTAAACAAAGCGCGTGTTTGAGGCGCCGCGGGGCAGGCTGGCGCAGCGACGCGATGGTTGCGACCGGAGCAATGCCGGCGAGTGTCAGAGAGAGACGGCGAGGAGTACCAGGCGTGGTGAGCGGCGTGAGAGAGGTTTCGCGCGAGTTTGACATTGTAGTTTTGCGCGGCCGTCGCGAATCCGTCTTTTAGCGCCCGCGCCACTCCCCAAACCCTGCGTGACAGGGGTTCCCGCCGTGCAGACAGCACCAGGCACGGAATTGATCACACGCGCGAATCTGTCGTCATGAGCCCTGCGACCCGGTCCAGCTGCGAGCGACCACACCCTCAACGCCGCCGGCTGGCTTCGCACACGCTTCGAATCGAGGACAAAACGGCAAGCGCCGGCCAATAGCTGATTTCTTGCAAGCATGGCTGATTAGGACCGCCTACAGCTACCGCGCCAAAAGATCGCAGTCAAACGGAATCATCATCTGTGTGCGAAAATGCGCTCCTGGCTCTGCTCGACCGCCAGGCACGCCGCGAGTGGTGCCGCCCCGTTGTTCGCCAGTGCCGTGGCTCTCGCAGCGAGCGCACAGCTGCAAGCGTGCGGGGGCTCCAAGAGCAATGCCGTGCACCACCAGCTCCGTGTGTGACACCCATCCCCCGTGTGCCGCGGTCTGATAACGCCTCATGTAGCCCCGAGTTCGGTGACCAAGTGCCCGGGTCACTGTGGCATGCCGCCCAGGCAGGTCATATGAGAGACTGAGACATAGCCGGCCGTATTTGCTCGATCAACCGCCGTTCGTCCATCTGTGCCGCCCACGTGCGCCTGATTAGCCTCGTCGGTGAGGTCGAGGACAAGACCTGAGCGGTGGACTCACCCCTCCTTCTCCAGCTCGAGCGGTTTCTCGCCGTTCAGAATGCCTGCTAGATCAACTTCCCTCCCGTTATCGCCGCTCAGCTTCTCGACTCTGTCCGCCGGCATGTCGGGCTTTTCGTGGGCGCTCACTGTGCTGTCCTTCTTGCCGCTCACCTCATCCTCGTCGGCGTCGGCGCATCCGCAATCGTAGAAGTCCCCGATCTTGGAGCAGTCAAAAATGTCTTTCTTCAGTCGCTGGTTGACCTCGTTGTGGACGTGGCAGCCCCATGCCGCCGCCGCCGACCGTGACGACACCTGAGGCGGGAATTTCTCGAGGATCTTCGAAAAGTGCTGGGCGCATTCGCCACTGCGAAAGGCTCGTCAGCGGGTTGCCTCACGCCAGGTTGGGCAAGTCAGATGTGTAGTACCATGGGTACAGGCGCTGGAACAGATGGATGTAGGACTTCAACGCAACCTGCTCGTCCGGGGTGGGGTTGTCGGGAAAGCGTGCAAAGGTCGTGTGCAGGAGCTTCCACGCGGCGTTGCCTAGCTCCGCCCTGAATGCGTCTGATGATTAGCGAGCCACGTCTTCTCCCATGTGACGGGCGTGCGCCCAGAGTCAAGGGCTCCTACTTTGCTGTCTCGTTCCCAAGCTTGGGGGCGATGGCGGGTCCGGTCAGGGTAGCGCTGCCGATGTCGTGCGGTGCCTGGGCGGGATTGGCGATGCCTCCCGGGCGACTTGCGATGGGTGGTCGGAAGGACGAGATGTACAAGACGGAGCATATGCCAGCTCCCAGGATGAGCAGCAGTATGAGACGGCGGGTCGGTCCTAAAGGCATTGTGGATCGGTGCTGGCAGCGTCGAATGCGGTGCGCAGGTGGAGAGGCCACGTTATGAGGACAGGGAGAACTAAGGCTATTGTTGATGAGCGCATGCAAGTGGTGTCATGTCGAGATGAAGAGGGACCGGCCGGGGGGGAGCTTGCACATGAACGCGCGACCGAGGCGTGATGGAACAATGGACAAGGGGCGCCAAGCAGCGCAAGCTCAGCTAAGGGTAAGGTGGCCCAGTCGTCGCCTTACGGCCTCACCCCACTGCTAGCGACCCGCCTGCTGCCCTGCTGCCCCGCTACTCCGCCGCGCCCTCCGCCGATCTCGCCCACTGCAGGAACACGGCGGCTCCATCTCAAAACAAAACTTCCACCCGGCCGCACCCACGCACCCACGCATCCACCGCCCATCACCCACCATCCAACGCCCATTGCCCAGCCGTCTCCCCCAACAATGGCTCCTGCATTTCCTCCGCCGCCCGTCAACACCATTGGTACGCCTCCCGCCGGACCCCACGTCCGCTCCGCCGTTGCTGATGATGCGTCACCGCAGATTGGAGCGATATTGGCTTCAAGGTCCGCGAAGGTCTGCGCCCCCCACCTTGCTGCACGCCGGCTTCGCTGACCCCGCGCCAGTGAATGGCCACATCGAATCCCATTACAGCAAGAAGACCGGCCAATGGACCGATCCCGAGTTTGTCGAAGACCCCTACCTCCGCATCCACGGCATGGCGCCTGGCCTCAATTACGGTGCGTCGCACCCTTCGCGCACCCAACCATACGTCTGACGCAGGGACTAGGCCAGCAGTGCTACGAGGGCATGAAGGCCTTCCGCGGGCCCGGCGACAAGGACATCTACATGTTCCGCCCGACCATGAATGCGGCCCGTATGCAACACTCGGCCTCTTACATCTCGGTTCCCGAGGTGCCTCAAGACCTGTTCGTCAAGGCCTGCCGCCTCGCCGTGTCCCTCAACGCCGGCTACGTCCCTCCGCACGAGACGGGCGCTGCAATGTACATCCGTCCGCTGCTGTTCGGCTCGAGCGCACAGCTCGGGCTGTCGCCGCCGGAGGAGTACACATTCTGCGTGTACGTGATGCCCACTGGGGTTTACCACGGGGTCCACCCGGTGGATTGCCTGATTCTAGAGGACTTCGACCGTGCCGCTCCCCACGGCACCGGCTCCGCCAAGGTCGGAGGCAACTATGCACCCGTTCTTAGGCACAGCGACAAGGCTCGGTCCGAGGGATTCGGGATCACGCTCCACCTCGATAGCCAGACGCGCAGCGTCATCGACGAGTTCTCGACGTCGGGCTTCATCGGCATCAAGCAGACGGGTGACAAGGTCACGCTCGTGGTGCCCGACAGCAATAACGTCATCAAAAGCGTCACTTCTGACAGCGCTTTCCAGCTGGCGAAGTCGTTCGGCTGGAGCGTGGAGTGCCGGCCGGTGAGTCAATCAGCCTCTACGTCTTGGCGTCAGGGTTGTATATGCAGTGCTGACGTCCACCATGCAGGTGCCCTACGATGAGCTGCCTAGCTTCACCGAGGTTTTGGCCGCAGGAACCGCTGCTGCGCTCGTGCCAATCAAGTCGATTGCTAGGCGATCCACCAACGACAAGTTCGAGTATGTCAAGGGAGACGAGCCTGGCCCGCTCTGTGTCAAGTTGCTGGCCAACCTCCAAGGCATCCAGCGCGGTGAGCTTGATGATCCATTCGGATGGCGCGATACTATTCAGGAAGCGAAAGGCTACAGAGTGAGGGGCGGTGGGGATGCCAGCAATGGGACCGCAGACAGCATCGATAAGCTTCCTTGACAACATCAAGGAGGGCACAAAGTACAGCAAGCTTCTACCTAAACGTACATCTCATCCATGACAGAAATGCCTTTTTCCTGTTGGTGCAAAGTTCCGGGCTGAGGAAACGTGAGGGGTTTTTTTCTCCTTTTAATAGGAAAGGAAAACAAAGAGCCGGGGGCCATCGGCCGGGGCCTTCATGCCTGATGCGCTCTTCGTCTTTGCCAAGGTGGAGGCGGGGCGAACTGCGAGCGGCTGGACAGCGGACAAGAGAAGCCAAGAATTGCAACATTCGCGCGGCAAACGTCGAGAGGACAGAGCAGCAATGGCATTGGATGAGCGGGACGGTGGGCGGTGGGCGGTGGGCCGGTAGGTGTACGATTCGGCAGCTATTGTTGGAGTGGGAAGCACGACCGGGGGGACGGCGCAAGCGAGCAAAGGCAAAGTCTCCGCAGCTTTTCGTCCGGGCGGAATGCCTTTGTCTCCGGCACTGCTGCCTAGCTCTAGCTGTGCACGCCGCGCCTCATCTGACTGCAGAATCGGCCACCAGCCGGGGGCTGGCGCGCACCACCGCACGACTTGTGCTGCATGCGGAGGATGCCGGCACAGCGTCAGTCATCCGTCAGTCATCCACAATGCGAGAGTGGCCCCTTCCGCCCTCGCCGTTTGGACCCGCAGACTCCTGTAAGCAGCTCGATCCGTCTGGTGAAGCAGCTACCGCTTTGGACAATGTCCCAGCGGCTCCTTCTGCCTGTGAATCATCATCACCACTGCGCTATGGCTCGCCATGTCACCGTCTCCCGCACCAAACCTCTCGGACGGGGCCAAAACGAGGCTTGCCGTCACACCCTCGCGCTATATAGCTCCCGCTGCCTGCGTCTGGACACCCGCTCCCCATCTGGATCAATTCGCCTCGACGCCTCGCCTCCCCCTTCCCGCCCGCCCGCCTCGCCCACTTCGCCCACCTCGCCCATCGCCGCCGCATCGTGGCCACCATGGCGGACATCAAAGCCCCGGAGCCGGCGAGCACCTTGGCTGTGCCTGGCGCTCGCCAGCAGAACGGCGCCGTCTCGTCCCCTTCTAGCGTCAGCGGCCTGAGCCTCGTCGACGACAAAGATGCCGGAAGCGTCTTCGAGAAAGCCTCCCGCTCCGACGTCGAGGCCGACGCCCAAGGAGAGCAGCTGGAGCCCGTCGTCAGCGCCGAACACCCCACCGGCCTGAAGCTGTTCATCATCGTCGTCGCCGTCGTCTGCAGCATCTTCTTGGTACGCACGTGCGGTCCCGTGCTGCGCCAACCCTTGCTGACTATTGCTTGAAGGTTGCCCTGGACATGACCATCGTCGCCACCGCCATCCCCAAGATCACGGATGAGTTCCGCAGCCTCGATCAGGTCGGCTGGTACGGCAGTGCCTTCTTCCTCACCCTGGGTGCCTTTCAGTCCACGTGGGGGAAGGCTTACAAGTACTTCCCCCTTAAGATCAGCTTCTTGGCCTCTATCTTCATCTTTGAGCTTGGCAGTCTGATTTGCGGAGTGGCACAGAACAGCACCACTCTAATTGTAGGTAGAGCGATCGCGGGTGCAGGCGGGGCCGGCATCGCTGCGGGTGCCTACACGATACTTGCTTTCACTGCACCTCCTGGCCAGACTGCTGCCTACACTGGCATCCTGGGTGCTGTCTATGCTGTCGCCAGTGTCGTTGGTCCCCTCCTTGGTGGTGCGTTCACGGACGAGGTGTCGTGGCGATGGTGGTGAGTCTCTTTCTTTCTTTTGTCTTTCCGTGGCACCGTCGAAATCAGCCGCCTGACGGAAGCAGTTTTTATATCAACCTCCCCATCGGTGGCCTCGCTGCCCTCATCATCCTCATCTGGTTTCAAACGCCGAAAAACGCAAAGCCCGTAGAAGCTTCTCTCTCGGAGAAGCTCTATCAGATGGACCCTCTCGGCACTTTCGTCCTCCTTGCCGCTTTCATCTGCCTCATCCTCGCGCTCCAGTGGGGTGGTACCACCAAGTCCTGGAGTGACCCCGAGGTCATTGGGACGCTTGTAGGCTTCGGCGTGCTCATCGTCATCTTCATCGCCGTCGAGATCTGGCTGGATGACCGCGCCCTACTGGTGCCGCGTCTGATGAGGCAGAAGACCATCGCCTTCCTCTCCCTCTACCAATTCTTCGGCTCGGGCACCTTCATGCTTTTGCTATACTACCTACCCATATACTTTCAGGTAGTCTCCGGTGTCTCCGCCGCGCAGTCGGGCGTGCGCAACATCCCGTACATCCTCGGCATCGCCCTCTTCACTATATTTTCAGGCGGCACAATCACCATGACGGGCCACTACCTGCCGCTCCTAGCCGTAGGTAGTGTGATGGCCGCCATAGGCAGTGGCCTCATCTACACGCTCGACGTCGGCTCGCCTTCGTCGCACTGGATCGGCTACCAGGCCTTGGCCGGCATCGGCAGCGGGCTGGGCATCCAGGTGGGCGTCATTGTCTCGCAGGCCATCGTACCCGCCGTCGACGTCAGCTCCGTCACCGCCATCATCCTCTTCTGGCAGACGCTCGCGGGCGCCATCTTCGTCAGCGCCGCTCAGTCGCTCTTCGCCAACCGCCTCGTGCGCTCCGTGCCCCGCGAGGTGCCCGGCCTCAATCCAGGCCTTGTCATCGCCACCGGGGCTACTGAGCTGCGCGACGTCTTTGGCGAGGACCAGATCACCGGCGTCGTCCGTGCCTATATGGACGGCCTGAAGGATGCCTACGCCCTTGATATCGCCCTGGCCGGCTGCTCGGTGTTGGTCGCCTTGACGATGCTGGTGTTTGATTACAGAAAGGTCAAGAAAGGCATGCCTGGAGCGGGTGGCGCATGATGGAGTCAAGTGTGTTTGGAGCTGTGCAAGATCCTACTCTGGTGCGGAAGGATTTTGATGGGTGGTTGTCAGATAGCAACGTGGCGATTTGTTCGATTTCACACAACTTTGTTTCCCTAATGCGCGAGCGTATCAATATTTCAGTCGGCCCCCTCATGGACATACTACAGATATTATAGAAAAGAATGGGCGTACGCACGTTGGTATGTTACATTCATTTTATGTGTCTGATGCTTCGATTTTGCTGTTTGCTTTATTTGCCTCCTTACTCGTCTTTACACCTGAGCCTCTCGCCCTTGAAGAAGTGCAGCTATCAGGCCCTCAATGCCGGTAGCTTTAGGTCACTGGCTTAAGAAGATTTAGAACCGTTACGAGTAGCTATAAGTCCTAAGTCGGATATATTAATGTCTTTAGGGCTAATTGCGCTCGTCAGCGTAGCAGCTGGAATCTTTCTTAAAGTCACTGTAGGGTCTTTCCGAGCGTATAAAGGTATTAGAGAAATCATTTATTGACCGAGCCTAAGGGGGTATCGATAGCCTTGAGCAGCACATCCCGAAGAATTGAGTGTTCCGAGAAGACCGCCAATCCCATAACACCAGCCACGTCCTACACTTACGTCCCGCTCTATCCTTATGACGCCTCCCAAAGCCTTCAACCGTGACCACGCCCGTTTGAAATGCACCACTCCCACAATCACATAGAAATGCAACTCGATCCCGTCTTCTGCCCTGCTTCTCCACGATGGACGTCCTCACTGTTCAGGACCATTCCGACTTCCTCACTCAGAATCCGGACCCAGTCCTCCAATCAGTAACAGCCGTGCGTACGCGACAAAGGCAAACTCAAAGTTCAGGACTTGCCTGGCGGGAACTGCCTTCCTCAACACCTTCCATCTCATCCATATCTTCACCGCCGTCACCATCTTCGCTGTTGTCATTACTCCTGTTCTCGATCGGGTTCGCCTCAGCCGCTTCTCCTGCCATCCTCTTTGCCGGACTCTCCGGCTGCGGCGTCTCCTCGACCTCCCCAGTAGGGTACCCTTTTGCTCTTCTCTCCCATTGTCTAAACATCCTCGTTATGCCGGCAAGAGGGGCATAAGAACTACTATTGTCACCGTCTCTGTCGCTGTCGCTGTCGCTGATAGCGTCACCGTCATCTGTGGAAGTGCTGGCTTCGCTGTCCGTTGCCTTTTCCGTTGCCTCACCATCGCCAACAACGGAAGCAACGCTGGTTGGAAACGGTGACTGAGGAGGTGGTCGAGTTGCGGGCACTTGGGTCAATGCGCGGCTTTGCGAGAGGCTGGCTTCGCGGGCAAGCTGAGCTGCGGCCAATTGGCTGCTGGTGTCTCCTTCGGGTAGTCCACCATTCGGCTGGACAGCGCTCGACACTCCATCTGTGTCGTCCTCATCGCTCTCAACGGAACCGCGAAAGTGATGCTCGCTGCGAGCGGGCAAGGAAGGAGAGAGTGCAGCACCAGATCTCGCTGCTCCACTCGTCACTCCTTCATTCTTGTCCACCCCACCATCAATCCATATACCCTCTCCACTTTCCTGATCCCACCGCCACCTCTCCTCTGCTGCTCGTACCTCCTCGCTCTTCGCCAGGCTTCTCTCTCCAGTCTCTGGGTCCCACGCCCATCCCTCTCTCAGCCACATCCACCTCAGGAAGGCCCTCAGCTCCTTATCTTTTGGTCTGACCCTCTTCCACTCAGGCTCAAAGCCCTCGTCCCCCACACCTGCGCCGTTGTAGTCCAACGCCACACCTCTAAACTCATCACGGCAGAAGATACGCCAGCTATCCAGTGCGTATGGGCCGCAACCAGGCAAGTGCGCAATCTCATAAGCTGCTACGCGAGGATCGGCATCGCTCAAGACCTCACCGGGCCTGATGTCCTTCTGTAGCCCCTTTCCAGGGTAATTCATGCTGCGATGGCGTCTGCCGGGCCGAGGAGGATCAAGCAGCCAACGCTTGGCGAACTCGATGAGTATGTTGGCGCGCACGTTTTGCATGCCAAGTGGGCGTAGAATCGCGGTGATGTCAAGGACATTGGCGTGCGCGAGGTCATCGGGCGTTGGATACTGTGCGATAAAATTGCGGAACTTTGGAATGGCGCAGCTGCCTTTGGTCTTGTTGAGGAACATGACGGCAACGAGAAACTTGAAGGGTTCGTGAGCGAGGTCTTCTTGGATCAAGCCAAAACGTGAGGCTTGGACGGAGGGGAAAGGCAACGAAGAGACGGTGCCGGCAGGTGGACGCCTGGATCTCTGGGAATGAGGCGCCGGAGCAAAGTGCGGCGAGCGCAGACTCGTGCGACGCTTCTGTGCAGAGAGGTTCCCGTCAGGATGTAAGAATCCTTTCGGCTCGTGATCGTATGATGATGCTCTACTACCGAGATCCGACTGTCCTTCCATAATCTCTGCACCAGGCGGGGTCGACGACAATCGCACGGCGCTTGTGCCAGCGAACTGAGAAACGTGTGGAACTTGAGACCTGCGAGAGCTTGGCTTCGTCAGCCTCACTGATGCGCCACGGCCTTCTTGAGAGATCCACGGATAATCCTCAGAAGTACCGCGACGACTCCGATCTGTAGACTGGACCGGAGCTTTCGGCGAGGTTGTATCCCGCCTTGGCGTGCTTGTTACGGGACCTTTTACATGGACTTTCTCAGACTGCAAATCGTCGTCTGAAGATCGGCTATCTGTTGATACAGTTATCGCATCGGTCTGGTCGCCCTCGTTCATAGGTCTGAGCGGCGAGCCGTGCTCATTTTCCTGCTCGTCATCGGCTTCCAGCCCCTTAGCGTCCGAAGTCCCATTTTCGTCACCGAGGCCGTCGAAATCACTCTCGTTGTTGTCACTGTAGTCGTCATCCACATCATGTGCCACACCCCCGAAGTTGGCTGGATCCGTAACCTGGCTGAAAGAGGCTATGTACACGGGGCGAGGGGGCGTAGCTTTGTCTACGACCGAACCATCTTCATCCATGTCGGCTGCCGAGTCATATTCGTGGTCTGGTGCTCGTCGACCACTCTTGCCAGCATCTGAGCTGACTTCCAGGGGGGGCTCTTGCCGATGGCCATCGTCCGGTGACGGGTGCTCTTCATTATCATGACCATGAATATCGTATGTCAGGATGTTGTCATCCCGAGCAGACCGTGGCTTCCTTAAGATTTTGACGCAGACGAACCGGCCAATCGAGCGCGTCTCACTCGTGGGTGGAGCAACCGGTTCGGTATCTCCAGTGGCAGAGTCATCTTCCGTAGATGCCGATCTAAGCCCAGGTCGGTCCCCAATCGAGGCGTTTGAGTCTCTCCTGCTTGAGCCTGAGGTGATTGGTGAGGCGCTTGCATCAGACCCGGACCGCTTCTTCCTGAGTTGCGAGCGAGTGACAGGCGAGGACAACGGCATTTCAGGTTGAACGGGCTTTTCACCAAGCCCTTCAGACTCGCTCGGGGATTCGGGAGGGGGAAGTTGAGTAGAACTCGGCCTTCTTGACAAGGGTGTGGCTGACTTCTGTGACCGTCTTTTGATGGAACCCGAGAATGGCTGGCCCCCACCCGCCAGTGCCTGACGCGTGCTCTTTCCGGCACGTGCTGATGAGTCCTCCCTTACCGACGGTGAATGAGCGATTCTGCGGCGACTTTGCCGCGTTGTGAGTGGAGAGCGTTCCTCTTGCATGTTGAAGTTGGACGAAAGAGCCGCGCTTTGCCGCCATCTCTCCTCTGCGGTGCTCCGGCTCAGGCCTTCGTCTCCCTCCAGATCCGCGCTACTGGTGCCGAATAATGATACGCTGTCAGCCCTGACGCCCTTCAACTTGCGTTGTTTGCCTTTCTTATCTTCTCGGGGGTCGTTGGTAGCCGGCGTTGCAGAGCTAAGCTCGGGTGTTTTGGATATATCACGACCTGATCCTTCAGATGCCACCTCCGGTTGGCCAGGTTGCTCCACGCGGTGGTCTCCCAGCTCTGGCGTCGCGGTATCTTCCTGTACTTCCCTCATCTTGGATAAACTTGAAGCCTCTTGAGTGTGAGACTGCAGCACACTAGGCTGCTGCACGGAATGGCTGCCCAACCGCAAAGGTGCCTTAGTTGAATGCGACGCTTTCCTGCCAGGTTGACCTACGCCTGAGTCCGAGTCAGACTCAGAAGGGGAAGACGATGTGGACTCCGAGTCCGATTCAGATTCAGAGGAAGACGATGATGACTCTGGATCGCCTTGCGGAAGCGTTTGAAGCTTGGTCAGACACTCCTTTATGGGTGGCTTGACTTGGATTGAGGGCAACAGCTGCAAAATCGAGGGTATGAAGGGGGAAGATTGAGATTCCATGAATTCATAGAAGGAGCGATCCGAGAGTCGGGCGAGGCTCGTTTGCTTCGATTTCGGCTCCTTCTGAGAGTCATCATGTGCTTTAATTGACTCTTCATCACTCGAGCCCGTTTCCGGCTCTGGCGTGTCCCTGTTAGAACCGCTATCGGAGGCGGCGCCTTTCTTCGTATTTGTAGCCTCATATTCGGAGTCTTCTGCTTCGGAATCGGAGGGTGGCGGTGTGGTTTCGAGTTCCACTGCTTCGATGTTCTTCCTTTCTCTCTTCTCCAGTGATTGATCCTCCCGTGGCAGTTCACCAACTTTAGGGTGTCTACCAGACTCAAGCTCCGATCTCAGCGGTGCGGAGCCTGCACTTGTCGCTTCGTCATCATCGTCAATTTCACTGTTCAGTGACTCCGGCTCCGCTGATAAGAGCGACCCAGCAGCGCTGTCGGAATCATCCTGTTCTTTCATACTTTCTTGAATCCTTGCTTTCTTCCTGTTTGGCTCTCCAATATTGACACTGGCATCGTGGAGAGGGGTTGCATTTTCATCGGCAGGGGACACATCCTTGAGTTCCGTGGAAGGCGTGCAAACCGGTCGATCGCTTTCAGTTTGAGCGACAGAAGTGCTGCTCCACTCAGCCTCGGATCCAGAACCAGCTTTCCAATTGGGTTTACCCCGGCCTCTGCTAGAGCCATCGGCTCTCTCAATGTCTGGGGACGGCTGCGTAACACGATTGGATTGGTGCGGCTTTCCAAAACTCGGGTTGGTGCTGATGACGCCGCCCGGGGGAGAAGAAGGCCGTTTTCTCTTCAGAGTTGACGGTTGCGCAGCGCTTGCTTCAAGCCTCTGGCCGGCACTTTGCCTTTGATGCGCTTTGTCCACTTCGGTTTCCCTTCTAGACTTATGAGCGTCTCTGTTCTGAGATGAACTCTGAGTCTTGTGGACACGTTTGAGCTTCTTCTTTGGAGGAAGGTCTGAAGGATTCTTTCGGTCATCGTGTAGTGTTGACTCCAGCTTCTTGGTTTTCTTTTTTCCTTTGGCCGATGTAATGGCATTCGCAGCTGCATGGGATTCCGAGGTTTCATCTTTCATGACAGCGCTGTGGTGCCCTTGTTTATCGTAGGTGTTGTTTCCAATGGACAACCCCCTTTTCCTCTTCCTCTGCTTCTTCTGCTTCTTCTGCGCAGACGCGGTCTTGTCTTTGGAAATCTCTGAAACAGCACTGGAGACATACTGAACGGGCAAGGAGGTGTCAGTCTTGGGCTCCCTCGCTGCAGTGTTGCCGTCTGGTTCTTCGGGACTCCTTTCCTTCTTCTCCCTCTCCTTCTTCCTCTCCCTCTTCCTCTTCTTTCTTCTTTTCTTTGCCTTCTTCAACTTCTTCTCGTCGTCACTCCCACCAGCGGTAGACTCTGCCTTTCCATTCAAGACCTTGCTCGGTACAACCGGGGGTTGTGTCAAGGTTCCATCCTGTGCACCACGCTTCGAATTCACTTTCTTCTCCACAGCCTTCTTCGCCGGGCTGAAGACGGCAGCTTTGGCTTCCTTCACGCACTCGTCGGCCACGCTATCTGTCAATCCCTTGCCCTTGGCGTAGGCGCGGACGTCTGCCACAAATTCCGTCGCCGCTTTACCTTTCAACATTCCGCCATGCTTTTGGAGCAGCTCATGAGTTCGGGCATACTGCAGCACGCTGGGCCTGTGCAGCGAGGTTAGGATGAGTGGCGATTTCGATGGCTCGGCCACGTTGACAGGGAACGATGGTGGCGGCAACATTGCGGGCGAAGTCGAAGCGGGCTTCGGAGTTCGAGAGGATGCGGGCTGCTGCTTCTGTCGCTCGAGCTGCAAAGGTGTGACCGGTGGGGCGGGTTGCGAGGGCGGCGCGTCGTTGGCGACGAAGGACAGCGAAGAGTACGACGGGCGGCGGTGAGCAGGCGTGGACGAGTCTACGTGTTTCTTCTTGCTGGGTTTACGGAACGGCATTTTCGCGTGGGTGGATCCGTCGCTGGGGGGCGGCGCCATGGCGAGGTTGCGGAATAGGTGAACGGCGCAGTCGTTGAATTGACTACGCGGTGAAAGCGTGTGTTGGCCGGTGCGACGGAAGGCCGGGTGCTCCTCGCGTCACGTCTCACCTTTGAAGTGCCCGCGGCGGCACCGAAGAGGTATTGCCAAGTTGAATCTGGGGCGTGCGCTGGTGAAAGAACTCACAAGACCGACGAAGCGGACGGCGGTTGCGACTGGACCGGGCGCTGGCGGCGAGGCATTGAAGTCGCGGAAGGCGGTGCCCGGAATGTTCGCGGACGGAGCGTGATGGCCTGTCGCTGCGCAGGAAGAACTTGGACAGCGCAGGGGTGCCGCGGTGAGGAAGAGGTTGCGGAGCTACCTGCCCGTCAAACGTCAATCGGGTGCAAATGGAAGAGCGGGCGCGGGACGCGAACACGCGACGTCACGGCCGGGGTCCGTGCCCGTGCCCTGCCCCGTCTTGGCGCGCACCGACTAGGTAGGTAGGCGAGCTCGCCGCCCCGTTTAAGCGCCAGGGTCATAGTGAAATCAGTCACGTGCACGCTCGGCAAGGTCTGTCTCTGGTCCTCGGAATCAACGCCGTTTCTAAAGCCCCTCATAAGGTCGTAGCTCGCCTAAGGCCAAGTGCTCTGTTGCATTCCCCACATCCACTTGCTGTTATGCGTGATCAGAAAAAAGCAGGAATTTACGCTGGTGCCCGCGTGCGGCCCTCGTCGCCTCGAGAACCGCGCGCACTTCCCTCGGGAATGTCTAATTTCTACGTTTGCAGACGCAAAGCTTGCATACAACTGCGCAAAGGGGGTACTCGTACAATGAAATCGTGAAGGAAATGTGCAGTCGGACCTCACGAGCCGCCTCAGTCTGAAAGCTTGGCTAGTTTCTGGAGAACCGATAGGAGGCCTGTGGACGCGTCAATCCTCGCCGTGGGGGGTAGCATGATGGTCAACTCACCAGTGGTGCCTTGGGTCAGAGTGGCCATGGCTTCCGTGTTCCGTGTGCCGACGCTGACGGTCGTCACATCCCGAATCACACCCGTCGTAGCAAGCTTGTTAGCCCAGCGGAAAATGACCTCGTCCTCGCGATCGTCGCCCGCAACCACGAGGAAGTCGGCCGGAGAGCTCGCTCCCTTGTCAAGATTGTTCTTGTGGAGCTTGTTGAAGATGTGCGTGGCAGCGCTACCTTTGCTCCAGTCCAGCGGCTCGATCAGGATGCTCTTGTCGATTGGCACAGCATGGACATGGGCCGACTCGCAAACGTCGTTGATGTGAGTCGCGCATTCTCCCGCCTGCGTGGCAGCAGCATCGAAGTCGTCTGCCTTGTCGTAGTGGAAGAATAGGGAGCAGTGGCGCTCCTCGAGCCAGCTGCCCTCGACCCGCTCCAGGTAGTATTGAAGGATACCCTTGACGCTGTCTTTCCATTCGTCAACCTTTGACGTGTCGGCAAATGCCGTCCAGCCTTCCTTGCCAAACTCGCGCACGAAGCATCCGTTCTCGGCAATGATGCCCAGACCAGGCACCCGGCTGAACAGACGCTCGAGTTCCTCTGGAGTACGGCCGCTCATGACGTAGACAAGATTCTTGTCATCCATCAGAATCTCGTTCAGGGCATCGATGACCCGCTGTGGGCTGGTCATGATGATGCTGGTCGGCGAGCCGTACGACGCAAGCGTGCCCTCGTAGTCCAAGATGAAGATACGCCGTTCAGATCTCTTGTATTTTTCGCACAGCTGGTGCACTGAAAGGCGGGGAATCGACATGGTGTCGCGCATGAAGTGCTCCTCGTGAACTCTGGCGAGCGTCTTGGTCAAGGTCGTGCACCAATACTCACCCGTGTGGTGCATCACCACGTTACGGAGTCTGGTGTATCTCCGTTCCTTCTCATCCGGATCCATCTCCAGCGCAGTCTTGATCGCCTCGGCACACTTCTGGTAGTCCCAAGGATTGACAGAGAGCTCGTTGCCGTTGAAGATGGATGCGCTGCCCGTGAACTCGCTAAGAATCAGCGGTCCGCATTTCTTCTCGCTGGCTTTACCATCCTGACAGGCGATGTACTCGTGCGCCGTAAGGTTCATGCCCTCGCGAAGACTCGTGATCATCAGGGCATCAGCGACCGACAGCAGGGCCAGGTACTGGGAGAAGGAGATGTCCTGTCTCAGGAACACAAGCGGCTGATGCGCCAAAGTCGAGTGAGTTGACTCGATGCGAGTCACAATGTCTGAGACCGTCATCGCCAGCTCGGAATTCTCGGTCGTCGACGTGGCAACTTGAATCATGACAACCTTGATAGAGACGTGTCAATAGCAACTGAATACGTCGTGCCCAAGGTGTGGGGGACAAGCTCACCTTCTCGCGATACTCGGGGTACTTGTTGAGGAAAAGCTCGAAAGCCAGCAACTTCTGTCGGACACCGCGGACAGCATCCAGCTTGTCGCGGGCGACAATGAGCTGTTTGCCCTTGTAACGCTCTTGCATGACCTGGATCCATTCCTTGACGCTGGGATCTTCGCGAGCAGCTTCCAGGCCTTTGGGATCAATGCCAATGGGCAGCCAAGCCACGTTGACGAAGCGGTTCTCCAACTGGACGCCGTCGTTGGTAGCTTCTACCACAAGAATGCGACTGCAGGTCTGAAGGAAGTGGTGCGCGTATTCGCGCGACTGGAAGGCGACGAGGTTGGCGCCGAGCATTCCCTCCAGAAGCTGCCTGCGCACAGCCAGGCATCGGAAGACCTCGGACGACGGGAAGGCCGTGTGCATGAAAAAGCCAATTTGGGCGTCGGGCAACTTTTTCCGAACCATGCCGGGGACCAGCAGAAGGTGATAGTCGTGGATCCAAATGATGTCGCCACGCTTGTAGCTCTTCACGATCTTGTCCGCGAAGGCTTGGTTGACATGCTCATAGTAGATCCACGAATGGTCTTCATAGGCCTTGCTCTTGGGGTGATCGGGAATCTGGTAGTGGAAGACGGGCCAGAGGATGGTCTTGCAGTAGTGGGCGTAGTGGCCATCGAAGTCGTTGTCGTCGACCCACACGGCAAGAGCGTCGTACTCGGACTCGAGCTTGGCATGGATCTCATCCTTCTTGCCGTCATCGAGCGCGTCAGTGGGGAACCCCACGGTGCCGACCCAGAAGACGTCCTCCATGGTGCCGGTAGTGATGGCGGCGCGGACAGCATTCGCTAGACCGCCGTTACCCTGGACGGCCGGTTCCACGGTCCAGCCCGAAGACCAGCGCTGTCTGGACCCACTGGAGTTCCGGGAGATGCTGCTTATGCTTGCCCTCTTCGGCGACCGACGTGACTTGCGCTGAGCGAGACCTTCCTGTTGTTTCGAGTATTTCAAAATGTCATCGGGCGGCGGTGCGGCAGCGCGAGAGCGCGGCTGGTTGAAGAAGAGACCACTGCCCCATTCAGGGACGTGGGCGTCGCTGCGAACGAGCGATCTAGGATCGTGCGGCTTCGGGAAATGTGTGTTTACGCTTGGCTGGACCTGAGCAAAGAACTCCTCATGCCTTGCACTCGCGGACGGGGTGGCAGGCGGCGTGGGCTGAGCGAAAAGACTGGCTTTCTGCTCCGCCAGGTCCGGATTGCTGTCCACGCGCGTCACGGCACGAGGCGGCGGGCTTGGGCGCCGGCTGGCTGGTGACGGCAGCTCGTGAAAGTCAATCGTGTACGGTAGGAAGCTATGGAATGGCGTGAGTTGGTGAGAACTGCGGGGGAGCGGGCAGCTGCAAGTGAGAGCGGGGCGTGTACTCACAGCGAGACGACAAAAGTCGGCATTGTGGATGAGGGCGGGCGGCTACGGCCCAGGTGAGGGTTGGGACAGAAAAGCGGCGGCTTAGGTGTTGGAGGCGGGATGTCAGTTGGAAAGGCAGCGCGGCGGCGAGGGCGCAGGCGGCTGAGCGGTGGGCGGGACAGGAAGAAAGAGCAATTGGGGGGTTGAGGAAGGGACGGAGGCGGTTGGCGGGACGAGCGGGCAGGTCGAGAAGAAGGAAGGAATCCAGCAGCTGGGGAGCAAGCAAGAGCGCGGCGTCGTTGCTTCTCGCTTTCGTCACGGATGGCCCGAGCGCGGCCCGCCTCTCTCTACCTAAAAACAACGTTTGGGGCGGCAGGGCGGCAGGGATGTGCGGCCCGGTGCCAGCAGCACCTACCTACTACTGCTGCTGCTGCTGCTGCTGCTGCTGCTGTGCAGCCGGCGGCCGTCAGCCCGCTGGCAGCCAGCTGCGCAGCTCGCAGGCGCAGCCCGTCGGCGGCCGGTCGAGGCCTCGCCCCAGCCAGTCTCGGCCAGAGCCCGGCCGCCGCGCGCGCTGCGCCCTGCTTTGCCCGACGCAGCGCAGCATCAAGATGACGCACTGCGTCGCACGCACGTCAGGGCCGACGGCAGCGCGCGGTGGCCGTCGCAATCCGACTCCAGCGTGACGCCCAGCGATCGCCAGGCACGGGGGTGCATGCCGGCCACCCGCTTCTCGATGGGACTTTCCCATGCCGTGCTCCCAGCCGCTTGCCATTTTCGCATGTCGGGCCTGCCCCGCAGATGCGATTCCCACCGACTGCCTGAGACGGCGCCCACGTGCGCCTGCCGTTGTGGTGCGCCTGGTTTCCGCGCGCTTCTGTCTCGCACCACCGCAGTCTCTCGACCCCCCGCCGTCGTCGCACCCCTCGCCGCCGCCGATTTTTCGAGAAGCTTCGCGTCCGAGCCCACGTGCCCCATCCGCCCGTCGATGCGCTTGGCTGCATCCCGGAAAGCCGGCCGCACGCACATCGACGATGAAGCGCAGCCGTCATCTGGTGCGATTCGAGACAATGCGCTTTGCGCACCGCCATCCGTCAAGTATCTCAGATGGCACCATCTCGGACGCCATTCCCCATTGCACAGTGAGTAGTGAGCAGTGAGCAGCGAGCAGCGAGGCTGGACATGGCCAGTCCGTTCCAAATAAAATTCGGAGTACTGGTTGCGGGGCAGCGAACCAACGTATGTATGTACAGTAGGTACATACATACATACCTGGCACGCCAGTGATAGTGCAAAGGCTCTCCAGCAAATGTGCCACGGGCCCAGTCTTGGAAGCCCCGGGGTGGAATGTGTTTCAGAACAAAACAGGCCATCACCGCTACATTCCAATCATCGACAGGAGCCAAAGGTTAAGGGAAACTGCTGTCTGACCGCTGGCGTCCCTGCAGAGAGGGCACTACCGAGCCACCGCGCGGAAGCGTAGCATCCATCCTGTTGCCGTGACCATATCATAGCCTCGGCTGGACAATATGGCCCACCAGCCCCGTTGCACCCAAATAGGATATGCTGGGCCAAGTATTGTACATACCACGGCAGAACTCATTCCGGTTCGGCCAGGATTCTACCCACGCGACGCCTCCATAGGGCAAGCCGCGAGTCCTCTTGTGAAACAAAGGAACCGTCCAAAAGTAGGTATGAGAGCGTCGTGGCTCGCTCGATGTCCACGTAATGTGACCTTGTGTCGGGAATTGGGCTCGTTCTCTCAGTCAGCCAACAAAGATGGTTCGGCACACAAGATGCTGCGTCAGAGGACGTCCAGGTTTCAAGTATGGTCGCGCAACGGTCTGGGTTACATAAAGGCCCCCCTCAGCTCAATCATCCGGACGATCCATTCAAGGCAGAAGTATGAAATCACCAGTCGCAACGCTGGACGACACAACATGTCTAGCAACATGACACAGAGGGATCCTGTTTCTTCGCCCAGCTCTTGCGCAATCGTTGCCTCGCCAGCCTGTGACACGGGGCTGCGCCACGCTGACATATCAGTCGGAATTACTAGGGTTACTCAATTGACATCACACAGTGCTTCCAACACCTAGCCAACTGGGACGAATGGGAACGCTCTGGCTGGATCCCCCTGGGCTTATCCTGTCACCATCGACTCGAACAGCGTACGATCCCGGCCAGCCTCGCAACCTCCACGTGCTCGTACCTGGCTTGTCGGTCGTACCGACATATATATAGCTTCGTAGCATCTACGTAATCCTGCCAGGTGAAGCGAATCTGGATCATCTTGCTCAGATGACCTCTCTTGCAACCTGATCGAAACCAGATATATCAAAGTCGAGAGTCAACGCCGGCCGCCGGTGTGCAAAGCAGGACGAAAGTACCACTCAGGCTTCATGCTTTCATCAGACGCGATAAGCAAAGGCGACGCCGTTACCGCTCGAGATACACCCCAGGAGGGCGCGGCCGCGACAAACATCACCGCCTCTACCAACACTGCCTACGCTTCTATCCTCGACCTGCTTCTACCCCGCCCCCGGCAACGAACTCTTAAGATTCATACCTCTTGCAAATTCTTCTCACTGCAATCCACCGTCCCCCACTCGTCCGTCACAATGTCAGATCGGCCGCAAGACTTTCCGGAAGATATCCTCCCCAGTGACTTCCCTCCTTGCTATTAGCGAGCAGGCGCGCGAGCTTTGTGCCGTCTCGGCGACTACTGTCGACGTCTACGCGTGCACCTCGCTGAATCCACATACACAACGATTGCCGGAAGGAACAACGCCTATCGCACGCGAAGGGATTGCTCGATGGACTATCGTCTTGTTATTTGTATTGCGCTACCTATCCCCCACGGCATCTATTCAATCAAAGGCACGTTGCATACATTATACACGTCCCTAGCACGTCATTAACTGTCTCCAACAGTTGCCGTAAATGTCCAAAATCCAGGAAGACCTGGCAGGATTCTTTGCGCCCCTCCCAAATGCAATCCCCAACTGCTTTCCAAACGCCGAATGAGAACAACAACCGAACCAGTTCAGATACCCATCCCATCATAGATACAAGACTACAAAATTGAAGAAAGAAAAGACAAGCAAACTCCTTGAGACGATTACCGTGTGTTCGCTGTTTCTTATCTGTCGTCCTCGCTTATGTCTCCCGTGTCCTTGTTTTTCCCCCTAGGCTGTGGCAAAGTGACCAATCTGAAAGGGAGATGTAAAGATAAAAGACATGTGACCCCAAAGGGCGAACATCCTTCGAGAAGAAAAATAGTAATGGTCGGCCCCAAGAAAATGGAAAAAGGTGGGTTGAGCATCCAGCTCAGACGGCCCACTTAGCCAGGCTTGTCAGCGCGGGCACATCCCCGAGCTCTATCCCGAACTCATGAGAAATGGGGTTGTTCTCCTGCACGTTGACTAGCCCTCGCACTCCTCGGGATCGACGACTTCGGCGGCACGGCCGGCCTCTCTTCTTTCGCTTCGGCCTCCTCTGCAACACTCTCTACACTCGTCTTTGCAGTCGTCTGATCCGTCTCTTTCTTATTCATCGTGCTGTAGTAGCGTTGGATGCTGGAGCGTTTCCTGGTGCGTGCAGAAGTGGGGACAGCGGCGAGCGGACAAGGAAGTTGTTTGACTGGGCTAGGGATCTCATGGGGAACTGGAGACCATGCCGGTGAAATACTGGGGGACGCACGGGCCGACGAATTGGCAGATGAAGATTGCGAGTACGAGTGCATAGCTTGCTGGCTTTGGCTCCGTGCGTGGAGATGATTGCCAGCCGGCCGTTGGAGGTACTGTGTGCCGGCATGGTCTTGGACTCGTGGCATGCCCCGGTGTTGAACGCTCATGCTGCGGCCGTGCATCGGCTGGGCCTGGCCATGACTCTGGGTCTGTGCCTCGCGCCGCTCTCGCCAGAAGTTAGATGTTTGCTCCCAGCCATGTGTCTGGATGCGTAGCGAACATGGTAGCTCGCGGTGGCGTCTTTCATTTGTCTCGTCCGCCTTGTGTGCATCGGCACCTGTGAGATCATCTTCCAAAACCACCACCATCTTTTCCTCTGCGGAGAATGGCTCTGAATTTCCAACGGTTGAGCCTAGCTTGTCTGTATGCCTGCGCTCCAGTGGCGCCTTGAAAAGCTCATTAAGACCTTCCTCCCCTTCAACCGGGATCTTCTCCTCACGAATGTCAAAGGTAGACGCCCTCGTCAGGCGTGACTGAGATTGAGAAAAAGACTTGGTCAGCAGACCACGGCGATAAGGTCTATATGCAGATCTATTGGTGTGGTTTTCCGGTTCGGCCGGGAGCGGCTTATTGTCGAGCTCGGTCGTGCTGCTTGTGTCCATGTTGTAGCTGGATGACGAAGTTTTGGGGATCATGCTTTGCGGACGAGAAAAGTTCGGAATGGAGACAAGGGAGGACAACTGGGTTTCCTGTTGCTTCTTCTTCTGCTGCTGATGCTGTTTGTCGTGGTAACTCGCAGGACGAGTACGAGGCTTAGTGCTCTGAGGGGCGACACCTTCCTGTTCGTTCGCCTCCTCTTCGCTCCGCTTCTTCTGTTGGCCTTTCTGTTTCTGCTCAGCCCGGTACTTGCTACGGATGCGCGCATATTCAGATGCCGTTGCATCGTCCATGTTCTGACCACTCTTTGAGGGTTTGACCAGAGCAGTGCTGAGGTGATGCGGTTGCACAGCTGAAGACCCGGATACCTGCGGCTTGACTGGTAGTGACGACAGCGCAATATCGTAGGGCGAGCCGCCAAGCGAGTGTGTAACGGAGCCAAAGTCCGATACAGTAGCTGTAGTACGGGAATCATCTGGCTCCTGCGAAGCGGCTTTCGCAAATGAGTCAGGGCTGGGTTGCGTCGCCTCCAAGCCCGCGTCTTCACAGGAAGCAGAAATGTTCTTAGATTTGCGACGAAAGCTGAAGACTTGCTTCAGGGGCGATGGTGAGCGCACACGTTTGGATGAACGCTTGTCCTTGCTGTTCTGTTTCGGCAACGAGGAGAGGGTGTCACTCGCCTCCTCGGTAGGTACCGGTGATGGGAAGCGAATGGAGACGGCGGATTGCTCGACCAAGCTGGTTTGCGAGATACAAGTGTGCTCCAAGTGGTCCATTCCTGGAGAGTCCTCTATACGCTTCGAGTAACCGGCAGCAAGGTCGTCGGGGACACTTGGGATACTGCCCGATTCGATAGGCTTGATGCTCTGCACAGTCGGGTGTGTGCCGGTCGACTTCCGCTTCTGCAGTTTTTTCCGCGCTGCGTTCGATGCCGACTTCTCGGAATGTTGTTCCATCGCCGAATCATGGCGCTGGGGCGTCTGCGGCTCCGGACTCTGCTCTTTCGCAACGATGTCGCTGGGAACCTCGGGCGTTGGCGATGGAGATGGAGAAGTCAGGTCTTTCAAAGACATCCGCTTCCATGACTTGGAGCGCTTAAGGGACTTCCTCCAACCACTTTTCGTTTCCGTCTCCATATCTGCTTTTGATTCGGGCTTCGGCTCAGTTCCAGCCTTCTGCTCGATGCTCTCTTCCGTTTTCCTTTGAGGGGACGAGGCCAACATTACATTGATCGTGTAGAGACTTCGCCCGTCTGCGGCCTCGGTGGATTCATCCAAGACTTGGCCGTTTTGCCGTCCCTCAGGCGTAGACGGCACTGTTCCTATAGCTTCGTCACTACAGACGGAGTGAGCCATGGAGTCGCCAGCTTGCGACTGGGAAAGCTGCATCGCTTTGAGGCTGGTGCCTGATGAATATCCTGAATCGGAGTGGAGAGCCTGAGCAGGGCGCTGCAGCTTGATTTGCGGAAGACTTTGGTCGAAGCCATGACCTGCAGCCGCTGCGGACGACTGCTCATTCGAAGTCCTCTCTTCGCTCAAGGTCGGCTCGGCAGCCATACTTCCATCAAGGATCCGCAAAGCCTCTGTCCTAAATTTCTCAGTGTCGTTCCGGTCGTGGAAGTCTTCGTTCGCACTCTGAGGGGGCCTTGGCGACGGAGTGGCACGGCTGAAAGGGGTTTGCCCATACGGTGAAGCTTGCAGTTCCGCAATGTAGTCATCCGCGGAGTGCTTTGGCAATCTCCTTGCAGGGTGAGGATCGACGTGCTCGTCGCCGGCTTCTGGGGTCGATGGCCGCTGGAGCATCAATTCGCTGGGCACCCGCGACCGTCTCGTTCTTCTCGGGATCTCTGTGGACTGGGCGTCGAGCTCGGCATACCCAGAAGATGGGCCAATTGTGTCGGACCGACGGAGGGGACCGCGCATGTGAGCGAGCTCTCCTGAGTTGCCCGGACGGCCGCACTCGAGACCAAAATACTCTTCCTGGGGGTGAAGCTCTGGTAGAGAGGTCCTGCGGTCAAGATGGCGTGAAATGATGCTCGGAGCGGGGGACGGCGCACCATTGGTGATCATGAGGGTTCCTATCGTGTTGGTCAAGGTGGCATAGTCCATGTCTCCGGGAGTCTGGGCGCGACGGTCCGACCGATCATCGTGCGGGAGGTCCGGAGGAGAGGGGCCGAGTTGGTCCAGGCTCCAGAGAGGGGTCTTCTCCTGGCGTGCAGTGGGCTTCGGGTCCCTTCTGGGCGGAACATCGGCGGGGCTGCGGGTAGCAAGCCCGGGCACGGCCGTTGACCTCCGACGGACTAGTTTGGGAGGCGGCTGGCTGGTCGTGTCCACGGCATGCGGCTCATCCCTGGTGGGGAGCAGGGCCTTGTCTGCAATTGGAGGTAGGTCAGCACTTGGTGGGGTGAGGCGTGCATGTCAGCGCAGAGACATACGCAGGGCCACGAGCTGGTCGGGGGTTGCATTCTTCTTCAGCTCCTGCAGAATGGCAATGGCGGCCTCGACGTCGACAGTGCGCTCGGCGTGCTCCAACATGGCGGCGGCGGCGGGCTGGGAGGCTGGGTCGGGGGGATTGGAGACGGATCGGGAGAGGACAGTCAGGCGGTCGATGTCGCTGGCGAGGTCGGCTAGGACCGCGTGGTCATGGTCGTGGGCAGCTGGGAAATCGAGGGCGGCGTCGTCGCGGGGACCGAAGAGCTGCAGGCGGATCTGCTGGCGAGCCTGCTGCTTGCTGCGGAGGGAGCCGGCGGAGGTCCACACGATGTCGTCGGCGTCGAAGCTGGAGAGGGCTGGGTGCTGGGGGGAGCCAGCCTGAGGACCGAGCTGCGGCGAGGGCGAGTGGTTATAGGTGCGGGGCTTGGTGAGGCGATGGGCCTCGCGCGGAGCAGCAGCGCGCTCGGTCGAGGAGGACGCGTTGCCCATTTGCGATGGCTGGGCGGCGGGCGGCGGGCGGCGAGTGGTGGCTGGCTGGCGGGGTTGCTTCAACCTCCTCGATCTCAACCGCATATATTAGGCGACGCCCCGGTGCATGACACGCGCACCGGCAGGGCGGCGGTCCCAAAGAACAGCAGCACCAGCTGGAGACGGGCGGCGGGCGGCGGCACACGGGTCAATGCAGGAATCCGGACGGCTCCAGCGCCATTGCTGCTGCGAGAGGAGTGGGCGGCGGAGGAGAGGCGGCGGGCTGGGCGGGGAGGGCGCCTTCTTCATCTCATCGAGCACTGGATTGTGCATGGGTCTTTCTTGCTCTTTCTTGGTCGCAGCCTCGCAGGTGGCCGCCCCCGGGCTCTCGCGCGCTAGCCCGGCTGCGGTCTGGCCGGCCCAGACACGCAGACATCCCGGCGCAACGTCGCCTCTGTATCGTCGATCAAGCCCGCTTCACCCTTCATCTGCAGCCCGCAAGGGGGCGAACTGGTTTTGGGGTGCCACTCGGCCACTCGACCACTCGACGCGCCGAAGCCTGGCCGTTTCAAACGCGGCCGCCTGCGCCCAGTCAAGCGCCCGCCATGGCGCAATCGGCGAGTGGCCGAGTCGCCCGGTGGCCGGGGGCTCCCAGCCGCACCGTGGCACCTGTGGCTGAGGACTTTTGAGCTTTTGGTTCCTGCCGCTCGCCTCCACATGGAACCCACACCCGACTGCGCTGTCCTCGGCCCTCACACGCCCATCACGCCATGACATCAGCGCAGCCCCGGCGCCCGCAACCACTGCAGCATTAGGTATTGCCAACGGCGCCGCTCTCTTATCGCGCGCGCCGTTCTGCCATGCCAGCCTTCCCCGCGTCCTTCTGCATTCGGAACCATGGTTCACTTGATCTGCTCCCAGCCTCCTGGACATGGCAGAAACCTGCCTGAGACGGGCGGGAAAACCTGCGTTGCCAGCTGCTCTTCTGGACGAGGATTGGCTGCACTGCCATCGGCCGAAGATCGGCACTGCCAAACGCGAGGCTGAGATCTGGAGACTAGCCAGAGAGCCGTCTGTCGAATGCCGGCTGTTGGCCGACGAGTTGGCCGGGAGGCCGTGGCCGATGACTCTGGCGCGTCTCTTGTTAGCCTCTGCACTCTGCGCAACCGAGGAGACGGCCCGCTCATTAGCAATGACGGCATCTGCGTGGTGGGCCTGACGCGCGCCTTCGCCTGGACATCTGCCGTTTCCGACTCTCCATGGACCGGGAAAAGAAAAGGCGCTGGGACGTCCGAGCGTCCGTATGCTGTGAGATGGCATGGCGGTCACGAATATGCTTCCAGAATGGTTCGCACGCCCTGAGGCGGGAGCGGTCCGTTCGGCCACGGAAAAGGCCGCTGAAGGGGGCAGCCAGCTCCTTTGCTCCTTTGCACGTCCTCAAATCTGGGCTTGGCCGGGCGTCGACGTGGCTAGAGTGGGTTTGAAGACTGCTGGCGACCTTTGCACAACTGTTGCCTCCACGGTCTGATTGGTCTACCTGACACCAGCCCTGGCAACGCACTGACGCTCACCACACGGTCGGCCTAGGGAGGCTGACGACCATGTGGGTGTGGCCATGCTTATCCACCACCCTGGGGGTTGCGCAGCATGCCATCGAGATCACTATGTTTTGTGTGCGTCACCGTGCGATAATCCAGCATTTCTGCTTGAACAGTTTTCAAAGCATCCGACAAGAGCTTACGTCCCGTGTCATTTCCATAGGATATAATCCATGTAATCCTCGACCAATCTCCGCACGCGACATACCCTAATCTCTCTCCTCATGTCTACCGAAATTCATATGTTCCCTTCATTATCCCATCTGCGGTACCATCTGCTGTGGGTTCCGCCTCGCTGTCGGCGTGCATGCTTGCACCATCATCACCTGTCGAATGCGTATTGTAGCAGAACGTGTTCAAGGGGTTCGTTTCCACGCAACCGCTGGGATCCAATGTCCCGATGCTCTTGCGGACCGGGTTTCAGACGACCCCATGCTCTCATCCAAGTTGTGACCAGGGTGTTGTCTTCGCTAGCGATTTTGCTGAGCATCGGACAACAGAGCACTGTGTCATTTGACTTCGTATCCAACCGGCCCTGGGCCACCCTATCTGCTGCCCGATCGGCCTTCCAGATTTCGAGGTATTATTGCCTACATAGGCCGTGGGAAAATAGAGAGTGACCCGTCACATGCAATCCAAGCGAGCGTGAATATGGGACTCGGCTAATTTTGTGTGTGTACCTGATGAACGCAAAATTCCGACAAAGGTTCTGCGGAAAAGATGTGTGCAGTTATTCACTGAGCCAACCATTTTTGCCGCCTCGATCCCAAGTATTTCGGATAGCCCGCATTCAGCAACTTGCGCAAACGTCTACTTCGAATAGAGATTTACTCTCTTCGACGTCTGAAGCAATCGAGTGATGGGACCGTCATCGTTTTGAAACTGATTGGATTTTTTGCTCTGTCATAGATCATAGGCCTCCCTTCAGGATGTGGAAATCACTTCGCACTTGGAAGGGACCTGTACGCCGTGGAACGCAGCGTGAGGCGAATTGGAACACGACGGCGGGTTCTTGTCTGCTCATTTGCCCCTGTCTTGTCCTGGACAGGTGTTAGCATGATCCATTCAATTGTTCGCTTAGTATTTGGGCGTGTGACAGAATGCATGCTCCTGAAATTTCCAGTTGTGTTGCCAAACACTGCCCCCGACGGCTTGAGAGGTTTGAGAGCGAGCACCTTTCACGGATGCAAGGAGATGGGAAAGATCAGCCCTACCATAGTGTGCAGTATTCCAGGCCTTGGCCATCGACCCGGGCTATACCCTCGTCAGTTGATAGTCACGGACAAGTGGAGATTCATCCACACACCTCACCAACTCTCTGATCGGCAAGCTTTTCTTTGAAATGCTCCGTGTTGACAGCTGCGTCTGTCAGCTCTGCCGTGCAGCCGGTGGTTCGGTTACATACACGTGGGTCCATCTCGCGGGCTCTCGGTGTCGTGGGGATCGCCTCTCCTCGTTGCGGTAGCAGGCGTATGTGTAGGGGTTCCCCCACCGGCAGACCATCTTTCACCAATGTTCTGGACTCCAGGAGTCTCGAAGACGTTGTCCGAGTTGCCGCTGAACTTGGGCACCATGTAAAAGACGCCGAGAGCACCGCCCACGGCCCAGACAGCCTTGTTTCTGAGCAGATTGGCCATTGCAGATGAATTGGAGGATTGGGGGAAGCAACGATGAAGCTCTGATATGCTGGCAGCTTTGTTGCGGCGCGAATCAACTGCGGCGCGGAGATGGTTGGGCTCACTTGCGAGGTCGGAGGAGAGCGAGGAAAACGAGGACGGGGTGGAATGCAGTAGGTAGGTGAGATATGTTCCGGAGCGTTGGCGTTATACGCAGCGAGGGATACCACCCGACCGCGTGCGGACACTACCTTCCTAAGCACTCGTTCGAAACGTCATACAAACGGGTAGCGCAGTCGCGCCTGAGCCCCGCGCAGACGCCGCCAGCCCAATGAAGGAACAATAATGGCAGGGCGCATTGAGGCTCATCCGCCCACCAGCCCCCGCCGGAGGGCTCCGATTGACATGCAGATGGAGTGCATCAGCACCGCGCCTTCGCATCGTGGTGTGCGGCGTCGATGATGCGCGGCGCCGATGATGCGCGCAGGCGTCAAGCGGCAAGGGATCCCTGCCGGAGCGCAGCGCGCGGAGAAACGGTGCCGCCGCGCGTAGGGCTGGCCGGCTCCTGGAGACGTGGACATCGCCAATCGTCGCAAATGACGATGTTCGCATCCTCGCCTTGACTGTCGCCTGCCCTGCTCCCACCTGCGCACCACCACGCCGCCCGCCCGAGTCGCTCGTCCTGCATGCGCTGCCCTAGGCGCCCAAGTGTCCAAGCCGGTGCGGTGTAATCGGACGAGACGAGCAGCCATGGACGGAGACCCGCACGTCGAGCCGGAGCTGGACTCCTTTACGCGCTGGCTACCGCTGCCCTACCGCGTCGCCGTCATCATAGTACTGGGTTGGTTGTGAGCGCTAGCAATGCTTTCTGGAAACCAGTCTGTACTCACTTCTGCCGCAGGCGTCTGGGCATGGGGGGCCAATCTCCACTACCTGTTCCTCATCCGCATTGTACGTTGCGAACCCGCTGGCCCACCGCGCGCCGCGCGCCGCATTTCTCGCTGACGGTGGCCGTGTGCAGGATGTCCCGTCCCTGATCAAATACCCGGGCCGCCCGTCTGCAACGCACCCGCCCCATCATCTCTCCACCTATCGCCTTGCCGCGCTGCTCACCATCCCGCTGCTCATCTCCCTGTTTCTCTTCTGGACCATCACACATGGAGACCCTACGCGCGTCGTGGATTGGGAGCTTCTCCCAAACCTTTATCTGGTGGTCATGGTGCTCTGCGTAGTGTTGCCCTGGCACTCGCTCTCGCGGTCAGGCCGCTTCCGCTTCATGGCAACCCTCAAGCGCATCAGCATTGGCGGCATCGCCGAGGCGCAGGACGGAAAGTTCGGTGACATCTTGATGGCTGATGCTCTGACGTCGTATGCCAAAGTGCTCGGCGACCTCTTCGTCACGCTTTGCATGATGTTCTCGTCCTCCCGGCACTCGACTGGCAAGCCCGAGCGCAGCTGCGGCGGCGCCTTCTGGGTGCCGTTCATCATCAGCATTCCCAGTCTGATCCGGCTGCGGCAGTGCTTGATTGAGTTCCTGCGCGTGCGCCGCACCAACGCGCGCAGCGGCAGCATTGGAGCCCACGGCTGGGGCGGCCAGCACCTGGCCAACGCGCTCAAGTACTCCAGCGCATTCCCGGTCATAATCCTCAGTGCCCTACAGCGCGGCTACGACCCCGCCTCTTTCGGCATGTCCGAGGCCGGCCTTTTCCGCCTCTGGCTCGCAGCGGTCTTAGTGAACTCGTTCTACTCATTCTACTGGGACGTCGCAAAGGATTGGGACCTTACGCTGTTTTCCTCCGAGCGGAGCAACCCCGAGCATCCGTGGGGCCTGCGTCACCAACGTTGGTTCCATGCCCCGCAGATGTACTACACGGTGGTCGTTGTGGACTTCTTCCTTAGGTGCACCTGGAGCATCAAGCTTAGCCCGCATCTGGACCATTTCAACGATCTCGAGGGTGGCATTTTCGTGATGCAACTTTTGGAGGTTTTTAGGAGATGGGTCTGGATCTTCTTCAGAGTAGAAACCGAGTGGAGTAAGTCCGCCGAATCAGCCCGCTCTTATTCGCTGTTGCTAATTTGCAAACCAGCCCGTAATAATCGCGGCCCAGCGCCTGACGACATCCTTCTCAGTGACTTCCACCATCACAATGGCCACAAGTTCGACGACGACGATTGATTTCTGGGCCGCCATGTTTTGTTCTTGTATGTATGTACGTGTGGAGGATGGGAGGATCGCGCCGGTACTTGAGGCGCCTGTATTCTTTTCTTAATTGGAGGCGTTCTGTATGCTGTTGTGATACCAAGGAGCAAAGGCCTCAAGGATTTCGGCCACTTGACCAAACTGAGCTGGCACCATGGTGGGTTACGCAAAGGGTTCCCCATCCCGACATATCCTCTTGCGCATATAGGCTCGTTCTATGAGCAACCGAGCAAACGCCAGGACGCAGATGCAGATCTGAGTTTACGCAAGAGTCATCAAACATCGGTCTCGACTACCAATGTACGTAGAGCGCAGTATCCAACGGAGTACGGTTGCGAAGGATGTATTTTTGTAAACCCTGTAGACCCGTCGCGAAAGATCGCTGGTTAGTAGACACGGAATTGGATGTTCATATGCAGACATCGCCTTGTGCCCGTCCTTTTGTTATTTCACACTCTATACTTTCGGAAAGCAGTGAAGATTGAATAAGATTATTTCCCCGAAATCGACGGTGCCCACTGAACTCCCTGGTCCCAGAAGAAAGATATAGCAAAAAGAAAAGAGAAATAAAGCTCAAAGGTGAGGGCCTTCCCCTCAACTTCGGAAAAAGAAAGGAGGCGGCGCACTTCTGGTGCGCCCTACCTGAACGGAGCGCGCATGACCGCTCAAGACTCTGCCCATTATCACACACAGCAGAGTTCGCTCCCCATCCTTCTCCTGCTTTAGGGTATCCAGATTCACGTACTCCCCGTCTCTTCGTCCTCAGTCCTCCAGTACGCGCACGTTTTGCCTCCTCTCGCTCCCATTCCTTGACATGTTCGGCGCCGGCAAGCGTTCACTGTGTGGCATGTCCAAGGTCTAGTTTGCCGTCATCTAGAAGAACAGGCGCAGAAGCTCGAAGAGAACTCCTCCGCAGAGGATGAAGGCGAGGACAGCTGGATGAAGAGGCACCGAGTCAGAAACAATTACCCGTGCTCGAAGCCCGCGCTTCTGGGGAGAGCGCAGGTGCGAGTGGGTTCGAGGTGCTCACGTACCGATCCAGCCCGTGCTGATCGGGCTCTTCTGCACTTCCTGCTTCTTCACGGTCGCCTGCGGCTTGCCGCGCTTGGACGCCTCGGACTTGGCGAAGCGCTCGTTGGCGAGACGCTGCTGCGGGGTTTGGGCCTGGCACGAGGGGCGGACGTCAGCTTCTGGAAGAGAGCAGTGGTCGAGGGAAGGGGGAGCGCGCGTTTGAGGGGGGATTGTTGGACAAAGACCGGGGAGCATTGCGCCATTGTGTCCACGGAGGCTGGGAGTCAACTGCATGTTTGTGCCTACCATTGTTGGTGGAGAGGGGCGGTGGAGAGCTGAGGGTGAGTTGCTCTAGTGCGAAGGGTTGCGGCGGGAGCGCGGAGGTGGTCTCGAGAGGAGCCGGCTGCGCGCGTTTCCAAGCACGGTTGGGAACGTCTGGAGGATCGACGGTTCAGGGCGAGAGGTGTATAGGGCGTGTCGTCGAAGCTTGCAACGAAGGCAACGGCCGTGGTTGTTGCTCAATGTGGCTACGTGGGTCTCAGATGCGGAGGGAGGATGGCGAGCTTCAATCCCGCGCCGCGCAACGAACCATTTTTATTACAGCTCCGCCAAAGACCACGTTGCCTGACCCCCCTCTCCGCCGGCATCAACACCGCCAACGTCGCCTGTCATCGAGGAGTCATATTCTGCAATCCTGAGGTTGCCTGGACCGACGCCATGATCGGCACTGCCGTGTCGCGCGTGGCCAGCCTGTCGCCGCCGCTGCTGCCCCATCGCACCACCTCCGCTCTCGCCGCCGCCGCCGCCAGCAGGACCCCGTGGCCATTGGGCCTCAGAGCAGGCAGGCGCTCTTCATCGTACCAGCCACCGACCCCGCCCAAGCAGGAGAAGTCCTCCACGTATGCGAATGCGCAAGTAAGCTCGGCCTTCGCTTTGCTTCCACGCTCGCACAGACGCCGAACACCGCGCCATGGATCCATGTCTCTACTTCCGTTGCCATGTGCATCCAACGAGTCAATGGGGAATACGTCGATACCGGTTCCGCGCTGACGTGTCTGCGTGCAGAGAGCTTTCTACCGCGACTTTGGCGCTCCTGTCGCAAAGGTCTTCCTCGGCGCGCTCGTCACCTATCAGGTGTTATACTGGGGCTGGCTGAAGCTTGAGACATTGGAGACCAAAGAAGAGAAAACCGGTGCGTAGCCTGCCATGCGACGAGTGTATCTCCGGGCGACCGAGTCCCTGGTCGCTTTCACAGGGCAATGAAAAATCAGAACTGATTTGCAACTTGGGGAAAATGCAGCGGAAATGGCGTCGCTGGAGGCGCAGGTCAGGAAGGCTGCCGGCGCGAAGAAGGACGGCAAGTGAGCTATCTGATAGCTCGTCCATTGCCAACGTCGAGTCTGCACTGCCGTGGTGTAGGCGCTCCCGACGGAGCACGCCGCTTCAAGTGCTTCCGACCCGTCGAGGGAGGAAAGAAGGAAATGGGGATCGGTCAAAGAGCTCTTGAACGCTAGAAGGCTTCCGGTTCCATGCGTCATGTGTCCGTGATCATTTATTGGTGATGCGGTAAATTCTAACAACCACTATGGCTACTCTTCAATAGAATTGCAGGCACCGAGCACAGCCTGTGGTTTTTTTTTTTTTTTTTCGAACGCCACATGAAGCGCGAGGCCAATTACATAGCGCCTCCGTATCTCGAAACTATGTAGGGTATCAGTTTGCAAAATATTAGCATTGCTGCACTTCCGACTTTGAAGTTCCCCAAGACTGCACGATTAGCAGAGGGCTGGTCAGGGGGTTTCATCATATATTACAGCGCTATTCGGCTTCTATCATGCGATTGTCGAGTCCATGCCTTTGGTGCGCGAACCTCTCCACGAGAAAAACGCCGGCCGCAATATAGCTGGTCATAGCAAGGACATGCGTCACACAAGCACCCTTAGAGTTTCTGGTACTCCAGCTTGCCCTCCAGCTTCTTCGTCTCAGCCATTTTCCGCACCGCCTTGTTGAAATCGTCTTGGTTGATGGCATCGCGGTAGTCCTTGATGGCGAACAGGCCACTGTATCCATGTCAGTGACGGCATGCGCGGCATGCGGTAAAGGCAGTACTTACGCTTCAGTGACCACGTTCCGCAAGTCAGCACCGTTGAAGCCGTCACTCATCTTCACAATGCTCTCGAAGTCGATCTCTCCCTCCGACTGCACGCTGGCGGCGTGGATCTTCATGATTTCCAAGCGACCAACCTCGTTGGGCAGAGCAATCTCGATCTTCCTGTCCAGACGTCCGGCGCGCAGAAGCGCAGGATCCAAAGTGTCAGGCCGGTTGGTGGCCATGATGATCTTGGTTTTGCCGAGGTAATCGAAACCGTCCAGCTGGTTGAGCAGCTCCATCAACGTCCGCTGGATCTCGCGATCTGCCGATGTACCCTCCGAGAACCTCCTGCCACCGATGGCGTCGATTTCATCCATGAAGATGATGCAGGGCTCGTGCTCCTTGGCGTAACCAAACATCTCACGGATGAGACGGGCGGACTCGCCAATGTACTTGTCGACGATTGCGGACGAAACGACTGCCAATCTGTTAGCCACTGCCATCTCTAGCGCGGACGATTCCGACTCACCCTTCAAGAAGTTCGTCTCCAGACTGCTCGCCACCGCACGCGCCAGAAGCGTCTTGCCCGTGCCGGGGGGGCCGTAGAGCAAGACACCCTTGGGCGGCTTGATGCCTACGCGGAGGAAGAGCTCGGGGTTCTTCAGCGGGAGCTCGATGACTTCGCGCAGCTCTCTGATCTGCTCGTTCAAGCCACCGATGCCACCAAAGCTAACCTGGCCGGGGTCCTCCAACGACATGTTGTAGACGAGCGGATCAACCTCGCGAGGGAGCATGCGCATGATTGTCAGGGTCGTCATGTCCAGCGCAACGCGGGTTCCCTGTTTGAGCTTGGCCTTGTCGACCTTTGACCGGCAGCCGACGACATAACGCGGACCGGACGACGCCTTGACGATGACTGCGTCCCGTTAGCAGAGAGCGGCGGGAAGCATCGGGAGGCGGCGGGGGGCGGCGGGAAGCGCACATCTCTCTTCATCCAGCTGCTTCAGCACCTCTCCTATTATCTGGCCGACGCTCTGCAGGGCCTTGATGTTCTCCTCGGACACGTCGTAGTCGCGCTGCAGGCCCTTGATCTCGAGCCGCAGGGCCTTGAGCTTGGCCTCCCACTCTCTCGACTCCAGCAGCTTGGCCTTGTACTCGTCCAGGGCGTGCTCGCGCTCGGGGTCCAAACCGGTGCCGCTCATGATGGGAGGCGGGTGGGCGGGCTCGGCGGAGCAGAGTCGGGTGGGCGGCTGGGGTGACAAATTCGCGCAACGGACGGTGGGCCTGCGGCGATGCACAGGGCGAGGCGGCGCGGATGGGCGGGGCGTGCAAGGTGTGCAGGGCGTGCAGGGCGTGCAGGGCGTGATGGAGGAACGGGTGGGCAAGGTATGGTGTCGAGCTAGGTGCCGCGCCAGCTACGACACAGCTCCAGCCGCGCCGGCTGCCGCTAGCTGGCACCTCAGGCCGGCCGGCGCCCGGGGCAGCGTTTCACCGGGTATCACGTGAGGAGGATCGATCCGCTGGCGCTGGGGTGGCCCGGGCACTGGGTGGCGCTGCCGGCCCTAGGGTTCGATGGGATGATGCGGCGAATGAGGCGATGGTCCCAGCTCCGTTTTTGGCGTGGAGGGGCTGCACACCTTTTCTGCGCAACCCCGCCAACCCTCAACGCTTTCCGTCCTCCTCACCACTGCGCTGCTGCATCCATCACCAAGCATCCTCCGCCATCCGCCACCGCTCCAGGTAAGCCAATCCGCCCCTTGCCGCCCCAAACTCCACGCCGCTCCGCTGGGACGCCAGTCGGATGAGCATCTGGCTACCCAACCCGTGCGCCGGAGCTCAGCGCTATCGGCAGAGGGACCGCTTTTCTCGACACAGAGTTTGTCTGAACATCTGACATCACGCGGAATGTCATCCCTGATAGCGATTTAAATTACTCGCCGCGGCTGCCTGCCGTCTATATAGCCTGCCTGCCCGCCGCCGCTGGCCCTTGATCGTCACCCTCCGCTGACTGCACCCCTCACCCTCCAGAACCATGGCCATCACCAAGATCCACGCCCGCTCCGTCTACGACTCTCGCGGTAACCCCACCGTCGAGGTCGACATCGTGACCGAGACTGGCCTCCACCGCGCCATCGTCCCCTCGGGTGCCTCCACTGGTATGCTTCCCGCCGCCCGGTTCCGGGGCTCCGGAGACGCTGTTGTTGACAGGTGACACTAGGCTCCCACGAGGCTTGCGAGCTCCGTGACGGCGACAAGTCCAAGTGGGGCGGCAAGGGTATGTATCCCCAACCCTGTACCCGATGCAATGGCTGACGTTTCTGTCCCAGGTGTCACCAAGGCCGTTGCCAACGTCAACGATGTCATTGCCCCTGCGCTGATCAAGGAGGGCATCGACGTCAAGGACCAGTCCAAGGTCGACAAGTTCCTCATCGACCTTGATGGCACTCCCAACAAGACCAAGCTCGGTGCCAATGCCATCCTCGGTGTCTCCATGGCCGTTGCCAAGGCCGCCGCCGCCGAGAAGGGTGTCCCGCTCTACGCCCACATCTCCGACCTTGCTGGCACCAAGAAGCCCTACGTCCTGCCCGTCCCCTTCCAGAACGTCCTGAACGGCGGCTCCCACGCCGGTGGCCGTCTCGCTTTCCAGGAGTTCATGATCGTCCCCAGGTGCGTTTTCCCCCCACCCCCCCTTTCCCCCCAGCGTAGCATTGGCTGACCATGTCCAGCGAGGCTCCCACCTTCACCGAGGCCATGCGCCAGGGCTCTGAGGTCTACCAGCAGCTGAAGTCCCTCGCCAAGAAGAAGTACGGCCAGTCTGCCGGCAACGTCGGCGACGAGGGTGGTGTTGCCCCCGACATCCAGACCCCCGAGGAGGCTCTCGACCTGATCTCCGACGCCATTGAGAAGGCTGGCTACACCGGCCAGATCAAGATTGCCATGGACGTCGCTTCCAGCGAGTTCTACAAGACTGACGCCAAGAAGTACGATCTGGACTTCAAGAACCCCGACAGCGACCCTAGCAAGTGGCTCACCTACGAGCAGCTTGCGGACCTGTACAAGGCTCTTGCTCAGAAGTACCCCATCGTCTCGATTGAGGACCCCTTCGCTGAGGATGACTGGGAGGCGTGGAGCTACTTCTTCAAGACCTCTGACTTCCAGATCGTCGGTGATGATCTGACCGTCACCAACCCCACTTTCATCAAGAAGGCCATCGACCAGAAGGCTTGCAACGCCCTTCTCCTGAAGGTCAACCAGATCGGTACCATCACCGAGGCCGTCCAGGCCGCCAAGGACTCTTTCGCTGCCGGCTGGGGCGTCATGGTCTCCCACCGTTCCGGTGAGACCGAGGATGTCACCATTGCCGACATCGTCGTCGGTCTCCGCACCGGCCAGATCAAGACGGGTGCTCCCGCCCGCTCCGAGCGTCTCGCCAAGCTCAACCAAATCCTCCGCATCGAGGAGGAGCTTGGCAGCCAGGCCGTGTACGCTGGCAAGAACTTCCGCACTGCCGTCAACTTGTAAATGCGAAGCATAGGGTTACGAATTTCCTAGTAGCAACGAGCTGAAAAGAAAAAGATACTTGAACAATGATACTCCCAATTACTTTCAGACAAATCAAAATCTCCAAACGTGGTTTCTATTCGCTGGGTGTCGTTTGCTGGCCGGAACCTGCCATAGAGCATTCCAACAGGAGGCGCAGTGAATGCGGTTACGGTGCCAACACTCATCAAAGCTCTCATTTAGTGTCCCACGGGCGAGATTGTCCTGCAGCCGACCAGCCCGTCGCTGTTCCCCCCACCCTCCAAACTGTTGGGCCTGTTGCATCCGATTCGTACAGTCGATAATGGCTTTGGCAGCACCGTTTGCACTACGGCGTCTGCTAGGAACCTTCTTTGTTACCACAGTAGTATCATCACGGCTGGAATGCTTGGCTAAGAAAACGGATTTTAAATTGAGAAGCCAAGCGGCAAAGAAATCGCGTTCGTCGAGTCAGATGGGCAATGCTAAGCTTCCAGGCTTGGTAGCGAAGAATTCAGCTGAGATAAAAACCTCCCTTCCAAACAGATGGCTAAACATTTGGTTCTCACTGCCCCGAATAGCGTGACGGCGAAGACATGAGAATCCTGACGAGCAACATCCTGGAACCTTGCCCTCCAAGGTTTCTCCGTCGATTTTCCCATCTGGAAGACGCTACATTCTTTTTGATCTGTTCCAGGCGTGAAGTCTTGGTTGTGGAACACCAGGTTATTACCAAGACAAAAACATTCCAACCTCAGTCAACAACCGAAAGCGATTATATATCATCCGTTCTTACGGTCTCTACCAGCTCGAATCTACTCTCCTTGCTGACTTTTGCATTTTGTTGCTACCATCGATCGTTACGAACCCAATTGTCGCTCGCTCCAACAGAACCTTCTTTCCCTCATTAATACTCGACGTATTCTAATAACTGCTTGCGATCGCCTCTCTGTTCCACCACGCCAAGTTCCCAAAAAAAAAAAAAACATGAAGGCAGCAGCGCTTGCTGTTCTGGCGGCAGGAGTCGGCGTATCGGCACAGAGCTCAGCCCCTGGGGGGTTAGGAGCACCCAGCTATATCACCGTCGTTAGCTACGAGCCATGCGTTACTCCATCGACGACGCCACCACCACCACCACCTGTCGTCACGGAAGTTTTGACAACGTGCACCGAAAAAGGCGCCAGCAGCACTCCTTTGCCAACAATCCACACCACCATCTACACTACCACCTATGTCACGGTGTGCCCCACAGGCGGCCTGACCTCAACAGCTTACACTGTCACCGAGACCTACACCGGCAGCGCTCGGCCGGCAGCAACAACCACCGGGTCGATCCCACCTGGCTTTACAACCACCGTAACCGTCTGCGGATCGTGCGGATCTGATGGCGGCCCGGCCACTGTGACTCTCACCGTTCCGTGCTCGACCAGCGCGGCCCCACCTACAAGCGGGTCATCCGACCTGACCATCTTGCCGCCCTCCGGTTCCGGCACACCCGTCACGTCCTCGCTCACTGGCTCTCCCGGTCCCGGCCCGGGCTCATCGGGCAGCACCGGCACCGCCAACCCGGTGACCGGCTCGCCAGCCACTTCGGTCGGCCCATCCTCCGTGCTGGACACAACTGTTGTTGTCACCGTCTGCCCTGGAACCATGTCCTCCGGTGGCGTGTGCACACATTCGACTTCGATCATCACCGGGTCGCCCAGCGCCAGCGCCAGTGGAGGCATCCCGACGACGACCATCGCCACTTGCCCCGGGGGAGGAGTCTGCTCCCACTCGACGCCGGTGCCGTCCGGCTCGCCATCGGCTTCGGGACTCCCTGCAGCGTCAAGCTCTCTGCCGCAACCCGCGACGGATGCGGCGGCAGGACTCGAACGGCCTGGCTTGATTGGCTTGCTGGGCAGCGTGGCTGGCGGTGCGCTGTTGGTTTTGTTGTTGTTGTAGCGCCACGGGCGAGGTATTGTTCAGCTCATTTTCCCTTCTTTTTCCCCGGGGGTTCTTCCCATCGGGTCGTCTGGACGGCGTCTAGGAGGAACCTGTCGCGCAGTTTGGCCATCCCTATCGAGTCTTTCTTGTTTTTGCCTGTCTCTTGGCACTTTTACATTTTGAGCATCGTATTGATACTTCATTCAATCCTTTCGACTCCTTTTTTTGGGGGGAGGACTTTCTCTTCGGAAAATACATTTTTATATCATTCTCTACACTCCCTTCTTATGCGGAGCTTGTGCTCAAGGATCAACGGAAGGGAAACATTTTGTGCGATGCCGATATTTTGACAGAGAGCGCTGAGACGCAGAAATCACGAACGGTGGCGTTTGAGATGTGGCGGCGTGCGATCTTAATGAAGCGGTGGGGGAATGGATGACGTCGGCAAGTTGCAGTGGAGCAGTGCCGCTTGAGGGGGAGCGTATGAGCTGGAGTGATAGCTAGGGACCGAACAATCGATACACATTGAATCAAAAGTCACGAGCTTTGCAAGGCGCTCTTTTCGATTCGCTTTCATGCGTGGTAACGAGCCCATCCAAAATAGCAAAGATGAAGCTTGTCTGACACATGTGTTGCTTTCTGCCATCCGTCCAGTGAAGACAATGCCATTGTTTGAGTATGCCCTACCAGATCCAGCCTCTTTGTCCCATCCATGCGACAAAGCGATGAAACAGCGCTGTTCTCACAATTCTTTGTTCTTACTCGAACCGACCTTTGTTCTGGCTCCTGAGTGGACAATGTCGACGCTGTGCATGTATAAGATGCTTCTACCGGTGCTGCTTTATGTTAGCGCTAGGCATATACATTTTCGCATTACTCCTCGCGCTGTCGCTGTTCTCCTCGATTGCACTCGCAATACCTAAAACAACCTTACTGGGTAAGACACGGCATCTCAGCAGATCGGAGACGAAACGAAGACTTTACATCATCAAAGCATAAGAGCTGTCGGACGATTCAAAACAAGGCATAGTCTTTCTTGACAGAAGAAACCACAGGGCGATCACTTTCATCTCACAGGCACCACCATGAAGGAAACCATGCGCTCGACGCTCCGCAACCACGAGAGGCAGACGAGGCAGCAGTCGCGCCCGCGCGAGCCTTTCACCAACACGACTCCATCGGCGGCGCAGCCATCAACACCTTCATCGTCATCGTTCGGATCGCGATCTCCGTGCAGCAGTCCGGCTACGGCGGCCACAGTGCACCGCAAACCTGTCAAGAGCAGCGGCAACAGCAGCTGCCATGACGCACCGGTACAGGAGAAAGCTAGGAGGGAGAAGAAAGGGTTGGTCACCATGTATAGAGACGCACCGCCGAGCGATGGGGAGATGCTCGGGGCGGTGGTCAAGGAGGGATGGAAAGGGTGGCAGGAGAAGAGGAGAAAGGAGGCGGCGCGGGAGAGGCCGGATTTGAAGGGGGGCGAGCACGAGAAAGGTCGTCAGCCGCGGCAACCTCCTGCTGCTGCTTTTGCTTCCTCCTCGCGCCCGAGTTCCCGACCTGCTACTCGCCACGGAGGTGCTTCCACTCATGGATATACCAAGCATACCGCGCACGAGCACGACAGCACGAAGCCTGACGACCTCGATGTCCTCGTCTCCAAGGTTGCGGACAAGCTGTCGCACTGGAGCAAGGGGGTTTCCGAGCGCTCTGCGGAGGCGAAGGAGAAGAGGATGGAGGAGCGTCAGCGCAAGGAGCGTGAGGCGCTGAAAAAGACCATATCATCCCCCAGACCCGCCGAAACAAGCAGTGGAAGGCCGAGCTTTGGCAGTGACGGTAGTGTCCGCCCGCTTATGGGCGCCGACAAGACTGGAGGGTCGATGGCGGAGCGTATGGCAAATCGTGGCGGCAGCGACTTCGAGATCCCGTTCTGGCCGCGGCCGCGAGGTAAGAAGGACAATTCCACGGCGTCGAGCGCCACGGGGTCGCCCCAGCACAGATCACGGCACGGCGACGGGTGCGACGAAGGCGTCACGCGGGTTGGGGATTCCATCGAGTCGGAGCTGGGGTCGGCGCCTTGGAACCAACATGTCACCAAGTCCAGTCCATTTTCCTCGCCGCACAGCAGCAGAAGCTCGTCGGACAAGCAGCGGTCCGAGTCGGGGTCCGGATCGCCCTCGGGCAGGCTTTTTGGCAGGTTCGTCCCTTCTCCCACGACTCTGTTCGGCGGTGGTGGCCAAAGCCATCCGCCGAGGCCTCCGCGGCGCGGTTCTGACGACAGCTTCTTTGGGTGTCAGGGCATCTCGGTCGAGGAAGCGAAGGCCGCGCAGCATCTTGTGCAGCAGGACGAACACGGTGAGGGGCACATCAAGCGGCTCGACTTGCGCACGCCGCCCACTGGCGGGCACCGGCGTCGTGATGGGGGCGGCGGGGCTGAGGACGGTGACGATGGCCGTAAGCGTGCAGCGCTGGTTACGAATGATGGCGCGGGGCGCGTGTCACCGGTGGTGAGAAACGCGCAGCACCGGCCGCTGGTGTCGGACCAGGGCGTGGATAGACGTAGCGTCGCGGCGGAGCTGGTCGGCCAGCGTCAGCGGCGCAACGGCGGCGATGACGATGCGCGCGGGCCTGGGTGCGACGACCGCGGCGTCTCCTGGTGGGATCCGCCAGCTCAGTCGAGCGATGGCAGGCGGCGGGCCGGGACGCGGGAGGCCAGAGAGGGCAGGGGAGAGGCGGGGACCGAGTGCACGAAGTACTGGACGGGATACAGGGAGAAGTTGAGGGCCTCTGGCTGGGAGGACGGCAAGCCGTTCTGAGAGATATACGTACCTATAGTGAATCGAAGTAAGTCATTGAACTGAATTTGAACCGAGTTTGAAATGCAGGCAAGTCGAGACGACGGCAGGCATGGGTTCGCACGTCATGCGAAAGCATGCAGGAACGGCTGCCGTGCGGTGTTGCCACGAGAGCAGCTCGTAAGCTCGCGAGAGACTGCCGAGAATAGCAGCGGCGACGCGCCTGCCACGGCGCCCAAGGCAAATCAATGCCGGCCAGCGGAGCAGCAGCAGGGCCCCAGCAGGGCAGCCGCGAGGGCTCGCGCGCGATCTGCACTCCCGCCGTGATTCGACGCGCAGGCCGACGCGCGGGCCAGGGTGTGCGTTAGCGCCTGCGCGCGCCGGCCAATCGCAGCCCGCAGCGCCCCTGCTGTGTGCCGGGCGTGTGCACCTCGACCGCGACCTCAGCGCTACACCCGGCGCCTTAATTGGACCTCAGCACGCCGGGCGCTTACACACAATGGCCGCCGCGAAGAGCTGCCAGCGCGCGCCCTCGAGCCGGCACCGCGCTGTCCGCTGCTCCTGCTCCTGCACTCCCTCGCCCGCCAGCTCCTCATATCGTCCGCCGCTCCCGCTCGTCGCTGCTGTTGCTGCAGAACGCCCGTCCTGACCGCCGCCGCCGCCGCCGCCGCTGCTGCTGCTGACCACCACCACTGACGCGCGAGCTAGCCCGCCGACTCAAGTCTGGGGTACGCGAATCCGCCACTGCTCTAGAAGCACGCTTGCTAACGGCGCCTGCAGCCCATCGATCCCGGCGTCTATTTCTGGACCTCAGCACCCGCAGCTGCGCCTATCAGCTCGCGCAGCACCCACGGCGCCAGCCCGCCTACTTGAGCCTGTAAGTGCCCGCCGCCCGTCCCGGCGCCCTCTCTCTCCACCTCGAAGCGCTCGACTCCCGCCGTCCAATCTGCGCGCTGCCTCGCGAGGCGCCCGCCCAGACAAAAGGCCGCGAGCCCTCGTCCACCCTGCCCTTTTCTTCACCTCTCTTCTCCGGCAGCTGGCCTTCCCGTTCTTCCCTCCGTCTCTCCTTTGCCGCCGCCTTGAGCTTCGTGAAGCGGGTCCGATCGAAGCTCGACGCTGCTTTTCCTTCTGCATACGCATGCCCCTCTCACGTCATCCCCGCTCCTGTCGCATCCGAGAGACATGTCAGCCAACGACAAACCCATCCCCACAGTGACCATCACAACCGGTCGTCGCCCCTCGACCGACTCGTTCGCCACCTCGCTCAAGACGCCCCGGACCGCCCGCTTTGCTGAAGCCACCTCCGTGCACTCGCCTCTCGAGCCCACCCGCTCGCCCTTCTCCGACCCTCCCACAAACCACTACGCCCCCCAGCCTCAGCCCGCCGACGTTGGCTTCGGCTACCTGAACAACCGCGCCTCGGGCCACGACTCCACCACCGGCGTCGAGATGGAGGAGACCGACAGGCGGTACCTGCCCCCGCCCACCCCCAAGAGCCCCCTCAAGAGCGCCCTCAAGTCGCCCGGTGCCCCCCCGCGCAATTTCGAGAGCGTTCTGAGCCCCACCTTCCGAGAGGAGCAGGTTCTGGAGAAGCACGAGGAGGATACCGAGCAGGAGCAACAGAAGGACCTTGTAAGCCCGGCTTCGCTCCACTTCAACCTCAATCTTCTAACCCACCCCCCCAGAAAATCAAGTTTCGCGTGCGCGTTGCCAAGCTCTTCCTTCGCGGCATCAACTTCAGCTGCAGTCTCATCGTCCTCTCCATGCTTGCCGCCACCTTCTCCATCTTCAATGCCACAAAGCACCTGCCCGCTCGCAGCAACCTGCCCCCTTGGGCCGAGGGCACCAAGACCTGGCCCCAGATTCTCCTGCTCGTCATCGCATGCATTTCGCTCTTCATGTCCATCATCATCCTCGCCGCCTACTGGAGAGGTGGCCACCGGAGAGCGGAGAAGGTCGCCGTCTACTACACCGTCTTCGCCGTCGCCTTCTTCATCTTCAGCATAGTCATGTGGGCGATTGGTGCTGCCGTGCTGAACTCGAGCAAGGTCAATGGCGGGGGACAGGATATGTGGGGCTGGGCGTGCAAGGATAACAAGCGCCGCGAGCTCTTTGAGGCCGAGGTCCAGTACGCTCTTGTGTGCAGACTTCAGGTAAGTTTTCGTCCCTCTCTACTCGGCGATGCCCGCTCTAACATGCCCAGGACTGGTCCCTTGTCTGCTGCATCATCGAGGTTGTCATCGAGACCCTGACCATCATCGTTTACGGCATTGTTTTCTACCGCTTCTGGTCCAAGCGCAAGCTTCGGAAGTCGATGGCGGTCCGTGACCGTGCCCGTTCTGATCTTTACCTTGCCCAGCTTCGCTCGCAGTCTGCGCCCAACACCCCTGGCTTCGGTCCGCCTCCCCTCACTCCCGGGGACGGCTGGAAGGCTCCGCCGGGCCATCCGCGCTACGTCGACCCTCTCTCAGCAGCCGAGAACGGCCATGTTGCTCCCCATGAGAGCCAGGAGAGCGTTCAGTACCCGCGCGGCTTCGCAGAGCCCAAGCCATTCCAGTTGCAGCCGCCGCCGATCCGCGTCACGGGCGCTACCCCGAAGATGCAACAGAACGGCTTCGACGATGCACCCGCCTTTCCCCAGGCCCACGGCGCAGATGTCAGTCCGCCCTCCAGCAGACACCCCAGCCCGCCCAACGACGCCAGCTATCGCCAGCCCTCACCACCCCAGCCCATGAGCCCCGGCTTCGCTCCTACCCAGCATCAAGAACGCATTCAGGAGCACGTGCCCGCCGCCCCGGGTGAGCAGCAATACGACGCTGTGCCCATCCCTGGCGCATACGGCTCGCCCATGACCAGCCCCAACTACCCTCCGCCGCAGCAACAGCACGGCTTCGATTTCGGGCTTCAGCAGCAACATCGCCAATAATTTGTTTTTTCTTCTCGATATCCTCAGATCTGACATTTCCACCTGTACATCTGACATAAATGGGCTTTTTACCGGAAAGAAGCGGAGCGATCCCCACTTATTCACGCATTCTCGTCTCTCGTTATCTGATTGAGATATCCTGGCACAACGCCGTGTCTTGCGCATCGCAGTGTTGTTTCGAATCTTTGGTCAGGTCCAGATTTTCAACTTTTTTTCCTTTTCAGTTGCTTCCGGAAGACATCTAGTGGGTTTGATACCTCGGGCAGGGTGGAGTTTTTTCTTTTGATCGACATGTTAGGTCGAATATGCGGGCGTAGAAAGTCTGTCGCTGATACCTCAACTTATGCGTTGACTGTCTGCTTTTGTGATAGGAGTCAAGTGTGTGTGTCCGCCCGATGGCGGACGTAAAAATTGACTGGGGAAGAAGCAAAGAAGTATAATGCAAGGAAAGAACGGATTCCAAGTTTCGTAAATGACTCCTTCATACACCCTGTGATATAGCACTTAACATGTGACGTGAACCTGACCAGCACAAGGCCTTGTTTTCCTTTCCGGCAAACGATCCCAAAGACCCTCCTGGTACGCTCACCATCTCCAAGTTGTAAAGGGAGGCAGTGGTCTGGGGAACAGGTGCCTACATCAGCTCAGTTCCAGACTGAATGAGATTAGGAGCGAGAACAAACAAAGACATTCGCAGGAGATTGGCAAACCAAAAAAGAAGAAAGGGGTTCCTGTGCTTCGTAATGGAGGCTACGTTCTCCCTACGTATATAGTATGGTATCTTTGTAGTTGAATAGATCGCATAGATATTGTATTTATGCTATCTACTAGTCTTTTATAGACCTGGATGCTGATTGCGGGCTTATTTACCTGTATTCCACTGGAAGTTTACCTGCGTTCGGCTTGATATTTAACGTCTGTGGGATAAATGTAGGCGGGCTTAACTACTCTATATCCCGCTATGGCCTTTTATTTACATAAGACCCGTGATAATACTATATTTAGTAAGAGCCTTTTTATAAGTTTACATTTTAACCGAATGAGAGGAAAGCGGATAAGCGTTAATAGTACTGCTATTTAAGGTATTACTCGAACCCACCACCGGTAGTACTAGAAAGAATGTTGGCGTGATTCTCGTATATAATGTTTTATATTCTAGCAGGCTTATAAAATAAGTTCTTGCGCTTAAATTAAACCGACCTTTACTAACACCGTCTTCCTCACCCGCGCATATAATTAAGTCCTACCACCTCTTCAACATAAACCCCGTCACGCCCGAGATGTCAGGTAAAGCACTCGAGGTGTCCAAGATGCCCTCGCAGCAGCAGTAGCAGCAGCAGGATTAGGCGGAGCCTAACACGGGCTCACAGTGCAGGCTTGGTAGAGAGAGAGAGCAGTTTCTCGCGTTCTCTGCGTAGCAATGCATTGTAAGTAACCTTACCCTCTCGTGAAGATTTTCACTGATTATTGCCTAGTGGCGCAAGTGGGGAGGATGGCATCAAGGGCTCGCCGTCATCGCAGGATTCGTTGGTCTCGAGGGATGAGTACGACATGCTCCAGACAGAGATTGACGTTTTGAGGGATGGCGTCCGTACGGTGGAGGGCAAGCTAGAGAAGTTATCCGAACATCTAGGCATTGAGGACATGAACTCGGAATTGAGGGGCTGCATGGGGCATTTTAAACACATTACGGTAGATAGAGGTTCGGTCGCCAAGATTCATGTTCTTAAATACAGATATGATATAGCTCTTCAAGCCAAGCCAACTTACTGGTGTCGAGAGATTGAAGGAAATAATGAGAGAAAGTTGAAACATGAGCACTTTTAATCTCATATTCGAGGCTTCGTTCCATCGTATTACATCTCTCGTTCTGGCCCCTTCTCCATTAGCACCCTTTTGTAGTCCTTGCGTTGGGTTCCATCCAGTCAGTCGAACAAGGTCTCTACACTCGGAAAAGACCCAAGAAGAACCTCGATGCCTTTGCGTACCCTTTCCCTTCGAAAAGGAGAAAGACGACGAAGAAGTGGATCGACTTACCTCACACGCCAGGTCCAAGCCCTCGGCCAAGCCGATTCTGGGGACGTACCCGAGCAGGCGCCTCGCCCGCTCGCCGCTCGCATACCTCACGCCCACAGCGTCCTCGACGGCGCCCCTCGACAGGCTGAAGTGCGGGCCTCGCCACAGACCGCCGCCGCCCAGTGCCCAGGAGACGGCGTCGGCGACGCTGCCCAGCGCCCTGGCGGCGGGAACGGGCACGCGCACCTCGAGGGGCGGGTGGTGCCCGAAGCGCGCCCACACGGCGCGGCAGAAGTCGCGGAAGGGGATGGGCGAGGCGTTGGTGATGAAGATGGGCAGGCCGGCCGCCGAAGGGTCATCGCCGCCGCCGCCCGACGATACGGGCAACGGCTCTGGGGCGGTGGCCGCCAGCGCTGCCGCCAGCAAGAGATTTTGCACGGCGAGGACGTGGGCATCGGCGGCGTTGGTGACGTAGGTCACGTCGTAGAGATTGAAGCCGGAACCGAGGGTGACGGCAGTGGCGACGCGGGAGGCTATGAGGGCGTGGATGGGCGGGACGAGGTTGGTGTCGCCAGGGCCGAAGAGGACGGAGGGCCGGAGGGCGGTGGTGAGGAAAGGCTGCGCCGTGGATGGGCAGTTGGCGGCAAGGACGAGGTTTTCGGCGTGCGTCTGGAGCGGGAGGTCAGCGTCGTTGCGGATGCCGGGGTCTGGGATCAACGGTGGTGACAACCTTGGACTCGCCGTAAACCCACCTCTTCCTCGACGCGTCCTCGACTTGCTCGCTCGCGTTGGGCACCTCCCGGCTCAGATCGTCTCCCAGCACCGTGCTGCTGCTCGTATAGACGAATGCTCTCACGCTCCCGTACTCCATCGCCGCGTCCAAGACGTTCCGGGTGCCATCTACGTTCACCTCGAACACGTGCCTGCGATCCTGTTGGCTGTACCGGGACGGTCCGGACGGGACGATGCCGGCGCTGTGCACGACAGCGGTAGGGCGTGCGGCGGCGAATGCACGCCGTACAGCTTCTCGGTCGCGGATGTCGACCTGAGCATAGTGGACATTGGAGAGGTCAGGGGGCGACGTCGGAAGAGGGCTGACATCGATGACGGTGTATTCGTGGGAGGGATGCTGGGAGAGGAAGGCGGAGACGATATGCCGGCCGAGAAAGCCACAGCCGCCGGTGATGAGGATGTGCTGCTGCTCGCCGTCCATGGCTCTCAACTCCGATTTATTATTGAGAAAAAGCAGATTGGATGCGGGGATGCGCCCTGCAACACCATGACGTCATCCATCACGAACTGCCCACCGGCCACGTGCTCCCCCGAGAGGCACGGGACCTGGGCGGACAAGATGATGAGACGTGCCGGTGAAAGAGCGAGCGCTGGCGCGTGCCGGCGTGACGACCGAAAACTCTGCTCCGGCTTCGGCACCGGCCAGGACAAGCCAGTTCGCGCGTCGAAGATGAGGATAAACGGACATAGCGGTGCGCCCGCATCCCCGCGAACCCGCCGCTGCACACGCAGGACTGACGTATCTCCCGACCGCAGCACTCGTTGCCCCCCGCGTCCTGCTGGTCCCCTACAGCGCCCACCATGTGCCCACCTACCATGCGTGGATGCAAGACCCGGCCATCCGCGAGGCCACGGCGTCGGAGCCGCTCACGCTGGACGAGGAGTACGCCATGCAGCGCAGCTGGCGTGACGACGCCGACAAGCTGACCTTCATCGTCTGCATCGCGCCGCCGTCTCCCACTACTGAGATCCGTGCCAGGGTCCACGATGCCCCAGCCGCCATGATCGGCGACGTGAACCTCTTCCTCGTCCCGGACGACGACGACGACGACGAGGGAGATGACGGCCGACCTCTGGCCGTCGTCGGCGAGCTCGAGATCATGATCGCCTCGGCCACCCACCAGAACCGCGGCTACGGCGCCGCCGTCCTGTCCGCTTTCATGGCCTACATCCGCCGCCGCATCGACGGCATCCTGGCTGAGTACTGCACATCATCCACGGCCGGCCCGGGGGGAGCCCGTCTGAGCTACCTCCGCGTCAAGATCGCCGCCACCAACCATCCGAGCCTGCGCCTTTTCGAGAGGGCGGGATTCGTGCGCGTGAGCGAGACGCCCAATTTCTTTGGTGAGCTGGAGCTGCGGAGGGGTCTGGACGAGACCAAGGGGGACGAGGCCAAGGGGGCCGGAGCCGCCAACCCTGTAGAGCTGGGCTACGAACTTGCTGCCGAGTAGTGCTATAAGACTCGGCGCTTCTGAAACGACGTGCGAGCAGCAGCCAGGCAACAGTGGAGCGCGCAATCGATGAAGAGATTCGCTTGCATTTATTAAAGCTTGACTATCTTGGACAAAAGACAACTAGAACATGGCCAGGTGCCTGAACATTACATCCCATTGACCCAATCCTGTCCGTACGCATCCTCGTGTTCCCAATCGTACAAAACACCTCCCACGTGGCAGGCGCGTCATGACAAACACCGTGCCCTACCCCATTCACGGCCTCCAGAACTTCCAGCCTTCCCTGTATTCGGCGTTGCCCTCGCCGTCTGGCAGCTCCATGTTGACCCCGACCAACTTCTCGATGCCCGCGTTGCCTTCAGCCTCCAGGAACTTCTCCTGGTCGATTTCCTCGCCGCCCTCCTCTCCAGAAACGTTGTGCAGAACGGCCGGCCATAGCACGCCAACGCCGTCGCCTGCAAGCGTCGTCTCGAACTTTTCGAAGCCCTCGGCCACCAGCTTCTGCTCCAGATCGACAAGCGTCTTCGATTTCCTCCCTGCCTTCAGGTCGAGGCCGTCGGCAGCGCTGACCGAGTTGTGTCGCGAGACGGGCCGGCTGCTAATCTCGGGCTTGAGAATGGTGATGGCGCACCCACCACCGCCGGCACCCGTGAGCTTGGTCCATCCAATGCCCGCATGATCAATGAGTGCGCGGATGCGCTCCAGCTTCGGGTGCGACACGCCCAACGAGACCAGAAGCCCGTGGTTGATGGTGATCAGGTCGCCCAGATGCTGCAGCGCCGAGGGGTCCTTGGGGTCGAAATTCTCAGCAGAGATGAGCTGATGTGCGGATTCCGTCACATTGTTGATGGCGCTGAGCAACTGCTCGGCGATGACTGGGTGTGCGTTCTTGAGGGTTTGGACCTTGGCGACCTCGGTGGCCGTGCTGCGGGACTGTCGCGTGTTCACCAGGAGGAGGGGGAGCTCGGGGAAGTCGCGTAATGGGGTGACGGTTGGCGGCCTCGAGTAATCCGTCCTTTGAAACAGGACAGCCTTTCCGCCGCTGGAAACCGTGTTGTCCACGCCCGAGGGGTTTCCGTGGATGCACATCTCACCGACAAACGCCCATCTGTTGATGCGCTCGATCTGCAGCTCCGACTCCTGCGAGGGCTGGTCGGGGTGGGGGCCGCTGAGAGCCCGGATCTGAAGCATCAAAGCCGCTGCCAAGCATACTGCGATGCTCGCGCTGCTCCCCAAGCCCGCGCCAATGGGGATGGTGGAGCGGAGCGTGTAGATGCAGGGGGAAGACCTCTGCGAGCCCAGGGAGAGGAAGAGGTAGAGGAAGGCCGAGGCCGAGGCCTGGTGAATCTTGCGGATGTGCTCGGGCTGGTCGGGAGACACGGCCTTGATGTGCGGTTGGAGAGACTCGACGAGCTCGGGGTCGAGCGTGGTGACGAGATCGTAGTAGTACTTCTTCTTGTTGGGGGCGGAGAAGACGGCCCAGGGCAGGTCGTCGATGTTCCAGCTGTGGGCGAGGTCGATGTCGGGGAAGCGGAGCGAGACGGTGCGTTTCGACTTGGAGAGGAAGGTGACGAGCAGGTACGAGCGAAGGGAGATGGAGGCGGCGATTGCTGCCTGGGCGAGGGTCAGCGTTGGGCACGGCAGCGAGGGCGGGAGAGCTTCTGACCTTGCCGTGGACGACAGCATGCTCGCCGTAGACAATGACCTTGCCCGGGGCGGAGACCATGAAAGGAGGCATCAGCGGCGACGAGTTCTTGCGGCGGGGCAGCGGCCTTGCGCTGCCATTGACGGCGCCGTCGTTGGGGGGCGGGGAGGCCATGCTGGCGAGCGAGTTGGGGGTATGGACTTGGTTGGAGGCGGCCGACGAGGCGTCGCTGTCGGAGTCGGACGAGGGAGCGGCGAGGGTGTTGGGAAGGGTCGGGTGGGCGACTTCAAGCGCGCCGCTCATGGTCGCAACGGCGCGTTTGTCTGCGGCACAGGGTCGGTACAACGGGGGCACAAGAACAATCGGGCGACGTTGAGCTGGACAGGCAGACTAATAGGCAGTTGCGGGTGGGTCTCCGCTCACTGGCACCCAGAGGGCGGTGTAAGAGCTGACAGCAGCCCTTCTGGCTGCTGCAGCGGTGACGCACCAGAAAATCTGGGGTTGTTTGGCCCCTTGCAGCTGCCGCTGAGCCGGCACAGGCCAAGTCAGGCACACCCGCCGCCGCTTCAGCCCTCACCTGCCTTGCACCCCCATTGCGTCCTGCAACCCGCCCGTTGCGCGCCCGTCTGCCTGGCCTGGCCGAGCCGCACTCTCAGCTGCCTCCCGGCCCTGCCGCCATACCGTCTGCGAGGCATGGTGGGCGCCGCGCCTCTGCTGCCGCGTGTCGAGCCAATCAGAGCACGGCCATTGGCGTATTACGACCCGGGCTTCCCGAGCGAGATGCCACATGCAGAGCGAGCTGGCTGATGAGGGCCCGGTTGTGTGGAGCGGGGACCGATGGCCGCAAGGGCGACGGCAGGGCGGTGCAGCAGTTGGTTGTAGTGTCCGGAAACGGCGGCCCGCCCAATCTTCATCAGCGTCGCCGTGTCACAGCCGCGTGGGAGACAGCCAGCGCATGATGAGTGGCGGGCACGACCTGTGAGGCTGAGAGGGCTGGGGGTGGCCTGGCCCCCAGCACGTGCGCGCGCGGCAACCACTTTCTCGGCGACGCGCCCCGGAAGCTCTGACGCCGAAGGCTTTCTGCCGGCGGGAATAGCTTCTGCGAAAGACCGTCCGCACCCCTCACCATGGCCTCCTCCTTCGGCGTCCCGGCCTTCCGCCGCCTGGTCACCCGCCCGCTCTCCTCCCCCGCCATTGCCCACAGGCGGTGGGCCCAGGTCCACGATGTCCGCTACCTCGCCACCCACGGCGCCCAGGAGCGCGTGATAGCAAAGTACAAGCAGAAGCTTGACCGCAAAGCCAAAGAGTAGGTATCGAGACTGCCATGGTGACTATTGCTTGCTATTCAATGCTGCGGGCCCGGGCTGACGAGAGGCCCAGGGCAGGCGTCAAGGACATCGATGAGCTCAAAGCCGTCTACAAAGAAAAGATTGAGACGGTGCGCAAAGAGGCCGCCGCACCGCCCTCGACCGAGGCCCTGCGGCAGAGCACCGCGAATCCCGCGGCTACGAACACGGCTCCATTCACTCCGCCGCCGCTGCCGCCGACCATGACGACGACGACGACGACGACAGCCCAGCAAGCTCCGCAGCCGCCGGCCGATTCGAAGCTCCCGCCGGGGGTGAAGACGCTCTCTTCTTTCATCGACGTCGAGAAGACGCTAGAGCTGCCCGAGAAGGAGGTCGAGATGATCTGGCGGCTGCGCCACGCACGGAACCCGCAATCGCTCTGCGCCGTCATGAAGAGCAGCGGCTGGGACACGATATACACAAACGCACGGCAGCACCCGCAGTTCGTGCTTCCCATCCCGCGCCAAAGCCAGGATGGCCAGGGTGCCGAGATCCACTTCATGCAATGGACCTTCCCGGCGGACAAGTGCGCCACGGTGCTCTTCACACATCTGGCCGAGTACCAGCTGCGGAGCGAGTTTGCGGCCCCGCACACCACCGTCACGTTCCACACGGAGATGGCTGAATCCAAGGGGCTGGTGCTGGTGCAGGGCACCGTGGTTGACAACCGCGGCGTTTCAGTCGACGAGGGCAAGTGGCTGTTGATGTGCTTGCAGAAATTCTACGGCTTGCAGGCCGAGGAGGATGGCGGCAAGCGCAAGTCGCTGCTGGAGATGTTCAGCCGCGGCGATGGCGGCTTCAAGGTCGAGGAGCTGCTGAACGAGGCGGAAAAGATATAAAGCGGCGGGTAGGTATATTAGACTACAATTGTATGTACGGAGTCGGCGCCAATCATCGTCCGGACGTGAAAACAAGTTTACTGCAGAGGTTGGATCTCCTTGTTCCACGGGAGGTAGGTAGGTCCAGAAGCCCATGCAGACTACGATGTGTGGTCTTTGCGGCACGCGAAAAACGGGCTGGGATGGCGGGAAAGGGAGGGCAGGCAGGCAGGGGTCGGGCTTCCCCGCACGCCAGGGTGGTTTAAGTGCGACAAGCTCAACGCCGTCTCCGCACTCAAGCTTTGGTCGATCGAAGCCACTGGTCCACTTATTTAAGCCGCGGGCCCAGCCGCCATGCCGTCCGCCGGTCCAACAGTCGCTTCTCTCTTGCACCGCCGCCATGTGGTCGACAAACGGCCGGTTCCTGGTAGCGTTCGCGCTCATTGCCTTCGCTGCCGTGGCCATGGGCCTTGAGCTAATCGACTTGAAGAGCCAACGTGGTGTACTTACTTCCCCCTCCAACGCCCGAATAGTGGACCTCGCTGACCACCGACGACGCCGCGACCGTCCAGCGGCCCAAGGCCCTCGCCGAAGCGCCTTTGCTCGACGGGAACCTGGCGCCCCGCCACCCCGAACCGGGCCCTTCGACGGGCCGCATTGAAACCGTCGACCCGCAGGACCTGACGACGAGCCTGCAGGACGTGGTCGGCAGCCCGAGCTACACGCTGCCGCCAGTTGCAACAGGGTCGACGGTGCATACCGGCGGCGTCGGAGGATCGCAGTCTACCGCAGCCGCGCCGACGACGACGAGCGGCGTGCTGGGGCCGAACACGACGGGAAGTGTGCCGAGCGGTGGGAACGTAGTGCCCGACACGGCCAGCGCGAGCGGACGGAGCACCGGGACGCGGGCCGCGAGCGCGAGTGCATCTGCTGCGGCTTCCGCTGGTGCAAGCACAAGTGCGACCACCGCCGTCAGCGTGACTGCGAGCACCAGCACCAGCTCGGAACAAAGTGCTAGCCAGGCCGAGCCATCGCAAACACAGTCGCAAGGGGCCGCCGCAGCCGACAACGTCGCTGGCGTTGGTGGGGTGTTGGGTGTGGTAGCCTTGGGAATTGGTTGGCTGCTGTAAGACCGCCCAACCACACGGGCTCGTCCTTCTTTTCCCCTTTGCCCTTTGCTTTTCGAGTTTGTGGGCGGGATTGGAGTGCCATTACGACATGTTGAAAGCCTAGAGGAACAAGACAATCACACTGCTACGAAACCAAATCGACGCCACTCTTGACAGGTTATTATCAATTCACCCCCAACCAGTCCGCACGATCCTGTTATCAGGCTTCACCGTCACCTGAACCTGTCTTTGTTTCTTTATTTTTATTTTTCACGCTCACGAGACGCGTAAATATATGAGCAAATATGTAATAGATCCAATGAGATGAACACACGCCCTTTTCAACTCCACGCTTCCATCTAGGGTTGGAAAGAAGAAAGAACCCGTCCGCTAGATACGCGTATATCCGTTATATGCCGTAAGTCCGCATATGCAATCCCATCGCAAAATCAGAATGAGGGAAAACCAAAGCCAAGGCCGCTCACGACATGGCTGCCCATCGGCTGCACCCCATCATCTCACCAGTAGCCCCCAGACCCACCAATCTAGACCGGGACCTGGCTCTACCCTCAACGACCCCCTCGTCCCTACGCTCGACCTTCTCCGGCGTATGGCCCTAGCCGCAGGGAATGCCATCAACCGACAGCGTCGAAGTGCTCGTCATCGTTTTCGGCGGCGGAGGGAGGGCATCAGAAGCGAGTGGCTTCTCCGTCGCGGCGGCCAGGAACTCGCGGATCTCGCCCTCCTCAGTGTCGTCGGGGTCGTCATCGTAGCTGTCAACGTCCCCGGTGGAGGAGCCCTTGGCATCTTCCTGGTTGGAAGGGAGGCAGACTCCGACGGGACGGCGCTGGCTTGGGAGGATGGGGCTCCGCTTGCCATGACTTCGCGCATCCTTCGTCGGGGAGAACGTGATGGAATTTTCCATGTCCTCGCTGCTACCGGCGGCGTAGCCGTCATCTTCCTCCTTTTCGACATCAACCTCGACCAACGGGGGATCGGAGATGGCAGTACCGCGGGTTCCGGCATGCTTTCCATCGGACTCGTCTCTCTTGGCGTCTTCGTCGCCCTTCTCGTCGCTCCTCTGAACGGTCTTCTTCTCGACGTCTTCCAGCTCCGGCAGCACGCCGTCTCTCTCGTAGTTCACCTCCGCCTGCCTGAACAGCGGACTCGTGGTCCACGTCCTGTACGCCACCACCGCATCCCTCACGTCCCAGAAGACCAGCCTGATAGAGCCGTCGTGCAGGAACTCGGGCGACCTCTGCAGTCTCCCATCGCCGTCCTTCCTGCCGGTCGTGTACGGACAGTGTTCGATTTGATACCGCAGGTTCGCCGGCACGCGCAGGGCGGCCCCGGGCTCGTCGATGACAAGCGTCCTGGTCGCGCCGTGGCGCCAGACGGCCTCGCCGAGCTCGCGCGGGAGAAGCGGGCTGGGCCGGTCGCAGCGCTGGGTGGCCTTGAGGCCGCGCTCGAGCGCATCGCCCTCGGCGGAGCGAACGAAGTCGGCGGCGGCGTCGCCGCGGGCGAACTCCAGCGTCAGGGCGTAGCTGCTCTCCACCTCGAGGGGCGACACGACACGGACCGTCTTCTTGGGCGGGGTGGCGGAGAGGAGAAAGTGGCTCCCGGCGACTCGGTTCAAGAGGCTGGCGACCGAGTCTACAGAGGGGATCTCGGTGACGTCCACGTGGCGGTGATTGTGCCGCGCCGTCTCGAAGACGGGCCAGTGCGGGCTTCGTGCGTGGATGCTCTGCTTGAGTCCGTGGGACTCGGGGAGAAGCTGATGGGCGGTGGCAGTCTTGGTGGCCGTCTCGTCATTGCCGGTCTTTGCGGGCGATGGCTCGTCGTAGAGGTCCTCATTGAAATCCAGGTAGCCGCGTGAAGGTTGCTCGTGCAGTGACAGAGGAGGCTCGGCAGGCCGGTCGAGGTCGGCGTAAGAGATCAGATCGGTGGCTGCGAAGGAGGGCCGGGGCGGCAGCTGCGGATGGGCACGAGGTGGCCAGGGCTGAGGGTAGAGAGGGCGAGGATTGGGCGGCGGCCGGCCGTGGGAGCGAGGAGCACGAGGGCAGTCCCGTTCGAAGCGGCCGAAGCGCGTCGTCTCGTCCTTGTGATGGGGTGCTGGAACGCTGTGCACGGCGTCGGTCGAACCGAGGGGCAGCGGCGCGTCGAACTGGCGAGCCGCAGCTTGCGTCTCAGCAGCTTGGGCGGGTGCGGCCGGGGCAGGGGCGAAATAGCTTTTGAAGTGCGGCTTTGCAGCATGCTCGGGCTTTGGCTTGGCCTCCTTCACCGGATACATCCACTCGGCCGTTGGGATGTCGGTAAACTTCTTGGACTCTGACGGGTTGCAGACAGTCCTCGGAGCAAGCAGCTTGGGTTCCGTCTCAGCAGGAGACGCATAAAGCGCACGGCCAAGAACCATGTCCGAAGCCCCCGCGCTACCATTGCGACCTGTGCCATTCCGATGCTCCGCCTTCAGCTTCTCCAGCTGGAGCTCTTCGATTCGCCGCTCGCTGGCATTGAGAAGCTGTTGCAGGTGCTCGGCCCTGGGACCGTCGTGAGCAGTGCTCGACAAAGGGAGGTCCCTCGAAGTCGGTAAGGCGCGCTGCTCAGTGTAGAGTTGGAGAAGATAAGCATTGGCCTGCTCCGCGCGGGTGCGGGCTTCGCGCTCGGCGAGAAGCTGAGCTTCGAGCTTCCCGAGGTGATAAGCTGCAACTTGGTCGTGAGGTAGCTCGTAAGCGCTCATGGTGAGCCTCTTCCCGTAAGTTGAGTGTGACGAGGTGAACGGCCAACGGGACCACGAGGCTTGTCGAGGCCTGCGATAGCCGGGCGCCGTTAATGAGAGCCGGCCGAGGCGGTGCAAGTGAGGCGCAATGAGGCTTACCAAACTGTTCCACGGTGAGGACGCTGACAATTGTGCTGAGACTAAATATCAGGCACCACTGATAGCTGAACCTTGCATGTGGTGGATGAGTGGTCGCAATGCTCTGAGGCGCCTAGAACTGAGAAGGTGAAGAGGAAGAAAGGGGGTCGTGGCTGGAGGTTGGGTGCTTATGTGTACATGTAGCGGACACCTGCACGGGCGCCCCAGCGATTTGGACATTTGGACCCTGCATATCGTGGTGCAGCCTATGTCTGCACGAGGCCTGGTGGGTGCGAGCTTAAAGCCCGTTTGAGGCCCGCAGCAGCACCACGTGCAAATCCATCATGGAGGAGCCACGGTCGAGAGAGCCAAAATCGGTTTCGCAATGGATCTAACATTGGGACCTTTTGCCACCTGCTGTGTCCCGGACACTCGGTGTTTGGCTACAAGAAAGAAGCTACGTTTCGATTCGTACGAGGCGGAACAGCCAACAATCGGAACTCTCACCCAAAGAACTCCCCTCTGACCTCGCACTCCCACGGCCTCCCAGAGCTCCAGACCCTCTCAACCAACTCTCTTGCCCTCTGCACCTGACTCATCCCGAATCCTTCCACGGCGTTGAGCCTCTCCAAGATGGTTTCGCGCTGGCCCTCCTCTTGCGCGTCACACCCGGCGGAAAACATGGGGAAAAGCAAGCACGCCCCAGCACTGCCGTCTGGCCGTACCCGCTGAAGCGCCTTTAGGATCTCGCGTACTGCCTTCTGAACTTCACCGTCGGACGGCGGCCGCCCAAGAACGCGGCGTAGAAGGTGGAGCAGCCCCGCCCAGTGAAATGCTTCATTGCTCGCGTATATTTCCGACTCGTCCCAGGGAGGTTCCTTGGCTTCCTCCGGGCGCAAGCTGGTGACCGATCGATCGCCATGCGTGCAGCCCTTGTACACGACGTCCTTGCATCCGTTTCGCAGGTCGATACGTAGCTGCTCTGCAGCAGCGATGACATCTTCAGGCGGTTGCCAGCCTTCGCGGACGCACCCGCTCGCTTCATCGATGCGGAGGGGCTCGCAGCGTTTTGCTAGTTCCGCGATACGCGCGAGGCAGCCAACGAAGCGGTTGGTGAAGCCGAGGAGGCAATCGATCTGGCCATCGCGGATGCACTCTTCTTCGCCGACGGCAAGGTAGCCCGAATTGAGCGGGGTGTCGTTCTTGCTGCCACTAAGGCTGCCGACGACATCAAGGTAGGCGAACCACCGGCTGAGGAAATAGGCAACCTTGTCCTCGCGGTTCAAAGACCGGAGGCCGCCGCGGGCGATGATCATCTGGCGGGCCAACTTGAGGTGAGATTGCCAGGAAATCGGCACCTCGAAGGCGTTCGGTGATATAACCTCCAATGAAGCGAGCATAATGGCGGTGCACAGGTTCGAATCGGATATCTGCTCGGTGCTGTCCAAAGCGCGCCGAAGTCTGGGAAACACATCTTGCACCCAAACAGCTATCCGATTTGCCGGCTCGGGGTGGCAAAGTAGGCGCGCCCTGTGGCTTGCTGAGAATGCTAGGAGAAGGCCCAGGAGATCGTCGTCAGTTACAGCCAGCTGCGGCAGAATGTTGCGAAAAGGATTCTGCTCGCAGTCATGTGGGACAAGGATGCGAGCAGTGTGGTTCAGAAAATGATGAAAATACAGCAGATTCATGGGGTTCTCCAAAAGCAAAGAAGGAAGTGGCTCGAAAGTCTTGGGGATCTTGATGGGCACGGGTTTCGCGTAGTAGCCATTGGCCTCGAACGCAATGCTCTTTTGCCGTCCCTGCGATTCATCCGCACCGTCCGACGAGAGAAAGTTCGGGCCGCAGTAGGAAACCGGGGGACTGAAAAGTGCGATGGCACCGCTATCGTCGTTTCGCGGGCTGTCGAGATCGGGCTGGCCGATATCGTATCCGTACGTGGTGGTCTCAGACTTGACGTCCGAATTCGGATAATGGGAGCTCTGTCCACGCCCGGAAGGACCGCTGTGGCTGCCGTCAATGAGCAGATCGCTCACGGACAGCCGGCGCGGGTCGGGCGACGGCTGGTACGGAGCGGTCAAAGTTCTCGGGCCAGACTTCTGCGCGCTCTCGTCGGACGCAACCGAGGAGCCCGGGGTCAGCGGTGTTCCAACAAACGAGCCATAGGGCGTGGCGGGAGCCATCGAGTACGGCGATGGCGCGTCTGCTGTCCCAGGGGCTGCATTCGGCGAGTCGTTAGTCGGACTCAGCCGCACTCGTTTCGTACGGTGCTCGAGGGGGGTGGCGGCGGGCGGGCTGGCTGGGGGATTCATCCGGAGCGGGGGCAGCATGGGAGAGCCGGACGCGAAGTCGGCCAGAGCGGTGGTGCCGTAGGGACCGTCGACGGCAGCTGGAGGGGGGGGATAGTCGACACTCGTGCGTGTTTGGACAGGCTGTAGGCGGGGGTCGACGGGCACGGCGGACAAGCGGCGCAGGGCCACAGGTCCGCCATGGCGGCCGTACGGATGGTGGTGTTGGGCGGGAGGCCTGCTGGACACGGTAGCGCGGTCCTGTGGCTCTGCGGACGACACAGGCTCGGCGGCGGTGCTCGAGCGCGAGCGGACATGGCTGGCGGCGGACGGGCCCGAGGCAGAGAAGTGGTCAAAGTGGACGGCGGGACTGGCGGGCTGGCCGTCGTCGAGCGAGCGCTTGGAGCGGCCGCCCCAGTTGAGGCGGATCGAGTAGTCGCACGTCTCGCCCTGGCGCTCGCAGTTCAGGCAGCGCGGCTTCTCCTCGCCGCTGCAGCAGGGTCAATTGCGAGGCGGCGGAGAGCAGTGGGGAGGGTGGTCCGTACCATTTGACCTTGCGGGCTTTGCACGGCCTGTAGCCTCACGGCGCAGCGGTCGCGTCAGCACAAATGGCGCATCGCACACGGTCTTCGAGCGCGGAGCTTCACCAGCAGCCATTCCGGCTCCGCCTCTTGGGCTCGGGCGCGCCGTCCTTCTTGGGGCGCGGCATCGTCGACGGGCAGCGGCGTCCACTGCGGGCGGCGGCGACTCATGGGGCGCCCCGCCGCAGGTGAGATTCGCGGCGGCGTAGCGGGGAGGACGGGCGAGGTCGTCGTCTCGGGCAGGGAGTGCTGAGCAGCGAGCAGCGCAGCGAGCAGAGCAGCGAGCAGTGGGGGCAGAAGCCGCCAGCCGGCCACGGGACCGCTTGGCCTCGAGCTGCGATAAGAGTGCCTGCCCGTGCCTGCCCGTGCCTGCCCGCGCCTGCGCGCCACTATCGCCCCGGCCGCCCGCCCCGCCCTCTGGCCTGCCCGATGGAACCAGCCCCCGCCACGGCACGACGGCCTGCGACTTGCCGCAAGCGGCAATGCGCGGGCCGTACAGGGCAGCTGGTGTCGCTGTCGGCCCGGGCGCTGGCGGCAGTTCAAGGTTGTGCACCGCGGTCCAGCGTCCGCCCCGACCGCCCTGGCGTCATCGCGTCGCCCGCCTCGTCGACGATTCCCTCCTCAACGTCGCCTCTCCCAGCCGTGCCCGTCCGCCGTCTGCACCATGGCCGCAGACACAGTCCGGGCCGCTGCCGTCAAGCGCGGCCAGCGGCTCGCCGACAGGCACCTGCTGCAGCGCCTCGACAGCCCGTCTCGCGGTGCTTCCGCCCTGCTCCACGTACGCTGCTGCCATCGCCCCCAACCCGGCGCTCCTCGCTTCTGACCAGCACGCTGTCGACAGTTCACCGGCTGCTGCAGCTTCACTTACTCCTTCTACTAGTATGCGCCCCGTCGCCTGTCCGTCCGCTCTGCACCTCTCCCCCGGCCTTCCCGGAAGCCCGCGGCAAGACACGCCCAGAGCACCGCCACTTCTGACAAGTCCTCCCAGCCTGTTCTACGAGCCCAACCCCATCAACGCTTCGTGGGGCTGGCACCTTCAATTCCTGACCTGCTGCGGCCTGTCCCTCGCCTTTCTGACCTACGTCTTTGCCCTCCTCGCCGACCTGACCCTCTCTCGTGCCCTCTACCGCGCAAAGAACCTGCTCGCCCTGACCGCCGCACCGCTCGAGTGCTGCATTTCCGTCCTCTACTGGGTCATCAAAGCCATTGACCCGCGCCTGCTCATGCACCCGGACCTCCCCGCCCTCGACCTGCTGCCCGACATCTCCTTCCACCTTGCCCCGGCCGCCCTGCTCGCCCTCGACCTGCTCTTCTTCTCGCCGCCCTGGACCCTCACCGCCGCCCCTGCTCTCGCCGTCAGCTCGCTCGTCGCCGTGGGCTACTGGTTCTGGGTCGAGGCCTGCTTTGCCCACAACGGCTTCTACCCCTATCCGCTCTTCGGCCAGCTCGACACCCCTGCTCGCGTCGTCCTCTTCACCGCCGCCGCCGCCGTCATGACCGTCAGCACCCTCGCCCTCAAGGCCGTCTATCATGCCGTGAACGGCTCGAGCAGAACGGGTGCCACCTCGGGCGATGCGAAGAAGGGCTTGTAAGTCTTGGCGATTTGTTTCTAGCCTTTCCTCGCTCCCCTTCTACCAGCCCCACAATTGCCGCTTCTTTCAATCTCTGTACACCTACCCGTCGAGGAAAGGATGCCGTTTTGGACACATGTTGGATCTGCTGATGTGCATTGGCTCGGCCACTCTCCCTTCAACCTAGATAAGTTAGCCTAGAGATGAAAAAGCAGTAGACAACACCATAATTGCTAGACCCTTTCAACCCTCCCCTTCCCAAGCCACAGCGTGAGAGTTTGCTTCGTCAACTTGGGAAACGCAGCATACGTGGCCCTATCGCGTGACTGAGATTGTCCCTGCTCCTCCGTCCAACACCCAAGGCTTGACATTCCCATCCCTTACAGCACCTTCGGAGTCCATCACAACATCACCTCTCGAGAGCAAGCATCAATTCAGCAAGCTACGAGCTGCAATCGGCGAAGCCAAACATTCGTGCGTTCATCTCCCTTCTTGGCTATTTCCCTTATCGTCTGCTCTTTCGGAAATCGCTGAAAGGGCAGTAGCTACACGATCCGCTGAATCATGTGGTGCGAGAGAAATGAAAAAAAAAAGCTATTCCGTTTTGTACGCCGCCACTCCTTGAAAATGAACCATACGAAGATGCTTTAAAAAGCAATGCAAGTCCCGCCTGTTAACCTGAAAGCTCCCTTCAACACCATAAATCGCCGCATACCAGAAATTCATTCGTCCGAGCCTGAAAGCTGTTTGCACCAAAACCATCGCATTCGAGGCGAGTGTGCAGGAAAAGTAAACCAAAAAGGACATCAGCCGTTAGCCATGATTCGTTAAGGTATCTGAGAAGTTTCGTAAAGCCAAAGGTAAGACCATCGCACCGCCTGCATGTCGCGCCGAAGGCCGGGATCGGTATCCGTCTTGATCCGCTGCCTTTGCGTGCCATGGAGAGGGATATTGAAATACGCAGAGCCGGTCGTGGAGAGCCGAAAAGGGGCATGAAAGCCATGGCCATATCCACATGAACAGAGAGCTTGCTTGGAGAAAAGAAAACGGAAAGACCAGCCATGGTAGAGAAATTCCCAGCATGTCTCAAATGCCCTCCAGCGGAGAACGGGCGCGTCAGCGAAGAGATGCGAAGTGCTGGAGCTCGAAAACTTCAGATGGAGCATGGTGACACTACTGGAGGAGTGTCTGTACAGCATCTTGCACGCCCAGCGTGCGGACGAGCTGCTCAATCCTTGGGTGTCGTGGGAACAGAGAAGGCGTGTCCGTCTTCCGCCTTAGGCTGGGCCTTGGGACCTGCATCCTCCAAGCCGGCCATACCCGAGGCAAGAAAGGCGCTATTGTTGACCCAATAATTCGTATTCGGGAAGCCGGGGCCAAGAAGTCCATTCAGCTCTGTCTGTGGTTGAAAGGCCTGGAAAGGCTGACCCATGAGCGCGACCCCACTCTCAAAAAAGGTCGGCGTCTGCTGCTGGAAGGCTAGAGGCGTAGAGATGTTGTCGTAGGCAGGGTAGATGGCGTTGACGCCATGGTTGTATGGGTTGAAGTCCAAGCCCTGGTAGCATTCCTGCTGCAGCAGAGTCTGCCCGAGGTGGTGCTGAGACTGACCAGTCTGTTGGTGAACCCGGTCCATCTGTGGTTGCAGCTGTTCTGGCTGCTGCTGGATCTCGTCGAGCCGCTGCTGTGAGGGTCGAGACGGCGACGGTAGTTCCTCTTGCTGGGACGGATGATTGAACTCGGAGGTCAGCATGGCCATGTTGGTCGAGCGGCCAAAAGGCTCGTCATCATCTTGCTTAAACACATCGAAAGCGGGCCTGCGCCGTTTGCGAAAAGCCCCGGTGAACTGCTCCTCCAAGTCTGGATCTTGTCCCATGGCGCGCTGTAGGTCGAGCTCGTCCTCCAAGATCAGGTCGTTGTCGTTGCGCTTCCTTGGGGACCTGCGGCGAGTGCGTGTGCTGGCGCGGGACTGCTGACGAGAGGATTCACGGATGTTGGGCACCAGCTCCAACAGAGGTGGGCGAACCTGGTAATCAATGGAAGGAGAGCCGTCGAACTTCACCGGAGAGCTGTCCGTCACCGAGCCGGATATGGGCCTTTCCTTGCGTAACGTGCCACAAGGCGTCCATATATGCTCCGTCGCCTCAACCTCGCGGCTGTTGTACTCAAGCTGTTCGACAACAGACACATCCTTCTTCTGGTTTCTCTTACGTTTCATCTCCGGAGTGGCAGAGTCGAAGATGTCCATTCCTGGCCAGTAGATGCCCTTCAGCCTCGAAGCTTCGCTGACAATGGTGGTGTCGACAACCTCGTCATCGTCCTTGTCGGCGTGGAAGCTAGGGGCCGTTGATGGGGCTGTCACGGGTGGCGTGACGGCGCGCGAGCAGGGTTCCGACTTCTCGGTGAAGATGTCGGAGCCTTCCATTAGACCGGGATTGCTGGACGAGACGGTGGAATGGCTGAACGGGCTGGGCCAGGCGTGCTGCTTCGGCGCAAATGCCGGCGGAGGGTAAAGCCGATCGGGGAACTTGGGTGACTGCGACGGGCTGGGCTCGTCCTTGACGAGCTGGTCGGCAAGACGAGGGTCGAGGGCATAGGCGTTCGCAGCCTTGCGGCGGAGGGAGTCGTTGGCAGGGTTTGGGGTCTGGCGCGCGCGAGCGTCTTTACTCGATCAGCACGGGCGACAATAGTAGCATATAGGATTGAGGACTTACTGGAGGCTCTCGTCCGGGTCCGCCGCTTGTCCTTAAGATTCATTCTGTCCGACATGAGATGCTCAATGCCCCACTCAGTGTACCAGGTGTTGTAGGAGTCGATCTCCTCGCGGGCATCGGCCTCGCTGGCGGCCCTGATCTGCAGCTTGTAATAGTGAGCCAGATGGCCCTTGCTCGCAATGTGCGTGAGCAGGTGAGAAACGTCGGAAAACTTGGGCTGCCTGGGGCAAATGCTGCAGAGTAGAGGGATGTTTGAGGTGTAGGACGCCATGGTGGCAGCACTGGGTGGCGGAAGCAACGGAGCAATTGGGCTGGGCGTAAGGACAGAACAATCAAGGCGCAAGGGCACCGACGTGTGCAGAAAGGAACGGCTGAAGCTGGTGGGGAGGGGAAGAAAGAGGAGACGGGCGGAGGAAGATGTGAAGGAGGACCAGCCGTCGTCCGGCGAGGAGTGCGGCTGCTGCAGGTGGAGGTTGTTCTTTCCTCGACGGCACTCGAGCGGGCGAGCTTTATCAGCGCCGCGTCGCCGTCGCGTCCGCCGGCGAGCCCTAGCCGCCAGGCTTGATACGGAGCACCGAAGCTAGCCAGACATCATCTTCATTGCTACGGAAGGAGCGCCTGCGCGCATACGGCCTGCCTGCATGTCGCTCCAGCCAGCCGGCCTCGCCCTCGCCGACAACGACAGGGCGAGTGCTACGAACCGCCACAGCCATTGCTCTGCGCTTGCCTTGTATCCCGCGTCTCACGGGCGGGAGACGCGGGTTATTAGATTGCAAGCGGCGAGTCTCGTCCTCCTCTACCTCCGGAGCACGCCGTCGGTCACGCTCTTGGGCATGCAGCTGTAGAGAGAGAGAGACGTGTCAGCGCCATAAACTCTCATGCGCGGCGGTTGCAACCTACTATACAGGGTCGATTTCCTGCAGGCCGGGGAACCCGACGAGGCTCAGCCCCGCGAGGCCGAAGTGGGTGTGGAAAACGTCGACCATATCGCCGGGTCGGTCCGCGATGCCGCCCAGCTCGGGGTCCTGCGCCATCAGCACGCGGAAGGCCGCGTCGCAATGGGTCTCTTACCTGGCATTTGAGGATGAAGGAAGCAAGTTTGCTGCCGTCAATCCAGTGCAGTCTATCAATCATGGCCATGGCACTCAGGACCCACCAGCTGTAGCACACATCCTCAAGCTTCTCCGGTCTACCGTTCAGGCCGCCGTTTGGCCGTTGTCTCTCGCTCAGCCATCCCCCGAGCCTGTCCCGGTCCACCAGGTCAAGACGCCCGGCTATTGCCAGGGCACCGACGCAGGTAAACACCTGGCCCGAGTGCGACTCGGCCCCCGGCGACGTGCCAAACCCGCCGTCCAGGTTCGCGCATGCTTGTATGTGCTCGACCGCCTTGTCGACATTGACGAGGTGCATCAGGTGGAGGAGCGACAGGGCGTTGAAGGCGCCGTAGAGGAAGCGCGTGTCACACTCGCCCCATCGGTCCCCGGCAAAGGTGCCGGTATCGCGCTGGAGTCCGGCAATGACTGTATGAACGTCAGCGTAGATTCTTGCATGGGAGCTTGGGAGGGTGCGTACAGCGACCGATCTTCTCCTTGCCGCCAGGGACGCGCTGCTCAAGCTCTTCAAAGCCATCCAGCGTGGCGATGATTTGCACAGCACTGACGGTGTACAGCATGTGCGCGTCGTGCCCGGGCGCTGCGCCGAAGCCCCCATCATCGTGCAGACAGGAGATCACAAAGTCGAGGACATCGCTGCGCGGCAGTGCGTCCGGGTGCCCGAGCAGGTGCAACGCGGTGAGGCCCCAGTACATTCCGTTAAGCCGGAGGTGTTCTGTTAGCCAGTACTCAAGCTCATCTTTGCGCTAGGAGGAGAGCGTTAGTCACAGCTGTCAGCTGCACAGATCTGCCCGTAGACACGCACTGTGTCGAGGCTTTGGATGTATTTGACGTGCTTGTCAACGTAGAGCTGGAGCTCGTCCGGAAGCTGTCCGCCCTCCGCGCCGCCTCTCCCAGGCCCAGAAACCAGCGACATGATGCTTCTCCTCAGACGCGCGCAGTGGCCTGGTGTTGCTGTCTTGAGTAGAGATTGCGTGATGGGTTTGTGGGCGTCGCGGAAGGAGACGTAGTGCGGACAAGTTTTGGGGGTGAGGTGGGGCCCGCAGCTTGTACGGCGCGCCGAGCGCACCAACATGACAAACACCAGGTCGGCCATCTCGACAACACGTCCGTACGTGCTCAGAAGCTCACGTCACGGCACGACCAAAACGCCAAATTCCACGTCTTGAGTGCGTTCAAGCTGTCTATGGACGCTATTATTCAGGTCAGGCAAGCCAGAGGTTTGCACTTGACTTCCATACAAGGCCACTTCAGAGTCAATGAAGAGAACAAGTTGAAGATATGTCCGTCTCGTCAGGGGCGGCTCCTCAAAGCCCAGGCCCGATGGCGCTGTGGACATTGAATTATCCACCAGAATAGCATCTCCATCCGAAAAAAGAAAAAAGAACCGCTGAAGCCGGGTAGAAAAGCGGGGCCTCGTCTCGCTGCCCTCTCATTTACTGCGAGAGTCGCCCGATGATATGCCAGGAGCAGAGCAAAGAAAGAGAAGCCGCTGAGACTGATGGGGCGACGGGGAATCGCAACGAAAACGAGAATGGAATCAACCTCCACCGAGGAGCCCGAACGCTGGCTCTAGAAAGAAGCGCAGAAAAATCAAACCCGCAAACAATCCCAGAAGCTTTTTATACTACATCGCTCGAAGTTTATAGAACGCCAAGTGCTCCCAAGGCCTGATCCTGTTCCTTACTTGACCTCAAAATGTCCGTGGGGAAACCGCCCATTTCATCCTCTGGAACTCCGTGCTACCGACAAAGCATGAGTGGTCGTCAATTGTTGCTCTCGATCAAAGAAATTCGTCGCTGGATTGCGTGTACATTGGCGTAAAGGGGGCGTCAGAATGCCCCTCACTCCGAGAAAATGCGGGCGAAGTGCTTCTCCCAGATCCAGCCAATGGTGCCGGACGAATCATCTTGGTTCCTGGCAAGCCACAGCTCGCCTCGCATGCCAAGGACGTCGAAGACCTGCGCAGCCATCAGTTTCTCGTCACCTCTCAAACTAAGATAGATCATCTCACCTCTCCAGGAACATAGACCAGATATGGGAATCCAGCCTCACGACGATCATGGGCGATGTTGAACTCGAACAGACTGGCAGCCAAAAACAAGACCTTCTCCTCGCTGCCATCCTGCTCAAGGCCGTCATCTCTGGTATCCGTAGGGGAATCTGACATGGGCATGGCAGACGAGAAGATGGAAGAAGACCGGGTGTTCTGAGACTGCGACGAGACAGCAGACTGGCCAGATGTGCGGCCCTGGTCGGGAGCATCCAGACTGATTCGTGTCTGAGACGATTGCGGATCCGGGGTGCGTCCCGTAGAAGTGGCTGGCCGCTGGGGGAAGTAGCCGGCAACCGGCACCTGGGCGGAAACCGAATGGGGCGTGGAGGGGCCACGGCTTGACATGGTAGACCCTGCCCGAACTCTTCCTGGGCCCGTTGGAGAAGGCATGGTGGGTGACATTTGTGGAGGGTCCATGATGAGGGGCGTGTTCCCCACTTCCACGTGAGAGTAGTTGCCGCTTTGGCGTTGCGAACCAGGGATGGGCGACGTGATGATGATGGAATGGTCGCTGTTGATGGATTGGGTGCGCTTGGAGCTTGCAAACGTCGACGGGCGCTTCATCGACAGGTCATCACCCATGAAGGTGGTGGCCGGAGAGAATGCCGCAGCCTCCTTGACACCACGGATGACACTCTCGATGCGCTCTAGTTCCTCCTTGCACCGGAAGTAGTCCACCTCAAAGGCGTTTTCGATGGCCGGCAGTTCAAGAAGTTTGATATCGACTTGCTCTCCTTGGAACAGAGGTTTCTCGAACTGCAGGCTCAAGACCTGGTACCACCTTCTTTGAGAATCGATAAGGTTCTTCTGACAAGCCTCGATCAGCAACTTAGTCTTGGAGTAGAGCTTAGGCAAGTCATCTTTCAACGCTCCGTTGATGGCGACGAACTCGTCGCCAACTTCCTTCAATTTGTTGTCGACCTTTCCGCCGCTGTCTTTGAGGAGCTTGTATCTAGCATAGTCGGGCAGGCGCTTCTTCCGCTTTTGCATGAGCTTCTGGGGCTTTCCGTGCAGATCCCAAAGGACCGATATTGGCTTGATGACGGTCTTGCGGACTTCCTCCTTCTGCACATTCTGTTAGTTCCATAGGGAAATGAGCGATTGCCATTTACTTACGTGACTCTCGAGCGCGTAAGAGGTGATCTCCTTGATCATCACCATGTATTGGCGCCACTTGCTCTCGATCTCAGGGTGCTCGGGCAGGCCAACGTTAAGCCACTTTTCCAGCTCTTCTGCCAGGATGCAGTTTTGTTTGACCATTCGGTCAACGTCCTCGAGGTACTTTTCGACGTCCCTCATGACTATCTGCAGCTGGAAGAAATGTCCCCCAAACTTCTGAGAAATGGCGTCGTACTCGGGATCGTCGACCGTCTCAGAAAGGCCAACCTGTTGCTTCACCTTCTCGGCGCGCCGCCCAAAAGCCTTCTGCACGGCGGCCCCGATACCGGCGTCGGATTTTTCACGCTTGCGCGTGACGATTTTCTCTACGATCTCCTTCCTTCCCTTGGTCTCGTTGATCCTGGTGCTGAGCGCCTTCAAACCCTCGTGGGAAAACTTCAGGTTCGTGTAGTCGGGATGATCTTCTGGTGTCATCTTTATTATGCCCTCAAGCAGTAGACTGTACTTGAGAAACCGTTGGGTTGGTTTGATGATCAAGGAGTCCAGGTCCCACGCCGTGGTGATGTCGCCCGCATAGTTGTGGCATTCACTCAGCCATATCTGAACCTGTTTGTTCTTTTGGATCTCCTGGAGACGGTTGTTCGCCGCAGTGTGGTTTTGCACGTACGCGCAGTACACCCTCTCCATCTCATTCAAATGATCCAGGAAGGCGGCACCGATGGCTGTCTTTCTGTCTGTGCGGTCGTCCGGTGGTCCAGTACTTTCGGCCGGATCGCCATTTGTCGAGATGCTGTTGCGCTTGTGCCATCTACCACCCTGGTTCAATTTGAATATAGGCTCCGCCGCAGGCCTGAGGGCATCAAGGAAGTTGAGGGAGAAGGCAACAATCTCGGCAGTGTTGCCAAAGAGGACTTTACGGTCGTCGTCACTGACTTCGTGGATAGCATACGACGTGCCCTTGTATATGTCCTCCACAACCTTCATGTCTTGGAAGTAGTGAAGTTCGGTTTCCAGCAGTTCCTTGATCTGATATCTCCGTTGAGCGAGTCTTCTCGAGTCCTCGGGGTCTTGCTGGGCTGGCTTCTCATTTGTCGTCCCCGGCGACATGAGGCTAGCAGCACTTGATGCGGTTTGCTGTCCAGCTCCATCGGGATCCTCTGCGGCGTGATTTGATTTGGTAGCGCCAGCTTCAGTATCCTCCGGAGCTGCGTAGTCCTGAGAAGGCTTTCTGAGCACACTTGGCGCAGGCGGTGTAGTTGGTGCTCCAGCAACGGCATCAGCTTGGGGTGCGGCTGCATTATGCTTTGAAACGGGAGAATCCGCATTTGATGAATGGTTTTGGATACTAAGGCCCAGCCCTTCTGTAGTGCTTTGGACTTGCGCCAAGCTGGGCTGGAACGGGCTGGTGAGCCTCGAAACGGGGTTAAGAGGTGTAGTCGGACCTCCACTCGGCGAAGCGCTCTGGGCTGCTTGTCCGGGCGAGTATCTCCAATCCTTGGGGGGAGGAGCCGGCCGATCCTCCGCTCCCACGTCTTTGATGCTTGCAGGACGTGATGGCTTCCCATAAAACTCCGACGATCCGTATATGATGGCAGTACCACCCAAGTCGCCCTCCGGTGCCAAACGCCGTTCGTAGTCATCGAGGAAGTCATCTTGGACATACGTCTGCGACGGTTGTTTCGGGGTGTTTTCTGGCGAAATTGAAGCGACACTGGCATTATCCTTGACCAGACTTGTAAGAAACTGCTCGGTCTTTTCTCTCGATGTCCACTCGTCGTATTCCAGGAAAGGAGAAACAGCTTTGATTTGCTGCTGGAAACCGTGGGCGATCTCGGGCGTGACCGTTTTTGAGCTCCGGTAGAAGTCAAGGATTTTGAGAATCATGCTATTTGACTCGATCTGATCACGAGTGAAGCGGCCATTCGAGGGTAGGCGGTGAATCTGGGGCGTCCAGTCTGCAGCACGTGGATCGTGATGTTGTCGTGGCATGGCCATGCTGACCGAATCATCTGGCGCAATGGAGGAGTGCGAATCGTATAGGTAAGAGTCGCGCCGGTCGCTCCCGTCATCGACGAACTGGATGCCCTCAACCGACGCCTCGTATGAGGTAGTGCTCCAGCGGGCGCTCTGATCACGAGATCCCTGGCTTTGGCCGGACCACAACTGCTGCGATTGTTCTAGCGAGGGGGTCGCCCGCAGCATGATGTTTATGGAGCCCGAGTCATCCTTCTCACTTTCCGCAGTGTCAGTGTGAGAGGCACTGGAGCAAACGCTTTCACGCATTTGCAGCACCTGGTCGAGTATGTTCCTGTCGATCGGGTTTGCATTTGCTAAGGAGGAACGATGATTGGGGAAGTCGTCATCCCCGCTCTCATGGAAGGCGGAATCGCGCTGAGAGTCTGGCTTGGGTGTAATGTCGCGCTGAGCTTTAGGGGAGAAAGCAGGTGCAAGCGCCCCCAGCACCGGAGACTCCTCGGTCTCAGACGCTGCCGCTCCCGCCTTGGAACTTCGTTCTGCTTGGAGCAGACTGTCTGTAGACACCCTTTGACTATGCACCGAATCCCCATCCGGTGTAACGGTGTCGTCGACACCAATCTGTACATCGTGCTTATCGCGCGAATCGGAGGAAGGGCTCACTGCGCGGGACGTAGATTTCGGCTTCGATGTAGGGGCTTTCCGATGGGCTGAAATCCCTTGGGCCCGCATCGACTTCTCAATTAGCGCCTTCCTGTCAGCGATGGTAGGTCCTGCAAGCCCAAGATCGCCCCGAGGCTTGGGCTTCTGGAGAGGCCCTCTTGCAGATGTTTTGTCTGCCGCCCTCCTGTTTGCGGACGGCGGCGGGTTTCTCAGGCGCTCGGCCATCTTGGCCCTGGAGGCAGCGGTTGAAGCCGCTGATACAGGCTGTCGCGGGCGAGAGCTACGAAGGACAGGCGACAAGGTTGGCGGCGGAACGTTGACTTGCACCGATACCTTTGGGCTCTCGCGTGATCGCTTGCCAGGGGTTGTGGCGTATCTGCGGGTCGAGCTTGGTGTGACGGGACGTGCGCGTGGCGTGGAGTCCTTGCTGGAGGTGTTTTTGTTTGCGCTCTTGTCGACGGACGGAGCCTTGGCGTTGTATCTACGATCGCTCAGCGCAGAGCTTGCTCGTGATGACTGGATCGAGGAAGCGGATTCAGATGTGACGGAAGGACGTCGCGGTGACGGAAGGGGGATCTTTGAATGCGCTCCGCGAGCGGAAGCTTGGATCTGAGAAAAGTACGCGTCAATGCCGTTCGGGTCAAATTCAGCCTCGTGCGGTGGTGAGCATGGCAGGCCAGTGAGGTCGCTTCGTGATCTCCTATGTCCTAGAGCTGATGCGGAGCGACCGCGTCCCGGAGTTGTGAGCATCGGGACGTTTGGCGTCGTACGGCTTCTCCCATGGGAGAACAAGCCAGTAGGTCGTTGCGCAGTGCCATCTAGCGAACCGCTGCGAGGATGTGCAGTCTCCGAAATGCCGTAACCGAGTGACTCTGGGCCGAGCGCATCGTTCGGAACTTCACCGAACAGCAGCGGCCGACCCGGACCACCTTGACTCGAACTTAAAGAGCTTACTGATGATTTGGCATGGCGGCGACCATGCTCGGGCGCCTGCGACGGATTGCCGCCACGCCTCAGGACATTGCGGGAGCCTGCCGCGCCGTTGAGCCCATTGCTACCCTTCGATTGTTCGATATGAGAGTGTTCAGACTCAGCCTCGCGCACGGGCTCGATGCCTGTGGTGCCGGCAACAGGCGAGCTGGCATGACGGGGAGCGGATCTGGTCGAAGGGGCGGGCTTTCGGAGCTTCGCGGCGCTGGCGTTGTCGTCGGTGCCGGGGGTCTGGTTGAACCTGCTGACAATGTTCTTGACGGGCGGGCGGTAGGAATTGGTCGCAGTCGGCCTCGAACCATTGGACACGGGCAGCGACGAGGCCGGGCTTGATACCGACCGCAGGTTCTGACGGGCGGACTTCAAGGCTGGCGAGGGCGACTTAGCGCTGGGCACGCGATGAGGAGGGTCTGGACGGCTGGAGACCGTCGCCATCGCGCCGTTGACGACCGCGTTTGTTTGCGGGGGGGAGGAAGGAGGAACGAAAGGACCCTGACGATAGAAGTAGTCTGGCTCTTCGCCATCGGGCGCGTCGAACGGGCCCTCGGCCGGTAGGGATCCGTTCGCGTAGTAGGCAGCGTGGCGGTGCTGCTCATACAGGCCCGAGGGAGTGCTGCTGCTCCACGAGTCCATGTCTTCTGGCTGCATCGTTCATAGTCTCCGGGGCCGAGCCACGCCAGACGCCGGGGGGCTCCAGGGTGGTGGCTAGGGAGGGACGGCTGGGCGCGCAGCAATGACCGGAGCGAGGTGGGTGAGTCGTCGGGGCGCGGCAGGCGATCGCCAATGACGAGGGCGAAACAACGTGGTGAAGTGAAGCGAGCGGCGGACCTTTTGGGAGTCGTGTCGTCGCGCGAGCAAATGACACTGGAGCTTGGGTGCCGCCGCACGTCGGGGCCTGGCGCGCAGCGAATCAGCAGCGCGGGCAGGAGGATGAGTTGTTTCACGACCAGGCCGGGCGGCGCGCAGGGGCAACAGGCGTCGGCGGGCGGGATTTCGGGGCGGTTCCAGGCGGACAGGAAGAGCGAGGCGCGCGCTGGAGCGGAGGACGAAGAGCGGGCAGGCAGGCGGCGCGGCGCGGGCGTCGTGGTCGGAGTGGTCGCACCGTGAAGAGAGGGTGAGGTCAAGGCCGGGCCCAGACGGGCAAGGCGGCGGCCTGCGAGCGCGCTGGCCAGCGGGAGATGCACACGGGAGGCCAATCAGCACGCGGCGCCGCGCTGGTAAGATTGCCAGACGCCCAGAGCATGCAAGGCCCACGTCAACGCTGCACTCGCCGTGCTTCGTGCCTCATCAACGGCGCAAAAAGGGCAAAAAGGGTCCAGCAATCTCGCTGCTCGCGCTGCGCAGACGGTGCCTGGCGCCGGCGCTGCGACCACGGCTCCGCTGTCGCAGCTGGCCGCCGCGCCTCCTTGCCCGCAGCCCCGGCCTGCGCCTGCCGACAAGGGCCTTCCCGTGCTCCCTCCACCCTCCGCCCACCAAGCAAACGCCCTGGCCCTCGTGCGCCAGTGCCGCGCCTCCTCCAAACACCACGCGATGAAGAGGAAGCGCAGCGCGAGCGACGCCGTCGCCCAGGCCCGGCCCCGCCACACGACCCACCCCACCCACCCCGTCCTCCAGCGCTTCTATCCGCAGGTGCTGCCGCTTCGCCAGTTCCTGCTGTCGAGGCTGGCCGGCGCCTCGACCCGCAAGCGGCGCCGCATCGCACAGCTCGGCCTGGGGCGCGAACCAACCGCCGCCCCTGGTGCTGTGGTCGCCGATGATCTGCGAATCCTCCTGGACGACACCTGGGTCGGCGCCGCCCACCACGCGGCCCCCGCCGAGCGTGCCGATCTCGAAAAGGACCTCGAGGTCCTCTCCCAGGAGCTGCCTTCGAGCAGCAGTCCGGGCGACGTCTGCCCCGAGCTCCAGTCGGAGGTGAGATCCCCAAGCGCCGAGTGCTCCCCTGCAATTGGTCCCGCGAGTCTGGGAGCGGTTGACCCCAACTGCCGCCGTACCTGCAGCACCAGTCAGTTGCTTGATCACGCGTGCTGAGCGCCTTGCTCCCCAGATCGTCGACTTTGTCATTCGATCACTGTTCAAGAAGCATCCCGGTCTGCATCGGCCGCCTCACGTCCTTTGCCATGGGTACGAGCGGGCATCGTGCCCGGATCGCGGCCCCGGCCCGCTGCCAGATGCGTCTCCCAACATGTCCGGCATCGTGAGCCGTTATCCCAACAGTCACGTCAAGGCTGTCAAGGGCCCCGCATGGTCCGCGTTGCTTGTCTCGCTGGGCAGCGGCGGCGACCGAATCATGGTGGAATTGCTGATGAACTGTGGGGTTTTTGCTTCCCTAGACGGTCCGAGTGGAGGCTGCTATCAGCTGAGTGGTAAGTTTCTCATTTTAAAGGCAGGATGCCGATCTATCTGAGACCCTACAGGAAAGTCTTTGGCGGACCTTGAGCCCATCTTCCCGCACAGGGACCTGCAGAATAAATCTGCACAGGGGGGAGGCTCCATCCCTGCGCCGGGGCCTAAACGGCCAAGGTACAGGGGTCCGGATAGCCTCACGGCAATAACTTTCGTCAGAAGCCGTATGCTTTACGCGAGAGCCGCCCTCAACGCAAAGGGCGAAGTGCGTTTCGGCCTCCGTCATATTCGTATTGGCCCCCGAACTCCGTGATCTGTTCTAAACTGATGCCTCCAGATGTGCTCAACCGTCTGTCGGATCATACCTCGTTGAAGCAAACCATCCACATCTTGAAATACATCTTCCCCCGCCAGTTCGGCCTGCACAATGTGTTCACTTGCAAGACAAACTTTCGGGAGACATCACAGCCATTCAAGGACTACACGCTGCGTGAGCAGGAAATCTCACGTGACTTGCTGCGCAGGGCGTCCGGTAAAGGCCGGCGCGACTCGAAATCTGGCGACATCAAAGATGTGATACCCAGGAGATTGAGGGGCCATGCCGTGGATCTTGTCCGCCGCTTCCGAGTCCTGCATCGCCGGTGTTCCTACGTTGAACTGCTCCATTACTACTGTCCGACTCTTCCCGAGGAATCCCAGGCTACCTTGAATGGACATGGACATCAGCCATGGTCAAGGGATCGGGATGTCGAGAAGTCGGATATCACTGGAGCTTCGGGGTTGCAGCAGGGCGCCGCGCCTGCCGGAAGTAGCACACACCAGGCCTGTTTCACCGATATGGCGACTCCCGAATATCAAGTGGAGGCCTTCTGCCGTTCCATCATGAAAAATGTCGTACCCAGTCGTCTCTGGGGCGAAGGGGAAACTCAGGCGCACAATAGTCATGCTTTCTTGGCTCAAGTCGGACGATTTGTGCGCCTTCGCCGCTTTGAGAGCCTTACACTTCACGAAGTCATGCAGGATATGAAGGTAAGAAGCGCGCTCTACGCTTCGGAACCATGGCTTATGCGTATAGATTACCGGAGTCGCTTGGCTTCAGCCTCCGAACGCTCACCCAGGACATAAAATGTCACAATCAGATTTCACCAAACGGCGAGAGCTCCTCGCAGAGCTTATTTACTATTTATTCGACTCCTTTCTCATCCTCCTGATCCGCACCAACTTTCACGTAACTGAATCAAATGCCGACAAAAACCGGCTATACTATTTCCGTCATGACGTATGGAGGAAATTGACGGAGCCTGTGTTGGCACACTTGAAGACGACCACCTTCGAGGAAATAAAGGCCGACAGAGCGACTAGGATTTTATCGTCACGTCAGCTTGGCTACAGCCAGGTCCGCCTTTTGCCCAAGAAAATCGGAGCCCGACCAATAACAAACCTTAGACGGCGGGTGCAGATCACGGTAAATGGCAGATCGATCCTGGGGAGAAGCATCAACTCAGTAATGAAGCCGGTCTTCAGTATTCTTAATCTGGAGAAGGTAAGGGTTCCACTGTTGGCGCTTCAATGCGGCTGCTAACCGTGTTCGTAGTCGCACCAGCCTGAGAGACTCGGTTCGTCACTGTTTTCGGTCGGCGAGATGTACTCTCGACTCAAGGCATTCCGCTTTGCTTTGGCACAACGAGGCCTGGTGGAAAAGCCACTCTACTTTGTGAAGGTCGATGTGAAATCCTGCTTCGACACGATCCCCCAGAAGAGGCTGTTAGATATCGTCAGAGACCTGCTAAGTCTTGATGACTATCGTGTCAAGCGGCACGTCGAAGTCAACTCAGCAATTTCCTGCCGGTATTCGAGCAACATGGGGTGTGCTGTGAAGCCGGTCAAGAAGTACCTTGCACAGGCAAGGGGGACGAGTGACGCGCGCGACTTTGCAGGGGTTTTGCGGACGCAGTCGAGGAGCAATCCTCGCAATGCAGTGTTTGTCGACTCGGTTGTTGAGCAACGGCAGAGCAAGGAAGAAGTGATGAAGCTCTTGACGGAGCACGTCGAGCGCAACATCATCAAGATAGGCAAGAAATACTACAGGCAAAAGACGGGCATTCCCCAAGGGTCCGTACTGTCCAGCCTGCTGTGTAGTTTTTTCTACGCGGAACTGGAAGCCGATCTTCTCGGCTTCCTGGGAGCCGACACGAGCGTCTTGCTCCGCTTGATTGACGACTCGTTGCTGATCACCACCGAGCGACAGCACGCTGAACGGTTCCTGCGCGTCATGTACGAGGGCAACGAAGACTATGGCGTCGGCGTGACGAAAGAGAAGACGCTGTTGAATTTTGGCTGCAGCGTAGACGGGGCCGAGGTGCCCCGACTCCCGTCCCTAACAAGCTTTCCGTATTGTGGAACGCTGATCAACACTAGAAATTTGAACATCAGCAAGGACTTCGGGCCAAAGGCTCCACGAGGTAAGCGAGAAGCATGGTGTGTGGGCAGTGGGCTGCAATCGGAGCTGACGACGGGCAGAATTACGCAACGGTCTAACGGTAGAATTCTCAAAGCTTCCGGGGCAGACGTTCCATCGGAAAACGCTGAAGTAAGTTATGAAAACCGGGTCCCCGCCCAGCAGCGTCAGGCTGTTAACCCTTTCCGTCTAGTGCTCTGAAGATGCAGCTGCACGCAATGCTTCTCGACACGTCGTTCAACCTGGAGCGGACGGTTCTTGGCAACCTCTATCGATGCTTCGCCGACACGGCGCGGAAGTGCTGCGAATACCTCAGGTGCCTGCCGGCGCGCAAGCGCAGCAGCGACAGCCTCCTCATCAGTAAGTGCGGGCTCGCGGGGATCGTCGATCAGGTGCGGCGATCAGCTCTCGTGTCCGGGAAGACACGGTCGATCAGCGGGAGGAGAGACATGGGCAAGGATGCGGCTGACGGGTGACGGTGCGCAGAGACAGTTCACGACGTTGCAGCGCTGGCGGCGGCCACGATGCGGCGCAAGAAGGAGGGCAGGAGGGCGGCGGCGTGGCAGGGCTACCAGTGCGAGGTTAGCCGACGTCATACACAATGGTGAGTTGCGCCCACTTGGCTACTGCGCGCTCTGCGGGCTGCCCCTTGGCCGGAAGCAGCTGAAAAAGGCGCCGTGGCTGCCGCGGCTTTCCAACGGCGGGCTTGGGGACTGACTCGCGACAGGCTCTGCTACCGCGCCTTCCAGTCGGTGTTTCAGCGCAGGCCGACCAAGCACGCGCTGCTCCTGCGGTGGCTGGCGGCGCGGGCGGCGGCGGGCAGGCCGCGGGCGGCGGCCGAGCGGGCGGCGCTGGCACAGGCAGCCAGCGCAGGCAGCGCATGAGATAGGGAGGCCGGGAGGCCGCGTGTTGGGCGTGTGCGCGCAGAGCAGGGGAGCGGTGCGGCCCTCCGTTAATTCGCGAATCGCGATCTAGACTGGGCCTGATTCGGCGGGGCGGGCGCGGCGGGCGTGGCGGGCGCGGTGGTGGCAGACAAAGTGGCAGACAAAGGGCCCGGGCGCGTGGGCGCGCGGGCGCGCGGGCATTGGCAGCGGTCGGCGATGATGCAGCGCTGATGCACGCGGGAGGCTGCCGCATCGCAGCCACCTACCTGGGCAGGCTGGCTGCTTCGCCAGCCTCGAGGGCGGCGCCAGCGAGCCACTTCTTGAGCAGGCGTTCCCCACACCAGGCGCATCCAGCACTCCTCGCGCGCCGCTGCTGCGACCAGCTGCTGCTCCTCCACGACGTAGATAATTTCTTTCGCCCGCCCGTGCTCGTTGGTTATTAAGGATCCCGCGCGCCGAAAGCGGTCAAGTGGTGACACCGACAGCTCAAGCGACCGGGGTGTGCGAGTCGCTCCCCCTTCGCCATGCCCGCAACGACGTGCGGTGCGCGCGCCCCATTGCACCCATATATCCCCCGGCTCGACGCGCCCACGAGAGCGCCGTGGCCGAGCCTTGCCAGCATCGCCGAGCAGCCCTTCGTTTTCCCCGAGCATGCCCTCCGCCCGCCTGTGACGCTCGACGACCGCTGTCTCTCCTCCGTTCCCTGCTCCGCCGCCGCCGCCGCCGCCGCCGCCTCCCACACACCCCGTGTCCGCCCCCTCCTGAGACCGATGCCCACGTCGCGCCTGCAGACGATGCAAGCCTTCCAGCACCCGCCCGCTCCCGACTCGCCCCCGGACCTGACCGACTCCAAGTCGTCCAAGTCGTCGTCGCTGCCGGACTCCAGCCTGTCCGAGCTGCCCGGCCCGCATGACATCTCCCACTTCGAGGACATCACCCTCGACGACATCAAGACCACCACGCTGCATGCCGACAAGCACGACTCGGCCAAAGCCTTCCCGCCGCGCTCGCCAATGACGCCCGCCGCAACCCTCACCCGCTCCACCACCCTCCCCACCCCCGGCCCAACTCCCGGCCGCGATCTGACCACCTCGGCGAAGCCCTCCAAGCCAGGCCTACGCGTGAACATCAATGGCTCCGCGAAGGACGCCTCCTCCACGCTCGGCATCCCCAGCCGTCGCGGCATGCGCCGCGGCTTCATCAGCCCCTCGACGCCCTCATTGACTCCCGGCCGCCAGTCCAGATCCCCCTCGCCTGCAGGCGGCGCTTCCCGCTCTCCCCGCTCGCCCTCCAAGCGCTTCACTGCGCCGCCGTCGCCCACCTCGCGCAGCGGCTCGCATGACTTCAAGCCGGGCCTCATGCCCACCGTGCGCAGGCAGTCGTGGCAGCCCGGGAGGAAGACTGTGGAAGAGCTGGAGGCCGAGTATCACGACTCGGACGAAGATCTCCCCGACGACGCCATCATGTGGAACGTCCCCATGTCGCCCCGGCCACCCCACCACCGAGCATCTCGCTCTCCGTCCTTTTCGTCTGTCGCCGAAAGCGTGCCCGACGTGAAGCCCCACGACAACGGGCCTCCCAAGTCCCCGTCGCGATCATCCACTGGCTCCTCCTACGCCGCTTCCACGCACAGCAGCATCCCGGAAGACAGCGAGCTCGACATCGCGCGGACCAAGTCATGGGGCGATGCGCTGGACGACCTCTCGCAGGAGGCTAGGGAATTGACAGAGGCGCTGGAGGAATATGCGGGCGAGACTGAACGCCAGCGCGAGGCGAGGATCCAGAGCGGCGTGGCATCGGCACGGCCGTCGATAGAGAAGAAGAAGAGCAGCCCGTCTTTGGTTCAATTACCTCCGATCCAAAAAGGAAACATCATGATCGACCCTCTGCCGATCAGCAAGGAGAAGGAGAAGGTTCTGAGTCGTACGCGGCCGAGCTGGCTGCCGCCCAAGGACCCCCAGGAAGAGAAGAAGCATCTGAGGGAATATCAGAAGATGATGGCGGCTGCGCAGGAGGCTGGCAAGTACCGCCCTCAGGGTATGGAAGCGTGCACATATTGACTGGTAGCAGAGAGACGAATGGCCACCAAGCTTCAAGAGAAGCAGCAGCAACGCGACACGACCCACACCTCGATTTCACGCATCTGGGACCAGCACGTGCTTCCCAACTGGGAGCAGGTCATCAACGAGCCGCGGACACGCGAGCTGTGGTGGCGCGGCATCACGCCACGCAGCCGCGGCACGGTTTGGAAACGTGCGGTCGGAAACGAGCTGGGCTTGTCCGAGACTGGGTACAAAGCAGCGCTGGAGCGCGCCAAGAAGCTAGACAAGAAGCTGGCCAAACTCGACCCAGAGTCCAGAGGCAATGCCCGCGAGTCCATCTGGTTCGACAGCATCAGGCGGGATACCAACGATGCCTATCCTGAGCTCAAGATCTTCCAGGTTGGCGGCCCCCTGCACGAGAGCCTTCTCGACGTGCTCATGGCCTACGCCATGTACCGTTCCGACGTCGGCTACATCTACGGGACTCACCTCATCGCTGGTCTCTTGATCCTCAACATGTCTCCTGCCGACGCCTTCATCTGCTTGGCCAACGTGCTGAACCGCTCGCTTCCCATGGCTTTCCTCGTCAACGATGCCAACGCCATGCGCCGGGCTCGCGACCTCGTCCTCAAGACGCTGCACTACAAGATCCCCAAGCTGCACTACCACCTCACCGAGGGCCTTTCCCTGGAGCCGGAGGAATACCTCGATCCGCTGTTCCGTACCATGTTCTGCCACGGCCCTGGGCTCGACATTGCGAGCCGCATCTGGGATGTCTACGTCTTCGAGGGCGACAAGTCGCTTGTGAGAGCGGCGGTCGGCGTGCTCGATGCGCTAGAGGGACGCCTGTACGGAAGCAGAGAGGAGGTTCTGTGTCTGTTGGGATGGAGTGCGACGCAAGAGTGGGATGTCAAGGACGAAGACGCGTTTATGAGAGGCGTTCGAAACGCCGGAAAGGTCGATTCTGCCAGCAATGGTGGGGTGAGCCCTGGAAGCGCCAGGTAGCTGTCCCCGTCGAGGCGGCACCACTTGGTCGGATCGAAGCCACGCTCGCGAGAAGCCGCTCCTGAAGAGAAGGGGGAAGATGCATTGTAAAAAGGGGAGATACGTGCATATAAACGTAATTACTAATCCCGGTTGAAGCGGGGCGGGGGGGCGACCAAGGCGCAGTGGATCAATAATTGCGGCAATCAGGGGCCTCGGATTGCGGCGTGGTGCACGGCAATCACACTCTAATGACCGCAAGACTCGTTACGGCGTATCGGCAGTATCATTTTTCACCTTTGCGGCCACCGACCCATCACAGCACGAGCACGAGCATGAGCACGCATCGACTGTTTTCATTTTTTTCGCAACAACACCGTAATGAGACCATGGCTAGGCGACTGATCGGATTTCTTTTTTGTCATGCCTCGGCTTCTGTCCCGCCAGCCTGGTGCTCTACGCTCATTGTTCTGGACCATTTCTTTAAAGTTACCCTTCTCGGCCGCCCGATGGGCACCGCTCTCGGGCGGGCCGCCAACACCGTTGTTTTTTAAACGGTAACTTAGATTCCGGAGGACGGAAAGACGGACTCCGCAACGGATATTATTTCCTTTGAGACTCTCAGCGTTGGAGATGGAGCAACGTTTCTTGGATTCCTTCTACGACACAGGCCCAGCCGGATGGCTCCTCCTGCGCGCGCAAAAGCTACAGGCGGCGGCTGGGCATTTGATAACAGCAATAGGCCTGTTCTCGGGCGATTGAGGCCACACAGGCAGACACGGGGCGTGTCTTGCCGAGTTTTGTTTATTTCCTTGATCGAAGCGCACTTCTGTGCTGTTTTCTACCTAGACTTGTTTTCGTGGAGGGCCAATGGCGAAGGTCTCCTCTGGTTGCTTTCCTTCGAGAAACGGAGCCGGCGCATTCTGCATTGTTGCTTTTATTGTTTTTGTGCACTGTTAGACGGAACTGGATTGGTGGGATGAGTCTTTTGAACGGCCGGATTCTTCGACAACACTCCGAATGGGAAGGGAAGGGGTTGGTGAATGAAGCGCTTGGGGATCAAGGTTGTCGGTAGCCGGTGTTGTCAGACCAGGCGTGGCACACGCGAATGAGACAAGAGAAAGTTTGCATTCTTTCCAAAAGGCAGCCTGGCCGAGTGGGGCATCAACATGTCAATGTCGGAGCGTACCGTGTACAGCTGAAGCACGGATGCACGAGCTTCACATACATAACACGGCCATGGGGAAAAGGCGAAACACGCCGCAGCCACACGGCCGGGGCGCGCCGGGGCCGAAGTTGCATCAGGAAGGTCAGTCCGAAAACCAAAAGGCTTTTGTTTTCCTCGCCCGCTGTGGCGGACGCGGGCAGCCGCCGACGGCGGAGACGAGGGGGTTGGAGTGCGCTATAGGGCGTCGGGCTATAGTAATTAACCGTGGCGCAACTCGACGTCTCAACGGCCAGGCCCAGGAGCAGCACAAAGCTTGGTCCGACGGCCGTCCGTCCTCGTCCAATTTCCACCGCATTCTGCTCGGCCCCACACCATGCAGCACGCGGCACCCGGCCCGCGCGGGCCCGAATGAGTAGCATGTTTGGTTTGTCAAGAGAAACGAACACCCCCGGCGCACGGCTGTGTGTCACCGCCGCGTCTCCCTCCCCGGAAGAAGCCACTTCGTTCATGGCCATGTCTTTCATGCTTTTTGCGCGCCACGGCGCCACGGCGCATCGGTCAGGCTAGCCCGTTTCGGCGGCTGGTTAAGCTTATCTCCCACGTCAAATTGCTGCCTCTGCAATAATCCTGCAATCCTTCACGCCTGCATCTACATGCCATTGTTAATTGTATTGCGCCTCTGTCGCAATCGTCATTTGCCACGGCGCCCGTTCCCCCCCAAAGCAGACGCCGCGGGATCGGCATCGGGATCGTGCATCCGATTGAGCCCAGCCACATCTTAATCCCCCCAACCCAACCAACCCCCCCTCCCCCCTTCCTCATCAGACGACGTGTACTTCGGTTACGTACCTATTGCTGCTGGCCGAACAAGGCAGGGCTCTGTTTGTGAGGGTGAGCGGCCATTATTGGTTTCCTGCGCAGGCGGGGTCCCCGCAGGAAGCGGACGTTGAAGCATTAACATTGAACTGCTCTTGACCTTGATTGGGCCCAGAGAATCCCTGCTCGTGAGCCTTTTTTTTTTTTCTCCCCGATGCAGTCCAGGCATGCAGCCATGTGGATGGCTGCTTGGTCGCATAATCGCCGCTTGTGTGCCGCACTTGCTGAGGCCGCTGGAAGAGACGATGCGCTGTCACTCCCGCTTCGCAAGGCTGCGAAACACTTCCCTGACCCAAGCCAAGTCGGGCAAGTCAGGATGCGTCCCTGCCGACCATATAGTCGCATGCCCGTGGCCCCCTTCGCTTGGGCTCGCCAGTGAGCGATCAACGAAAGACAGGCATGAAGTTTTGATATCATCTTGCTATCTATGATCTATGTAGCCGGCAATAAACGGCGAGGAAATCTCCTGCGCAGAACCGCCATCTGAATAATTAATGCAGGTCCCTCAACATTCCACGATCGTTGCCTCTCTGCGTATATCCACACTCCGCCGTGTCTTCCTGCTGTATAGTAACGTAATATGTATGTATACGAAGATGAACTCTTCCATGAACCCATCGGGCCTGGTTGTTTCCTAGTCGGACATTTGCTTGAGCATCCTCTCCAGGCGGTGGACATGCTTTTTTGTTACTAATGCCCCTCTTTCCCAGCTATTGTCGAGCAGATCGGTTCGAGCTTGTTTCTCGTGCTCTATGACCCGATCGTTGATCTTATACAGGCCTCCCGCCACATGCGTACGTGCTTCCAAAAGACATTTTCTGCGTGTTTCATGCTCTTGACGGTGCGTTTCCTCCATCAGCTCGATCAGGTACGTGCCATCCGCTTCGTAGTCCCGTAAGATGTCCTCAATGGCCGTCTCCGAGTCTACCAGATGCCGGACGAAATGCTGTACACGTGTCAATAGAATCCCTACCTGAAGTTGGCACTGCGGTTGCGAGTGTAGAAGGTGTACTTGCCCTTGATATGCGAGTAAGAACGTCGAAAATGTCCCTTTGGTGCGGCCTCAGACATTCCTCCCATGCCACCTCCTCTACCACCTCCTCGTAGTGACCGTTTGGCTCCGCGTCCGTCGAGGAGAAACCCGCCGTCGAGCTCTTATCTTCGACCGAGCCCTCCTCCACACCTGCTCCAATCATGTCTACCAGAGTTCGCTCGGAGTCGTCATTGTCAGCGCACACTCCTGCTGCGAGACCACCATCATTCAACTTGATCTGAGCTGCCCTGATCTTCTCCATTTGCTTTCGAAGGTTTCGAATGAATCTAGTCTCATCCTTTGGCTGGCCAGGAGTCAAAGTCTGCCCATTGAAAGGGTCTATCAGAGGGCGAGCAGGTGTCTGCAAAGACTTGGACGTTGCTAACAACTGTTGAGGAACATTGATTGTTATCGCCTTTGAATCTGCTCCAGGAGGCTCCGGCACCTTTTTGCTATTACTGGACACAACTCGCTTTGGCTGCGATAGGACGTGTCCATGCGGAATCCTGTCTTCACTGTGTCGCGCTACACTGTCTTCCATCTGGCGCTTTTCAGACCCTACAAGACCTTTTGCTCGAGGGCGAGATGAATCAAGCACATTCGGCTCAAAGTGAGAGATCTCGGGCTTCACTGATCCAACATCCCGCTGAGGAATGGCGTCGAAAAACTGAAGGTTGGAGCTTTCGGCAGGAATAACAGGCTCGCGATACGTTCTGACCGGTTCAATCGCAGACTCCCGCAAGTTCAGCATGTTGTTATGCTCTACGTCATTGGCGCTGTTTGAATCCATACCATGCATGCTGCGAAGGATGGAGGTCGCGGAAGATGGGCTAGATGTCTGATCTTCCAACGGCTCTTCAACTCGTAGCTCGTCGGAATCGAAGTAACTTTCTTGCCTTTGGTTTCGGCTTGGTCTCTTTGTATCCCTTTCGGATTCCGAGCCGAATACACGGGCGTTTCTACTTGAATGACGGGCAAGTGGAGATGACTCCGGCTCGAATGCGGCGGATATTGGCTGATTAGCGAATGAAGAGGAGGAAGATCCAACCGGCGCAGAGACACCGTCGAAGTCTTCCACAGGATTCTCCGGCCCCAGCGAGACAATGCTCCTTGGGCTTGTTGGCTCTGAGGATCCGTCATATCTCTTCATCCGTTTCTCGAACAGCATTGCAGGTAGACTGCTTTCCATCTTGTTCTCGTGGTCCATTGATCTGCGTCGTCCATACCCTTGGGGAGTATCGAATCCTGCGGATCGCTTTCTAGGCAACAGGGATATCGAGGCCGGAGCCGCCTTTGAGAAGTGCTCTTCTTTCTCAATCAGAGAGCTAAATTTGTCCTTTTCAGGCCTATTCCTAGACTTCCCCGCGCTGTAGGTTGTGCGTATAGGCTTTGTGGGGTCTGGAGTTTTGCGTGGTGAATGGTATTCTTGACTAGATGGCTTGTGCAGGTCGTAGACATGCACCGGTGATTTCCTGGAGATTTTTTGATGAAGCAAACCTCGGTTTCCAGTGCCGTTACTTTGTCCATCAGCCTTCGACAAAGCTGTGAGGACATTTCCTTCTTCAAGAACTTCGGCTTTTCCTCGCTGCTCGGACCCATTGAGTAAAGCTGCAGTCTTCTTCTTCCTCACAGAACGCTGTGCAGGCTCAGTTTTCTGCAAATTACCTTTTGGTTTTGCAGTATTCTTCGTAGGCTTGTCAGCAGAGCTGGCTGTATGCTCGAGTGGGTCCGTGTCTCCCTTCTCGAGACGGGTTTCTGATAAGTTGATATTACTTTTGGACCTTGGACTTCCCTTTTGATCCCAAGAGCTGAGGTCAGACTCGTCCGAGCTCACGATCACTATATTTTGTTGAGATCCTCCTGCTCCCGGGGAAGTCTCTTGCTTCTGGTTGATCCTGGGCATTCGCGCAGGCGCTTTCTGGTCGACAGCCTTTGTCTCCATATTTTCTAAGTTCGAGGTTGCGTGATGCTCATGTGCAGCGCTGCCTTCAACTTCGGGGTGAGTAACATGATCGTCATCTTCAGGGGCTCTCTCGCCAACTGCGGTATGACCTTCTCGGTTGGTCCTATCAACTGATTGCTTGACAGGAAGCAGGTCAATTTCCGGCTTCGGCGGTGTCTCCGCGACTTTCTTGGAAAGAATGGACCCTCCGATCTGCGTTTGAGCTGCTTCGGTAACATGGGTGTTTCGAGCCGCCGATGCTCTTGTGACTCTACCTGACGTCTTGCGAACGGTCTTCTGGTGTTGACCCGGCCGATATTCGTCATCACTCTCATCGTCCTCGCTTCTCTCGGGGTTTCTCTTCTGGTCCGGTTGGCGCTTTCGTCCTTGACCTTGAGAGGTTCTCCCCTTCGTCTCACGTTTTCGAGGCTGAGGAGCTGACTGAGTAGCCCCAGTGTCACCCCCCTTCGTTTTCAGAGTCTGACTCAACTGGAAGACTGGCTTTGGACTCTCGTCCGGAAGACTGTAGATGCTGTCTTCATTCTCAGTTCGCATTTCCGTATCCTTCATTGAGGGGTGCGCATCGTTTTCTTTGGTGCCCCCGTCTAAGCCAATTTTTGCCAACTCGGCTGGAGGTACAACCGCAATTTGGTCAACCGCATCAACATCTAGCCCATCATTTCTAGAATACACACCTTCGTCGAAGATTTGCTCTTCGGGAACTTGATCTTTGAGCGCCACGTCATGAGTGGGGTCGTCCTGAACAGCACCATGCTCTGTATTTCTCATTGGCAATGCATCGTGAGCTTGCGGCGGCTCCTTAGCGCCATAAAATAAGGTATTCGATGGCACAACGGCCATGCCATCGGAGCCCGGGTTGCCATCGAACACGTGAGGGACGCTGGATGATCGAGCTGACTGTAACTCCTTCCGATGAGATGCTGTTTCCGGTCTGCACCTTCGCCAGACCTCTTCCATAACGTGTTGGGCTTCATGGGCCCTTGCGAGCTCCACCGAAACTGCTTCTGTGCTATATGGTTCGGCGTTGACGACATAAGTCCAGGGGCCAATGGAGCTCACCAAATCTAGGCGCAGTTCGACTTCGGATGAGATTGCCACGCCACTTATATTCTCAAAGGGAATGTCGACATAGAATGTATGGGTGGCGGCAGGAGGAGCAACGACGACAGTCAAACGGTCTTCGATCAGCATCAGAAGCCGCCCTTGGTGTTCATCAAAGAATAGATCCTGGCCGGCGTGCACTGCACGAGGATAGAATACATTGGCGGATGACCTACACATGTTAGTGTGGGGTACAAGAGAAGCGGCCAAGCGGCGACGCACGCTTGAGATTCCGAGAAACCGTCAAGGACGGTCTGCAGACCGACCATCCATTCCTGCGAGTCGGCGCGGGCAAACGTAGCACTCTCGGTCTGGCTAGGCCAGAAGAGACGCTGATCGACTTTTTTGAGGGCAAGCTCGCTCATGATCATACAAGAAACCAGCATCAAGTCTTCTCTATCGTCCTGAAGCTGGACGAGTCTGCCGAGACCACTCAGTATCGGAGCTGTTGTGTTCTTTTGGCAACCGAGACGTTCAACGGCGCGGTCAGAGCTGCGGCAGAGTTCGTAAAGAAGTAGACCAGCCTGGACTCTATAAGCTCACAGCCTCACTCAGGGCGAGGGTTGACTTGCCCATCGGCGGAGCAGCAGACGGTTGGCCGAGTTGAGGAAAAAGTCGAGCAGGTTGGTGGCCAGATATTCTCCAACTGCATCCTGGACGTGGTTTCCATCCTGCTGTGCCAGAGTCGCCTGGAACGTGTGAGTCGGGACTTCCGAGAGGTGTGAAGGTCTGCCTACAATGACTTCGCATAGCGGCCTGGCTCCGGTGAGGCTGCCATCTGAAGAAAGAGCCACCGTTACTTGGGCGATCAGATGGTCGGATTGAGTGACGTTGTGCGGCATGGCAACAAGCCTGGCGATTCGGAGCCCAGCCAGCTTGCTGGTGGTGAGGAGGGAGAGAAGTGGCGGCTTTGCGAGGGTGACGCAGACATGGGCGAGACGGGAAGGAGGCCAGCGCAGTCGGGGTCCACACGCGCTTTCCCGACGCCGCGTCGCGCACCGCAGCCGACGATGGCACGAGCGGCTACAGGTTGCGAGATATGCCGGACGAAGCGAACACACCCGACTGCTGGTTGGTTCTCTCCTCCCGCCGATGGGAGTGACGCGGTGTAGCTACCCGGAGACAAGAACGCGACTCGTCAGCCCCAGGCAGCCCGCTCGACGGCTCGACGGCTCGACGCGTCGGCGCGTCAGCGCGTCGGCATTCGGGAGACGCGTCCCCCGAGCCGGCTTACCTCATCGTGGTCTTACCAATCAACTCCATGCACCCAACATCGCTCGAGCTGTTAAACCCCCTCTTGCGCCATTCACTTACTTCGTCACCTCATCCTTGTTATTGCCGTTTCCGTCAGCTTCGTCAGAGCTTGATTCGACTGCCTGTCCTTCATTCGCAAGGACCACCATGTCTACAGAAACCCTTGGCCGTTCCGAGACGTCGGCCGGCGTCCCCAACCTTCAACCCGCGTTTCTGTCCCTGTTCTCCAGAAAGCGTCGCGCCGGGACCCCACCAAGCCTCCCGCCGCCGTCCGGTGAGCGCCGGGACCAGTCGCTCTGCGAGACGCCCCTCGATCTTCGGGATACAACGTCATTGGACCATCTCGCTGCCGCCACCAAGGAGACGGTCCTGTACCTGGCCTATGGCTCCAATCTGTGCTACGAGACCTTCCAGGGCAAGCGAGGCATCAGGCCGCTATCACAGATCAACGTCGTCGTGCCCTCGCTCCGTATCACATTTGACCTGCCCGGCATTCCCTACACCGAGCCATGCTTCTCCAACTCGGGGTTGAGAAACCCTGCCTCGGGAAACGAAGGTGAGGCTGCCTCGGAGAAGACGCCGTTGTTCGCGCCTGCTTCCGGGTACAACAAGGACCGCTGGAAGAAGGGCCTTGTTGGCGTCGTCTACGAAGTAACGCTCAGTGACTACGCCCACATCATTGCCACTGAAGGCGGCGGTACCGGCTACAAGGATGTGCTTGTGGACTGCTACCCTCTGGACGACAGGGACTCGGTGCCCGATCAGCCCACGGGCCAGCTGTTCAAGGCGCACACCCTCTTCGCACCGACCCAAGAAGGCGGGCGCCTCAAGAGACCAGATCCATCCTACGCCCAGCCATCCGCACGGTACCTCAAGCTCATCACTGATGGGGCTGAAGAACACGACTTACCCAGGGACTACAAGGAGTATTTGTACGGGATCCAGCCGTACACCATCACAAGCAGACGCCAACGTGTGGGACAGATGATCTTCAACACCATCTGGCTGCCGCTCTTCCTCGTGATGATAGCACTCCAGGAAGCATTCCAAGACAAGAACGGCAACAGTCCGAGCTGGGTGGCCGCTTTTGCCAACGCCCTTGTGAATGCGGCCTGGGCCTCGTATGATGGAGTCTTCAAGAGACTCTTTGGCGATGGCGAACGCACGGTCGAGAAAGGGGATGAGGAAATGCAGGCGTCAGCATGCTGTATACGTCGTAGGGTGCGCAACATTGGATCTGACGCGAGGACGAAATAACATGCCCGCGCGGCAAGGCATCCTGGGTGCGGATCCGGCCTTTGTATCCGAGAAGATTCAAACTTAGCAATGAAATGCGGCTTTGCGATGGCCTGCCGGCGCTCTTCGTCAGCGCAGAAGGGGTCCGCGGAGATGGTCAGAGCGCACCCCCGAGCTTCCCCGCAGACGCCGTCATCCGCCTCGGCTGCTTCAAGTACTTTATCCTTCCGTCCGCCCTCGCTCTCACATGGCTTCAAAGAATCCGCCATGAACTTGTCAGCGGCCTTCAGAACTGGGTACCCATGGGCGCAGGCGCCGCTCATTGTGAGCGCGCCCATGCGCCTTATTGCACTCGCGCCGCTAGCCGTCCAAGTGTCGCGCGCAGGTGAGCTCCACCACTGCTTGTGTGCCATCCACGGAGAGATATTGACGGACGCCACCAGGTGGCCTCGGCTTCATTGCCGCCGGGAGCGATACAAGCATCCTCGAGCCCAATCTCCGCGAAGCCCACCAGCAGCTCACAGCCGACCCCATTCCCGGCTCAGACCCGCGCACGGTGCTTCCTATCGGCGTGGGCTTCATCAACTGGGGCGCAGACCTCGGGCAAGCAACCGCTCTGCTGGGGAAATACACGCCTGCCGCGGCTTGGTTCTTCGCACCGCGCGAGACGGACCATCTCCGGCTCTGGGCGAGCACCATCCGCGAAGCCACCCGGAGCCGCACGAGCATCTGGGTCCAGGTCGGCACCGTTGCCGAGGCCCTGGCCGTGACGCTGGCGTGCAAGCCGGACGTCCTGGTCGTCCAGGGCACCGATGCGGGCGGCCATGGCCGCGAGCGCGGCGCCGGCATCATTGCTCTCATGCCCGAGGTCGCCGACGCCGTCGCCGACCTGGACCTGGCCCCAGAGGAGACGCCGGCCCTGGTTGCCGCGGGCGGCATCGCCGATGGCCGTGGCGTCGCAGCAGCGCTGGTCTTGGGGGCAGAGGCCGTCGTCTTGGGCACGCGTTTCCTCGCGAGTCCGGAGGCGGCCATTGCGCCGGGCTACAGGGCCGAAGTCATCCGGGCAAGCGACGGCGGCGTCGGCACGGCGCGGACCAAGGTCTACGACCAGCTGCGCGGCACTACGGACTGGCCAGAGGGATTCAACGGGCGGGGAATCCTGAACCGGAGCTGGGAAGACGCGGAGAAGGGCATGCCGGTCGAGGAGAACAAGAAGCTCTATGAAGAGGCCGTCAAGCTCGGCGACGGCGGCTGGGGACCACAGGGGAGGATGACGGCGTATGCAGGCACGGCTGTGGGGCTGGTGAAAAGGGCGATGGCGGCAAAGGAGATTGTGGAGGAGGTAAGAGAAGGCGCAAGAAGCGTCCTGCGTGGGCAGGACGAGTCTTGTTGGACAGGCCGCACGTAGAGGATCGGCGGCGGTCAATTTCTTTCGCAATGCAATGCAATGGTGGGATGGATTTCTGGTGTTGCAACGGCTGACTCGACGATCCTGATATCGGTTGGCGACGACAAAAACACGCGGGTCCAGAACTCGGCACGCAGGTGCTTCTCGACGTCATGTCGGGCCGAGAGGGCGCAGCTCGACTCTTTATATTCGACTGCTTCGTATTCGGAGACGATGGAGAGGGCTGCCGGTGCCGCAAAAATTTGGAGAACTCGGTGAGCACCTGTCCCAATTTGCGCGAGCAGGCGCCACATGCTGGGCCGGGCATGAGGATTCCAGCCTCGACACAATGGCCAGCCACTCCTTCTTCGGAGCGCGCGGCCAGCCCGCGTCCCCTTTCTCTCACGAGTCGCCCGCCAAGCAGCCAGCCCGAAATACGCTCCCATGCACCTGGCGACAGATCCTCCGTTTGATCTCCATCCAATGGAACCCGGCGCCCTACTAATCATAAATAGTCGGCCCAACACCCCCCGGCCCCGGCTAAGCGTGTGGGTTTGGCGCTGCCTTCGCTCTTCCAAGCCATCCTCCCCGCTTTTTGACAACGATGCCTGGCGCATCCGCACATGGCCAGGTCGTCCTTCCGCGGCCGCCGTTATCCTTCTTCAGATCGACGGTGCCGATAGTGTGGTTCCTTCTCATGCTTATTAACGCCATGATCACATCAGCCACCCGCCAATGTTATTACCCCAATGGCCTGGCCGCCCAAAACGCCGCCCCATGCTCGTCCACCCTCCCGTCCCGCGAGCACAGCCCATGCTGCGAGCAACGTAGCCTCTGCTCCGCCGGCGGGCTGTGTCTAAACCAGCACGCTACCGATTCGCGCGCGGTGCTGTACGTAGCCGGCTGTACCGATCCTAGCATGCAAGATGACGCCTGTCCAAATTACTGCAAGTCGGGTATGGTGACCCCGATCCAGCTACGCCTGTTCTTTTCTTTTCTTCGTCTGCTCTGGTCCCGGGCTAACGCTATGCAGTTGGCGATGCTGTCGTGCCCTGCTCAGACGGCACGTGGTGTTGCAGTGTCGCAGGCATTGACGGCATTGGTGATACCTCGTGCTGCACCAATGCCGACCAAACCTTCCGTTTGGACTGGGGAGCCCTTTTCCTGCCGGCTCGAAACACGGACGACGACGACGACGCCGCAGATGACGCCGCCTACGGATCTCGTCTCACCAACAACCGATTAGCCCCTCGTGCCACAACAACAGTCTCGACTGCGGCCACCTCCTCCACCTCGTCCATCTCAACCAACGGCGTCCTACTCGCCACCCAAGCCGACGATGACGACACAGACACGAACTCGAAGAAGTGCCCGCCCGACCGCAGCGCCATCGTCGGCCTCTCGGCGGGCGTGCCGCTAGGCGCCTGCCTGCTAGCTGCGCTGGCCGCCATCTTCGTGCTGCTCGGCCGCGACCGCAAGGCCCGCGACCGCATCCGCGCCCTGACCGAGTCTGCCCGCGAGGAGCGGGAGCGCGTCGCCCGCGAGCACATTGTCCCACGCGTGTACGCCGCATCCTACCACGCTCCGACGTCGCTCGGCACCCCCAGCGTGTCAAGGTTCGGCCACAACCACAGCGGGAGCGTGGTGGGCAGCAGTCCGATCTTGACCGGGCCGTCGCCCCAGACCCCGGAGGGTCGGCAGGATGGGTTCGAGGGCTTCGACGGGTACGTGGACGAGGGAGGCTTGGTCCCCGGGGGCGAGGGTGGCCACCACGGTGGCGCGAGGCATGTCAGTTGGGCGACTAGCGCGGGTGGTGGGAGCAGAGTGGCTGGGACGCACGAAAGCTGGACGACCGGTGGGGGAAGCAGCTCATGGGCATACGAGTATGACAACGAGCCGCACGGATCAAGGAAGGAGAGGTTTGAGATGACCCCTTAAGAAGAGACAGCAGACGCCAAGCGGAGGGGACAAGAAACGAATGTGAAGAGGGGGTGGAAAGCAAAAAGCAGGACGTGTTGGAAGACTGCACGGAATAGGGGGAAGAGACCCGATCGGCTTGATGGCCATCTGGCCATGGGGTATGTTTCGGAGGAAAGGACGCGAAGAGACGGAACTTGAGTGGCGCTGATACCCCCTCATGGAGCACCCACATCATACGCCTAATATTTATTTCCAATTGTACACTGCCTACTCGGCCAGGATCCTGTCCAGCCATACCCTGCCATGCGGATCTCCGACCATCTTCGTCTTAACATCGGCATCCCTTTTTGAATCGCCCTGGCGGCAAGCGCAACTTCCTCATTGACGCTCTTGATGCTGCACGGCGCCCTCTTATAATTCACATGAAAATTCCGCCAACAGTGTCCGAATCCGAGCGTGTACCCTTCATTCTTCAGCCAGACCACTACGGTCGTCACCAAGGAGGATTAGAGCATTGGTCATGCGAAATGCCGGCCTGCTTGACTAACTCCCAAGCGGCCGACGTTCCGCGTCTGACGTCCGCTCGATCCGGCGCATGCGGGGCACGGCTGCCGCAACACCGCTTAAGTCCGGGAGGAGGACGTGTATGTAAGCCTTTCTAAGCATGCATAAGCCTCGCCGTTCAGCCAGACTATAAACCTCTCAGCAGAAGAAACCGTCGTCTCTCCCAACCGACCTTCTGGCCGCGCACACGCATCACAAATCCAACGGCGCCACAGCCACCGCCCACATCCATCTTCACCCCAGAGCAAGCAGCATGTCGCCCATTCCCCGGACCATGCGGGCCGCCGTGCTGCACGCGCCGGGCGGGCCGTCGGCGCTGAAGCTGGAGACGCTGCCGGTGCCGGTGCCGGGGGCGTCGCAGGTGCTCATCCGCGTCAAGGCCTTCGGGCTCAACCGCTCCGAGATGTTCACGCGGCAGGGCCACTCGCCCGGCGTGAAGCTGCCGCGCGTGCTCGGCATCGAGGCCGTCGGGCTCGTCGCCGCCGTCGGGCCCGGCGTCGACGGCACGCCGCCCGGCGCCGTCGTGGCCACGGCCATGGGCGGCATGGGCCGCGCCTTCGACGGCGGCTACGCCGAGTACGCCTGCGTGCCCGCCGCCCACGTGCGCGCCGTCGCGGCCGACGAGGCGGAGCTGGCGCGGAGCCTGGGCGACGCCCCGCGCTGCTGGGAGACGCTGGGCGCGCTGCCCGAGATGCTGCAGACGGCGTGGGGGTCGCTGGCCAAGAGCCTGCGCCTGCGCCCCGGCGAGAGCCTGCTGATCCGCGGCGGCACCACGAGCGTCGGGCTCGCCGCCGCCGCCCTGGCCAAGGGCCCCATGGCCGCCTCCCGCGTCGTGGCCTCGAGCCGCAGCGAGGCCAAGGCCGGCCTGATGCGCGACTTCGGCGCCGACGACACCGTCGTCGACGACGGCCGCCTGGCCGCCAAGTTCGAGGCCGAGGGCCAGAAGTTCGACAAGGTGCTGGAGCTGGTGGGCACCCTCACCCTCAAGGACTCGCTGAGGTGCGCCAAGGAGGGCGGCATCGTGTGTGTGACGGGCATCGTCGGCAACTCGTGGGCGCTGAACGACGTCAATCCGATGGAGCTGATCCCGTCCAAGGTGTGCTTGACGGCATACTCGGGAAGCGAGAAGGACTTCATGGACACGCCCCTGAAGGACTTGGTCGAGAAGGTTGGCAAGGGCGAACTGAAGGTGAAGATTGGCAAGGTCTTCAGGCTTGATGAGATTGTCGAAGCGCACCAGTTGATGGAGGACAATAAAGCCAACGGCAAGATTGTGGTTTTGACCTAGCTGCCAAATCAACCAAAGAGAGACGTAGCAGTGAGTCAAGGAAGCTGGAAATCAGTGAGCTCAGGGTATTCAATCGAGTGAAGTGATCTGCCAAGGTATAGTGCATGACTGTACTTTGAACTGAGTTATAGCTGGCCATCTTTTTTCAACTACATGTCAAGGAAAGTAGCTTGACCCAACACTTACATCCGGCCTGCTACTCCAATTACACATGGGGAAATAAATAAACTTGCATACATATCCAGCCCTCTGCTTCAACTACTACATGTGAAGATAAAGGCAATTCAACCCTACATTTACATCCAGATGTCTGCTTCGACTATACATGAAGGAAGGTTGTCCAAACATACATCTACATCGGGATACTTACTTCGACTGTCCATGCAAAGAATCACCGTAGGTCAATTTCTTCCGCAGCCCACTATGACACCGCCTTCACCCCCCACCATCTTTTGTATTGCCTTGTCGAAGTCTTCACAGGTTCGTCGTCACGGTCATGCTATTGCTATGCACCAGCATCACCGGGGGCAACCCCTGACACAAGACCTCCAAGTCCGCAAGGTACCTCACACTTGCATGCTCGTCCTCGCAAGTGCCCTCGACGGGGCTGGGCAGCGTGGTGAAGACGACGGCGGTACGCTGATCCTTGCCGCTCTCGCGTCTGATCAGCTCGTTCAGAATGAGGTGCTGTGCGCGGCACGGCAGGTCGTTGAAGCTCAGCGGCACCGACTGCTGGAGCGGGAAGCCCGAGGCCTGCGACATCGACGAGGACGCTGCGCCGGGGCTACCCGGCGTGGAGGGGGAGTCGGAGCCGCTTTCGTCGGGGTTCGCCGGCCCAGGCAGAGGTGCGGCAACCTGGGGCGAACCACTGCGCGTGTAGATGGAGGTGCCGAAACGACGCTCGCGCTGTTCCTCAGGCGAGAGCGGCTCCGCGAACATGATTGAGGGTCCCGGTCCGTCGTCGGCGGCCACCTCGGTGCGGGGGACTGGCTTGGACGTAAATGTAGGCGGAGATTGGTGGGAGCCGGCATTGGTGGGAGGCTGTGAGGTGACGAGGGTGCTATCAGAGTTCGCAGCAGCGGTTGGCGCAGGAGGAAGAAGCTCGCCTCGGCGCGGCTGCGACTGCTGTCTCGGAGTGCTGGGGAATGAGCTGGTGCTCTCTCTTTCACTACGGGCTCGCCGCATCGGGCTGAGCGTCCCTTCGTCGGATTCGGTTTGAGGGTCGTTTTCTGAAGATGCAGAACGATCGCTATCGCTACATTCGGCCTCGGATTCGCCACCGGACGATGAACCGTCGCTCGAGCTCTCTTGTCCATCGAGTCCGGGCGGGAGCCGGTGAGTCCGCATTCCCATACTGACACCCATCTGCTTGAGGCTGCCAACAGAGGTTCTGCGACGCTCAATAAGCATATCCTTGATATCTGCGAACCTTTTTGACTTGGTTTCCCGGTCGCCTTGTCGGAAGGCTGTGCCTGGCCAGTTTGAAGCAGTCTCGAGGAAGCCCTCAATCTGCGCCAGCTCTTCCATGGGCGTTATGGCCCCGGTTTGCCTTTGACGGAGCTTCTGTATATCTTGCCACCAAGCTTCCTCCCTCAAGGCCTCCTCGATATCTTGCCTCGCTTCACGGTACGATTCGTCAGCCTGGCCGTTGACGATGATCTCATACGACTGCAGGTCGCCAGAAGCAAGCCATAAGACCATGACTTCGGCCTCGATTCGCAGGTTGTAGAGCAAAGCTTTGACTCTTGCTCGCTCCTCTTCGACGTCGGACTCGTACTCTACGAAGACGGCGACTCGGAGACGATAGGCTCGCTTCCAGGACGGGACGGTATTGAGAATGCACCCAAGCTGGAGGATCAACGTGTATGTGTCAAAGTTCGTTGTGAGAATGCTTTGCGTGCCGTCGCTGGGCGCAGCAACCTCTGCAGACATCTGAATGGGCCAGAGGTCAATGTACTTCTTAGTGCCCTCTTCCTCGTCCGCACTCTTGGCATGCAAGGCATCAAGCACCCTCTCGAGCCTTGACGGCCTGGGAGCCGGAAGCTCAAGATCTTGGAAGCCCTTGGCAATTGCGACGTTCATCTGAAGACGGAGCAACAGGTCCTCGAGGATCGTGACGTAGCTTTGCGGCGTTACAGCACTCTCCTTCCGAATGGCATCCGTGGGGAGTTGGCCTCTGAGCTTGTTTTCCTCGGCAATTTTCCACTTCCCTTTCGATTTCAGTCTATGCGGAGCGGTGCCGTTGGCCGTACCTTGTGTATGTTCGGGTTGCGGGGACGGTACATCGACCAGCGGGTTTGTCCGGAGATCATTAAGATTGTATATGCCCATGACGACAATGTTGGGTTTCATCCCGCCAAGTCCGGCGCTCAGAACAACGTTCCTCGTGCCCCATTCGATGTTTGGAGAAATGACAATGCTGATGAAGGCTTTGATCCGGGAGAAGTCAATATACTTTGTCCAGGCAGACTGTTGTTTCTTCACTTCTGGGACGGCCCCCGCGAAATCGTTTGTGACGATGACATGGCCAAGAACAAACAGCGCGCCCTTCTTGAGAGAGTTACAGAACTGAATTAGCTTGTACTGTCTCCGGGGATCGTTGATGAAAAGCAGAATCTGGGGTCTCCAGAACTTGACGTGTTCTTGGCGTAATCGGAGAAGGTACTTTCGGACTTGATGGTAGATCAAACTCTGACTGACGTCTCCCCAGGCCTTTGGAGGTGTGGTGTAGTGAATAATGAGAAATATCAAGACAATAGTGGCGAAGCAGGCAGAGGCGGACAGGCCGTCGACGAAGAACATTGTGAGTGCACTTGCTATGGCTCCTATTGCGGCAGTCCACCAGTTGAAGAAGTGGAACGACGGCCGGAAATTGGGTGCTGAGGCCACCTTCAGCAGGAAACATGCTAGATTGGTGACCAGAAAAGTCATGAGGTACGCCATGGTCACCAGCGAGGCGATCTGGTTGATATCAGCGAGCATGGTCAGCTGTGAGAGGACGTATGTCAGGCCGATCGCCAGCATTGGCTCGTCGGCGGCTTTGCTTCCTTGAGCAAAAACCAAAAGCCCTGGGATGAGCTTGTCGCGAGCCAGAGCCTGCAAGAGCTTGGCGGACCCGATGACTCCCATCAGGGTGGAGAAGAGCGTGGAGGCGAATTCTCCCAAGAGAACGAGAGCGCCGGAAACATTCACCTTGGTGTCTGTCAGTGTGTGCCTCGAAGGCGATCAGCAACCCCGCTTACCACTTGGATTACGTTATCATTGTTGTAGAAGGATAGCCTCGTGATGCTGGCAGCCATAGAGATGATCACTATGGTGTAAGTCACAAACGTCAGAGCCAGTCCGTAGAGAGTGCCTTTCGGAATGGATTTGCTGGGGGCTTCCAAGTCTCCCGACATCGAAGCGCCACTGAATCCGTCCAAGTCAGTGGAAGCTGCACTCGGAAAGAGTAATATGATAGGCGGACTGACGCAAATATGCCTCCCGTTGCGGGGAACAAGATACCAAACAGATCTTGCCACGTCTCCCTACCCTTCAGCCCGCTCCCAGCCGCGCCCTGGGTGAGGTTTGGCAATAGATTTCCCTTTAGTGTCTCAAGGCTGAGTCCTGTATACTCAATGCCCAGCTTTACGTTTGAGAAGGGGGTTTGAACCAGGGTAGAGACGGGAATACTGAAAGTAGCGACAAGCAGGATAATCAAAAGCGCATTGCTACAGCGGGCAAACAAGCTACTTCCAGCCAAGCAAATCACGGTGCAGACGGCGAGGACGACAGTAGCCCAAAGGTACTGCCACCAAAAGTCATCAGGCAGCCAGTTGGCCCAGCTTCCGTGGGTGGAGCCAAAGTTCTGGACGAAGCAAGCAACCAGACCAACAGCATTCATGCCTGTGTTCAGAACACAGCCGAGGTAGAAGACAATTCCGATGGAGCCTCCAAACTCGGGCCCAAGGCTACGTGAAATGAGATAATATGCACCTCCGCCCCTTACTGTTCCATTGGTCGCAATGGCAGAGACGGATAGCGTGGTCAGGAGGTTGATAGCATAGCACGCGACAAGCAATCCTGGCGACGAGAAGTTAGCGAGACTGTCACGCGGGAAGTACGCTGGGCCAACACCGAGGATCGATGAGCGACCAAGGAAGGAGTGATGGCCATCCTCCCGCACAAATGCGCAAAGACGAATAATCGGGGTCCTGTCTTGTTGTAGAAGCAGCAGCTTGGCTGGAGGCTGGGCTCGGCCGCGATCACTCCCACAGGGGGCTCCGAAAGGAATCAAGCTATGGCGATCCCATGTGTGGGCAGCTGAAGCAAAGGTACTGACGCAGGCGCGTGTTTAAACGACTTGTCTTGACTTCTTTCGCAACCCCACTGTGCACTCGGGTTTTTCTTTTTTCTTTTTTTCTTCTTTTTTCCCTTCTTTTTTGAGCAAAAACAGAACCGCCAAATGCGAAACCGTCTGCGGCTCGACATGTTACACCATGCGGGGGCATGTTCATTCTTGGCAGCGGGAGGAGCACGAGTACCTAGGCGGGCGGGATGCTAATAATGGCTGAAAGCAACTGTACTTACCCATCATGCCAAGAAGTCCGCCTTGGCCAAGAATGAAGCCAAAGCGGAGGAACATCAGGATGCTCAGGACATTGAGGGTAGTGGGCACGAAGACACCGGCGAAGGTGCCGAGCTTGGCGGGGGCGCTGGCTGGTTTGCAGCGGTCGGTCCCAGAAGAGCGCGTCCTGCGGTGGCCGCTGCGGCTCCGGGTCGAGGCGCGGCGCGTGAACAGGGCGCTCAGGAAGGAGCCGAAGGTCCTGTTCTCACGTGGCACGCTGACCGGACGGCGGCGGCGGGGTCCGGCGGCCAGCAGTGGCTCGGCCTCGTCCTGGGCGGACATCTGCGAGAGCGACCAGCGGCGCTGCAGCTGGTGCGAGTCGTCCTGGGCGGAGCGGGTGGTGAAGTTGGAGCGCGAGTGGAGCCGCGAGGGCATGCGGGACGATCCCCCGCGGGAAGCCATGGCGTTGGTGGCACAGTGGCACAGTGGTGAGCTGGGCGGGCTGGCCCGGGGAGAGCTGGGGCTGCGGAGGGGCTGGGGAGCGCTGGGGGGGGCGGAGCGGCGGCGGGCGGGCGGCGGCACAGGACGCTGGTTATAGCGGCCATGGTGGGCTGGGGAGGTTGTCGCGCTGGAGTCCGCTGGAGTCGGCTGGGTCCGCTGGAGCTGTTGACGTTTGAGAGGCCACAGCTCAGACGACGGGCGCTGTGGGGCGGGCCAATGGCAGGGCGCGCAAGCCGAGCGCCGGCGTTTCAACCGCCGGGCTGGCTGAGTGGCTGGCCGTCCGCGGATGACCTGCCTGCCACCCTGCTCGACTCGGCCATCTGCGCGCCCTGCGCCCTCGACCGCCAGCGTGACCTGTGTCCTGCCGTCGCCTATCTCGCTTGCCGCTGATCTCGCGCCGTTTCGCTGTCGCCGCGCTGCCCCTGCTCGCCTTTGACGTAGTAGAGCCCCCGGCGCCCGCGCAAATCCCGCATACAAGAGCAGCCTCGCCGCCCACGCCCGTCCAAAATCGCCCATCCCCAGTCCCAACCCCCCAGAAATACCGCACGCCATGCCCGACCAGGACTCGCAGCCCAGGCCGGTGCCTGTCGGTCGAGCCTCGCCCAGCGACAGAGGCCGATCGCCAGCAGAGGGCTCCGTCTCGCGAGTGACGTCCACCAGACGCCTGGGGTCGCCTGTTCCGTCCTTCGGCGTTGCTGGCTCGCCCCGGGTTGCCCAGGTTCCCACACCGCAGCAGCTCCAGGCTGGCGACGTCCCCGAGTCGCGCACCCCTCTCGCCGGCCTCGAGCCCGGCAAGTCGTCCCTTCCCGGCCCTGGCGAGTCGGCTCTTGCGAACGCTCTGAAGGGCTCCTTCGCCGGGAGCCCTCCGCGCTTCGGCACTCCCCCAGTACGCGCCGCCTCCCCGGTCCCCGAGAGCCTCAACCTGCCGAGAACGAACTACGGCTCGTTCAATTCGCAACAAGTCGGAAGCCCGTCGGGGCGCCTGGAGGACCACGAGATCGTGAGGAGGCACCTGGTTGGCGGCGGCAATGGCTCGTCTCCAAACCTCGCCGGCGGTGTCTACGGCTCGCCGAAGCGCGGGAGCATGCGTGCCCCGGACCACGGCCGTGCCGCCGGCGACGACGAAGAGCAGGCCAACTTTGACAGCCTGCAGCTTCAGGGTGGAGACATCACCCGTCAGATCTACCGCTGGACCGAGCAGCAAGAGGCCGAGGCCCAGGGCAAGACGCGGAGGAGCCGCAGTTTCCATGCCGCCCGCCCTCGCCCTGAGGACAACCCGGTCTTGAACATCAACAGCATCAAGCAACCTGGAGGCTTCCGCAGAAACTACATCAGGAGAGCCGCCGGCAGTCCCTCTCCGGGTCCTTCTGATGCTCAGAATGGCGCTGCCGCCAAGCGCCCCAACCCCCACCTTCTCACGAGCAACTTCCTCGAGTTCCTGAGCTTGTACGGACACTTCGCTGGTGAGGAGCTCGAGGAAGACGATGAGGTCCTCGGGCCGGACGAATACTTTTCGTCCGACGCCTACGACGAGGGCACGGGCGGCGAGGAAGACGAGTCGGATGGGGAGCCCGGAGAGCACAGCGCCTTGCTTACTCCTGGGAAGCGGCGCAAGAGAAGAAGGCAGAGAAACACCGGCAAGGGAACGCCCTCGGGTGCGGCCATGCTGCTGCTGAAATCTTTTGTCGGCACTGGTGTTCTTTTCCTTCCCAGAGCTTTCTTGAACGGAGGCATGCTCTTCAGCAACCTCGTTCTGCTGCTCGTCTCCGGTCTCAGCTACTACTGCTTCGTTCTTCTCACAACCACTCGCCTATACGTCCACGCGTCTTTTGGAGACATGGGCTACCATCTCTACGGAAAGTGGATGCGCAATCTGATCAACATCTCTCTCGTCGTCAGCCAGATCGGTTTCTCATCCGCCTACATCGTTTTCGTTTCGGAGAATCTGCAGGCATTCGTCGAAGCAGTCTCCAAGTGCCGTACTTTCATCGACATCAAGTACATGATCCTGATGCAGATGATCATCTTCCTGCCGCTTTCGCTCTACCGGAACATCAACCACATCCAAAAGCTTGCCTTGGTCGCGGACGCATTCATCATCCTCGGCCTCGTCTATTTGTACTACTACGACATTCTCACTCTTGCCTCGCAACACGGAATCAGCGATATCAAGAACTTCAATCCCAATGACTGGACGCTTTTCATTGGAACGGCCATCTTCACCTTCGAGGGCATCGGCCTCATCATTCCGATCCAGAGCAGCATGAAGGACCCGGCCAAGTTCCCTCGCGTCCTTGCAATGGTCATGATCGTCATCACCGTGATTTTCGTCAGCATGGGAGCGCTTTCGTACGCTGCCTTCGGGTCCAAGACCAAGACCGTCATTATCCTCAACATGCCGCAGGACAACAAGTTTGTCAATGGCGTGCAGTTCATCTATTCGCTTGCGATCTTGCTTTCCACCCCACTTCAGATTTTCCCCGCCATTGAAATCGCCTCACAGCAGCTCTTCAGCAAGACGGGCAAGTTCAACCCTTGGGTAAAGTGGAAGAAGAATTTCTTCCGTTTCTTCATGGTCATGTGCTGCGCCCTGATTGCCTGGGTTGGTGCCGGTGACCTGGACAAGTTTGTGTCCCTCGTGGGCAGTTTCGCCTGCATCCCACTTGTCTACATCTACCCGGTAAGTGCCTCCCAGCTCAACGATGAGCGCGTTCGTTCGCTAACCAAACCGTGTAGCCCCTGCTTCACTACAGGGCCGTCTCGCGCACGTTCTGGCAGCGATTTGCCGACATCTCCCTGATTGTCGTCGGCATGGTCATGATGCTGTACACGACGGCACTCACCATCAACAGCTGGGTCGGCGGCGACAGCACGAAGCCTCCTGGCTACTGCGACGACAAATAAAGAGAAAAAAAAGTGATTGGCCCCGAATGCGGCCAATCACACTCGTTACGAAGCTCTGCTGCTGCACAGTGATGTCGAACATCCTTTACAAGTCTGCTCTCGCTTTTGGATAGAAAGAGTTCAGTTTGTCTGTACAAGAGTTGTTGGAAGCTTGCAAATTGGGATTATTGGAAACGAAGGATCGGCTTGTGTACCGTTATTTTTTAGGCGCGCGTTGCTTGTGCATATGCATCATAGAGGCGTTTGAAGAGGCATATACTGTCGAGTCCTGTTGTAGCGATGTACGTACGAACAAACCATTTTCATCGTGACCCGCTTTGGCTTTCGCGTGCCGACGCCTGTTGTCACCTGTGAGGGCGGCCATGCCGCGATCCGATGACGCATCGCCCCCAAAGAACCCCGCCGTTCTCGCGTCGTCCGCTATCTCCGACACCTCGAGAAAAAGTCATACACACCACCACGATGACTCGGCTACCAGCTGGCGTTCTATTTGAACGTCCACCTTCTCTGCTCAGCCGAACAGGCTTTTCCAAACTTCCATGGTCAATCATTTCGCCCGCCTCTCATTCCCGCAACTCTCTGCCACGCGATAGCCCACGCCTACCCCACCTTTCGACCAGCTAGCTCGCCGTGCAACGAGAAATTCCTCATCCCATACTCGAACACCCGTCGGGAGAGACAGGGGAAAAAAAAAACCAAAGGAACAGACATCCGCAGGGCTTTCTTTTCCTCGCACGTCGTCTGGTCTACCTTCGCCATGGCCATCACGACGACCCTTCTCGGTGCCCTCCCCGACCTATCCCCCACGACGGCCGCTTTCCTCCTCCCAAGCGTCGCCCTGCTCACCCTCGCCATCTACCGGCTCTACCTGCACCCGCTCTCGCACGTGCCGGGCCCGCCCCTCGCGGCGCTGACGTCACTCTGGCTGTACTGGCACTCGTACCGGGGCACCGAGGCGCGCGTCATCGACGCCCTGCACGGGCGGTACGGCGCGCTCGTGCGCATCGCGCCGGGTGAGGTCGACGTGTCGCGCGGCGAGGCGCTCGCCGCCATCTACGGCGGCGGCGGCGGCGGCGGTACTGGCGGCGGCGGGTTCCGCAAGGCCGCGTGTTACCGCAACTTTGACATCGAGGGCCACCAGAGCATCTTCTCCGCCGTCGACCCGGCCCACCGCGCGCCACGGGCCAAGGCCGTGGTCGGCCTGTTCAGCACGCGAGCGATCAGGGGGGACGGGGGCCGGGGCGAGGCGGTGATCAGGGGCGTGGCGGAGAGGATGTGCAGCCGGTGGGAGGCGGAGAAGAGGAGGGCCAAGGCGGAGGCGGCGCCGCGTGGGGAGCGCGCCAGGCTCGACATGTTGAATTTGGCGAGGAGCTTGGCGTTGGACGCGGTGAGCGAGTACCTGTTTGGGCGGTCCTACGGGGGCGTCGAGGAGGGGTTGAAGGACGCCGGAGGAGACGCCTCTCATGGTGGGGAGCTCAGCGCGAGCCAATTCGTCAACACGTTCGTTGCGGTAGGCAGGTTTTTCTATCTGCCGAACTGGATCTTCATTGCAGTCGAGGCGCTGGCCATGCGGTTCAATGTCGAGAAGCATGAGGTCGAGAGCAGCATGGGGACCGTGGCATCGTTCGTCAAGGACATTGTTGAGGAGGCGGAGAAGGATGGGCGCAAGGAGACCTACCCTGGTCGATTGCTGGAGGCTGGATTCACCAAGGACGAGACTTCGGCACAGTGCATGGATCTGATGTTTGCAGGTACCGATTCGACAGGCATGAATTTGGCGACTGCGTGTTGGTGGTTGGCTAAGAAGCCTGAAGTGTAAGTGCGCTCGGCATGTGCCTGGTTACTATCTGTCATAAATCTACCACAATAACTAACGGGTAAATGTCCAGGTACAAACTTCTCCACGACGAGATCCTTGCCAGCCCTGACGCCGATCCACAAACCATGCCTTACCTTTCCGCAGTCGTCAAGGAGACGTTGCGTATCAGCATGGCCAACCCGACCCGCCTGCCCCGTGTCGTGCCGCCGCAAGGCTGGAATTTTGAGTCTACATTCATCCCACCAGGCACCATCGTTGGCCTGTCGCCCTTCACGCTTCATTTTAATCCCGACGTGTTCCCGTGTCCGCACGAGTTCATGCCTGAACGCTGGGAAGAGCCGACGGCCGAGATGCTGCGCGACCATATCCCATTCGGACTGGGCAGCAGGGCCTGCATCGCCCGGAACCTGGCAACCGTGGAACTGTACTTGGCCCTTAAAGAAGTTGTAAGAAGAGGTCTTCTCGATGGTGCAACATGTGTGCAAGATAAGATCGAGATTCTGGACTGGTTCAATTCGAGAGTTGTCGGTGAGAAGATTGAGTTGGAATGGGTATGATTTTGAGGTGCCATTCAAATAGCACAAGCGGCCCTTGAAAGAGGGGCATCGGAAGGGCGAAATGGACGGGTCAGAAGAGAAGAGGAAACCCATCGGCTATATTCACAGGCAAGAATGTTTTTGATGCGAATTTACATGGCTGATGTACAACCGGGACCTTAGCCCATCATTCGCTATCGCTGTCGTCGCTGCTAGATGCTTCGGTTTCTTCCATGGGCGCATCGTCGTCCTCTTCTGGCGTGCCGTTCATGATGAACGCCTTCAAGCACGTTATACGATTTCCCGTCTCATGCGCTCCGATCAACTCCCCAACTTGCTTGGCGGAGAGCGTATCGCTGACGTTAACGGCCTTTTCGCTGCCCGCGTCAGGCTGTTTTGAGGAATCGCCGTCGGCTGCATCATCTGCGGGCAGACAGAGGTCACCTTGGCTCAAATGCCAAACCCTCACGGCACCGTCGCTACTGCCCGTGGCGATATAATACTCGTCGGCTGCTTCCGAAACGGGCAAGATTTCAAAGTCCTTAATGCGTCCAGTCAAGTCTGCTGCTCTGCCGCCAAGTTGAGCAATGAGCTTGCAGCTGGGCACAGCGGCTTCCTTGCCGGTCTTGACTGCTTGCGAAGTTGCTGCCGGGGTCCGGGTTTCCTTGGTGGAGTAGAACAGGATGCGGCCGTCCTCGGTAGAAATGGCGATGATATTGCCAAGCTCCTGGCTGAGGCCAGGCACGTAGTGAACCTGGTGGATCTTCGTCATTGGCCTGGGCAATGTCTGGGACATGGGCCGCGAGTCCAGACCAAATACGACAAATCCCCGTTCAAACGCGACCACCCACTCCTCCCCATCCGGACTCCACTTGACCTTGCGGCCCTCGCCAGTGGACCACTTTCCCTCGCCGACGTTTTGAAGCATCTCGCGGTCGAAGGTGAGGACACTGGCTTTTCTACCGGTCATGACGTTCCATAGCCGCATGCACTTCTCCCCCTTGCTGACACTTATCATGAGCTTCTGGCTGGGGTGCACTGCAAAGTCGTTGATGCCTGAAGGGACCTCGCCGGGGGCCGCTGTGTCGCCGCTCGGTCTTCCATGGGCCTTTGGAATGGGCGCCTTGATGGTGGAAAGCACCGTCCAGTCACGAGTGCGCGCAATGGCTATGGTGTTGTCGTCTGCACCCGAGAACAGCTTGGAGCGGCTGGGGAAGTGCAGCGCGCCGATGTTCGAGGAGTGGTGCATCAGCGAGCCCATCTCCCGGTTCTTGGGATTGTGCATGCTCGGGGTTCCGGTGAGAGTGGGTATTGAGGGTTGCGAGTGGGCAGGCGGGGGAGCGGTCGAGAGCTGGTACAGATTGATGCGCTCATCGGTGCTGCCGCTCGCGAGAATGACCTTCTGCGCCTTGGGATCGGACGGGCCGGAGGGCGGCGAAAGGGCGAGGCAGCGGATGGCAGAGGCATGCGCGTTGAACAGGAAAGTGTCGGCAAACTTGACGGCGCTGCTGTTCTGCGAGGGCGCCTTCGCGTCGGGCTGGGGATCGACGGTGGCAGTGAGGCCGTGGAGGACTCGCTCGTAAGATCCGGTGATAATTTGCAGCGAGACGGGCGTTGCGGGGCGGTTGGCGGCATGCTGCTGCGCGGCGAAGGCCTTCTGGGGCTTGGGCGCCTCGCCGTCGGCCTGGGGGTCGCGCTTTCTCTTGGCCATGCTGGGAGCGGGTTGCGGCTTGCGGCTTGCGGCAGGAGTGTGGTGGTTGCAAAAGGCAGGCGCGCGTCACTCCAAAATCGTAATGGAAACTTTTTGCCGGGGGGCGAAGGCGGTGAGGCGCGGCCCATTGGACAACAGCGGGCGTCCAGGGAGACCGGGCGCGCGACAACCACCCAGGCTCGTACTCATAACGCCCCGGCAGGCCGCACGCTCACACAACTCATCAACTCCCCCCACCCAACGCGCTCCAAAACCCCGCCGTGGCGCTCACCGCGAATGACGGATGTCGTTCCGCCGGGCTGTCATCTCCTATGTCCCTAGACAGCGTTCGCTCGGGCGTGGAACGCGACAAACGCAATGAATTGCTGTAAGTCACGTTGCCCGCGCGTTTTACGGTCGCTTTTCGTGCCTGCCTGCTCGGTGCAGCGATGCGAAAACGAAAAATCGCTCCTATTGGTTTATTGGCGCGCCGTGGTGGACCTTTGGGCGTCGTGGTGCTGACTTGGGCGGGTCGCGCAGCAACATCGAGACATCGCGGAAGAGGAAGCTGCGGGAGCTCTACGCCGTCACCTCGTGCATAAACGCAAACAACCCTCCCGCCTTTACTTTCGCCGACCCTCCGGCTGATGCGCGCGAGCTGCAATTTCTTGACGAGAACGACCTCTCCAGGTACGTTCCAAGCATTCCCTTGCTGGTTGTTGAAATAATAATCTGGTCGCTGCATTTACTGATGCCAGACGCCCGACCTCCAGAGCACGGTACTTTAGGGAAGATACTCTTCCTATCTTTGCGCCTGCAAAACAACCCGCGAAGCCACCGCGTCCCTCTCCTACTCAGCCTCCAGTGCTCGCATCCGTGTCCACGTCGTCCACGTCCGTTGAACCCGTGCCGCATCATGCAGACGGCTCCGAAACGCAGCCTGCCGCTGCGACTTTGCCCGCTCGCGCGCCATCACCCCCTCCTCAGGACGTTGAGAAGCCGCCCACTCCTGCTCCCACCTTGTCGCAACCTCCCGCAGACGACGCCGTGAAGCCTGACTCCGCGCCGCGCTCCGTGGAGGAGGAAGCGCCCGTGCCTTCTGCTGAGACTAAGCAGCCTGCTGCCCCGGCTCCGAAACCGCTACAGGCGCCAGCAATTCTTCCGCCATCTCAAACCCATCCTGGGCCGCTATCTGCGAAGGCGAGACGAAGATCATCTGCTTTGGCCGACGGCTCTACTATCCTGCCTGATCCTCGGACAATTGATCGTCCCGCCAGGAAACCAAGGACCCTCCATCTGCCGCCAAAAGAAGTGCAAGAGCAGCGCCTTCGTGAGATCCATACTGCCCAGGAGCGTGCTGCGCAACGGGAGAGAAGAGAGGAAGAACAGCAGGCCGCTGGTGCTGTTGGCGAGACAGTCAATGGAGAAGCTGCCTCATCGCCATCGTCAACGCTTGGACCGCATTCCGCAAATACCTCGAGGGCTGACCAGCATTCCCCCGCGACGAGTCCCGATGAAGAGACTCTGCGGCACGATGGAACCTTCCCAAGTGCGCAGCCGTCGAGTGCCGACAAGAACGGACCTGCGGCAATGACGCCGCCAAATGCTACGCCCGATGCTCAGCTGCACTTTGAGGAGTCGGTGAGGCAGGTTCGGGATTCGGCCATGAAGGACGCAAAGCCTGGTACGCCCAAGCCAAAGGCAGCCGATCTAATCGAACAGGCTTCTGGGGTCACCCAGAACTTAGACGTGGCGGTAAACGGGGTCCCCACAATTCAAAATTCCTCAACATCTCGAAATGCTGTCAACGGCATCGTCCTAGAAACTTCGAACGAGGTTCGCAACGGCGTCTTTGATGCAAAAGGCGCAGACAAGACCAAGGCGCGCGCATTTACCGACGACCAGTCTGCCGATCTGGATGTGGCGATGCGGGACAGGGAACCGCCGAAGACTGATGAAGCCAGTGCAGGCCCAACTAGGAGCCAGGATCCAACGGATGGGAGCTCCTCGGCCGCCAAGGTTGCAGTAGCGTCAGAGGCTGTTTCCGATCCAAAGGCGACAACAAAAACTACATCCACGTCGGAGGGAATCCGGCCGACTTCTATTCTTCTTCGAGGCCGCGAAGCCGAGTACCGGGACCGGGAAAGATCTAAAACGACGGGCGTCGTGTTCGCAAAGCAAGACAGTACGTTAGCGCTGAGGGGAGGACAAGAAGTGAACAAGGCATGGTCCAAACTGAAGGGAGCCGCCCAGAATCCGGACAAGGATTACTTGATTGGGATGTTCGACTTTCAGGCACACTCGGGGCCGATGTATTCTTGTCGTGAACTCCTTGAGAAGGCCACTAAGACCATTTCTACCCAAAGCAAGTACGCTAGTATGCGGGAGCAGCAGGACTACAAGATTCTTAAGCGCATCTACACTTTGCAACACGCCAACAGATGGTCGCTACGGCAGATGGAAAAGTCAACCGAACCTCCGCGCCAAGCTACACTCCACGACAGTCTACTTGCGCAGATGAAATGGATGCGAACGGATTTCAGGGAGGAACGTAGATGGAAAATGGCTGCCGCCCGGAACATGGCGGAATGGTGTGCCGAATGGGTCGATGCGTCCCCGGAAAAGCGTCGCTCGTTGCAGGTCAAGGCCACGCGAAAGCCGGCCGCACCGCCACCTCCTGCTGACCCAATGGATGAGGACATTCCGTCGCCTCCTGAACTCATCCCATCAGGCGCCAACGAGACGGAAAGCGAATCCTTCCCTGATGATGACGAGTTCCCCATCAATCTTCGTTCATCGAACCCACCTGCAACTCTGTTTTCCCTTGGCTACGAAGAAATTGTTGCTAAGATTGACCAAACACCCAGCAGCGAGAAGGTGCTTCAGGAGTTGCCTTCTTACGAAGCCAGGCTCTCAAGTTTCCCATCTCCCTCCGTGTTGGCGCCTGTCTCCATCGATCCTGAGATAATTCCGGTCTCCCAACTCATCACCGCAAAGCTCGTGCCCAAATCTACGGAGCCTCCGCGCAAACGAAGTCGATACGAGTACGAAGAAGATGATGAGTCCGCAGGCTATTCTTCAAAGCGACCAACTTCAGAGCGTTCGAATACCTCCACCCCTAGTCTTCGCTTTTCACGAGTAGGTCTCGCCCCGGAACAGACAGATGTGGCCTTGTTCCTCCCCGAAAACAAACATGTCCGCGATCGCTTGCATGCCGGGCACTCTTTCCGCCCCCCCTCGGAGTTTCCAATGCCATCAACACAGTTTTTCGAGTCCCGTATGCCGTCACAATGGCTCTGGGACGAGGATCAACGGTTACGTACGCTTGTCAAAGAATATCAGTTCAATTGGTCATTGGTGGCTGCGTCTTTAGAGCAGTCTTCTCTGTTCACCTCTGGAGCCGAACGGCGGACGCCTTGGGAATGCTTCGAACGCTGGGTGCAGCTGGAGGGGCTGCCCGGCGAGATGGCCAAGACTCCGTACTTCCGAACATACCAGGCTCGTCTTGAGGCTGCTCAACGCACAGTTTCTGCACAGTACCAGGCTGCCCAGCAACAAGCGCAGCAACAAGGGCAGACCCCGGGGCAGATACTGGGCACACCAAGGCGCCGCACTGCTCAACCAATCCGCGTTGAAAGGCGCAAGGGCAACAGATTCTTAGCCTTGATCGACGCGATGCGAAAGCAGGCGAGAAAGCGCGAGACGGCGCAGCACAAGCAGCAAGAGGGTAAGTCAATCTTCATGCTACATGTGCTTCCGGAACCTTTGCTGATAATTCTTTTTTGTAGCTGCCAAAGCCGCTGCGTTGAGAAAAGCCCACGAAGCTGCCCCTGTTCGCACCAGCGTTCACACTCCCCAAGAGTTCAGCAAGCTCAAGTATGAGCGCGAGCAAAAGATGATAGAAAAGCAGGACGAGTACCGTCGGCAAGTGATGGCAGCACAGAGGGTAAACAGACAACCCCGAAACCGAGTATTCACGTGCTGACGTCTGTCAAAGCAAGTTATGGCAAGACCAGGTCAGATGCCTGGCCACCCTGGAATGTCTCAGATGGGCCAACAACGCAACGGTACTCCGAATGGTGCTCACGCCCAAGTGCCCGGTCAAAACGGCCAGCTTCATCTCAACATGGGAATGCAAGCTCGTCCGCACTCCGGGCAGGGTATGCAAGGCAGCATGCCCAATGGCAACATGCCTGGTATGCCGCTGGGCATCCCTCAAGCTCAGATGCAGATGAACATGCAGGGTCAACGACCACCTCATCAAGCACAAGACATGCGAATGGCGATGCAGCAGCGAAATCTCAGTCAACAGCAACAGCAATATCTCTTGCAGCAACAAGCTCAGCAAATGAACCGGGCCAACAGCATGTCTGGAGGACACTTGGCTAGTGCGAACGGCAACGGCAACGGCAACAGCAGCGGCAACAACAACAACAACAACAACAACAACAACAGCAGCAGCAGCAACAGCAGCAGCAATAGCAATAGCAACACCAACAACAACAACATGCAGAACCCCTCGATGCTTACGACGAACATGGGCACTCCCAAAGTCAACGGCGCGAGCAATGGGAACGTGAACGGCATGCAAGGCGCCTCAGCGTCTCCGCGCATAACGGCTCCAAATTCGGCAGCGCCTCAACAGCCTCAGGCTCTGTCCAGCGGCCACGTCCCGCAGATCACCAACCTGACGCACGAGATTCAACTGCAACACCCTAATCTATCACAGGCTGAGGCCAGCCGCATCGCCGGGGACCGAATGAACCAGAAGCTGCAGCAAAACGCCCGTCAGAATGCTCTGAACGCCGCATCGGGTGCAGCGTCCGGAGGAGCAAATGCCGGGGCGCAATTGTCGCCAAGTCCATATCAGCAGCATGCGTCCCTCGCCACGACCGGCGGCAGCTCCAGCCCTCCAAACCACACGCCACAGCAACAGGCAGCGTATCAGCAGCAAATGCGGCAGCACCTGATGCAGCAGCAGCAGCAAGCACGCACGCCTTCAGGCCAGCAGGGTAGTCCCAATTTGGGGACCGTCCGCCCCGAGAGCCGCAGCGCGACGCCTCAGCAGAATGCGCAGCAGATGCAGCCTGGCCCGCATGGTAGCCCAAGCAACCGGACTGGTCCACAGACACCACAACCAGGGCAGCAGGGCCAGGGCCAACAGGGCCAAGGTGGCAGTCGCTAGGGCTGCGAACAGTTCCAAGCGGTGTCAATTCTATCTTCTCCTCTAGGGCATAGTGGCTGTCGCGCTTTATCCGTTCGGGTCCTCATGCCCCAGCGGTTGCCCTGTTTCGCAAGCGGGACCGGCGTTTCTTTGGAGGGGCTCAGGGCTGTTGGGATGCGAGGCCAAGGGATGGGTTCAATGGATGGGCGGTGGGAAAGGGTAGAATTATGGACAGCAACGGCTCTTTTACTGTGATGATTAGCGTTCTTGCTTGCACGACTAGCGTAGCTTTACTTTCTGCCGTCAACCTCGGCCAGACGGAAAGAAGCGATCTTGACTCTACTCCGATGTGGCCTTGACGTATCCATCATGTTCCTGCCCATGCCCTAAAGATATGTGCTCTACGAAGGAGACGTTGCATTTCCCTATCAAGCATCCGGGCGTAGATGAAAGTGAAGCTCGCACAAACAACTTCAGACAAATCATCTACTACATATGGTAATATCTCTGCGGGCACGGCGCCGTCCGCTACGCCACTTCGCCGAGCTGGCTCGTCAAAGCATTCAACCATCGGAAACACAAGGTTTACCTTGCCCACCATCCACGCCGACTCGAACTCGAACCCTGGCTTCACCCTCGGAGCCGCACCGACTACCCTTGAGCAACTAACACCTCTCAGCCGCCAGCTCCGTCGTCAGAACGGCCTTCCTAGCTTCCAGTTCCACGATGAGAAGCGCTTACTCTTTGGCTTCCACCAAACCCACCTGGCCCACGTGATACTTAGGCTGTTCCTGCGATGTCTTGGATTTTGGGCTGACGACCCGGGCAACAAAGGAGCTAAAACCCACCACATCAAGGGTAGACTAGGTATTACAAGCATCAGCTGAGCCCGGTTTCCGTCTGCTTCCGGAACGGCAATACCCGCGACCCATGCTTTAGGAGCTGGCTCGACGGATTCAAGGAAAAAGAAGGCGAGAGCCTCGAGATACAGTTCTGAAGCATGCGGGTCTCTAAATTGGCGGTGGCAGCGATAAGACCTTCACTTCCATCAGGTGGGTCGTGGAGGTGGTCTTCAAGCACTGGATGATACTGGATGGTGCCGACGCTGCTGATGAATCTTTGTTATTATTTGGCCCCGATGACTCTAAGCTTCAGCTTTGGCTCTTCGGGTTCTTTTCGTAATTTTTATTGGACTGAACACTATGAGTGTGCAAAATATAGGACTCGCTGGCTTGATCTTTCTATGAGGCGGGGGCCCAAGTGCTGCAGGTGCAGCTTTAATCAATCGTCGTGTGAGATGACGGTCCTCTGTTTCTTCGAAGGTCCAATGAAGAAATGACATGCTGAATCTTCACCCTTCAATTTTCTGCGCCCAGCACGAGCATCAGCGTCCAATTGCTTTCTACACGCTCTCGTGTTTTCTTTGGTCATGGTGCTTCACTCGTTTCCAGCTTCACTTCGGCACTGCTTGCGTGTCTCGGTCAAGAAGCTCCCGCGCGGCGATCAACTCAGACTGGTCGTAGTCCCAGCCAGCCTCGCCCGAACCGCTGCGCCGCACGATCTCGGCAAGCTTGGCCGTTGCCAGCTCGCGCAGCTTTTCGACAGTCGCGACAGACGGGGGTGCAATGTCGCCGGCAGTGTCACTAACGGCTTGTTTGTTGGAGGCCTTGGGTAGAAGCTCGAGGAGCTTCTTAGTAGTCTTTTTGTTGGGGCGGCAAAGGGAATGTGTTAGCTGTGAGTTGGGAGGGGTGCATTGCTACTAATACGTACGAGCTTGAGACCGTAGTAACCGCGCAGGTAGTTGTCACAGAGCTCTATGCTGCGGCAAAACCGCCTCATGCCCTCACTCAGATTCCTAAGCACGTTGCCGTCAACAGCGTTGGCGGCTGTGGCTGAGATGTAAAGCAGCTCGCCCATTCGCGCATGCACGTTCCATGCGAAGGGCGTGATGACGAGGACCTCTTCGAGGCTGAAGATGGCTTGTGAGTACATGCTTTGGCTGAGGTAGAGGTCGGAAAGTTCTGCCCAGGACTCGGCGTCCGTGGGCGAGAAGTCGACGAGGTCGACGAGCGCAGTGATGGCCTCAGCAGTGCGACCCATGGAGCGGAGGAGGGCAACCTTGCGCTTGCGAAGTGGCTGTGATGGGAGGGGGGGCATCAGCCTTCGTTCATATGGACAAGCTCAGCCAAGCGCCTACCAGGCTCGTAGGGTCCTCCTTCAGTACACGCTCCAGATCCTCCAGGACGCGGCGCAAGTCCTTGTCGTCGGCAACGGCGCTTTCGTACAGGAAGCGCAGGGCGACGACGCGCTGGTTATCTTGGCCGAAGCGAGCGGTCAGCCGGTCGAGGCATTGGCGGGCGGACTTGTCGTCTCCAGTGCGCAGACAAGACAGCAAAAGGTTCTCATGGGAAGCCCATGTCTCCTGCGTCTCTCTTGATGTGAGCAGGGACAGCGGCCATGGCAGGGACGAAGTCGTCGATGTTGAGAGAATGCGCGGCGCGGACTGGGAGAGGCGCAGGGCGGATGCTGGAGGCAGATTGGGCGGCGGGTAGACGAGATCGGCGGCCGACATGGTGGGAAGCAAAGCGGAGCGCTGGTGGCGGGCGGAGGAAGTGGTGTTGGAGCTGGGTAGAGCTGCGTGGTATCTCCGGCCAGGAACGGGCGCCGGCTGGCGGAGGCGGCAACGACCTTTGGCCGCCCGGCATCGTCATGATCTCTCCGCCCGCGGGCACCACACCGCGCCGTCACGTTGCGCCTCCGCCGTCTTCTGCTCCCACGCATGATCCGCCAGCACCAACCGCCTCCGCACCCCCTCGCCCCGATGCTCGTGCAGAGCCGATAATGTCGCTGAACCGCCTCCACCGCCCCGCTATCGTGAACCGAAGACGCGTTTCCGCCTAAGCAGCCCGCACGCGCGACAAGGCCGTCACCATGTTTGTCCCCTCCCCAGCTTCCGGCACCGCCCCGCCACCCGGGTCGCTCACACGCCTCGGCCCGCAGGTTCGAGAAATCGCTGTACGACCTCATCCGAGGCCTGCGCAACCACAAGGGAAATGAGAGAGAGTACATCCAGGAAAGCCTGCGGGAGTGCCGCAAGGAGATCAAAGGCTCGGACATGGGTTAGTGGCAGGGACGGAACCGTTGCCGCCTCCGTTTGCTGAAGTGGGAATGCTGCAGATCTCAAGGCCACCGCCTTGCTCAAGCTCACCTATCTCGAGATGTTCGGGCACGACATGTCTTGGGCATCGTTCAACGTGCTGGAGGTCATGTCTTCTCCAAAATACGGCCATAAGAAAATCGGCTACCTGGCTGCCGTGCAGAGCTTCAGGCCCGACACCGAGGTTCTGATGCTGGCGGAGAATCTGCTCAAGAAGGTACCCTTGGCCTGAAGAAAGAATGCGGCCGGGACAGACGTTGTGCTCATGCTTCTCCAGGACCTGAGCTCTCCCCAACCAACAACCATCACGCTTCCTCTATCCGCGATTCCGCATGTCATAAACCCTTCCATGGCAAACTCGCTTCTTTCCGACCTGTTGCCGCGGCTCTCCCACTCGCATTCTTCGATACGCAAGAAGACCGTCGTCACGCTGTACCGCCTTGCCCTGGTCTACCCCGAGACGTTGCGGCCTGCATGGCCCCGGATCAAGGAACGCCTGCTGGATGACGACGAAGACCCGAGCGTGACGGCTGCCATCGTAAACGTTGTCTGCGAGCTCGGTTGGAGACGGCCCCAGGACTTCTTACCTCTGGCCCCGAGACTGTTCGACCTCCTTGTCCAGGGCGGGAACAACTGGATGGCTATCAAGATCATCAAGCTGTTTGCTACTTTGACCCCTCTCGAACCGCGCCTTATCAAGAAACTCCTCCCTCCGCTCACTGCAATAATCAAGACGACCCCCGCCATGTCTCTTCTGTACGAGTGCATCAACGGCATCATTCAAGGTGGTATTCTCGAGGGCGCTGAAGGCACTACGGAAGGAGAGGAGATAGCTCGGCTGTGCGTAGGAAAGCTGCGAGGCATGCTGGTTGTCGAAGGGGATCCCAACCGTGAGTAGTACCATCATGGCTCCGTCGCTCTTTTGCAGGCTGACTGTCTTAGTGAAATACGTCGCCCTGCTTGCTTTTGACAAGATCGTGCGATCGCATCCCCACCTGGTGTCCCTACATCAAGACGTGATTCTGGAATGCATCGATGACGCCGACATCTCAATCAGGTCACAGGCACTTGGTCTGGTCGTTGGCATGGTCAATCCCGACAATCTTACCGTAATAGTCGGAAAACTTATCCGGCAGCTTCGGAACGCACCAAGAGCATCCGCAGCCGATGACCCCCTGAACGACCGTGGATTCCACGAGGGAGTGATGCCGGCTGCGGACCCGTCTGATGACGAGGCTGAGGAATCCATCCGTCGAAATGAAAAGACGAAGGACCAACCGCCGCCTCTTCCCGAGGATTACCGGATCAAGGTCATCAAGGGCATCCTCGAAATGTGTTCCCGCGACACGTATGCGAACATCGTCGACTTTGACTGGTACATCGACGTCCTTGTTCAACTCATACGCGTCTCGCCTTCCTCGAGATCGGCGTCGCTGGACGAGAATTTGCCGGAATCGGACGGCACGTCCATGGGCGACAAGGACGACGTATCCTTCGAGATCGGAAAAGAACTCCAGAATGTTGCGGTCCGCGTGAAGGCTGTCCGGCCGGACGCAACGGAAGCTGCGCAGTCCCTGATCCTTGTCGACCGCCGAGATCAAATGTTTCCCTCATCAGGAAATGGAGGCCAAGGCGTTCTGGGCGCAGCGGCTTGGATGGTGGGCGAGTACGCCTCCCATTTGACAAACCCGGAGGGCGTTCTCAACTCTTTGATGCATTCGTCATCTGCACTCCTCCCACATCACATCCTCGCCATCTACCTCCAGGCAGTCCCCAAGGTCTTCGCTTCGGTATCCTCGAACGAGCAGATCTCGTGGACGTCTGAGCGCAAATCCACCATCGTACTCCTCATGGCTCGAATCGTGCATTTCCTTGAGCCACTGGCCATGCATCCGAACCTGGAAGTTCAAGAGAGGGCGGTGGAGTACCTAGAGCTGATGCGCCTTGCGTCCGAAGCAGCTTCCGGGCAAGAAGCTGGACCGAGGGATGGCGATTTTGTCGACCCTCCATTGCTTCTCACACAAGCCATCCCTTCCCTGTTTACGGGTCTCGAGCTCAACCCGGTCGCGCCCGGAGCACAGAGGAAGGTGCCTGTGCCGGACGAATTGGATCTGGATACGCCCATCAACCCGAATCTCCCGAATCTTTTGCGCAAGGCAAATTATGATTCGTTCGTCCTGCCTGACGAGGATGATGTATACCAGTTTTACAGTCAGAGAAGGGCAGTGCCTACACAGTCCGAGGCGGCTGCTGATCGCCTGGACGCACCCGAAACAGAGGCCAAATCCTACCAAGCAGGCGCGGCCGAGGAAGAATACCTGGACCCGGACATCATTGCAAGGAGGAAAGCCGAGCGTAGAGCAAGGAACAAAGACGACCCGTTCTACATTCCTGCCGAAGACGAGCTCTCGGGGACATCGACGCCACTTCACAACATCCTCAAGACCAACAATGGCGAAGATCTCGACCTCGACTCGATACCGATCATGGACCTGGACTTGGAGACAAAGGGCCATCTTGGAGGAGAGTCCAGGGGCCGTGCAGAAGCACCGGCCAGGCAGCAGAAGAAGAAGGTGCGCAAGAAGTTCGAGATTCTCGTGGACGAGAACCTGGGGCCAGACGAGCCGGGTGCAGCATCGGACTCGTCGCGGCCGGAGCTGGCCAGACCAACACAAAAGGCCAAGAAGTCGCTGCTGGAGGTTGACTCCACGGGGCTGGCTTCGTTGTCACTCGAGGAAACGGGCAACAGCAAGCTGGACATGGAGCGGCGGGAGGCTGAGGAGGCAGAGATGGCGAAGGCATTGAAGGAGGTGGAAAGGCTTCGGCTAGAGATGCAGCGGGCGAGCGAACGAATCCAGGCAAAGGACGTGCCGCCCGAGGGACAGCTGGTCAAGAGGAAGAAGAAGAGGGCCAAGAAGGAGGCCAAAGGCGAGGCGGAAGCGGTGGAAGACGGGCAGCAAGCTGGGGGCGAGGGCGAGGGCGAGGGCGAGGCGACAACAGTCAAAAAGAAAAAGAAGACGAAGAAGAGCAAGAAACAGGAGGACGGGGTTGCGGCAGCGGAAGGGCAAGAAGAAGGCAAGGCCAAGAAGAAAAAGAAGAGGCCGGTGGTGGTGGGCGCTGGGGAAGGCGCTGGGGAAGGCGCAGCCGAGCAGGCGGCGGCGGCGGCGGCGGGAAGCTAGGTAGCTCGCGGGAGGGGAGCTCGGGGCAGGCACGGCGTGGATAGCGAACGAGTGAAATGTGAAAGCCAATCTTGCAGTGTGCAGCTGCAGCTCTGGCGCAGCTCTGGCGCAGCTCTGGCGCATTGATGGCGCATTGATGGCGATCGCCAGGCGGCGTGGGCTGAGAGCAAGGAACGGGAGCTTGAAACGTGGCCGTGCGTGGTCCGAGCTCGCACAGAGCGCAGTCCCAGTCCTGGCCCTCGTCCAAACCACACACCTCGCAACTCCAACGCCAACGCCGCCCTGCCACTTCCTGCCCCAGCCGCCCACCCACCCAGGCGACCACAATGGCGGACACCAGCAAGGCCCCCTCCGAGGAGTCGTTCGAGTTCATCGAGACCCCTCCCGCCCACACCCCGCTGCCCGCCGAGAACTACGGTGTGCGCACCACCAGCGTAAGTACCTGCAGCCCGTCTTCCCCGAGCCATTGGCCTCGCAAATCCCCTCCGTCGCTGACTGCTGCCGCCCGCTCGCAGTACCCCACCATCAAGAACGCCCCTCTGCCCGCCGATGGCCCCGGCAGCGAGAGCTTCAACAACAACATCCTGTTCGCCCTGCTCGGCGGCATCCCGCTGTACTTCACCTTCAAGGTCGGCGGCGGCATCAAGACATGGATCTTCTTCGGCATCCTGACCGCCATCCCCATCCTGGTGGCCTTCTGGACCGTCGCCTCCACCTTTGCCCCGCGCAAGAACGAGAAGGCCCGCTACCCCGGCAAGCCCATCGACCACTACATCCAGTTCAACAACGAGGAGGACCGTGACAAGTACTACGGCAAGAACAAGATCCCCATGCACACCTTCCACGAAAAGTACTTCGACGGCGAGATCGACTTCAAGGGTGACGCCCTCGAGGTCCTCGAGTACCGCCACGACTGGGCCAGCTTCAAGTTCACCTGGGGCCTGTTCGTCTTCTTCCTGACCGGCATGATGCCCGAGGTCATCCTCCACACGCGTTCGCAGGGTGAGCTTCTCCCTGCCCCGCTCTAGCCGCTGCCCCCCGTGCTGACTGTCTTTGCAGACGAGGAACAGGTCCGTGACCACTACGACCGCGGCGACGACTTCTACGCCTGGTTCCTCGGCCCGCGCATGATCTACACCTCTGGCATCATCTCCAACATCAACGAGGAGGAGTCGCTGGAGCAGCTTCAAGACAACAAGCTTGCCGTTGTCTGCGAGAAGATTGAGCTGAAGCCTGGCGAGCGCATGCTCGACCTTGGCTGCGGCTGGGGCACTCTGGCCAAGTTCGCCTCCGTCACCCGCGGTGCTCACGTCACCGGCATCACTCTCGGTCGCAACCAGACTGCCTGGGGCAACTCGGGCCTGCGTCGCGCCGGCGTCTCCGAGGAGCAGAGCAGAATTCTCTGCATGGACTACCGCGACGTGCCCGTCCCCGAGGGCAGGTACAACAAGATCACCTGTCTCGAGATGGCCGAGCACGTCGGCATCCGCCACCTGTCTGGCTTCTTCCGCCAGGTCCACGACATGCTCGATGACGACGGCGTCTTCTTCCTCCAGATTGCCGGTCTGCGCAAGAGCTGGCAGTACGAGGATCTTATCTGGGGCCTGTTCATGAACAAGTACATCTTCCCGGGTGCTGACGCTTCCACTCCCCTTGGCTTCGTCGTCGACCGCCTCGAGGGTGCTGGCTTCGAGGTCAAGCACATCGACACCATCGGTGTCCACTACTCGGCCACTCTCTGGCGCTGGTACCGTAACTGGATGGCCAACCGCGAGAAGGTCGAGGCCAAGTACGGCAAGCGGTGGTTCAGGATCTGGGAGTACTTCCTTGCCTACTCGACCATTGTCTCTCGCCAAGGTGGTGCCACGTGCTGGCAGATCACCCTTGTCAAGAACATCAACTCGACGCACCGCATTGAGGGCATCGCCACCCAGTACAATATCTCGGGTGCTCTCAAGGGTTTCCACGCCAAGAAGCAGGAGTAGATACTGCGCTAGTGCCTTGATGTTGCTGTGCCTTTCCGCGCGTGCAAACCGGACAGCCCCGTGGCTTTTCCACCACTCGTGAGTCCGCCTGACTGCTGAGTGTTTCTCAAAACTGCCTGGGCAGCGAGAGCATCACATCTGCCGTATGGACAAACGGACGACGAAAAAAAAAAACCCCCAATCCAAAAAGAATGAAACGATTTTTCTTTCAGGTTCACATGGAATATGTTTCATGAGCGAAGGGCCAGGACCCCCTATATAGTCTCTTTTTTGGTGCCTGTATATATATGAACAACAGTTCACCTGGAAAAGCGGGCAGGAGAAAAAGTACACCCGGGGTCTTTTTCGGCTCTTACATGACAGATTCGCTGGCGATGGAATGAAGCAGAGGAGGGTTTGGTGTTCTTCCGGTGTGGTTCGTTGAAACGGAAGATAATTGACAATTGATATGAACCCTTCTTGAATTCCTGTCGCCATTGAGCGTGCTCTTGTGCAAAACTTTGCTCCTTCTGACATTTCCCAGCTGAATCGTCTTTCGTTTTGTACCCGAAAAATTGTTTTGTTTGGCCCGGCTACATATCTTCAGTCTTTCGGGGTCTCTCTATCTAACTCGTAAAGTCTCGGCTTGATTGGCTTCATCCACAGGTGCCAAAAAAAAAAAAAGACTTCATCATTAGCGGGAAAGACACTCTATTCTCATGGCAATGTTTTCCTTTCCGGGAGAGAAAAGGGACAAGGAAGACAAAAAGGAAAACGTAGGTCTTACCCAGGATCGAACTGGGGTTGCAGGAATGCTCTGAATCATCAGAATCCTGAGTGCTAGCCACTACACTATAAGACCGGAAAGCACTATCGTGAGTTTTCGTGGTGTTTTGTTGGTGTTGCTTTAGCGAGATTTTGGTTTTACACAAAAGGAATATCGATTATTAGACTGTCAAGCGACACAACCACCTACCGCCCACCGTGTTCCAGCTTGCTGCCCGTTATGTTCCTGCCAGCTTCCAGCTTGCCGCCCGTCGTATCCTACCATTCTTCCTGCTTACTGCTCGTCATGACGCTCAACCAGCACAGCCCACGGCGCCATTACCGTTTGGCGCCGCCCCACACAGTATCTTATTCTTGGCGGTCATGCTCTAGACTATCAGCCGTATGTGTCGGAGTAAGGGACAAATCCTTACGATCTATTTCAAAACAACAACAGCAAAATGCCATTGCGCGCCGAATCATCACAGCACTGCACATCCGCCCTTCCTGCATTGCATGTAAAGCAAAGGGCTGCTGCAATCAGTAACAATGATCCACTCTTTCTCCTACGCAGGAGAAAGCAATATCACATCATGACGCAATCATGGCTCCATTTTCCGATGTATTCGTGCTGCTCTATCGGCAGCCTCCACCTACCAGCCCGGCGACATCTTCCAAGCTTTTTCATGTCCCTGTAGCCCATGCCGTTCATCAGGTATCTGGTGCAACTCTGGTCGTGCCCCTAGCAAAAACATCGCTGCAACTGTCCCGAAGCAACCCGGGACCCCTTCGAAATCCCATACCCACGGCAGCCCCAGCAAGGAGGGAAAACAGTGTCGCAACCCTATGGCGGCACGACGCATGACACAAATGCAGAACGCCGTTGGTTTCCGGCGTGTACAGGGCCGTCGGAAGAGCTCATCTAAGTCTACAGCAAAGCAAAAGGCGGGGCGATGGGAGCTGGAGTATCCTTTCCGCTGGGGTTGGCCTTGGACACACGGTTGGAATACCGACAAATTTGTGGTCTGCGTGTAATGCAGCCCGCCTTACTCGTCGCCTATCCGAGGAGGACTCTTCGAGTGGTCGCTAAACGGGCTTTTACTTCGACTGCACCGTACCAAGCTCATCGTTAGTGTACCGACGGTTCGTTTCAAGCTTCTGGACAGGGCTGAAACGTACGATCTCCGCCTTCCTTCCTTTCTGAAGCCGTCAATGATCTTCAGCATTTCCTTGCGGCCCGCGCTGGCCTCGACATTTTTGCCCGCCATGCTCATGCTGACTTTCTCCTTCGAGTCGGCTCTCAGAAGCCGATTCAACAGCAGGTAGCGCATGAGCAGGCACACGAAGACGCCGCAATCGGATCCATTCTCCTGCTGCGGACAATCATCCATGCTGATGAAGCGCAGGCTGCGGCCGAGTAACGTGGCCATCTTCTGCGTCGCCACCCGGGCTTCTTGGTCGTTGCTCTCGCAGAGTGAGTCGTAATGGAAGGCAACGCCATCAACGACGCTGACGAGCAGCAGACTCCAGTGCGAGCCTCCCTCGGCTTCCATGACATTCCGACAATCGTTGATTGGCAGGAAAATATGCGTCGTTCTTGAGAAATTGGGCAGCGCTTCCTTCAAGGTGAGCGGATCAGGCGTTTGGATCATCATGAAGGACATGGATGGGCGAAGCAGGCTGATGTTGGCTTTGGGGTAGGCAGACAGGTGCTCGTGTTCGAGCCATCTTGGGAAAAGGTCAGCCCAGTGGCTCCCCGGATGCACATGAGACTGTGCTTACTCTTCCCAGAATGCAATTGCCTGCTCTCACTTGTCAGCATTGGCCATGATAGAGGCAGCACGGAAGAGCAGAACGCACATTGTCCGTCAGCCAGTCGCACTTTATGCAGTCGATGTCCTCCTTGGTCACTATCGTCTACAATCAACATGCTGCACCGTGGAGGCGGAGGCGGCGCACCTACGGCGGATGTCATAGTAGCTCAGGATAGCATCGTCGGGCGCGAGCTGGGCAGAGGAAGGCATGTCAGTCAGCAACGGTCTGCAGGCGGCCAAAAGTTACGGCAGGGAACGGAGATGCTGGAAGAAGCGTGCAAGAGGGAGGGCGCGGCGGATTGACGTCTCGGCTGCCTCGAATGCCAGCGACAGCACAGGGTATAAGCGGGCTCCCGCCCCGTGCGTCACCGTGGCACAGGGCGGGAGCGGGAGCTGAGGTCAGAAAAAGCGGAGGCGCGACAGGGGAGGCGAGGGGATTCACGTACGTTCTCGCCAAAATGCCTACTCACTCGGCCCTTGAAAGGGTGGAAGCCGGACATGGCGTGCGGCAGGCTGCCGAAGCGCTCGGACGCGAGCGCGGTGACGCACCTTGGGTCAGAGCGGCGGACGAGCTGGAGGCCGCAGGAGCGCCAAGATGCTGCAGCGAGAGAGGGCAGAGAGAGACGGCGGAGACGACGGCGAGGGTCAGCGCGGTGAGGGCGCAAGGGCGGAAAGCGGTGGCAGCTGTGGACGTGTGGGTGGGACGTCGAGGGCAAGGATGGCGTGGACGTGCCGGTTGTGATCGGCGGCGAGGGGCGCGAGGGGCGTGGGGCGCTCCTGCCACAGCGCGCAGCTGGCTGGGGAGCCTCCACAACCGATGACGTCGGCCCCACCCCTCCAGCCACAGCACCGTCGTGCCGTCTAGCCTCCCGCCCACAACAGCACCCACAACACATCACACGCTCACTCACGGTCATGGTCATGGTCATCGCTATCGAATTCGCTAGGTCTAGGTAGGTAGCTCATGGTCATTAGGATTAGAGGTAAGAAGTCCCGCCGCACGTCTTGCGCCTGACAACGGCCGCCTTTCTCACTTGCCCGCCTTTGCCCGCCTGCCGTCCAATTTTACTCCGACTTCGCAAACTCCTCCCCAAGCTCCTTCGCGTCCTGGTACAGGTCGATCAGACAGCTGGCCGACCATGCCTGAGTGGGAGACTACACTTTTTGTTAGCAAACGCCGCCGCGTCAGCCCAGGGCTTCCGGCCACTTACCGAGTCACCACAGAACGATCCACCCTTGTTGGTCAGCTCCGTCAGGCCCGCCCACGGGCTCTCCTTGATGGCGTCCATGCATCCGCGTAGACGACGCGTGATCTGCTGGAACGTTTCCACACGCTCCTCTGGCGTCTTGCGCCGGACCAAGTCAAACTTCAAGAGCGCACGGAGGAAGAAGCCAGTCGGCCACAGCCATTCCGGCCCCTGGTGGTAGTTGCGTCCCTTTGCCGTGTGGAAGTCTGTCGAATCGTCACTGTTGATGTAGTCAGGCCGGTAGTTGAGATCCGACGGGTCCAGCGTCGCCATTCCGGTAGGTCCGCGCAGCGCTGTGTCTGCCTGGTGCAGCGCGTACAGCGCCTTCTCCGGGTCGAACAGGTCCGGAGCCACAGTCATGGCAATGGGGAAGTTGGGCCGCAGCTGGTAGTCCTCGTACTCTTTGCCCGACTTGTAGAGGTCCTTGTAGATGCCCCGACGGTTGACAATGTCCGTGTTCACGTCGTAATCCTTGTCCTCCGACGCCTCCCGCGGAACGTAGTAGGCCCACTCGAAATGCTCCTTGATCTTGGCTGCCCACTCGGCAAAGGTAATGCGGCCCCCGTCGATGTCCACCCCGTCGTATTTGTACTTGCCTGCCGTGTGGAGCTCATTCACCCACTTCAGAGTGCTGTAGAGCATACCGGTGATCTCGATGGCCGCTCCGTCACGAGGAGTTCCAGGGTAGCCCTTGTTGCCAGCCTTCTCACTCTCACCCATCTTGTCCATCCACGTCCCACAGTTCCACTGATTGCCGCCAAAGATAAGACCAGTCTTCCAATCGGGATGGATCTCAATGTCAAATCCTTCCGGCTTCATCTGGCGATCGAGATCCGGGCCGGCGTTGTACTCGCGGAAGGACATGCCCGAAGCATGCCTCTGCAAGCATTCCTGAATGACATCCTCGATGGTCGAAGACTGAGAGTAGGCCTTGGCATCGTCATGGGGGAACCAAGTATCATCGTATGGGAGGAATCTCCTCTTCGCACTCTCCTGGAGGAGACTGTGGCCGTCGGGGACGATCTTCGTGTAGTCTTGTATGTTCTGCAGGAAGAACCAGACAGAATCGCGAGAGTTGTAGCGCGGAAGCTTTCCACTGCTGAGCAGGTTAGGAATCATGCCGTGCTTGATGACGCTCGCGAAAGCCAGAATGTGCTCTTTGGCGTCATCGTAACGTCCAGTGCCAAGATACAGGCCACGGAGAGAAATGAAAATATCTCTGCCCCAGCACCTCGCCCAGTCGGAAGCGAAATGCGGCAGACCTGCGGCCATGCTCGGCACACTTTTCTCGGGCCACAGCGAAGCATTGTTCATATGTCCAGTGACCTGGATGCTGACAAGTGACAGACTTTGTAGGAACTTCTGGCCGTTGCGGACGTTGTCGTTCAACTCCTCAATGGATCGGTCGACCGCTGCGTTGTATGCTGTCTGAATGGTCATGGCAAAGTATCGAGGCAGCATGAAGCTAGGGATCTTGCGAATGGCGTCGAACCGCTCCTTCATCCAAGCGGCAGGGCCCTCAAGCTTCGAATACCCAGGCAACTTCGCCAGACGTTCAAGACGGCCGACGCAGTAGTCCAGCGCCCACTGACCCTGCCTCAGATGGTCGCAGATAGGGTGGCCCAGCTGGTTGTAGCGTATCACGTCACGGAGGACACTCCACCAGCCCTGCAGGCCGGCGTAGACAAGGGTGCCGTGGCCGGGAATGGTGTAGGTCCCATCATTCCCGCCGCTGTAGTCGCGTTCTTCAGGATCGCTGCGGTACAAGATATGGTTGAGGTCGAGGAGACTGCACTCCTTGAAAGCATCTTTAGCACCACTAGTAACGAACACGTCGAGACCGTCGGAATGCTCGCAGCTTGGGACCGACGTCTCGAACAGGGCAATACTTCCGGGCGGGAAGAAGTCAGGAATGGTGATCTTCGTCTCCGCGTCTGACGACTCGATCTTGACCCCCTGGAGATTCTTCGTACGGCTGGGAAGTCCACGAAGGCTTCGTTTGTCACCAATGACACGAGCCTTGCTGTCTTGGCTGTCCTCAACCTCGAGGGACCAGCTTCCAATGAGACTTGCTTGCGTTCCTGGTAACTGAACCGGCGGGAAGCCGCCGTTACCCTCTCCATAGCCTGGGAAGGCAGTGTGCGCAATCAGGAAATATCCTTTCCTGGTCTTGGGATGCACACGATGGACAGTGATGTACTCTTTGTCATGGTGGATGAACGTCTCATCGTAATTTTCTTGACCCATGAGGACGTGGATCTGGTTCAGAAGCTTCTTTATGTTTCCAATACCACCCTCGTCAGCTTGGACCTTGAGTTCGCCCGAGATGGAGTAGGGCGACGAGTACGATCGGGTTTCATGGACAAGCTCAATGAGCTGGGGATAAATCTCGTCGTATCCCATGACACTGCCGGTTGCACAGGCGCACATAGCCACGAGTGCAGCATTGGGCAGAGTGTCGCGAGCATCGCGTTTCTGGGCTGGCACTTCGTTGTCGTGCGTGCAATCCATGAAGAGGGCGTGGACAGGGCTCTGTCTGATTCTTCGGACCACCTCGCGATTGGTTGCGCCATTTGTCTGGGTAGACGCATCTGCGTTGCTGACTTCATCAAGTTCGAAGCTACCAATTGGGATTCCAGCATGGCGGTGAACAAGACGGCTGAGCTCCTGCGTACTCCATGCCTGCATAGCTTCTCGGATAAGGAAACTGATTCCAAGGCGTTTGCAGAAAACGAAGTCCATGTCCTCGGAACCAGTGAATAGTTCAGCACCGACAACTAGGTCAGGACGGACCTTGCGTGCTTCATCAAGCATGTACTCAGCCACGTGGATGGGAGTTGAGTGGCAGTTGTCAACGCGAAAGCCGACGAAGTACTTAGCCATGAGGCGAGTGTACTTGGCGATAAATTCCCAAAGGAATGGATTGTCCTGGGGACCGTTGCCGTATCGCAACTTGACGCAGTCGCCCCAAACGATGACCTCTCTACGGAGGTAGGCGCGAGACTGTGGCCCAGCATTGTCCTTCATGGCATCAGCAGCCCAAATCCAACCATTGTTGACGAGGGCGAGAGAATCTGGGTTGTGCTTCTTGGTGGTCTCGTTTTTGGGCAGCCTTGTGAAGTAGGATTCGATCAAAGGGCTTCGTTCCGTGATGGGACCGAGCTTGGGGCCATGGTCATCGAGACGGACGTACTTGATGCGGTTATGCAACTGTTCCATGATTGTTGCGAGATCGCCATCAAACTCCCGGTAGAACTGCAGGTTCATCTCATCCAGGAACTTGTAAATGGTGCCCTCCGCAGCACGCTCGTCCGGAGTGCTGTGGTTTTGGCTGTCATAGCGGCCGAACAAAGCCGCCAGAAGTGCAGCGCCGGTCCTCGCGTCAACCTTTCGCTCAAACCTTGCGCCAAGCCTGTCCCCCCCGGAGAGCGCGTGCTGGGCAAGCCAATCAGCTTTCTGCTTCAGGGACCAGTTCTTGACTTCCTCGAGGCCACCGACGCCCAGGTTGCCGAAACCGCCTTCGGGGAACGTGATTTCGCCCTCTGTCCAGGCCTTGACGACCTCCTTGGAATCTCTCGTGACGTCAATAACATAGAACTGCCAGAGCTTGAGAGGGTCAATGACGTCGGACTTGACAGCGTCCATGACCTTCTTCAAGTCGTCGACGCTCTTCAAATCTGTCGGGAGGCCCTTGTCGGCAAGCTTGGAGCTGAAGTCGAGCAAAGCGTCATCGAGCTCGAGGGCCGATCGGAGATGAGGAGCAGTCTCGCAATTATAGCCAGCCTCAGGGTGCTCCTCGAGCCATTTGCTGTTGTTGGCCGTGTGATTCCAGACAACGTCGGTCAACGCAAAGAGCTTGTGCTCCTTCTCCATCTTGCCGACCAAGTGGGCAATGTCCTTCTCACCGTTCGGGAAAAGGCCCTTGTCGAAGCGGTGTTGGTCGTAGATGCTGTATGGGGAGTTCGAGTTTCCCCTCATCATCAAAGGCGTGAAGTGAATCATGTTGTAGCCTCTCTGGCTGATGCCGCGGAGATGCTTGTCCCAGTCCTCGGGGTACTTGCCCATGAACTTGGAGATGACGGAAAAGATCGACAGCGAATCCAAGTGTATCAGCTGGTCGTTGAGCGTAAGCCTGGGGCAGACGTCGATGTAGTATGTGGGCGTCTTCGTCGGCTTTGGAGTGGCAACCGGATAAGGCGAAAAGTCGGGCAGAGGAGTAAAGGTGGAGTAGAAGGCGAAGGCACCAGCCTTGTGAACAGGGCAGTCAACCTCAATGGTGCCATTGAAGTCGGGGCGGAGCCTGTGTGGTTGCACGGTCAGACCCCTGCAAGCGATTGATCATGGGGGGAGCCTTACTTGAACTCGCGGAAGCGATCCCGCTGGAACTCCTCGCCATCGGCGGGGATGTTCACCCAAAGGCTGCCTTCGCGGCATATCGAGCTTGTGCCCTCAATGGCAAAGCGGATGGTGTATGCTGGATCGGTGGGGGGTGGCAGGTAGATGTAGGTGCCGGGCACATCGGGGGCGCCGCCGTCCGTGAGGGGCAGCAGGTAGACGGTGCTAGCCATTGTTGAGAGCGTGTTGGGAGAGACAAATGTGTAGTAAGGGTGCTTCTCGAAGAAATAGAACGTGTGCCGGTTGCAAGAGATGCAGTGAAGATGAGCGAAAGGACGAAGCGGCGGGGTCGAAAGGTAGATTAGGCGGGTGGAGATGGAGAGAGGAGAGGTTTTATCAATAAGCTCGCCCAATTGGAAGCTGCGCTGCGGGGTACAGCAGACCTTCCGTTGTCGAGGAGGGGAGCGAGAAGGAAGAAGACGCTGCTCGACGTTTTGAGGAGGGAGCGAGGTGGAGGATCGGCAGGCACGTCCGTCGCGGGCGCGGGAAGCTCGACGGGCCTTTGGAGAAGCTGCGCACAGGCCGAGAATCTACGTCACTGGCGGCCTTCGAGCCTCATCAAGCCTCAGCGCGCGGGACGACGATAAGATAGCCACGCGCGGACTCCTCAAGTGGGTCGCACGCTCTTGGGGCGAGGGATTCAAGGAAACGCAGACGCCTCCGGGGCAATTGGCCTCCCCACGTCTTAAGAGCTGCCCGGCGCCGCCCGCAATTGTTGGGGATGTGTGTTGTTCTTTGGCGGGGCAGGCGGCCGCCCGCTCACCGCTTGCCTCGAGCTGCCATGGATGGTCGTCCCGCTCTTGTCCTCTCACATGCTGGCTACTAGCAGCCGCTGTTTGCGTCGGCTCTACCTCCGTGCAGCCGCGTCTCGCGGGCGCAGCGGCGCGCCGTCTTTTATTATTTCCCAGCGGTCGCAGCCCAGGCCAGGCCCGGAGGGAAACAAGTCCGTCAGGAGAAGCGCGCGGCGCGCGCCGTCACCGCCGCACAGGCAAGCTTTTGCGCGCCTGCGCTATCCATGGACCGCGGCGCACGCTTCGCGGCAGAGCGTCTGGCACTGGCGCCGACGGTGGAGTCTGACAGGCTGGCAGTCGACTGCGGCTGCAGAAGCGAGCCGGTTGGCGGCCGCCAGCTGCCAGCGGCCGGACAGCGTGCAGCAGACAAATAATGCACGCGCCGCGCCAACGCACCTCTACCGTAGGTCTCGACCTCATTCACCGCGCGCACCGCCAATTTCTGCGCTCCGTCGCATCACTGCAGCGCGGAGGCATCCTGGAGCTTGTGAAGAACGCACTCTGTCTCGGCAGGCAGATGCGTTGCTCCCAACGTCTCACGCCGGCCCCTTGTCCTACGCCTGACGATGCCTACGGTATGTACGTATGTACCTGCCTTCGTTCGAGAAGGTTGCTCGAAACGGGACCGTCTGCCGCCGCCTCGCAGAGAGCCGCGACAGGGCGCCGAAGCGTCGAGCAGCCGGCAGCCCGAGTCAGCGCCGGAGGCCGCTCGCCGAGCCTGTCCAGCTGGAGGCGCTTGCACCCGTTCGCCCATCTGCGGAAGAGCTTACCGTTGCGGCGCCGAAGCTGGCGGAGAAGCGTCATATGCGCCGTCGCCGTGTGCGGCCGCCGTGCTGAAGCTGCGTCGTCGCAGGCCAGCCACCGCTCGAGCCCCTGAGCGGGTGGAGTCCGCCGGGCTGGACACTGACTCTGCGTCGGGTTGCAAGCGACACGCGTGCTCGCAACAAAGATCCGTCGTCCGCGGTTTCGGTGGTGCGCGCCGCTGTCAGCGGGCGGTTCCTGGGTCGGGCGGAGGGCTGCAACGGCGTCCCCGAGCCTGCTCCCGCGCGCGTTCCTGGCGCGGGTGCCGGGCAGGAACGGCGGGAGCTCGTGTGATCGAGACATGCGGCGCCATGTTATACCTAGCAGTTTGGTGGATGGCGTGAGCGGGTGTTTGATCGTCCGGAGAGCAGATTGCTGCGTGCCTGAGCGAAATTCACAGCGCGGCCGGAGCTCCATCTGTGCTGCCGGAGGCATCCGCCACGCCGCGCGCGCTCTCCTGGCTGTGTGGAGAGGGCGCGATGCGCGTGGAAACGGCGCCCTCCACGTAATCGGGAACGCAGCTTCGCCGGGCGTGCTGAGCGTCGCTAGGTGCGCAGATTGCTGTGGACCAGGGGGCGGCTCAGACCTCACCGCATGTCGGGCTGCGCGCAGCGCTATCTATATTTACCGTGGTGCCAATATCGCGCGCTCGTGTAGTTCTTCATCAGAGACCCGCCGCGCGCGAGGGCGTCAGATCTGTCAGTGCCAAGTGTTTCGTGCGCCGCTGGGCTCATCCCGAGGGCGCCGCAAGGATACCCTGAAGCTAAACTCGAATCCACTTCCCCCGTTGAGCACCCTCACCACCACTCGCGCCTCTCCAACCTCCGCGAAGCCCTCTGGGACTGCTGCGTGCCCTCTCTCGCCCCGGCAGCCCTGCGCACGCTCTCTTCGCCGCGTCGACGTCGCCCGCGGCCCCCAGGTCCCACCCGCAGCGGCTCCTACTCCTATCCCTCATTGCCGCCAGCCACTGCAGCTCCACACGCCCTGCCAGGGTGCATGCGTCCTCGTTGATCCACCGCCGCGCCGCGACCCCGTCCCTTTGGCTCCCGCTTGCCGCCGTCTGCATTGGCTCGACTCCTGCGTCCGCTCGCGCTTTGCACAAGACTCCTCCAGCCGCCCCGAACGTGCCGGCTCTCGTGGACAAGTGGACACGCCGCCCTCCTGCGCGCTGCAGCGCATTGCAACCCGGTGCCACCCTGCACACGGCAGTCCGAGACGAGCCGTGGTTGCTGAGGGCTGTAAGTTTCTTTGTTCCTGACGCCTGAAACCAGACGTGGTCTCTGGCCCACGGCCGATCCCGCCCTTGTGTGAATGATCTTGCCCTGGCCTCTTGTTTTCCATTCGCGGCCGCATGGTGGCACTGCTCTCACATTTGCACCAAACCTGAGATGGTGTAACGCGCCCAGCTGATTGAGTCCGTCCAGCGCACGCATACGCTTCCACCCACGCCGGCCGGCCTTCTTCGAGTCGCCGCAACCAACGAACCCACAGCTACGCCACCGAGCCAACACGCCTGAGCGCGCACGTCGTACAGGCGACAGTCAGAGGCCTGGCCTCAGGTTCCTGCCTAGCCCAGGGCCCCATTCATTTCTGGGCGATCCGGGCCCATCAGGTGCGTATAGCGGATTTTCCACCTCCCCTCTGTGTTCCCGTACCAGACTCTGAAGCTGATCGCAATGTCGACTTGCAGAATCGAGGTAAAGCCGTGACTGTTCCCCTGGGCTGAGCTCGGCCGCACCAGCGGCCGCAGCAACGTCTCGACGCCGTACCGCGCACGACACGTTTTGACTCGTCGCGTCGCGCACACTACCAATAGACGGTATGGCTAACATGGTGTGACAGCCGTTGGGTTGGGCCCAACCACAACGAAGGCCGTTGCGAAAGATGCCGAAATCCCCCTCCTTGTCTCTGAACCTCCACCAGCCCAACAAAGCCCATCCCCGGCCTCAGAACGGCGAACGCCCCCGCAGTCCGCAGAGCCCTAGATCTCCCAGGGCTAGCCAGTCCTCCCGCTATGAGATGAGCCACAACGAGCGAAACATGGACTCATACACGGCACCGAACTCGTCTCACTCGCACAGCGGGCCGGACAGGTCGCCCAGGACCCACGCCGTCAAAGAAGAGACGCCCAGGCCGCTGTTCGGAAACTCCAAGGCGTCAAAGTCTTCGACGAGGATCGGCGGCGGAGACAATGCGATGTCGATCAGACAGGTATCGGAGGGCTCGCCATTGCCAGATAGCACGGCGCAGGCGTACCCGTACAAGCAATCTTCCGGTTCATCTCCGGATTTGACAAAGTCGCTGGATAATTTGACCAGGTCGTTGGAAAGTGCAAGCATAACGAGTAGTAAGCGGCGCGAATTTAATGCCGATCGTCGGCTCGTTCTCACTTGAAACTGACGCTATTACTCCAGGCACCGCTTCACATGAGCAGGAGCGCTATGACCAGCGCGCCCCATCTTCACACGGTAGATTGCAGCAGAACACTCCCCCAAGCTTTCACTCCAACGACCACCCCACGGCGAAACGGTCCGGCCAAAAGCATCGCTTCAACATCTTGTCTCGCTCGCGCTCCATTAGATCCGACGATTATCTGAACAACGCGCAACATCAGCAAAAGCCCGCCCGCTTCACACCCGAGTCTGAACAGCGCTACACCAAGCGCCAACCCGACCAGAACGGACTGAAAACCGCGCCAATCAAGGAAGACAGGACATTCCGCGATATGATGCAGAACACGTCGCGCAATCGCTCAGCCGATCGTCACACAGAGCCCGACGAGGACACGGCCGCTCACCCGCGCGACAAGAACAACCCGTTCTCCTTCTCCAATTCGTTCAAGGACAACCCCGGCGCCGACTTCCTCAACAACATCAAGAAATCCGGCACCAAGGCTGCCGACGGGCTCGGCAAGGCGGGCAAGGGCTTCTTCGGCAAACTCGCGCGCAGCGGCAGCTCCCATGAGCGCGACCACGGGCCTGTTCTGGACGAGAATTACGTGTGCAAAGTCATCAACCTCCCGCTGGTCGAGCAGACGCGGAAGACCAGGATCTCGAAGAGGCTGGCCGCATCAAAGGACAAGACTGAGTTCTGGATGCCTGCCTTGCCCTGGCGGTGCATTGAGTATGGCCCCCCAGCCTCAGAACCGAGGGTGTCGCTCCGATCGGCTAACAGGTGCTTGCAGCTATCTCAACATGAACGGTTGCGAAGAGGAAGGGCTTTACCGTGTCCCAGGCAGCGGTAAAGACGTCAAGTACTGGCAGATGCGTTTTGATAAGGGTATGTGTTCATTTCTGGCATATGTGGCCTCTAACCAACCACGATCGCGTGTAGAACTTGACATCAACCTCTTCGACGAACCCAATCTCTACGACATCAACATCATCGGCTCTATGTTCAAGGCGTGGCTCCGCGAGCTTCCAGATGAAATCTTCCCCAAGGCGGTGCAAAAGAAGATCCAAGAGAGTTGCGGCGACGCCAAGGCGACACCACAGATGCTCAAGGACGAGCTGTCGAAACTGCCGCCGTTCAACTACTACCTTCTGTTCGCCATCACTTGCCACATCAGCCTGCTCCACTCGTGCTCGGAGAAGAACAAGATGGACTACCGCAATCTCTGCATTTGCTTCCAGCCTTGCATGAAGATCGAGGCATTCTGCTTCCAATTCCTTGTGCTGGACTGGCGCAACTGCTGGCAGGGCTGCTGGACGGAAAAGGAATACCTTGAGCGGGAGATGCGCATCCTGGAGCCGGAGAAGTACCCGCCGCAGCCAGCACTGGGGCTGAGCACGCCGAACGGCAGCACCAGCCAGTTGGGCGACGAGCGTGCTGTGTCGTCGGGGAGCAGCAAACCTTCGACCATCAACAGCTCGACACCGGAGCGGCCGCGCCCGCCGCCCCTCGACTCGGTCAGCGCGCGCGAGTATCAGGACGAGGATGCCACGCCGACGCAGACAGGGCACAACGGAATTCGCAACGAGCTCCCCAAGCTGTCGCCGATGCAGCCTCTTTCACCAATCGGATCCATCTGAGGGCGGGCATGATGGCGGATGCGTCCGCTTGATTCTCCTCAAATCCAGAACGGCTTACCACTTGGTAATTTCTGAATTCAGAGCGCCAGCGCAGCAGACAAGGGTCAGCTCGGCTGGGCTTCACTCCGCCACCCGGTGCGCGCTTGCGGGCGTCCGGGTCTAATTGGACCAGCTTTGTCTGGGCGGCGGCCGTCGTCGGCCGACTCGCATGGCGGACAGAGGGCGCTCGCATGCTTCCCAGGACGGCGCCTCTCGGGGGAAGAGTTAGCGTGCAAGCACGGGTGGGCAATGCAAGTTTGATGCGGGTTCTTTGCGCTGCTTTTCGAATACCCACTTCCTTGGTTCGGACCGCTTTCCGGTTTGGCGTTTGTTGTTCGCGCATGTGGGCGTGGATTTTCCGATCTTGATGCCTTTGTATTGGCTGCATGCTCAGGAAGGTTGGAAGCATTGCGTTCTGCGAATCTTTTCCTTTTCTCTATTCGAGCAAGATGTACGATACGAAAGCGAGCGAGCGTGTCGGGTCTGCGGGCCATGATGGGTCTTCTTCTACACAGCTAAGTAGACAATGGACAGACGGTCGGGGCGGGCGGGCGGGCGGGCGGATGGCACTCGGGATTCCTTTCTGGACTTGGAGCAGCCTCGGGAGGAGGCGTGCGGAAGCGTTGGTCGCCCAGGCATTCCCCGAGAGCAGTTTAGGAAAGCCATCAACGACGAACATGTTTTCACAAGCTTTGCGCGGTCCGGCCATCAGGTGGTTCGACGAGGCGGCGCGGCGGCCGGGGCCAAGCCGGCAGCCAGCTGGCTTGTGCGCTTGTGCGCCCGGGCATTGACGTCGCCCCGAAATATCGCGAAGCTCAAGCTTCGACCGCATCCTCACACACGACCATCCGTCGCCCGTCCGCGCCCCCGCGCCCTCGCTCCGCTCCAATGTTCTCGCCCGCCGCCATGCCCATCCGCTGCGCCGCAGCGACCGCCGCTGTGGCCGCCGTCCGTCCCCGCGCTGCCGCGAGCGTGCGCCCGTGCCTCTCGCCCGCGGCCTCGTACACCACCAAGCCCAAGCCCGCTCCTCGCCCGTCCCAGCTCCTCAAGCTCGCCGCCGCCCGTTGCTCAGCTCCCCGCGCCGCTCCCCGCGCCGTCGCCACCCCCTGCCCCTCCTCCGTCACCGCCCGCCTCATCTCCTCGACCCGCTCCACACGGACCGCCGCTTCGACCGCCAACTCATCCTCCTCCGCGCCCGCTTCGGCGGCCAATGCCGCCGATACCTTGACATGGAACCGCTTCCTTGCGCTCCGCAAGACGCGCCGCCGCCTGTCGCTGCTCTGCAGTATCGCGGCGGCCATTGCATCGACGGCCGTCGGCCTCAATGTCCTGCTCGCGAACGACATCGACTCGCTCGGCGCGCAGACGCTCGGCCTTGACCCGATCATCGTCATGGGGCTTGGGACCGTGGCTTGCGGCTGCGTGGGATGGTTGCTGGGGCCGGCCATCGGCGACGGCCTGTTCAGAATTGCGTACAGGCGGATCGGGAGGCAGATTGTCGAGGTAAGTCAGAGACAGGGACGAGGGCAGCGGCATGGATGGCCATGGGAGTGCTGACGCCTGTCTTTCGGTGCCATGCAGAAGGAGAAGCAGTTCTTCCAGCGCATAAAGAAGTTCCGCGTCGACCCCACCCAGTCCAGCTTGAACAACCCCGTTCCCGATTTCTACGGCGAGAAGATCGGTTCGGTTGCCGACTACCGCCGTTGGTTGAAGGATCAGCGTGCCTTCAACTTGAAGACGTCGGGCATGCCGCGTGGTGGTGCGGGTGCCGTGGCGTTGGGCAAGAGGGCCAGGCGCGTGTCGAAGATTACTGGCGGCCGTTGATTTCCGGCAGTCAAAGGATAGCATGGTTGTTGGCATTGCGAATCGGCTTTCCTTCTAAGTTGTGAAAAGGGATCAGAGATCAAACATCAAGTCTCACAGGGGTTCCCATGTTCGTCGGCTTGCCTTTCACGTCCCTCGAGTTTGACCGGATGGCTGGTTGTTTCATGGTACAAACTCAAGTGCTGAAGGAATTTGTGTTGTCGTGTGAGTGCAAAAGCAACCAATGAAACATATCCATTCTCCTGTCAGCTCGGGCTTCTCCTCTAATCACCCTGAGGTCTAAATAGCGAGCATAACATCAGTACTCATTGACGGCGCTTATCTGGCCATGATTGGCCCGCGGGAAGATGCATATGGCGAAGTGATGAGGCAAGACTTCGCGACCATTTCAATGGGGCAGAGCGTACGGAAACAGAGTAACTTTTGCCTTCGTATGCCCTGCTGCCGTGGTACCTAGCTGCAGTGTTGCCCATAACCGTCGCCTCATTAGTGATAGGCGCTTGTCAAGTTGCTGTTCCCGAGGATTCGACGTCGTTTTTAGTAGAGGCAAGATGGCTAGCACAAGAATTCGTCCCTTCTCAAACCTGAGTGATGAAGTCATAAATAAATCTGCGTAGACCATTGCATCGAGCAGCTTGATACATAAAAGAAGGCTTTGGCAGACTTTGCCATATACAGCAGAAACTTGTTTATTCTCTGTTTCCTCTGCCCTCCAATCCACCTTGCAGCCTGCCATCTGACCTGAATAAACACACGTACAGAGGTCCAGGGCCGAGCTCCTCGTGACCAAGTGACATTGACGCTATTGAATGAAATTGCCTCGCAAGGCTCTAAACCATGCCTGCCGGCAGCCATACTACCCTTAACGCCATGATACAAGATGAACGCCTTTCTGTCGGTCCCATCATCACAGCTGCTCAATGCCGTTCACAATGGCATCAATCTCCACATCACCTGCCTCTTCCAGCATCTTGGACACGGTGCCAGTCCTGTTCTCAGTCAGTCAAGCGTTATCTCGGCAGCACAAAGGCAGAACAAGCACTTACAGCCCGACCACCCTCCTCTTCCTCATAGTCTCTTCCAGCTCCCTACTCTTCGCAGCCGCGACCTCCAACACGGCCTCCGGTACGTCGGCCAGCCGCGCCACGTTGAGCCCGTAACTGCGGTGCGCGACGCCCTCGCCAACTTCGTACAGGAAGGCGATTTCCTCCCACTTGCCGTCCGCCTCCTTGCTCTCCTCGAACTTCATGTGGACATTCTTCAGCTCGCCCTGGTCAAAGCCATCCACCAGCTTCGCCAGGTTCTGGTAGTGCGTGATGAATAGCGTGAGCGCCTTGATATCGCGTACCATGTAGTCCAGGACGGCCTGCGCGATGGCGACGCCGTCGTGGGTGCTGGTACCGCGCCCGAGCTCGTCGAGGATGACAAGAGAGCGCGGTGAAGCCTGCTTGAGAATGTCCGCCGTCTCGGAAAGTTCGACCATGAAGGTCGACTCACCCGCCATCATGTTGTCGAAGGCACCCATCCGTGTGAACACGGCATCGAGCATGCCGAGTTTGGCCGATGCGGCGGGCACGTATGAGCCGATCTGAGCCATGATGCAGATGAGGGCAACTTGGCGCACGAAGGAGGACTTGCCACCCATGTTCGGCCCGGTGATGAGCAGGGCGCGGGTGGCGTCGGTAGAGAGAGATATATCGTTGGGGACATACGAGTCCAGGAGGAGCTGCTCCACCATGGGGTGCCGGCCCTCGGAGACGTCAACACGGACGTCTTCGGTGTATTCTGGTTTGACGTAGCCCGGCTGATTGCTGATCTCGGCAAGCGACAGCAAACAGTCCAGTGTCGCCAGAGACTGCACACAATCTCGGAAGGACTGATACTTGGTACCTATCTCAGCCAACAAGTCTTTGAACGCTGCGTCGCAGGCAGCGGCCAAGGCTTCTTTATGCTGTTCCCGCGCCCTGAGGAGTCGTACCACCTCGGGTGTGTGGAAACGCGAAACTTGCTTCGTGCCGCTGATCTTGGCCCAAGAAGCAGGGACCTTCTTGACCTCGCTGTTGTTCACTTCGATCAAAAACTCGATGCCTGCCTTGGTCACATACTCAACCTTGGACTTCTTCAACGTCTCGGCGATCTCTTTCTTGTGCTCTTTGAGGTCATGCTCCACACTGACAATGCCAACCTTGTGGTCCGTGATATCTTCGGTCTCGTGCTCTTCTCTGAAGAAGCCGTATTTGTCGTCTTCCTTGGCAGCCTGGAGGTTAAGTCTTTCCAGGAAACTGACAACGTCCTGGCCAATCAGGGGCAGGTTCGCAATTGCTTCTTGGACAATTGGTGATGAGAAACCGGATTTCTCGGGAGATTGAACGTGTGCATACTCGCCGGCAATGCGTTGTAGTGCCTGCAGGACCGCCAGCAGCTCCGGTCGCGTACACTTCTGATAGTAGATGCGGATCAGGGATTTCTCCAAGTCTGTCCTTACATGGCAAAGCAAGTTCTTCAATTGTTCCATGGCAACGATATTCTCGCCATTCCGCAGTTCCTCGACGGCACCGACACGTTCTTCGAGTTTGGCCTTGTTGAGCAGAGGCCTCCCAACCCATTTGCGAAGAAGCCGCTGGCCGAAGCGAGTCTTGGTTCTGTCCAATGTCCAGAACAGACTCCCTTTCACCGTGCGATCGGTCTGGTTCTGATATATCTCCAGACTGCCCAACGTATTTCCGTTTAGCAGCATGTGAGACCGGGCACTGAATGCCTGGAAATTCTTCGTCAAGTCGAAGACGTGTTCCAGGCCGTATTCCGTCATGTGAGTGATTAGCGCTGACAAGCAAATGGTAACATGCTCCGAGAGCTGATGGACTTTGTCCAAAACAGCCGCCGCGGAGTCCGGGTCGCCGTCCCTACTCTTCACACTGTCGGCATAGAAGCTTGATATATGACTGTACGCCTGAGCGGCCATAGTCTTCGGCTTCTCCACCCGCTCCACCCGTGCTTGGTCGCCGAACACATTTCGTTTGGACCCTGACAGATGCTGGACGATCTTTTCCGTGGCCCGCGAGACATGGCCGATGATGAGGAACTCGCATGGTGCTATGTGAAGGAGCCGAGTTTCGATCTCGCTTCGCATGAAGCCGTCCTCGAAGTCGTCATAGACAATATCGCCCGTCGCGGGCTGAACGGCGACAATGCCTAAGTGGACCTTCTCATCCGTACTCCAACCTTTGGCGTTGGTCTCGGTCAGGCACAAGATATATCCCGTTGCTGGAGAGTTGGGGTTGGCACTCGCACCAGCCCCGTCCAGGCCATCGACTTCATCGATGTAGGTGGCTTTTGTGTAGAGGTTGGTGAGCTTGCGGACGAAGGGAGCGTTCCGGTTGTCTCCAGCCTTCTTAAGCGCAGCAGTCTCGAGCTGTCTGACCACACCGACCTTGTGGCCTGCTGCGACTAGGCGCTTGACATGCACATGTAGTCTGTGAGTGGGGAAGCTTGCACCAGCGAACCGATCCAGATGGGCTTCGGATGGATGCTCATCAAACCTCATTTTTCCGGGGATGCAGACAATGCCCAGCTCCTTGGCAGCCACCCTTGCATCTTCTCCAAAGAAACGGAATTTATAACCCACTTCAACAACGAGGATGGTGTCTGGATGCGTTTGTTTTAGATCGATGATCTGCTTTTCCATGGGCGTCAACTTCGACGCGCCCTTCCTTGCCGGCCCTCTGCCTTTGGCTTTCGGCCTTGCTTGCGGCTCTTCGTCCTCGGCATCCTCGTCCTCGGCATCCTCACCTTCACCGGCCTCGTCGGGAATGGCACCGTGCCGTCTTTTGATCTCTGCAATGCTGTCGGGCCTGCCGAGCTTCTTGACAAACTTCTGGTGCAGTTTCTCCTTCGCCCTCCTCGTCTCTTCCGTGTCCGGCTCCTGATTCTCCGTCCGGACAGGCGAGCTCGAGAAGATGAACCTGGACGTCCTATCGGTGCCCTTGAGGCTGCGCGAGCCATTGAGGTCGGCCTCGCTCACGCCGGCCAGGGATTGGCGCACCTCGGCTGCCGGGTCGGGCGAAGGGTGGCGCGCAGCAGGGTCCGGGATGAAGTCGTCGTCGTCTTCGTCGTCGTCGATCGTTCTCCGCGCTCTCTTGGGCTTCGGGGCGGGTGCTGCGCGAGTGCCATCGCTGGTTTGTGCACGCTTCAAGGCATTGGAGAAGTTCCGCCGGGGCGCCGTAGGCTCCTGATCGTCATCATCGGAGCTCTGGCGAGCTTCGTCGGGTTGGATCGCGGGCGGTGGCGATGACTTGGGTGGCTCTGCAGGGCGTGCAGGTGGCTTGGGGGTTGAGGAAGGCTTTTTGGAGAAGAAGCTTGAGATTGTCGCCTGCTTCTTACTCTGGGATGCAGGAAATGGCGAACTCGAGGGAGCCATTGCGGGAAGCGCGGCAGATCAGAAGCTGTCGTTGTGCGGCGTCGGCGAAATTCTGGGGAAGACGCGCAGTGACGCGCTCTGACGCGCCCGCCGGCTGCACGTGATTTGGCGACCTATTCGACCCTGTCTGCGGAATACACAATGCCTGTCGCCCAGAGCGCCTCCATTTTTCATGGGACAAAAGGCTGACCGGACGCTATTGTGCGTTATTTCACTTTCACTCGCTACACTACTCACTACCCCCTTTAGTATATATCGAAATCAGAGATAAACTGCGTCCAACCCCATGGAAATTGCTGATAGATCACGCTCGTGTCGTCTATGCACGCACCCTTTTGGAGCTCAACTATCCTGCCTTGGTACAGAGATGCTCTTCCAGTTCAGCCCCATCTGCGTCCGAAAGGATTTGCGGACAGAACGCCATGGTGCGAGAAAAGAGCTATGTAACAGGATCCTGATTGTTCCTGGAACTGTGCCGCAATATTTCCATCAACACTTGCCATCTGAACACTGCTTTGCGACCAATGCGTTTTTCACGCATGCGATTCAACCCACTTCAACCGCTTGGCTCTAGCCTTCCCTAATAGGTTACGGTACCGACCAAAAAGCCCAGAATCCACTGAAGAACAGCCAACGTTAGCAGCGACCATCAATGAGTCTTCCATTCACAACACACCCGTACCGTCAGCCGCATCAGAGGTTGCGAAATCCGAGACGCCGTCCTCAAGCGGCGGCCTTTCCTTCTGTAACTTGTCCGCGACCCGATCGACTTCGGCCCACACCCTCAGCAAATTCCTGCCCACAATCTTGCCCGCATCCTCGTCACTGATGCCTTCTTCCAGCAGCGCAGCGACCAGGTCGGGGAACTTGCTCACGTCCTCGAGGCCCCTGGGCGTGCCTTCGATGCCGTCGAAATCCGTGCCAAGGCCGACGTGGTCGTACCCAATCAGCTCGCCGACGTGCTTGATGTGCCTGACGACCTGCGAAAGCGTGACGTTCGGCTCGTACAAGTCCGGGATGCCGGTGCCGGAATCAGACTCGGTGCAAGAGATGAAGCCCGGGTTGAAGTTGACCATGACGATGGAGTTGCGCTTCTTGACCAGGTGCAGGATGTCGTCGGGTACGTTGCGCGGGTGCGGGCAGAGGGCATAGGCGGAACTGTGCGAGAAAATCGGCGGTGCGATGCTGCCGCCCCAGCTGCCATCCTCAGAGCCGGCCAGGACGTCGCGCATGGTGTCGGGGCTGACGTGGGCCAGGTCGACGATCATGCCCATGCGGTTCATCTCCTCGATCAGGTCGCGGCCGGCAGCGGAAAGGCCGCCCCAGTGCGGGGAGCTGCGGACGCTCTGGCCCTTCTCGTTGGTGACGACGGCGGCGTCGGCATAGATGTTGTGGCAGTTCCAGGTCAGAGTGGCGTAGCGCACGCCGAGCTGATGGAAAAGACGGAGCGTGGGGATGGAGTTACCGATCTGGTGAAGGCCTTCGATGATGACCGGGGCGATGTAGCGGCCGTCTTGGAAGGCACGGAGGGCAGAGGCGCTATCAGGAGTGGGGGTGAAGTATTTGGGGTATTTGGCGGCGAGACGGTGATACAAATCAAGCTGCTCAAGCGTCGCCTTGACGACTAGGCGGCGTCAGAGCGAGGCAGGACGACCAGGGGAGCATGGCTTACTCGGAGCATACGCCTCGTCGGAAAAGTCGGAGGCGTTGGAAGGGCACGGCAGGAAAGCGCTCCAGAAGGCACCGCTGCTCAGACCTTGCTCGATGCGCGGCACATCCGTGTGGTATTCCAGACGGCCGTTCTCGAACCTGTCGGAGAAGTTGCCAGAGTTGATGCGGTTGCCGTACAGGTATCTCATCATAATCATCAAGTCATTGTGGCCGTCTGCGTCGGATTAGCGTGCACACAACGCGGGCAATGCGACGATTACCAATCAGCGGGTTCTCTTTGAGGATTTTTGCAGCGCGGTACTCGATGGACGTGCAGTCCTGGCCAAGGCATCGGAGGTCATAGTGCACATAGCTCCACAGCGTGACGAGAACGAAGACGGGGAAGACAACAAAGTTGAAGATGATGCTGCCGGGCGACCGAGCTGCGCGGCGCAGCGCAAGCCGCTTCTGGTAAGCAACGGCGTCGGGGTCCTTGGTGTCGACTGGTGCTTTTTGTTGTTTTCGTTTCAGCACTGGCCGCGTTTCTCGGGGAGTTTGCTGGAGGACTTACAGCGCATGGTGAGGCGGGGTTGTGGAGTCGCTGTCACTGAAGGCTGCGGCGGGATGACTCGGCAAAAACGGCCGCATCTTTCGAGCAGCTCCAGCTCCACGCAGCCCGTCACCCGTCACCCGTCCGATCTGTCTGCGTCCAGGGGCCCGTTGCGCCTCCACCACCACCATGGCCATTCTCTCGTCCTTCGCCATCATCCGGGGCCTGTGCCTCTTCCACATCACCCTCGCATGGTACCTTCTCAGCGCTCCGCGCATCGTTGCGGAGCAAAACCTGGTTGTCCTGTTCGGGGAAGCCATGCGCATTGTACAATCCTCTTTGCAGCCCGCCTGCGCGTGGGAACTCGTGCTGATCCGTCTTGCGTAGCCTGAACCGACCCAATTACTCAAACCCAATTCTGCCTCCGCCTTCGCCGCCATCATCCTCGCCTTCCTCGGTCTCTCAGACCTCATTGCCGTGTCCATGGACGAGGAGATTGCCTTCCCTTACTGGGCCAACAACATCCCGCTGCGCCTCATGTTCCTCCTCAGCCTGACCGGCTACACGTATGCCTTCAAGCCGTCTCCTGGACAAAGCCTCTTCACCCATGGCGTCGGCGACCCGCTCAAAAACAGGCTGGTCTTTACATGGGGGTTCTTCGAGTGCACAATCTGGTTCTGGGTATGGCATGCTCTCCCTTGGACCCTTGAAGCGCCGAGCTAACACCGACATCCAGGCGTACGTCACTCTAAGGGACGAGAAGGCCAAGTTTGCCGAACGTCTGCTCGAGAGGAGGAAGAGGGAGGCCGAGCTGCTGAGGGACGCCTGATCTTTGCCTAGTAAATCAAAATGAAATATAGTCGAGACCCTCTACATAATGCCCAGCAGCTGTGATTCTCAATTATTGTCCACTTTGGGATTGCAGTCTCGGCAAGCTCCTGCTCGGCGTGCTGTCTTAGACATCCAATCCCTCTTTCTTGAGCTCCCACACACGGTGGAAAGCAAAAAAAAAAAAAAAGACCAGCAGTGAGAAAAAGTGTTCTCCGCGTCAGCCCGAGGCAGTGCAAGCATGAGCGACACTGTGCCCGGTGAGTGACAATGAGCGGTGCTCGGCGGACGGCTGGCCGGCACTCGGCGCTAAAATCCAATTCCGGCGTTTTGCCGACGCGTGAAGCTCGCGACTCGACGCGATAGCGCGACTTCTTCATCTCTCCACTGCTGCCTTCCTCCACACAGCTTCCCCTCGTCCCTGCCCGTGGAAAGCTTGCCAACACCTTCCGTCCAGACGCCAAGTGGCAACAATGACCGCTTCGGTCCTCGGAAAGCGCACCCGGAGTGCCATCTCGTCTGCAGGTAAGCTTTCCAGTCGTCCGAAAATCCGCGCTCGTATGCTCGACGCGTGGCTAATCAGCATCCAGGCCGCAAAGATTTGGGCGCCACGACGCGATGCACCAGAAGCAGCCACTTCGTGGTGCTGGACGATAGCGAAAAAGAAAATCCCTTCGTCACCCCGACGAAGCCGCGCGCTTCAAGGATTGCCCATTTGGAAGCGGACGAGCCAACCGACGAGGACCTACCCGCGAAGCGCACGAGAGGAACCCCCACGAGCCCCGCGAAACATGGCGCCATCCAAGGCAGGGTCGCTCTTTCCCCGGCGAAGGCCAATTCGCAATTCAAAAGCACGGACCCGAAGTCTTCGCAAGATTCGACTCCCTCGACCCCTCGGCATCGGGATGCGTGCGCAAACAAGGTCGCAGTCACCCCCCGCCACCGCGTTTCCATTGCTGGCAAACCCTTGACGCCGCGCACACCCCGCACACCAAGCACCCCTCGGACTTCCGTTACGACCATCTACAACGACGCGCGCCAGCTCTTTATCCGCGGTTCTCAACCGGGCCGGTTGATTGGCCGCGAGGACGAGAGGAGCGAGCTCCAGCAGTTTGTGTCTTCGCGCGTTGGCTCCAAAAAGTCTGGATGCCTGTACATCTCCGGCCCTCCCGGCACCGGGAAGAGCGCATTGGTTGGCGAAGTTTGCCAAGAGCTCGACGAGGCCACCGTGAAGAGAGCGTACATCAACTGTATGAGCGCAAAGAGTGCAAACGAACTCTACATCAAGCTTCTGGAAGGAATCGGCGAGACTGAGGATGTCTTGGAGGGGACAGAACAGGAGACGCTGCAGAAGATCATGTTCAGGCGCGATGTATCGTACGTGGTGACCTTGGACGAAGTCGATTACCTCCTCGAGCTGGATCTCGAGTTGCTCTACAACATCTTCGAGTGGTCCATGCGGCCAAAGTCGAGCCTCATCCTTCTGGGCATTGCGAACGCTCTGGACTTCACCGATCGCTTCCTCCCCAGGCTAAAGTCTCGGGGCCTCAAGCCTCAGCTCCTCCCCTTCATGCCATACTCGGCTTCTCAAGTTGCTTCAGTCATCAGCTCCAAGCTGAAGACCCTGCTTCCTTCCGACACAACCGCCTCAGCCGACTTTGTTCCGTTCCTTCACCCGACTGCAATCCAGTTTCTCTCCAAGAAGATCGCTGCCCAAACCGGAGATCTTCGCAAAGCGTTCGACATTTGCAGAAGAGCCATTGACATGATCGAGTCGAGCGTGCGCGAGCAGCATGCGAGGAAGGCGGCAGAGGAGTCGTCGGAGCCCGCTGCTACGCCGTCTAAAACCATTCTCATTGAGAACATGAACCTCTCTTCGCCTGCTCGGACTCCGACAAAGACCTCTCGGCACTCAGCTGAGGCGTCCTCTCTTCTAAAACTCACAGTGGAAACGGCTCCTCGCGCGACGATCGCCCACATGGCGCGTGTGACTGCTGCTGTCTTCAACAATGGAACAACTCAACGCCTTAAGAACCTCAATTTACAGCAGAAGGCTGTTCTCTGTGCGCTTTCGGCTCTTGAGAAGAAGCTGCGCGATGCGGCTGCTTCGGTGCCTCCTTCGACACCGTCGAGGCACAGCGCGGCAGCGCCCACCATCAAAGCGCTGTACGACGCTTACGCCCGACTTTGCAAGCGTGACAACGTTCTGCACCCTCTCACCAGCACCGAGTTCCGCGATGTAATCGCCAGTCTGGAGACTTTGTCGTTGATCTCCGCGCTTGAGGGTAATGGCAAGAGCGGTAGCTTCTCTGTCCCTTCAACGCCAAGCAAGCGGGGCGGTCGTGGTGGTGGGGGCTTCAGCGCCGGACTTGTCGAGGAGAAGAGGGTTTCGAGCAGCGTCAATATGAAAGAACTGGGTGGTGCGCTGGATGGGCCCGGCAGCGGTGTGTTGAGGGGCTTGCTCAATGGAGAGATTGTTGCATAATTGAGCGAGTCGGAGGTACAGTCAGTTGGCTGCCGGCATGTGGGGTTTCCTTCTTGTTTTAAGCATAGGCGCTGCGCGGCGTTTGTGATGGATAAACGGGCTATATGGTGGCATTCTGTGGCGCATGGGTTGTCTGAAAATGTGTCTGAGCTGGCATACGGAGCATCACCATGCTTGGGTAGAGAAGAATGACGAAATTAAACCTGCTTCCCTGATTGCTTCATTGTCTGCTTGTGCGTGCATGTATGTATACGTGCAAGCATGATTCCTTCCAATCGGACTACTTTTCCCTGCACAGAGTGCATACATACTGTATGATCGTCTGAATCCTGTCGGGCATCGACACCTCAACATGTGGTTGACCAACTATCGACTCGGGAGGAGATTGCCGGTGCATGTCGATCAGAATTCGGCAGCGGCCGCGGCTCTGTGGCTGAAACGTCTCCAGGGCGACGAATAGCCGGCACCGAGTGGCCGGACTGCTGAACCGGTATCAGGTTCTCGAGAGAATGTACGTCATTGGCCCGTCGCTGCGCGACTGTTTCTCATTTCTGCAAGCCGAATTGGCCAACCAGACCATCACTCTTCTCATGGACGACGGCTCTGGTTCATAGCAAGACTCAATGACGCTATTTTATCGATTGCGACAAATCTAAATGCAGGTATAAGGGATTGCCTGCCTCCACCCTACTTTTTGTAGCCCAAGATCCCCTCCCCCATGGCCAAGTAAAAGTAGATAATACGTCGGTGAACACCGTGGAGGAAGGGCCGCCCCAGGACTCTTGATATTTTACATATGCAATACACAATTCCTTCCTTCTTCGCCGCGTTCTCCCTGCGCCTATGCGATCCATGATGCCCCGCCTCCTTCACCGGGCAAAGGTGTTTGCGAACATGGTGCGAGCAGACTGCCCCGACTTGCCCAGAGCATCGGGCGGCACCTCCAGGGTTTCCCAGTTGATCCGGCGCCACCACGCCTCCAAGAAATCTCTCTTGGACTCGACGCCCCAATCAGGCACCCAGACGTGCTCCCATGTGTTTACGCACAGGACGGGGACAACATCGGCACCACCGGGGGCGCGGTTGCGGGCGGCTTGGCCGGCGACGCTGTGCGGGCCCATGACGCCGGCCGAGTTTTGGATCTGGCTCTGGCGGGCGTAGTCGGCGCCGGAGAGACCGCCGGCGGAGCCGTGGTTCTGGGTGTTCATGTCGACGGGCTGCTGGCGATAATGGGCGTCGGAGAGCGGCGAGCCGGCGAGGTAGGTGGGCAGGATCTTCCACGAGCCCTTGTTCAGGTTCTGCATTTGCCTGTGCCACACCAGCCACACGAAGCCCGGGCCGAACATGGCCTCGGCGGTCGCGAGGAAGTCGGCCTTGAAGATGTCGACCGAGGAGAAGGATGTTGTCAGGGATTCGGCGAGCTCATCGGGCATGGGGGTTTCCTTGTCGGCCTGGGGTCGGCGTGTTAGCGGGGGCTTGCGAGGCCTGCGAGGCGACGCAGGGGTGGGACCGCATGGGCAGAGCCACGTACGATGGTGCCGAAGAAAAAGTGGTTGTTGAAGGCCATGGAGGCATAATTGAAGGTGGAGGCGAGCAGCGGCTCGCGCGCGGTCTTGATGACTATATCCTTGACGAGGTGTTTCTCGAGAGGGGTGCCTGTCTCCGGGGATTGGACGTCAGCGCACGCGCAATTGACGGCGTGGAGAGAGGGCCATCGCACCGACGATGCGCTCGTTGAGCCCGTCGACCATCAGCTTCTGGTAGACGGTCCAGGCGGTGTTGAAGCCGGTCTGCGACAGCAGCTCGGGCACGCCGTTCTGGGCGAAGCGCTCGCCGAAGTTGGCGAGGCTGGGGACGCCGTGGACGGCGCGGCGGTGGGCGCGGGCGGCGAGGCGCTGGGCGGCGCGCAGGGGCTGCTGCGGCCGGAGATGGCGGGCGAGGATCATGGCGCGGGTTGCGGAGGGAGAGGAAACGGCGTCGACTTTTCCAGCGCAGATGATGCTCCGGCAATCGCGTGCACGGGCGCGGCCAGCGCTCCACCGTCTCTCCCGCCCGCGGCCAGCGAGCGCCCTCAGCCAACCAAGCGCCCGCGACGCGCCCGCCCTACAACACCCCAAGACTGCGTTTCACACGCACGCTGCCAGCGCGTCCCCAGAGCCACCCGCCATGCGCCCTCGCCGCCCTCTGCTGCGTTGGGCATCCGCGGCCCACCTGCCTGCACCGCGCCTCTCGGCGCCTCGACACGCCTGCTCTGCACCATGCTGAGACTCGCATGGTCCTCGCGCCATGCTGCGCCCGCCATGCTGCTCCCTTATATCCTCCACCCGCCGGCCAGCTCACCATTTTCCTCTTGTTCGCTGCATCTCCACCCACCCCGTCCACCCGCTGCTCTCTCCTTCTCCACGCGCCCGTCACGTGCGGCCGTCTTTCCTTGCCCGTCTTGTTTCCGTTTCCGTTTCTCTTGAGCGCGTTCTGGTATCGCCGTTGTTCACTCTCTCCGCCTCCCCGATCCCTCTGCGCCCGCGCCCGCTTGGCGCCTCCACCCTAGAATGCGCCCGTCGACACTGAAGAAGCTCTCCGCCATCTGCATCGTGTCGGCCGCAGTCCCCGTAGCCTCCGCCCTCGCCGTCGCCAGAGATGCAACAGGCCTGCTCCGCCGGGCGGATGCGGCCGTCTGCGGCGGCGATTCCTCACTTTCGCAGTGCGGCAGCAACTTCCCCAGCGCCTTCTGCTGCCCCTCGAGCACCACCTGCACCGCCCTCAACGACGACAACGGCTCCGGCGGCGAGGCCACTTCTGTGATATGCTGTCCCGAGGGCCAGGACTGCAAGTTCATCCGGCCCATCACGTGCGACATCAACCAACAGAACGCCACTCTGCACCCTTCGAACGCCATCCACACGACGAACCTCACGGCAACCCTGGAAACGTGTGGATCGGAATGCTGCCCGCTGGGATACAAGTGTCAAAGCGGCCTCTGCGCCATGATCTCCGCCAGTGACACCAGTGGATCGTCGACCACTTCGGCCGCCCCCTCGACCACTTCCATTTCAACTCCGACCGGTGGATCCGTCACCTCTGGCTTGGGCCCCTCGGAAACCTCCACGACGGCCACCCCGTTGAGCGAAAAGCATGGAGGCGGCACTAACAAGGGTGCCATCGCCGGTGGAGTCATCGGTGGCATCGCCATCGGCGTCCTCCTCGCTGCCCTGGGCATATGGTGTTGGAAGAGGCGCCAGACTCAAGAAACGAAGTCTCGTTACAGCGGTGACTTCGGCCCTGTCTCCCGCACCGTCAGCGACCCAATCTACAACCCCGCGCTCGGTGCACGCACCGAGTTCCTGCGTCGTGATGCCGCTAGCCCACCAGGCAACGCGAGCATCGACCACACCCTTCTCGGATCACCCTTCTCTCCGATGAAGGAGATCAACAAGGTAGACGGCCTCGGGCGAAACGGCACAATGACTACCACGACCACGTCGCACTCGTCGGGAAGTGCGACGCCCCTCAACCCATATGGATACGCTCGTCCGAACGTCCCCAAGCGCAGCCCAAGCAAGCCGTACGGCAGTCTTACGTCCGGCCCTGGCGGCGGTATGGCCGCGGCTTCGCCAAAGTCTCCTCGCATCCGCGGCCTGTTCTCGCGGCCGTCAAAGTCCAACCTGAGCGAGCATCCGATGCCACCACCGCCACCAATGGCATCGGGCGCGGTCAGCCCCAGTGTATACACGCCGACGCCCGCGCCCCGTGGGCCCCAGAGACATCGAAGCAGCTCCACAGCTCGTCAACCAATGGGTCCGACACGCAATTTCAGCCTCGGTCCACGTCGCTCGCAAAGCTTGTCGGGCCATGTTGAGCTGAGCCGCGAGCGTCCACGGACAGGCTCTACGGAGACGATTGATGTGCTTATGACTGGCTCGAATCAGCCGAGCGGCATGGGTTTCCTGGCGCCGCCGCCGGGCATCCGCGTGCCTGGCGAGCGTCCGCTGACGAGCGATACCACGTTCACGCGGCTGATGGAGAATGCTGGCTATGGCCGAGAGACTCGCGACCACGTCAACGGGTGGGGTAACATGGGAGTGGCCGGCCACGCCGCGGATTCCCCAAGGAATAGGATATAGGTCCGGCAGGTGAGGTATTGTATGGCACTGAACGACTTTATGACTCAACCATGTATGGGCGGCATTCATTCACTCCTTTTAATCATGTGGGTACGGAACCTCGGGACGAGGCTATGAACATACTGGGCGGCTTTATGCTTTGGTTCTGGGAACCGGCAACGACTATTTTCACGACGTTCCTTCACTTCTTGTACGTTTTGTCAAAGCTTGATGCGTTTGACTTGCGGGTAATTCTCAAGAAAAGATTAGGGGCTAGGCTCTACTGGTAGAGTTGGTCTTGGTGTTTTAATGCAGCAAATCTAAAAACAAAAAAAACCAACGCCTTGATATGGCACTATCCTTTTTTCCGCGGAATTGACCATGCTCGGGGGTCACCAGCCCGTTACCATTGCCTCCGTCTCCTGATCCCCCCGACCCTCTCTGGTGTTGACCTCAACCAACGAAAGCGCCCGTCTCGATTACGATTAGCCTCTACGCAATAAGTACAAGGCATCAGCCACCTGAAAAGCTGCTCTCGTCCGGCCCTACTGTTTCAACGGCCCGCTGTATTTCAGCACACCTTCGGTCGGAAGCTTGTGCTTCGTCCCCCCCAGCCCTGGGCCATCCAAGAGCTTCTCGACGCGCTTCTCGAACGCCTCGATCATCAAGTTGGCCACCATGGGCGTCACTGCCGCCATCATGGTCCCGTAAAGTGGATTCGCAAAGGCGAACTCGATGACGAGCGACACTTGGGTCTGCTCCTCGGGCTGGCCAGACGCGGGCTTCTGCGGATCGATGGGGTTGACAGGTGCGCCGCCAGAACCCACGCCCGCACCCAGCTCGGTGGCGCCGCCTGCGGGCTGCGGCGGCTGGTAGGGGAAGGGGGTCACGGTCCAGCGCGTGAGCAGGTGGGTGAGGATCTCGCCCTGGCCGTCGGGCGGCGCGTTCTCGGCGGGCACGTCGTGGTGGGCGATCTGCTCGGGCAGCAGGCGGGTGCGCGAGCGGCCGCCGACGGCCTCGACGATCTCGCCGGGCACGCAGTAGATGCTCGAGGCGAAGGCCTCGCTGATGGCGCCCCAGCCGACGGCCAGCGTTGCCCTGGCGGGCCAGCGCTTGCCCGTGGCGGCGTCCGGGCGCGACCACTCGGTCACGTCGGAGCGCTGGCAATATGGCAGGAAGGAGTGGTACGACGAGACATCGGCGATGATGTTGTAGATGGCGGCGCTTGGGTAGGGCAGGGTGCGTGTCGCGGTGAGGTGTTGCGCCGCGGCGGCCGACGCACTGGAGCCGGAGCCGGAGCCGGAGCCACTGAGGGCGGCGAAAGGATTCGGGAGGAATGTTCTGGTCTGCTGCGCGGCGCGGCCAAGACGAGCGGGCCGGAGGCAAGCGGTGGTGATGCGCGCGGGCGCTGCGACCCGGAGAGCTTTCATGGTGATGGTGGTGGTGGAAGGATGCGAGTGCCGGCTGATAGAAGTCAATTGGCCTGCGACTACCTTTGGACAAGTGAGGGGAGGGCGTACAATGGCGGGTTAGCTGCTGCTCTTCATTATGTATCAGCACGCGTCGCAAGCGAGGGCGGTCCAATGGGGCGCAAGCGGTTTCTGAGCAGCGATGATGCTATGACTTGGACCCTGGGTGCCTGGGTGCCTGGGCGCCTGGGCGCTAGCCGGCTTATCGATAAGGCATGATTTTCTGTCCCCTCGACTCCCGCCCCACGCCGTGTATACACCACCACCGCCGCCGCCGCCGATCAGTATGGCCGACGAACCGAGCCCCTCGCCTCCTCCCCCTGCCGCGGACGCGTCCGCCAGCAGTGCTCTCCCGAGCAAGAAAACCCCAAAAAGCCAGCTCTCCAAGGGCATGGAGCACATCCGCTACGCCGTGACCGTCGATCCGGCTGCCTCGCCGCAGCCTTCGACCTACGGCGTGCCGAATTCGGTCATCGAACCCGTCCGCAAGCCCGCCTCCTCGCGCTCGCACGACCCGGCCAACAACCAGAAGCGCAGCGACCCATTCCAGTTTGGGTCGCGCTACCTGGAGGAGGGCGACGACATCTTCGAGTTCAACGCCTGGGACCACGTCGAGGTCGATGACGCCTACAAAGAATTCGCCGAGTGCCAGTACTCGCAGCAGCGCGAGAACCCCGTCTCCGACTTTGACAAGCGCCGCTTCAACATGGACCCGGCCAAGTGGTGGAACCTGTTTTACAAGAACAACCAGAGCAATTTCTTCAAGAACAGAAAGTGGCTTTTCCAGGAGTTCCCCGTGCTCGAGGCATTGACGAGGGCCGACAGCCCGCCGACCCTCATGCTGGAAACCGGCGCCGGCGCCGGAAACACGGCCTTTCCCATCTTGAAGCTGAACGAGAACCCCAACTTCAAGATCCACGCCTGCGACTTCTCCAAGACTGCGGTCGACGTCATGAGGAAGAACGAAGCCTACGATGATGGGGTGAAGATCCAGGCCGACGTATGGGACGTTGCTGGCGAAGGAGAGCAGAGCTTGCCCCCGGGCATCCAGGAAGGAACTGTTGACGTGGTCCTCATGGTCTTCATCTTTTCCGCCCTTGCTCCTTCGCAGTGGGCGCAGGCGGTACGGAACATCTACCGCGTCCTCAAGCCCGGTGGATACGTGCTCTTCCGCGACTATGGCCGTGGCGACCTGGCCCAGGTGCGCTTCAAGAAGGGCCGGTATCTGGATGAAAATTTCTACGTCAGGGGAGATGGTACTCGAGTGTACTTTTTCGAGAAGGAGGAGCTGCAGCAGGTCTGGGGCGGCAAACTCAAGACGCTCCTTGCAACAAGGCAAGCCAACGGCGGCGACGCTACGGAGCAGTTGGAGAAGCTGGAGCTCAACGATCAAGCCGAGGAGGCAGCCGCTGTCGAGGATGTCCCGGTGTTCGACATCGAATCTATCGGCGTGGATCGCCGCATGCTCGTCAACCGCCAACGCAGGCTCAAGATGTACAGGTGCTGGATGCAGGCAGTCTATCGCAAACCCGGAGGCAGCACGCCGACAATCCTCCGGCAACCTGTGAAGCCTGACGCGGGAGAGGATGTCGAATCTGCGACAACTGCATAGATCATCAGGCTCCGGGTTCTGTGACAAGAAGACCGGTTGCCGAGAGGCCATACAAAAAGAGCATGTACGGCGTTAGTGCATTTATACCCGATTTATGAACATCGTGCCATTTTAGGTTTGGGAATGGAGGGCGGTTTTTGGGTATTTCAAGCCTGCAGGGCTGCCTTGATTGACTACGTTGCATCTGTCCCCTTCTGTCGACATATTGCCTCTTCCCCCGAGCTGATGGCAGGACGCGGCTGGAGAGGTTGCGTCGTGGTGAGCCATTTCTTTGATCGTCCCGAGTCCTTGAATCATTGCGCTCTAGACTAGATTTTTCCGCACGCCTCTGGGCTTTCGGGGCCATATGTTTACCCGTCCGCTGCGTGCCGCGCATGCTTTTTGCAAGACATAGAAACGACGCACTCGTCCGTTGTGCAAATGGCCAGGTTGGAGCCAGACGTCTTCAGGGGCAAAGTTGTTTGCATTTGCCAGGGACGAAAGGTGGATATGGCGTAAAGGTGCTCTGTGTGATGGTGAGCCACCAAGCGTTGGCTGATAGCAAGCGAAGGACGATGCGTCGGGAGGTCTGGATTACATGGCTGATTTCGTCGGCCAGAGAAGGGTTATGTATTGATGCAGATGCATATGTACTGGCTCTACCTTGCGAATTCAACAACGCCCCGAGATTACCTTCCAATCTATGCTATGAGTATAGGAAACAGTGGGAGAGCCGTTTGCCATCGTGATAATGCGTCATCGCCATCTGTCTTTTCACGTCTCTCCGTCACTCTCCTCTACTCCTTCAACACGCCGCTCTCCACGGCTGCTTCCACGATATCCTCCTTCCTGATGCTGCTCCTCTCGCACATGCTCCTGAAAATACCGCCCTCTTTCTCCCACAGGCCCAACGGGGTGTCGAGCTCTGCGATCTGGCCCTGGTCCATGACGCAGATGCGGTCATAGCCGATGATGGTGCGCAGACGGTGGGCAATGCACAAAAGGGTCTTGCCGCGGAAGCCCTCAACGATGGTGCGCTGAATCTTGGCGTCCGTTTCCATGTCGACCGACGACGTTGCCTCGTCGCACACGATGATCTGCGCCCCGCGAACCAGAGCTCGCGCCAGCGCCATCAGCTGCCGCTGGCCCAGCGAAAAGTTGAGCCCTTCCTCGTCGACAGCGCTGTCGAGGTGGATCCGTTGCGTCTTGTCTTCCATCTTCGCCTCGGCACCCACCAGGTCGGCCTGGCGCAGCGCGCCCCAGAGCTCGAGATCGGTGTGCTCATTGAAGGGATCGAGGTTCGTACGGATCGTGCCACGGAAGAGGGTGGGGTCTTGTGGGATGATGGCGAGGCGGGAGCGCAGGTCCTTGAGGCCGATTGTGCTGATGTTGACGCCGTCGATGGAGATGGACCCGCCAGACAACTCGACCAAGCGGAAGAGAGTGCTCATGATGGAGGACTTGCCGGCCCCAGTACGGCCAACGACGCCGATGCGCTCGCCAGGGAGCACGTGCATATTCAGTCCCTGGAGAACCAGCGGGAGGCCATCGCGGTACCGCATCTGCACGTTGTTGAAGACGATCTCGCCTCGCTCGGGCCAAGTGGGCGCGACAGAGCCCAGGTGCAGGGGCGGCTCTTGCTCCAGCTGCGTGCCGTAGTGGTATATGCGTTCGGTCGAGTTCATGTTGTTCTCGACCTCAGCAAGCTGCCGCACCGTAAACTGAATCATCTGTACAATGGATAGGATGTACGAGAGAACGAGCCCAGCAATGCTCGGGTTGACGTCGAAGCGCTGCGTCACAACCAAGATACCGGTGACAAACACAAGCAGGTTGCCAATGGCATCAAGGCGGGTGCTAAGCCAGCGCTGGTTCGAGAAAGTCAAGTAGTAGGCCGAGTCCATGTTGTCGACGGCCTCTCTTATCAACTTGGAGAATCTCGACTGGAGACCGTACGCCCTTACCGTAGCAACACCCGAAACAGCCTCGGTGAAGCGTGAGAAGACGGTACTTCGCAACACAGACTCGTGACGCTTAATCTCGCGCGCCGAAGCGCGATAGTAGCTCGCAGAGAAGACAAAGAGCACGAAAAGCGGGCCGAGGGCAATGGCAAAGTAATGGAAGTATGCGATGATGAGGGCGAAGACGGAAGTGATCATGGCCATTGTGAGGAGAAACATGCGCATCGAGTCCGTGAGGGCATTATCCATGGTGTCGATGTCCTTGGAGAAACGGTTCGTGATACGTCCGAGGGGGGTGGTGTCGAAAAACGACATGGGCGCTCTGAGGACTCTGGTGATGGCCTGGTGCAACATGACCTTGGATCCTTTGGTGCCGAACACAGACAGGGCAACCGAGAAGACGAACATCAGCATCGCCTGCGTGAAACCCAAGGCGGCGTAAACACCAATCTGGAGGCTAGTCAGCACGGCCTCACATCTCTACGCCAACGGCAGACTTACGTAGGCCCCTTCCGAGTACCCGAACTTGTCGGACGTCCACCACGAGAGCCACAGGCTAGTAACAATATTGGCACCCTGCGACAGGATCAAGAGACCAAGGACCAGCGGCGCAATGAGGATGGAGCCAGACGCCTTGATGTATGCCGAGTAAACGCTCCAAGACACGCTTTTGACTGCCCTTTCTTCAGCCTGCATTAGGCCTTGAGCCGGCCTTTTGGGGGCCTTCTTTTTGACATCCTTCTTTTCTTCCTCGATCTCGTCTGCATCGTCGGGCTGCTCCCCCTTCTTGTCGTCATCTTCCACGGCAGTAGATGCCATGAGCTTTTGGAAATCCTCGTTGTGTGCCTTCAGATAGTCAAAGGTGCCGGCTGCAGAGATGCGGCCTTCGTGCATCACCATGATGCGGTCGCACCGGTGAAGAACATGCAACTGGTGGGTGGCCAGGACCCTGCATTTATTCTCCAGCAGGCCACAGATTGCGTTGTCCATGATGTGACGGCCGACGTGCGCATCGACAGCTGACAGAGGATCGTCCATGAGAATAATGTCCGCATTAAAGTAGATGGCACGCGCGATGTTGATCCTCTGCTTCTGGCCACCAGACACAGTGATGCCTCGTTCGCCGATTTCAGTGTGGTCTCCGTTCGGCAACATATCAAAGTCTGCCCGCAGCGCGCACGCGTCAACAACCCGGTCGTACCACTCCTGATCGAAGTCGGTCCCGAAGATGATATTTTCCCTGACGGTGGCGTTCTGAATCCAGGCGTATTGGGGACAGAAGGCCCGAGTCGATCCCAGCATAAGCTCTCCAGAGGTTCGGCGCATGTCTCCAGCAAGGGCCCCAAGCAGCGAACTCTTCCCGGACCCAACCGTTCCGATGACGGCAACGAGCTCGTTGCGAGCCACCGAGAAGTTCAATCCCTGAAGCTTGAACGGTTCTTTCTCCACAGGCGTGCTTGAGACACTCGGATCCGAGGCATCATGTGCGTCACCGCTCCTCCGGCTCTCCTTTGCAGCCTTCTTCTCTGCCTCCTTGGCCTCCCTCTTCTCCTGCTTGAGCTGCTTCTGGCCCTTGGGTCCCTTGCCTGGGATGTGATCAGGGTCTTGCGTAGGCGAGCGCTCCCACGTGAAATCGGCACTCTTGACAAGAACGGCTTCCTTCATGTCCTCCCTCCACTGGATAGCCTCGTCGGCTTCTTCGGCGAAGAGAAATTCCTGGATTCGCTTGATGGAGGAATACGCATCGATTGTCTGGCCCAGGACCAACGGAAGCAAGTTGAGGGGCAGACGGAGTGAGTTGAACAGGGCCAAAGAAGAGAAAATAGGGGCGGGGTCAAGGACGTGGTTCGACAGTGAATACGTGATGAACGACAGCATCGAGGCGAACACAGGCATCGACATCCCGACGGCGTTGATGCCGTTGCGAATGGCCAGGACTTTCTGGATCATCCGGATCTCCTTGTTCCTGATGGCGTCGATGCGTTCGAGGAAAGACGTCTCCCAGCCAAAGTACTTGACGAAGCGCACGGCCGAGAGAATCTCCTGGGTCAAGCTCACCCTCTGGTCGGTGATCTTGTTGATGCTGACCCTTCGTTTGAACAAGCTCTTGATTGACTTGCCAAGGAGCGGGAACGCAACCACCAAGAGCCCGAAGCCAGCGAGGGCACTGTAGGTCAGATTGTACAGAAGAAGGGCCAGAGTGATGAGGATGGAAACAGGAGAAGTCCAAATCATGTGGAAGAAGGCAGACGCCTGGTCGACGCGGTAAGTGTCGACAGACATCAGATTGATGATCCTGCCGTTGCCCCATCCCATTCCATCCCCAGCAACGCCTTTGATCGAGGCTGGGCTGGGCTTGGCACCGTGGTCCTTGCGGCCAAGCATCTTCCTATACCACTTTCGCTCTTCCTCGGACCCCGGTTTGATGTGCGGGGGCGGGGTGGCATCGAGAGGCTTGCCGCCAGCCTTTGCTCTGCCGGAGATGCGCAAGGCCTTGTCGAAGATGACGGAGATCAGGGCAGCCCTGGCTTCGCCGCCCACCATCATTCCCCGATACAGGAAGTGGTTGGTGCACAAGCTTTGGAGGATTTGCATACCCGTGATGCCGAACACGAGGCCAAGCCCGCGGCCAATCGAGGGCGCAGGGCTTCCTGCTCGCTGGGCGATGTAGGCCTCGGTAGCGAAGCTGATCAGGTAGCGTAGGGTAAAGGGCGAGAGGACCTGCACAATGCTGGCGATCAACTGGCAGACGCCGCCGAGCCAGAACTCGAACTTGAACGTTTCATACAGGGCGCCGGCCAGCGGGCGCGGGTCGCCACGAGCTCGGCGGCGGTCGAATGACTCGACGAGCTTGGCCGACAGAACTTCAGCAGTGCGGTCGGGGTTCACCAACCAGATGTCGTTCAGCTCGAGAGTCCTCTGGTAGCCGACCTGCAGCGCGAATCCATCAGCTCACGCAGCGGGCGTCGGGGAACGGGCGCTGCGGCTTACCGACATGAGCGGGGCCATCCACTGGAAGGTGAGCAGACTGAAGAAGCCGGCGCCATGTTCTCGCGAGACGTCACGCTCGGTGGGCACAGCTGGCTTGTTCCTCTTCTTCAGCGGGTTCGCCCTGTCGAGCCAGCCGGGGTGCTGGTCGGGCGCAGACGAGCTCTTTGCATCATTGACGTCGGCATCGTCGTCGCTGGCCGACGTGTTGGAGCTGTAGCTGGCTCTTTTCTCGATGCCAAGCGGAGCCGCCTTCTCGGGATCGAGGGAGCGCGGCGGGCCGGTGGCAGCAGGGGCGGCGTTAGGGCTGGCGGCAGGCGTGGCACTCTGGCGGCCGGCTTGCCCGTCCTTGTCTGCGACCATTTCTCCTCGGGCAGGGGCGGCGGGCGGAGAGGGAGGTCAGGCGAAAGGAGAGGCATGCCGCGGGCGGCGGGCGGCATTATGTGTGCCAGGTGGAGAGGCGGGCCTCGAGTGCATGGAGCTACGCCTAACGCCGGGCGGGCGTTCAGTGTGCCCATCCATGACGCCGCTATACAGGACGGACGGCACCAGGTACAGCCCATTGGTCAGCGCGGCCAATGCGACTTCTGACCTCAGGACTCCGGCCTCTCGCCCTCGCACTCGCCGACCGGCGAATCCGCTTATCAATCCATCTGTGCATCCTTCGGTCTCCACTTGCCCACCTTCCCGCCCGGGCTGCGCCAGCCCTGGGAATTCCCGAAGCCTGGCTGCCCCGGCCTGTGCGTACGGCGGTCCGGGCAAAGCAGCAACGGAAGAAGCAGAGGCGCACACCACGCCGGCTGGGGGCCCGGCCTTCTTGCTCGCTGCTGGTGGCTGCGTCCGTGGCCGACGGACGAGGAAAACAAAGGATCTGGGTCATCATGCTGACAGCCGGGGTGCCGAGTCCGTCGCTACTTATGCCGCTTGTTGCCCGGAGCTCGACCGGCAGCACGAACGCGGCTCAATCCTTGCCGTGCGACTGACCGCCGCGGGGAATCACACTCACTCACCACCCGGAGACTGCTCCGTCACCCGCAGACACCGTCAGCCCGTTCCTGGCTGCAATAACCCATCAGAGTATTTGGCGGGGCTGAAGCGGCCGCCATGGCGTATTTTGCAATTATGCGTGCATGTTATTCATCTATTGTGCTCTTCCGCCGTCCTTGGTGAGCCAGCCGCCTATGCATCGTGTATGCAGGGTATCAGAAACATGAAGTCGTCCAGAGCATGGAAAGAAATCCCGACCCTTGCTGTCTAGTTGTCCACGCCAATGTGCACGTTCTTCTCGCCCGCAGGAATCACCTGCTCCTCCTTCGCTCCCTTCAGCTGCGGCAGCTCCTCAATCGCCTCGCGAATGATGTTGAGAGATTGCTGAACCTGCTCCTCCGTGATGACCAGCGGCGGTGCGAGACGGATGATGTTCTGGTGAGTGGGCTTGGCCTGCTTCACGTTAGCGCACGCTTTGCCGTCGGGTTCCTCCGCCGAGCACTCACCAAGAGACCCTTCTCCTTGAACAGCATGCACAAGTCCCATGCGCTGTGTCCGTTCGTCTTGCTCTCGTCGATAATGATGGCATTGAGCAGACCCTTGCCGCGAACGAGGCTGATCATGGGGCTGTTGAGATTCCTCAGGCCCTCGCGGAAGATGTTGCCCAGCTTCTCGGCGCGCTCAACCATGTTCTCCTCCTGGATGATCTCCAGCGCCCTGATGGCCACGGCAGAGCCCAGCGGGTTGCCACCGTACGTCGAGCCGTGCGTGCCCGGCTCGATGGTGAGCATGACTTCCTTGGAGCCCAAGACGCACGACACCGGGTACATGCCGCCCGAAATGGCCTTGCCCAGAAGAACCAGGTCAGGCTTGATGCCGCTCCACTCGTGGCAGAGCATGCGACCAGTGCGAGCAATGCCCGTCTGGATCTCGTCGCAAATCAGCAGCACGTTGTGCTTCTCACACAAAGCCTTCACCTCGCGGAGATAGCTGTCGTCAGGAACGACAATACCCGCTTCGCCCTGGATCGGCTCGACAAGGAAGGCGGCCGTGTTCTTGCCGTGGGCCTCCAGCACCTTGCGGACGTCGTCGACGTTGTTGTAGCGGATGGGAGCCTTGGTAACCGGGTCCCAGCTGCCGATTCCGGGCAGGTAGGGGCCGTAGTTCTCGCGCGACTCCGGATCCGTCGACATGGTGATTGCCGCGAACTGCAGTCCCTAGTTAGCAGCGTTGCCCTCGCGCGAGCATGACGGCAGGCTTACCGTGCGGCCGTGGAAGTTCTCCTGCACGCTGAAGACGAGCGCCTCGTTCTCGGGAATGCCCTTGACCTTGTAGCCCCACTTGCGCGCGACCTTGACCGCAGTCTCGACCGCCTCGGCGCCAGTGTTCATGGGCAGGACCATGTCGAAGCCGAGCGTCTGCGTGATGTACTCGGCGAAGCGCGGGAACACATCGTTGTAGAACGCACGGCTGCTCAGAGTAAGCCGCGAAGCCTGCTCGGTGAGGGCCTTGACGAGCTCGGGGTGGCAGTGGCCCTGGTTCACTGCGCTGTATGCGGACAGGAAATCAAGGTAGTGCCTGGGCGGCGTCAGCGACGGGGCGCGAGAAGTCCAGGGCTGGATGCACTCACTTTCCCTCGGGATCCCACACGGAAACGCCCGACGCCTTGGAGAAGACGACGGGCAGCGGGTGGTAGTTGTGCGCGGCATGCTCGTGCTCGGCATGGATGGCGGCCGACGAGGAGGCGGCGTGGGCATTGAAGGGCTTCGCGGCGCCGCTGGAGGCGGAGCCGTTGCTGACTGCGGAGGGGGCCATGGCGGGCAGGCGGAAGGAGGGGGTGGTGGGTGAATGCAGAAAGAAGGCGCGGGGATGAAGCTGGAGTGCGGCACGCGGAGCGGTGCTGATATGCGATGGAGGAACGTGGGAAGCCGGGAGAAAAGGCGGGAGGGCCCCCTTTTAAGCGGCGGGCTCAGCGTGTCAGAGGAAAAAACCAGAAATTGGCTGGTGCCGTGACTACCCGGGGCGCCCGTCTATAACTGCGCATAGGGGAAACACACGGTGTTGAGCTTGCTCCAGCTCGAGACCTAAGGCTCACGCTCGCGTCGTCCTGCGCTTAGCGGCTACAATTACGTGCACGTATCAGCCCGGCTGCACAGGGGCCCCGACCGTGCTGGAGTGGCCCGCTTTGCGCGCCCGCCCATTGGCTGCCCGCGCCCCGCCCTCGGCCTTCTCCCCTCGGCTTGCCTCCAAGCAGCCGTAGCGCCTGCACCCTGGCTCCGATCGCCAGAGAGCCTCGAGAGGCTGAAAGCCCTCCCGCGCCTCATCATCATCAGACGGCCGCCAGACGTGCAGCCGGAGGCGGGCGAGCGCTCTTGTCTGCTGCGCCGCAATTGGCTGCCGCCCCTGCGTGCCGCGCCGTTGCACTGTTGACGGCGCCTGCGCTGCTCCGAACGCGGGCGGCGCTGCGACCGTTGGGCGAAACGTCACAGGCCCGCATGAGCCTGCCGCTTCCAGAAGGCGGCGCATGCTCTGGCTCCCCCATGTTGTCATCTGCACATCGACTCGGGCAGCCGTGTATCGTGAGCCGTGAGCCGTGAGCCGTGAGCCGTGGGACGTGGGACGTGGGCCGTGGGCCGTGAGCTGTGAGCCATGCCCGAGTCCAGGCGTGAGCGATGGGCAAGAACAAGTAGGTATCTAGGTAGCCGCCCGGCCCCGCATCGCTGATAGGCGAGATAAGGTATCTAGATATCTGCTAGTACCCCAGCCTTGCAACAGCAACATCTCCATCTCAGCCCAGAAAACCCCACGACTCACAAGGCTTCTTCTCCCGGTCCTACGCAATACGGTGCCTGTCTCACGTGCAGCGCGCTTTGACGCTACTGTGGCACCTTGATGACAGCACACCCAGTTCCATGCGATCCTACCTACACCGGCCCTGACCGCCCCCCAGGAGAGTCCCTGAACCTGTGGTTGCGCAATTGGCCGCACCCGCTCGCCAAGGGTCTGATGATGTGCGGTCGCAGGTAGTGCGGAACATACGGCTTATAGCCCGCGCCATTGGCTTCGAGAAGGGAAAAACGGGTTCTGCAAACGGGAGAGAGCGGCTCATGATGTCATCAAGCTCGGATGGGGGCACAATACTGACGGTGTCATGTTGGCACGAACAATTATTGCAACTCGCTGAGTGCTAAAGATACGATGTGCAAGAAGTGCTGCGCCCCGCGTTCGGAACGTCTCAGATGCAGATCCTTCGAGCAGCGTGTGTTGGTCTCAGCCCACGCCACCAATCACACAATCCCACAAGCTTCTGCCTGGAGCAAATGTGGGACAGGGTGGAGAGCATTCAGCTCTGCCGCCGCCGCCAGCGTGTATAAGAAAGGCGTCTGGTAGGTAGGTGGTAGTATGCACTGCTCCCCGCTGCCGCCGCCGTCCGATTGTCCGCTTCCCAAAACAGAAGGTGGCGGATCCGAACCAAGCCTGTTTATCTGTCCTCGTCGTCTCATCTCGTCTCCCGCCGCCATCTCTCTTGCAACATCGAACATGCCGGGCGACGATTCATTCTCCATCATTTCCCAGTCCGGTGGCGATCGGCTGTTTGATGAGTACCACTCTCAGACCGCGGCCAAGAAGATCGATTTGGACGTCCAGCTTGTTTCCGCCTTGCGCGCGCAGCATCCGCAGCTCATCGTCACAGCGGTTCCGGAGGGCAACTGCCCGCTGCTCCAATTCGCAGCCGCTGGGCACGCCACCGCAGAACTGGACCGTGAGTCTGAGCCTGTCATTCAATGGCGCGGAGTCAGCGGCGGCGGTCCTTCGTCGTCCGTTTCGATCGCACAGGCCAACTTTTTCGCCAAGTACCACTACAAGTGGGCAAACGAGGACTTCATCTTGTACGTCGTCCAGATCGGATACTCGAACATCCAGTATGTTCTGAAAGAGCCGGTCGGCCGGGAGACTCCTTCCTCCCCATCCTCCATCGTCGACGCCCTTCTCCGGGCAATTGGCACGTGGATGTCCCAGTCCAAGGCCATCTATGTCTATGATGCAGGCTGGAGCAGGAGCTCGGAGCTGTGGAAGCAGGTCCAGAAAGCAAGCTGGGACAAGGTCATTCTGGATCCAAGAACGAAGAAGTCGCTCAGAGACGTCTCCAGGAGATTTTTTGACAACAGGGATGTTTACGAGGACTACGGCATCGCATGGAAGGTAACCACGCTGCGCATACCAGAGTAGGCTTGCCCGTATGCTGATACCACACAGCGAGGCTTGATATTCTACGGCCCTGCGGGCAACGGCAAAACCATTTCGATCAAAGCCATGATGCATGAGCTTTCCGAACGCAATCCGTCCATCCCGACGCTTTATGTCAAAAACGCGCCATACACGTGGATGCTTGGCGATGTGTTCCGGCTGGCAAGGCAGATGAGCCCGTGCCTTCTCGTTCTCGAGGACATCGATACAGTCGTCACCGACCAAAGCCGAAGCTACTTTTTCAATGAAGTCGACGGACTCGCCTCGAACGACGGCATCCTCATGATTGCCAGCACCAACCACCGTAAGTTGAAGCAGGTGGTATGCGGAGAAAGCCTTGAGCGCGACGATTCTAACTTGACCAGTGGACAAGCTCGACCCCGGCCTCACCAAGCGGCCGAGTAGGTTCGATCGCAAGTACCTTTTTCCGCTGCCATCGAGAGTAAGTTCAGCGCCGAGGGAGCCGGAACGGCTTACTGATGTCGTGCGCAGGATGAGAGAGTGCTCTACTGCCAATACTGGCGGGATAAGCTCAAGTGCAAAAAGAACATCGACTTCCCCGAGAAGCTCTGCCCGGCCATTGCCGACATCACGGACGAATTCAGCTTCGCGTTCCTGCAAGAGGCGTTCGTGGCAATGCTCCTGCAGCTGGCGCACTCGGGAGAAGATAGCGAGTCATCCGACTCAGAGGACGAGGGCGACGGCTCGCCGCTGGATAGATACGAGCTCTGGCGTGTCATCAAGAAACAAATCAAGATCCTCCGGGGGCAGATGGACAGCACTGAGCCAGCTGTACCCGAGGCATGTGAAACGGGCTCTGGGGGAGTGTTCGCATCGGCGTACGAGGAGAGACTTCCGCTTCGCGAGCGAGCGGAGCTTAGCAGCGGCTCAAGTGCACGACTGGATGCGCTGTCGGGGCTGCCTGGCGTGGGGCAACGCGGGCTGGGCGAGGCTGCGATATCGGACCTGCACTCTTGTGCCGGATGGAGCACTGGGGCGTAAGGGCGGGTGGTGGTGGTCAGGTGGGCTGTGCCGGGGCGGCGACGCGGGGCGGCGACGCGGGACGGCGACGTGGGACGGCGACGTGGGACGGCGACGTGGAACGGCGGTGCGGGGAAGGTGGACGGTTTCCACGGGCGTTCTAGCGAGGTTCTGCGGCCAAAAACCCACAGGCAAATGCGCCTTGCGTGGGCGCATCCGCGCCGACGGCCGACGGCCGCTCGCCCTGCACGCCTTCACCGGTGAGCGTGTGGGGATGCGGGAAAGCCGATCTGGTGCGCCGAGGCAGCCACGATGCACGCCCACTGCCTCGTCCGCCCTGCAACGTGATAAGCGCGCCCGTTCCGACTGGCACGCCTCTGCGCGGAGGCCGCCGAGCAGGCAGCCACCAGAGCCGCATCGCCGCTGCCTTGCCGTCCAGCCTTGCACACCGCGCCCTCCTATATCAATGCCCGGCCTCACGGCCTCAGTTGCCCTTGTCTTTTGCGCCTGATCTGCTTCCCGCCGCCTCCTGCGCATCAATCCCACCCCTCGACTGTGCAAACACTGCCTGTATGTTAATCAAGCGTCAAGTGTCAAGTGTCGTCGGCAGCTGAGCCTGGGCTGACGCAGTGAAGGCCTGCCTGTGCTGTTTAGATGTCCGCCAGACGCCGGTCCCGCGTGCCTGACTTCGCCGTCGACAACGAGCTGCCTGACTTCGCTTCCAATTGGGGCAGCCACCTCGCCCTCGGTGGCGATGCTGGGTTCCACCATGGACTCCTCGGCATGGGCAATCAGTTCGGCGACCAGCCTGATCTGATACCGCCTGCTGGTGCGCCCGACTTCAGCCTTCTCCACGATGCCTCCCCGACCTCGCCCTCGGTTCACCTGCAGCCATGCTTTGACGTCGACACGCCCGCCTACGCCGGCCTGTCTGCCCTCTCCCAGGGCCTGCGGGAGTGGGACAATGCTGCCTTCGACTCTGCTGACGTGAGCCCCACCATGGATCTTCTCCCGGACGACCTCATGGCTTCCTGCAACAAGGTCGACTCCGAGCCTTTCAACCCTCTCTTGCTGGCCGGCCCTGGTGGCGTCGCTCTCGCCGACAACGCTTTCTCCGAGCCTTCCTCCTCCCACAGCTCTGTCGGCAGCATCCCGATCCCTCAACCCAGCGGCCAGGCTTTCTCCGAATATTCATTCTGCTCCGAGCCCAGTCTGGCCTATACTGGATCGTCGTTCAGCTCGGACAGAAGCTTCGACGTCTTGTACGCTGCGCACAAGCAGAGCCAACACCTGGCGCCGCCTCAGCAGAATGCTCTGCCAACTACCCTCCAACCGCATTTCTCTAGCTGGAAGTCCCCGCCCCAGCCACCTAGACCAACACATGCGCAAGGAGCGCGGCGCCTAACTGTCGACCAGGCCAGACGGGCCACCCCCTCGAGCATTAGCCCCAACACTGGGAGAAACCCGCTCAGTTTCATCCACTTCCGGCCCGGCGGAGAGCCAGGCCAACTCCTCATCCATGGCGCCGAGCATCCCATCAACGCAAAGAAGCCGAGGGGTCGGAAAAACCCACTTACCCCGACTCAGAAGAAGAACGCAGCCCTCATGCGCCGAGTCAAGGCCTGCGAAAGCTGCAGGCAGCGGAAAGAAAAGGTGAGATACTTGGCTTCCTGAAGGAGTAGGGCACCGGACCGGGCAAGACTCGGCAAGCCCTTTATCCTGTTTACTTTGGACTTTTGGAATCATTCCTGACGCATCCTGCCTCCTGACAGTGCGATCCCGGCATTCCGTGCAAAGCATGTATTGAGCACTTCCGCACCGATCTCGTGCGGCAACCTTGCCGTGGCAAGACGTTGGAGGTTTTAACATCGTCCATGCTCTCCGGTGGGTCTCGCGCTTCATCATCACCTCCAAAGTGTGCGACGGCGGCGGGGCCAGAGATGGAGGCAAGAAGAGAAAATGGGGAGCTTCGTGCGCACCAAGTACCGCTTGCATCTTGACGTCCCTCGGCACTTTCTTCGTGCGTATTGGAACGTGCAAATGTCACGACCCACTGGTCACACTTGCCCAAGCGTGACAGCACACCGAAGGGCCGGATCATCGCCTGTAAGCGTGAGATGCTGACAGATTGCCCGAAACAATAGATGAACTGGGCTGGTGTCCTATGGAACGAACACTTGATGCCTACTTGGGTCCTGGAGCATACAAAATTTCATCCGAAGTTTCATTTGTCAATCTCATGCTCGGATTTGGGCCTCCGTTGCTTCGGGAAGTCCGGAGGGTCATTCCCCATCAACCCAGCCAGCTGTGGCACAGCCATGTCGTGTATGAGTGGCCGACCAGCGCCAATGAGGCTGGGTTGAGTGGCATTCCCCGCCAAGACTACCACAGGGTTTTTCCAGCCATCCTCGCTGACACAGCCGACCTTCGCCATGAACTTGATGAACACCTGTTGAAGCTGGTGAACGGGGATCAATATTTTCGCGAGTTTCCCGTATTCCGCTCACCCTTCGAAGTCCTCAAGTATGTGTACATGTTCTACCGGGATCTCTCAAACGTATGTTTTCCCCCGTACTTCTTCATTTCATTCGGCGCGAACCGCTCATCCACCCCTCTACCAGGCAACCCACAGGCATCTTCTCTGCACTGCCCTTAAGCTCCTGGTTCTTGTCCATATCAGCGATAATACGAGGCTGGATCCGTCTGTGCCACTCTTTTTCACCTTTTCCCGCGATGCTGGTGACGTTCGAACCACGACGCCGTGCTTCATTCGAGGCCAGCTGGGTGCTGTTGTCCCGCATCTCGCCCAAGACCTGCTTCGTGAGGCGCTAAACCGTCTGGAAGAGATTTGCCTCGCTCGCCGCTGTACCGACTGGCCGGTCGTCCTTGCAACACTTGTGACTCTCTGTATGGCTGTGGAGACCGCTCAATACCACGCTGCAAAAGCGCCTTATCACGCACATTTTGACGCTTCGACCCCGGACTGCAACAACTCCAACACCGGAATGGCCATTCCCACGAAGCCTAAACTGGCTGTCTATGGACCCGAGAAGCCGACCCATCCCACCTCTCCTGGCATTTCGTTTTCGTCCACCTCTCTCGATGATTGTGGCGACAATGATGAACCGGCATCACTACTATCGACCATCAATGAGGAGGCCGTTGACCGCCTCATCTCTTTCTACCGCATTTGCTACCGTGGATGCCACGGCACACGATTGCAGGAACAGGACCCTGCGTCTGCGTCTCCGAAGCGCCGAAGGCAAGACTCTGACCAGGACGCCGTCTCTGCATGCTTCGTCACTTCATTGAAGGCCTCGCTGAGAAACGCGAAGACTTATTTGGTCCAACGAAAAAGCACGAGTCAATATGCACTCAAGGTGATGGGAATGAGATTTGCAACGGGACCATCAGGGCGTAGTCATGCACAGCAAGGAGCAGACTCGAAGGACATGTCAGTCTTCTTTGATAGGCTTCTGGCGAAGTTGTTTCTAGCTTGAGTCTCGATGTTCAGGTTTCTTTTGGCGCTATGTATATGCTTGGCTACCTCTACCCTGTCCATACAGCTTGCTGAGATGTATATCCCTGGAGCTCGTTTTGCATATCCTTTCCCTTTTCTATTTTGGCCGGAATTTTTGGAGAGGGATGATGACTTGATGATCTGCCCATTCACATCTCTCATCTGGCGGCTTGAGTTGGCATCTTCATTGGGCTTGCTGCTCTTCTCTTCTGCTTTCGCCTCTGTATATTACACGAATACCCTAGATTGGTAGAAATTGCCTTACGTTCTCCCTTGCCCTTCTTGTTTACTGTGGAAAATACTTGTTGCCAGACTCAGAATAGATAGCTAAATAGCTTCGAGGCCTTTTCAACTAAATCATCACACGAATGATCACACAAGCCATTCGGAGAGGCTGCCGGTACCAGGGACTTCCCACCCGACAGTTTGATCTTAGAGAACCTCAATAGTGTCGTCTAGCACCGAGGTGTTGCAGGCGTTCGGCCTGCTGACCAGTGGTAAGCCTCGTGCGGATCACTGTCAGAGCAGTGCTTGAATCCAAAGGCCCCAGCCTCAGCTTTTTGTCGGTGCCTTGGATCAGACTATGGCTCTGCTCACGCTCTTGACGGCTTCGTTCGGGTCGGCAGAAAGTGCTGCAGCGCTGTATATGTCAAGGCTGCAGATCCACTGCTGCCTTATTGTTCAACCTCGCCCCTCGCTTTGCACCGAATAGAGAGGAGCCTAGGTACTCTCTGACTCGAGCTTCAATCCGCCGGGTATATCCACAGTCCCTTCCCCTCCTCTTGTTCCCAAGGCTAAAAAAAAAGTAAGACCATAACCGCCAGCTCCTCTAGCGTCCGCTCAATCCTCAGCAACGGCAAACTCGACGCGAATCCACAAGCTACACCCCACGCAGCCCACCAGCACCTCCCCAACCCCGGTTCCCGCAGCGGCGGCAGCCTGTTCCAACGCCGTCTCATCCACAACGAAACCCTTGTCCTCTCCGCACCTGCAGCCACGCCACCACCGGCCGCCGCCACCACCTCCGCCCTCGGCACCCTCATCGTTCCCATCCCCGTCCCCGTCCCCGTCCCCGTCCCCGTCGTACGCCAGGTCGTCCAGATCCACCGCCTCGAGGCCGAGCCGCCACTGCTCCTGCTCCTCCTCCTCCGCCCCTTCTTCTTCTCCTCCTCCTCCGTCTCCATCCGCCCCCGCTGCCGTCGCCCTGAAGCCGGGCTTGGACCTCAGCCGCAGCGACCGGTCGTGCGCCGCGCGCGCGGCGGGATCGAGCAGCGTCCTGTACGCGAGCGTGACGTCGTCGACGGTGTAGCCCCTGCCCTTGCCGCCCTGCTGCTGCTGCTGCTGCTGCTGCTGCTGTCGCCGCCGGGGATTTTGGCCGCTCGGCGGGGCGCCGTGCTGGGGCGACGATGATGATGACGATGGGGATGAGGCAGGCTGCTTGTCCGGGTGGTGCGTGAGAAGTGCGCGGCGGTACGCGGCCTTGACGGTCGAGGCGGAGAGGGTGGTCGGTGTGGAGGAGAAGGACGACGACGAATGCGCAAAGGGCGCGGGGAGGGACAGGATGCGGTAGGCGTTGAAGGAGGGCGGGAGGGGGACATGTGCCGCCCCGGGCGCTGCGGTGGCGGAGGGCATGGGCCGATTGTACGGTGGGTTGGCTTATGGCGTGTGCCTTGCCAGCGAGAGGCTGCCGGTGTTTGCGGCGGACGTTTGGCGTGGGAGAAATGCCGGGAGGCGGCTAGAAAGAGTCGATGGCGGGGAACGGGAAATTATTTCTTGGGCGCTTGATGGGGACGTCATGCCGCAGCTCCGGACCAGACCCCCGGCCACGCCAATCACACCCGGCAAAACCGACGGACCAGAACTCAATCATCTTCACGACGGATATATAGTATTTCTCCTGTCTCGTCTCCTCCGCAACTTCCATAGTTTCCTCACCGCGCCTGCCTCCTGATGTCTGCAATCGCCCGCCTGCGATAGTCGCTGTCTGCGAATAGCGCCTCGATCAGATCCACAACCTCGTCCGCCTCAAACTCAAGCTTGAGCTCGCCTTCGGTCCACAAGTACTTGATGTCGGCCAGACTGCTCTCGAGAATCTCGCTGAGATACTGGAACTTGAACCAGTTGGGCGTGTAGATGCCCGTCATGTCGCCCTGCTGCCCCGGCTGCTTGAACAGGTCGCTGACCTCGCACACGCGGTTGCAGAAGTCGCGAAGGCGCTTCGACTCTTCCTCGGAGATGTCGCTCATGTCCTCGATGTCGACAATCATCTTGTTGAGCACCGTCGCCAGAAGAGAGCCCAGAGACTGCAGCAGGGCCGAGTGTGACAGCACCCCGGTCCACTGCTTGGCGACATCCCGGATCCGATCAGCCGTCATCGACACAGCATTGTCGCACTCGGCTGCGAATGGCGCCGTCGTGCAGTTGCTGAACCCCTGCGCTCCGTCAAGCAGATCGCGCAGGATCGTTCTCTGTGACTCCATTTCCTTGCCGTACGCCCGTTTGCTGAAGCTCTCGATGGCTTTCAGATCGGCATCGAGCCGCAGACGGCTTGATGGCTTTGACGAATGTGGCACATCTGACGAACCATCTATTCTGGCCTGTTTGACGAGGAAACCGCGCGCCTCGTCCACCAAACGAGTGGAGTCGTTGTAAGCTAGCATATTCCCGGCCGCGTCGTTGGCGTAGTAAACCGGAGCAGTCGCTCGGTACATGGCCAAGATGAGCGTGGGGATTGAGTAAAGGCCGACGCCGGCCGGCGCGATTGGGGAATCAGAGAATCTGGCCAGCTGTTAGCACCGATGAATGTGCTGGGAAGAAAGAGGACTCACTTCGACTGCGCGAGCGCTTGAGCGTCGGCAACCACCTGGGTAATGACCTCCATGATGGCATCCGGTATGCCTGTGACCACATATTTTTCCCGCAGTGTCAATTCTCGCTCTTGTGGCGCCGACCGCTCCGTCCTCCCATTCGGCTTCGACGGCTGCTCCCGAGTCGCACCGCCCTTCTGGTCGTCCGCAGCTCCGGCTTCTCCAGCCTCTTCGTCATCACCCCAACCCCAAGCGTCCGTGTCCTCTTCCTCCGGATTGCCTTTCGAGCCCTTCTCTGATTTTGCCTCGGTGGCATTGTCTCCCTCGGCGTCATCATCTAGACCCCAAGCATCCGCATCCATGTCTTCTTCCTCCACGGTCTCCTGCTTTTCGGCCTTGGTCCCGGCAGGCTCGAGTGGTTTTTCGCCGTCGTCGTTATCCCACGCGTCCCAACCCTCCTCGGCCTCCTCTCCCGCCTCCGCCGCCATTATTGCGTCGTCGCGAGACACCATCTGCGTTTCTACGCGCTCCACTTCTTTCTTGTGTCGGATACCTTGAGAACATAACGCCCGAACGGATGCCAACGCGTCTTCCTTTCTACGAGCAAGCCAATTGCGCGGGGCCTTGTCCACCCATTCATGAAGCTCCTTGCATGGCCAACCCAGCTCGTCGATGTAGCGTGCAAGACTGGATACTGATGATAGGGTATCTTGAAAAAGACCAAGGTGATCAAGCGAAACAGGAATCGAAGGATCGAGCCAATCGACAATCAGCCGGGAAACGACGCCTGGCAGCAGTCTTTCGCACAGAGGGGCGGATATGGAGGCTGGTAGCCGTTTGCTGAGGAAGTCGCAAATTTGGCGAACGTCGGCCACTGTGGCTCCAACGTCTGATGGCGCCGCACCAGAAGATATCTCAATGGTGTTGTCAGCGACCTTGACGGCGGCAGCATTGGGAGCGGCCCTCGCGGTCAACCGAGGCTTGACGATGGCATGCTCGAAAACCTTCTGGAACTTGAGGACAGCAGCGTCGAGGGTACCGAGACGGGAGAGGGCGTCGATCACCGTGGGGAGGGTCATATCTGTGATAGTTCAGAACAGCAAGCTACACGTCAGGCTCGCGCACTTACCGTCGGCTTGCCCGTTGATTGTGGCGGAGCGGCCGGGAACGTCGGCCACAAGCAGGAGGTTCCAGGCGCGGGTTGCATCGTCAGCCAGGGCGTCGCGCAGCTGGTTCAGGCGCTTGTGCAAGACGCCAGCCACCCTGGTGTCTCTGAAGGGGCCCAGGTGTGCTGTACAGTCGTCTATCTGCTTCATCTTGTCCAGCGCGGCAATGACGTCGTGGTCTCTCGCGGCATCCTGGGCTTCGTCCAGCAGGCCCGACGCGTGCCTGATGCGCTCAAGGGTGGCGGTCAGAGTGCGATTGAAGGCCAGCTCGTGGTTGAGGAGGGCGGCCTTGCTGGAGGCGTCCTGGACGGCGGCGTGGAGGGTGCTGGCGGCCTCGGCCTGCTGGACAATGTCGTGGGCGGTTGCGCGGGAGCGCTCGATGTCGGCCTGCAGCAGCTTGGCCTGGGCAATCCAGCCGTCTACGTCGGGGGCGGCATGGCGGCTCAGGGCGCGGATTTCAGCCTGCAGCGGCGTCAGCAGACAGCGGAGGAGGCAGGGCTCGCGCGCGACGCACCTTGACGGCGGTCTGGGCTGTCGCGAGGTCGTGGAGCAGAGGAGGAAAGGCGGCGGGCGGCAGCTGGGCCGAGGCGACGTGCTCGCTGTCGGGGTAGGCGCCGTGCTCGACGGCCTCGAGGACGACGCGGCCCAGGGTCTGGGGGGTCAGAATGGGCGGCATGGGGAGGGTGGGGAAGCACGAGAGGCGGGCCACGGTGTTTGCTGGCAGGGCGACTGAGCTGCGGAAGAGCGCCGGCAGCCGACGTCAACGTCAGCGGCCACAAACAACGCCCGCCGCTTCTCATCCACGACTCTGTGCCTCCAGATCTGTATGTGCCCACCCCGCCCACCCCGTTCGCCCCGCCCGCCCCGATCCCTCCCGCGTCGCATCGGGACACGCTGTCTGCTGCTCCCCGTTGGCAACCCCCGCCGTCTGCGCTGCGCGCCATGTGCTCGTCATCTGCCCGGCCCCGCCTGCTTATATGCGCCGCTGTCCACGCACGCCGTCGTCATGCCCCGCCGCCCGCTATGGCTTGCTCCTTAAACTGCCCGCCAGACCCGCCAGACCCGCCGTGCCGCCGCCGTTCTGTTCTGACTCCGTTTCCAGGCTGCTTCTTTCGAGGACTGCCCCGCTCGCCATCATGCCGGGCTTGGTCGACAGCAAGTCTCACTTCAAGACTATCCAGCAGTTCGAAGCAGACTATGCCCCCGCCAGGTTCTCTCAATATGAGTCTTCGAGGACTGGCATGAGGGTCGTCGTCGTTGACCGCAAGGGTCCCAAGGTCAACGGCTACTTTGCCCTGGCTACCGAGATCCACGACGATTCAGGCGCTCGTAGGTGAAGCTTGTGAGATTTTTGCGGACACCAGACGCCCCGGTACTGACTGGCGCAGCGCACACTCTGGAGCACCTCTGCTTCATGGTAAGCTCCCTCCGTGCCCGCCACCTGCCCGCCACCTGCCTGCCTCTGCTAACCCTGGCCCAGGGCTCGAGAAGCTACAAGTACAAGGGCGTGCTCGACCGTCTGGCCACGAGAGCTTACTCGAACACGAATGCCTGGACTGCCACTGACCACACCGCCTACACCCTGGACACGGCCGGCTGGGATGGCTTTGCCCAGATCGTGCGTTTGCCCTACCCCCCATTGCGCTCTAGCAATCCTCGCTGATGCCGCTGTGGCAGCTCCCCGTTTACCTCGAGCACGTCTTGCTCCCGACCTTGACCGACGAGGGATGCTACACCGAAGTCCATCACATTGATGGCACGGGCAAGGACGCCGGGTATGTGTTGCGAGGTCTATGCCCATCTCAAGTCTAACCTTTCATCAGTGTCGTCTACTCCGAGATGCAGGGGGTGCAGAACACCCAGGGAGAGCTCATGGAACTCCAGGCCCGCCGCCTCCTTTACCCCGAGGGCAACGGTTTCCGCTACGAGACTGGCGGCATGATGGAACAGCTGCGCGTGCTCACCGCAGACCGCATTCGCGCATTCCACAAGGACATGTACCAACCAAAGAACCTCTGCCTTGTCATCACCGGGGAAGTGGACCACGAGAACCTCCTCTCCATCCTGGACAGGTTCGAGGACGGCATCCTGGATGCTATGCCCCCTCTGGACGCGCCCTTCAAGAGGCCGTGGGTTGACTCGGACCCGACGCTTCCCCTGACCAAGACCATCATCGACACCGTCGAGTTTCCCGAAGACGACGAGTCCACAGGAGAGATTCTGATAGGCTTCTTCGGCCCCAAGTGCAACGACATTCTCAACGGTGAGCCGATGGCCGGCCCCGCTGCCTTGGGTTTGGATGCTGACCGACACACACAGGTACGGCCATGGACGTGCTCCTCACCTACCTGGCCGAGTCTTCTGTTTCGCTGCTCGAGAACGTCATTGTCGAGAAAGAGCAGATTGCAAGCGCCGTCTACTACCAGACGGACAACCGAACAGACACGGTTGTGTGGTTCACGCTCAGCGCCGTCGCCACCGAGAAGCTCTCGGAGGTTGAGAAGAGGTTCTTCGAGATTCTCAAGGAGGCCGCCTCAAAGCCTGTCGACATGACATACATGTCCGACTGCATCGATCGCTTGAAGAAACAGGTCATGCTCACGACAGAGAACTCGCTGGACAGGTTCGCCGACGCCATCATCCAGGACCACCTTTTCGGCGAGCGGGACGGATCGACCCTCTACGACGGCCTGCACTCACTGAAGGTGTTTGAAACCCTGAAGAAGTGGACCGACAAGCAGTGGCGAGACTTCTTGTCCAAATGGCTTGCGGATGCCCATCACGTGTCCATCCTGGGCGTCCCCTCACGGAAGCTTTCCAAGAAGCTCAAGAGCGACGAGAAAGCTCGCGTGAAGGACCAGCGAGAGCGTCTTGGCGAGGCAGGCCTGAAGAAGCTCGCTCAAAAACTCGACGAAGCCAAGGCTGAGAACGACAAGCCAATCCCCCCGGAAATTCTAGAGTCGTTCAAGGTCCCTGGCGTGGAGTCGATTCACTTCATCCCGACGACGACTGCCCGCTCCGGTCTCGCCAAGCAGTTGGGCAGCCTCGACAACGACGTTCAAAACCATGTCGACCAGGACAAGAGTGATATCCCGCTCTTCATTCACTTCGAATCCATACCAACCAACTTTGTTCACGTGAGCTTCGTCCTCTGCACAGGCTCGATCCCGTTGCACCTCAAGCCTCTTCTGACGGTCTATATTAACAACTTCTTTACCACCCCGATCGTACGCGACGGGAAGCGCTTGGAATTCGAGCAGGTTGTGACGGAGCTTGAGAAAGACACCGTCACCTACCGGATTGACGCGGGCTCTGCCATTGGAAACTCCGAGCTTCTGCGCGTCAGGCTGTCTGTCGAGCGCGAGAAGTACGAGACGGCCATAAACTGGCTCAAGGACATTCTCTTCAACAGCGTTTTCGATGTGGAGAGGCTGAAGGCTACCCTCACCAAGATGCTGGCCGACATTCCGGATGAGAAGCGGAGTGGCCACGACATGGCCTATGCCGTCGACTCCATGCTCCACTACGCACCAATTTCCTCCAGCCGTACGCAGAACACGCTAGTCAAGGCTCTGTACCTGAAGCGCATCAACAAGCTGCTTGCGAAGGATCCTGATGCTGTGATAGGCCGTCTGGAGGACCTGCGCAAGAGTCTCTTGCGTTTCTCGAACATGCGTGTTCTCATTGTCGCCGACGTCCCGAAGCTTCCCGATCCGGTGGCCGCATGGAGGCCCTTCGTGGCCAGTCTCGACACGACCCAGCCGCTTGCGCCGCTGGATTCTCGCAAGGACGCGCTCAGCGACGCGGCCAAGAACCCGGGTCAATTCAACTACATGATCCCCATGCCCACCATCGACTCGTCGTACGCTCTCTTCACTGCGCGCGGCCCGGACTCGTACCAGCACCCTTCGCTGCCCGCCCTCATGGTTGCTCTCTCGTATCTCGAGGCTGTCGAGGGGCCTCTCTGGGTCGCTGTGCGCGGCACTGGCCTCGCGTACGGCACATCGTTCGCGCGCGGCACCGACACCGGCCTCCTCGGCTACCGCATCTACCGGTCGCCCGACACATTCAAGGCGTACAGCACGAGCCGTGGCGTCGTCGAGGACTTCATTTCGGGTGCTCGCCCGTTCGAAAAGCACGCGCTTGAGGGCGCCATCAGCACCATTGTCGAAGGGTTCGCCGACGAGCAGCCGACCATGGTGTCGGCCGCGACGCTCGGCTTCGTCAACCAGGTCGTCAAAGGCATCCCCAAGGACTGGAACAAGGGCATGCTGGAGAAGGTGCGCGAGGTTGGCGTGGACGACATCAAGGCCGTGCTGAAGGAATTCGTGTTGCCCGTTTTCCTGCCAGGTAAGGCGAATGTGGTCGTCACCTGCGCCACCATCATGGAAGAAGTAGGTACCCCAAACACCCCTCCACTCTATTTGCCTCGACGACTTCCTACAGTCCTACCTTGCTGACCCCAATCTAGGATCTCAAGAAGAACCTCGAATCCGTGGGATTCAAGCCAGAGGTCCGCACCTTGGCGTCTTTCCAGGACGACTACGGGCTCAAGCCTGAGCCTGGCGACGAGGAAGATGAGGCTGAGGACGATGAAGATGACGACGATGATGACGACGACGACGACGACGACGACGACGACGACGAAGAGGAAGAGGGCAGCGAAGATGACACCGAGGACGACGAAGGCGACGCAGAGTAGTCGATTGGCACGTATGTGTACAGCAGCATGTGGGCTAGGTGTGATGGCGATCAAAGCGAACTTTGTGAGATACAGGTCAGTACATATCCCAGCTCAGAGATTGCGGCGGCCTGCTGGTAAATAGAGTGTATGATGCACATATCGGTAAGTCGCTAGGTGGTAAATGATGAAAGGGGGCATAAGAGCCATGCCCTCGAATTTGGTGTATACTTTCGGTAGAATACAAGCACAAAGTGAGAGAAGAGGCTCAGTGTCAAGTTGAGTGGCAGAATGTTTCAATTGAGTGAATTGATGGGGGTATAACTTTGTTCCCGTGTCTACGGAGGAAGGAAAGAGAAATCTTGTCTCGGCCTCATCCCATGATATTCCCGTCTTGACACGCTTCTCGTATTTTTTTCTTCTTAATTGTCGTGGGAGGTAAAAGGGGGGCCATTGTACCGGGCTCCTCATCTTGAGCATAGACGTCCTATATTCTTGCTGTTTGCTGCCGTCCAGGCCTCTCTCACGAGAAGAACAGCTCCTTCAGCTTGGCAGCCGTGTCCTCCGGGCTGGTAACGCTGTGGCCGACGGTGCGGGGGTCCTCGTAGATTTCGTAGTCGTTGCCGCCCTTGTAGGTCTTGTCCCCGAAGAAGTGGATGGTGGTGTAGTCGACACCGCCGGGCAGGTTCTTCTCGTTCTCGATGTGCTGCAGGCAGTAGGTCTTGTCCCAGCCGGCGGGGAAGACGTCGAAGGAGATCTGGCCGCCGATGCTGAAGGTGAGGCCGTACTCGGGGAAGGCGGCGCGCAGGGCGTCGACGAACTTGGATCGCACGCCGTGCACCTTGTCGTAGGCCTCGAAGTCGTTGCGCTCGGTGACGCTGGCGTTGCGGCCGATGGGCGAGACGTTGATCATGCCGTTGCGGAACTCGACGAAGGTGCCGCGCTTGACGGGGATGTCGAGGTCGGCAATGTAGTGCAGGCAGAAGTTGACCAGCGGCTTGTACTTGTCCTCGCCCAGCCAGCCGATGAACGAGGCCGAGGCCAGCGACTCGCCCAGCCGGATGGCCGTCAGCCCGTTTTCGGCAAAGCAGAAGTCGAACAGCGTCGTCACGGCGATCTGGCGCGTGCCCAGCTGCTCCTGCTGCTTGACCAGGTCGGAGCCGCCGACGAAGCCAATGGCGACCTTGTGCCGCAGCTCCGAGAGGAGCTGAAGCATTTCCGGGGATACGTCCTGTTTTTCACCGAGAGAGCTGGTCAGAAACGCTCGCCGAAGCGAAGGTGCGGAGCGCGGGGAGGCTCACCCGCCTGGCAGGCGTGAGGGTGCCGTCGACATCGAAGAGGCAGACGGTGTTCTTGACGGGGCGCTGGTCCAGCGGGGGGTAGACGGAGGCGGCCTGGGCCATTGTGCCAGAGGGTTTGCAGGAAACGGGGAACGGGAGCGAGCGCGAGACGGAGAAGCGACTGGCGGTGTAGAACGAGCGTGTGAGGGAGAAGTCGGCGACGTGGACGGAAGCTTACGCAGCGGCGAAACGATGGTCGCGGATGTGGACAGTTTGCGTGCCACAGGCAGCCCCTCGCGCCTCGCCAAGACGGACCCCTGGGCGGTGAGCAACGCGCGACGCGGGGAGGGGGCCGCCGCGGCGGGTCCTCTTTGTCGTGTTTGTCGTGTTTGTCGCGTTTGCACGGGTGGAGGGAGACGCTTTCCCCACACTGCTGCACGACGATGCGGGGCACGCGACGACGTCTGGTGGAATCTTTCTCTCATTGCTAGTGTACAGTATAGGGGCGGCCCAGCAAGGGAACGCCCGACGTCATTATTCGTAAACACCACAAACGCCTCTCTCCCTTTCTCGCGTCACAACGCCAATCTTGCAGCCCAGCTACTTGGTGCCGCTGCTGGCGCCGGATGCACTCCCAGTCCCAGCCCCGGCTCCAGCGGCATTCGAATTGGATGTTGTTGCAGGGCCGCGGGTGAAGCTGCGCATTGGCTGTCAGCAGGCAGTGGCCAACATGGACCGGCACGACTCACTCGTTCCACATCTTGCCGAGGAAGCCGGGGGCAGGCCGCTGGTCGGAGAAGCTTGCGCGCGCAGCAGATGCACGCTCGTTGCCCGCGTCCCGCTTGTGGGCCTGGAGGGAAGCAAAGCGCTCGGATGCGGACGACTGCAGGCCGGACGGCGTCAGCAACATTGGAAACAACGACGCGCGGGCTTGAGACGTACGCGGCGGCGGTTGGTGCCGGTGTTTGTGTTGTCGGCCATGATGAGTGATGAGTGATGAGTGATGAGAGCTTGGGTTTGTTGGTCGCACGGCAGGGCAGACGAGACTGTATGTACTGAAGCCGCCTTCGAATGGGAGAAGGTCTCTTATTAATGCGATCCCCTCCTCTCCTCGCGCTCGTCGCATTTCGAGCGCCTTACTCATCCGCCGATGCCAGTCTCCTGATGATGATGATGATGATGATGAACACACTACCCCGCCGCTTGGGATTGCATATTGCCTGGGCGAGCTTGTCCACATGGTGTGGGCCCGATGCTCCGGTCCGCTGCACGTCGCCGCCCATCGCTACGCTGGTGATTGGCCCGTCTGGACAAGCACAGCACAGGAGCGCTGCGATCGGGCTAACGCTCCCACTAGACGAGACCCTAGGCTAAGGCGAGCGACGTCATTGGCAGTGAAAGCGCTACTGTTCACATGTCAGCTTCATGGTCAATCCCCATCTCCGTCAGTGGCTTGCCCGCCCAATCTCTCGACAGCGACCCCCCCGGCCGCTTCGAAACACTCCAGCAGCCGACTCACCGACTCTGCCCCTCCGGCCCTCCCTTCGGAGGAGACCAACTGCAGATTGGCGGCACGCGACCGGAGCATCGCTTCAGATGCTGCATGTCTGGCTGTTTTTGTTCGGCCCATCGCCTTGGCCCACCAATAAGCTTCGGTGCTCCCTGCGGCGAAGCCGACAAAGCAGGCGCTCATTGGTCCATCAGAGGCGTCGAAAGCAACGAATATCATGCATTGCTAGGAAAGCCATTCCGCAGTCTCCATGCGGAAAGGAGAGGGACATCTGCGGGGCTGCTACACGTCATGGTCTGCGTTCCAGCTGCTCTATCCCTCCCCACCCCCTCGCTTCGTCCATCCGCAAACGGTCTCAGAGCTGCAAGAGCCAAGCGCAGCCCCGTCAGGAACGTTCGGCTAGCCCAAGGGTCCATCGACCTGTGGCCTGCCCACCTCTCATTTGACAATCTTGCACACCAGGTCCTGCGCGTCCACCGAGTCGCCCTCCTTGACCCCCAGCGAGCCAATCTTGCCCGAGTGTGGTGCCGAAATCACCATTTCCTAGATTCACCGTCAGCGACACGTTGCTCCATACACGTCGGTTGAGCCTTTTAACTTACCATCTTCATCGCGCTGAGCACCGCGATAGGGTCGCCCTTCTTGACATCCGAACCGTCGTGCACGCGCACCTCGACGACCACACCAGCCATTGGCGAGCCCACTTGGCTGCTGTCGGTGCTGTCCGCCTTGGGCCGGCTGGTGTTTTCAATGGCCGCGTGCTTGTCGTCAACCGTGACCTGTCTGACCTCGCCATTCATCTCGTAGAAGACCTCACGCTGGCCCGTCTGCTCCGACAACGGTCCAACCGCTAGGAGCTTGAGGATCAGCACCTTACCCTTCTCCAGCTCGACGTGGAATTCTTCGCCGATTTCTGGCCGAGACAAGAAGAAGCGAGTCGGCAGCACCGACAGGTCTCCGTACTTCTGCTGGAACTTCTTGAAGTCCTCAAACACCTTGGGGTACATGACGTAGCTGGCAATGTCCGTCTCGCTTGCACCGCCGAACCTCTCCTTGAGGTCCTTGCGGATCTTGTCAAAGTTGACGGGCTCCAGGTACAACCCGGGGCGCTTGTCCATCTTGCGACGCTCACGCAGAGCTTGCGTGCGCAGCGGCTCGGGGAAACCTCCGTAGGGCTGGCCCATGAGACCCTCGAAGAACTCTAGCACCGAGCTGGGGAAGTCGAGCTGCGGAGCTTTGCTGAGCACGTCGTCGTAGCTGAGGTTGTTTGACACCATGAACTGAGCAAGGTCACCCACGACCTTCGACGTCGGCGTGACCTTCACAATGTCGCCCAGGATGTCGTTGGCATCCTCGTACGCCTTCTTCGTGTGGGCCCACTTCTCACCCAGGCCCTGTTGAGATGCCTGGAAAATGAGGTTGGTGAGCTGGCCACCCGGGATCTCGTGCTCGTAGACCTCGGGATCGGGACCAGTGAGTCCAGCCTCGAAGGGCGAATACAACAGGCGGAGCTGAGCCCAGTAGGCGTCAAGGTGACGGATGACATGGCCGTCGAGCCCAGGATCGTGCGGTCCGCCCTCCAGCGACGCAAGGACGGCGCCAATGCTGGGTTGAGAAGTCATGCCAGACAGGCTGTCAATAGCAGTGTCGACCGCGTCGGCACCCGCCTGAGCACAAGCTACCATTGAAGCGACGCCCGTACCGGCCGAGTCGTGCGTGTGCACGTGAATAGGCAGATCGGGATACTTCTCCCGAATCGCGCCAATCAGCTGCGTCGCGGCTCTGGGCTTCAGAACACCAGCCATGTCCTTGATGCCCAGGACGTGAGCACCCATCTTAACGATCTTGTCGGCAAGGTCCATGTAGTAGTCGAAGTTGTACTTCTTCTTGGGGTTCTACTCGATCACCGTTAGCTTTCGCTCTATTGTCGATATCCTGCTTTGTCAGAGGGGAATGTTTGAAGATATTTGATGCAATTCCAACAGGGAAGGTCCACTGCGTCCAACGGCTCTTTCGGCATCTCCCTCTGCTCTTACGGTTCGCGAGTGAAAACGCAAAAATGAAAAACACACAAAAAAAAGGGGGGAGGTGCAAGATACTACTCACCAGCATGTCTGTTTGCATCTTGTTAGCTATAGCACCACGGGATCAAGGGATTAAGGAATCAAGACGTACCTCCACTATAGCAAATTGCGGCCTCAGCAACACCACCGGCCTTTAAAACAGCCTTGATGCCAACCTCGAGCTGCTCGACATCGTTGAGTGCATCAAAGACACGGAAGATGTCGACGCCGTTCTTCTTGGCCTGCTCGACAAAGTGCTCGATGGCGTTGTCCGGCAGCGAGGAATAAGCGACGCCGTTGGCACCTCTGAGCAGCATCTGGAATGGAATGTTCGGAACAAGCTTCCTCATCTGCCTCAGCCTATCCCAAGGGTCCTCGTAGAGGAAGCGCATGGCCACATCGAAGGTAGCTCCACCCCAGCACTCAAGAGCCCAGGCATTGGCGTAGGCGTGGCTGGTCTCCTTGGCAATGTTGAGCAAATCAACGGTTCTGACCCGAGTAGCCAGCAGAGACTGGTGGGCATCACGCCAGGTGGTGTCCATGATAAGACATCCTTGGTGTGCGCGCACGGCCTTGGCAAAGGCCTCGGGTCCCTGTTCGACGATGATGTTCCTCCAACCCTTCTGGCACGGCTGGGAGACTTCGAGGGTCTTGCCGTCGTGGGTCTTGAGCTGGGGGATCTGGATGTCGCCCTTGAACTTTGGCTCGCCGACCTGGCCCTTGACCTGGCTGCCGTTGACAGCAAGGTCACCGAGGTAAGAGAGAAGCTTCTGGGCACGGTTCTGGCTGCCCACCAGGGCGAAGAGCTCAGGAGTGTCGTCGATGAATGTGGTCCAGCACGTTCCGTCGATGAACACGGGGTGAGTGAGCAGAGAAGCCAGGAAGGGAATGTTGGTCTTCACACCGCGAATGCGGAACTCGACGAGAGCACGGAGCATTTTCCTCCGGGCAATCTCGTAGGTTGAGCCGTGGCAAGTGCACTTGACCAACATGGAGTCATAGTGGGGAGTGATGACGGCGCCGGCAAAGCCGTTGCCACCGTCCAGACGCACACCGTTGCCACCAGCAGAGCGGTAGACCTCGATCTTGCCAGTGTCGGGCGAGAAGCCCTTGGCAGGGTCCTCGGTCGTGATGCGGCATTGGATGGCAAAACCGCGGGTAGAGATGCGATCCTGAGTGAGACCAAGTTGGGCCAGGGTGGCACCAGCGGCAATCTGGATCTGGGCTGCGACAATATCGATGCCAGTGATTTCTTCGGTGATGGTGTGTTCGACTTGGCTGTTTCAGAGTCAGCAGCTGCCCAAAGCGGCGGTCCGATGCTCCGGTCTCACTCACATCCGAGGGTTGATCTCGATGAAATAGTATCTGTTCTGCTGATCGACCAGGAACTCGGCGGTTCCGGCGTTGCGGTAGTTGACCGACTTGGCCAGCTTGACCGCATCGGCGAGAATGGCATCGCGCGTCTCTTGCGGGAGATCCTTCGCAGGCGCAATCTCGACGACCTTCTGGTGGCGGCGCTGGACGGAGCAGTCGCGCTCGAACAGGTGGACCACGTTGCCGTGGTTGTCGCCCAGGAGCTGGACCTCAATGTGCTTGGGCTTGTCCAGGAAGCGCTCGACGAAGACGGTGCCGTTGCCAAAGGCAGACTTGGCCTCGGAGGTTGCCCTTTCGAACGAGTCCTTCAGGCTCTCCTGATCGCGGACCACTCTCATGCCACGACCACCGCCGCCGAAGGCGGCCTTGATGATGATGGGGAACCCATACTGGTCGGTGAAGGCCTTGACCTCCTCGAACCTCTCCACCGGGTCTGATGTGCCTGGGACGACGGGGACGCTGCACTTGATGGCGAGGCGGCGAGCAGAGACCTTGTCTCCGAGGGCGTCGATGGTGCTGGGAGTGGGGCCGACAAACTGCGATCACCATGTAGTCAGCGACGTGTAGCGTTGCATGGGCGCGGGTTCCACAATTGTGTAGCTGCTGGGCAGCTTGGCTGCAGAAGGGCGTCGCGGCCGCGCTAGCGTGATGGAAGAGCGTGCTTTTTCGAGTCATAGGCCAGGGCGGGAGCATTTCGCCCAGTTGGCGAAATTGGTCACTTACTATCAGGCCGGCCTTCTCCACGTTGCGCGCGAAGTCGGCGTTCTCAGACAGGAAGCCGTAGCCCGGATGGATCATGTTGACATCGTGCTGCAGCGCAATCTTGATGATCTCGTCGCCGGCCAGATACGCGCCGACGGGCGTGTACTGGCCACGCCGGCCGATGACGTAGGCCTCGTCGGCCTTCTGGCGGTGCATGCTCAGCCGGTCCTCGTAGCTGTACACGGCCACCGTGTGCAGCGACAGCTCGTGCGCCGTCCGGAAGATGCGGATGGGGATCTCGCCGCGGTTTGCAACTGCCTGCGCGTCAGCTCGCCCGCCGTCGCCCGCCGTCGCCTGCCGCGGGCAGCCTTACCCAGGAGCTTCTTCAGCTGCATGATGGAGCTGTTGGCGCGCAGCCGCTGGTGCACCGAGTTGCGCTTATCGATGTGGTCGTCGTCCGCATCCTCGACGGCCACGCCAGCCTGGCTGACCGTCTTGTCGGCCATGAGGTCCGTCATGGTGGGCGCAGGCGGCTGCAGGCGGGTCCAATTGACGAGAGCGAGGGCGAAGGAGGAACGCAGACGGGGGGCTGGGGGGTTTGGGAGGAGAGACGGGGAAATGGATGGCGGGCGGGCGAGGGCGAGCTACGGAGGGCCGCCTTTATGACCAGCTGAGGGGCAGGTGGCCGGCGGAGCTTGGGGCGCGCCAGAGCTGCTGCCACCGCTGGCGGGGAGCCATGGCCCGCGGCATGTGAGCTCCCGCGCCCGCCGGGCGTTGGCCCGCGATAACGCCTGACCCGCGCCCGCGTGTCTCGTTGTTGACCGTCGATCCAGCGCTCGTCCGGCGGCGGCGCTTGTCCTCGGCTGAACGCTGCAGCAGAGTCATCGCGAAGGAGGGGCAGTTCGGGCGCTCGGCCTTAATTCGCACGGCTACCGCATGATCGCTGCATGGGGGGTCCTGTGTTGGCCGAGAACAGACATCTCGGCGGCCGTTTGCTAAGCCAGCCGCCCCATTGGCCTCCGCCTGCTGCGCATCCCGCCCGCCGGCCAGCCGTAGTAGCGTCAAACTTGGGTTGTGCGCTGCCCGCTGCCCGCTGCCCGCCGCCCGCCGTCCGCCTTGGCGCAGCTCAACACTTCTATGCGCCGACACACAACAAGCAAATGCAATTCGACCATGGGCCCCCTGCCCGCCGCCGCAAGATTAGAATACACCACGACGACTGTTCGCACACATGCAGAACCCCGGCCTTCATCACTATTCATCAATACAGCGTGGCTTGTGCCTGTGCCGGGGCCAGAAACCCAAAGCCGGGGCACGAGAGAGCTAGCCCCCAGGCCCCGAGCGACCCCCCCGCTCGCATACAAATCCCTCGTAGACCCAATAACCCATTAGTTAGAATATGTCGTAGCCTCTTGAAACCCATCGCAACGCCTAGAACGCACGGTAGCCCGTCGTCTGCGGCGCAATGCCGTTGGCCTGGCCGTACGGGGCTGGCGACGGCGCGCTCGGGCCCTGCGTGAGCATGAGGCGAGACGCTCCGAGTATCGGCGTGTTCTCCTCGTTCTTCTGCTGCGACTGCTCCCTCGCTTTGCGCTCCTCGTTGTCCTTCTTGAGCAGCTCAATGGTCGCCGCTTGCTGCGCCAAGAAGTTGATCATGTACGGCTGCCGACTGTTAGCTCAAGCCAGACGCTTCTGTAACCTTGGAACACTCACCATCGTAAAGTCGTGGAGACCGTTGCGCCAGGACACCTCCAGGATGACATCCGGGCGGATCAGGTCGTAGCACGCGTAAAGCATGCCAACGTAGCACTCACGGCTGCCGATGTCGACAAACTACACCAACGTCAGCTGAGATCTGGAGACAGTGAGTCATATTACTTACGTAGCGCAGCAGTTCTTCGACCACCTCCGCCTTGGCCGACAGAGCCGCCGTCTCGATGGCGTCCTTGAACAGCTTGTCCTGCTTCGAAAGCGCAATCGACTTGTCCCAACGCTTGTTCTTGCGATAGATGTTGGCAGCAATCTGCCTAAAGAAGACGAGGTCGTGCTTCTCGAGGCGCTGTGCAAGCTCAACCGCATCGTAGTTGTCGTAGTTCTCGACCGAATCGCGCAGAGTCTTGTAATCTTCCTCTTCGATGAGCAGATCATTGATCGCGTTGTTCACAGCCCTCTTGTTCTGCGACTGGACGTTCAGCAGGAACGGCTTGATGAGAGGAATGTTGTCCGACTTCTCAAACATGCGAACGACACGGTTGACATCGATCCTTGGCGTCAACGCCTGAAGGAGATCGGTGAGCAGCGAAGGCTGCTCCTGGAGATAGAAGTTCAGTGCACGGTAGTAGATCTCCAAGTTCGCGACCTTGATGACCGTATCCTTGAACGAGTGGTGCTCCCAGGCGTCCGCTGCACGCTCCATCATGGCCAGAGCAGCGTTGTCTGGCTCATCGTAGTGGACGTACAAGAAGACGAGCTCGGGCCAGAGGTGAGCTTCCTCGCAAGCGCGGATCATCTTGGGGATGTTGATACGAGACCAGAAGAGCCGGAGGTGCTCCATGACGCGCTCGGGGTGATACTTGGAAAGAGCGATGCCCAGCTCAGTGAACATGCCCATGTGGGCACGTTCAAGGCCAAGACCAGCTTCCAGAAGAGCAATGAGCTCGTCAAAGTAACCGTTCCGCTCATACTGCTTGACAAGATCCGAGAGTTCTTCGGCGTGAACAATCAGGTTAAGACCGCAAATCTGGGCAAGACGGAATTCCTTCTTGGCAACGCAGGCCTCGTTGACCTGCTTCCATACCTTGGTGCTGTTGGCCTTGCGAGCGCACTCCACAGCAGCCTGGTAATCTTCCAAGTGCACAAGGGTAGTCGCAAGCTTCGCCCAGTTGGAGATGCTGGTGAAGAAGATCTTGGCAGCCTCATGGTAGCCCTCTTCGTAAGCCTTGTCACCGGAGGCTTCGATATCCGCGACATTGGTGGCACGCAAGAAGTCCTCAAGCTCAGCGATTTGGTTGGTACGGGCGAAGCAAAAGGCCAGAGCAGTATCAATCGGAGGCTCACGCAGGGTCTTGCGAGCCATCCTCAGGAACTTGATCAGATCATCATCCTTCCCGGCATGAGTGGCGATCTCAATGACTTCGTTATAGTTCGAAGCGTCCTGTGCGCGGATGTACGACTCGATAGAGTCAGTAACTCGCAGGCCATCCAACTGGGCTTTGGCGACCTTGCTCCACACCTCGGGCAGATCAACACGGTCGGCATATTCTTGGGCGCGATCAATGCTGACTATATGGTCAACGAGAACATTGACGGCCTCGAGGTGGTTGTTGTGCTTCTTGTGAATCTCAAAGGCCTCATCGTACATGCCCAGATCGATACACTGCACAGCGATATCGTCCGGAGTGTAGTGCTCGAGCTGTTGAATGTAGCCCATCAAGCGACCCTTGTCGGACTTGGCAGCAGTGAGCATGAGCAGGTTTTGCAGCGTCGGGTTGTCGCTGAATGTGGACGGCTCCAGAATGATCTTTTCCAAAAGCTCAATGAGCTCGCCAGGGAGATCATTGCTGATGAAGGCCTTGACCGCGATCGAGACCTTGTCAGGCTCCTGAGATTCCGGCACGGCGGTGGCGATGACCTGGTCAACCACCGACCTCTTGAAGAGGTTGTTGGTGCTCAACACGTAATCCCAGATTTCGGGGTCAGACCGTTCGAGCAGGTATCTGGCCTGGGCCTTGAACATCGAGTTCTCATTGGTAATGTTGATGAGCTCGAGATCGTTCTGGCCCTTCTGGTAGGCAATGAAAGCCAAACTAGGGTCACGGGCCTCGCAGTATTTACCAACAGTAAGGGTATCGTACTGATCGTTCTCGCGCAGGAACTTCTCCGGATTGTTGTTGCTGTCGATGTAAATCTTGGCGAGGGCGTTGTAAACAGCCTGCTGTTGATTGCCGCTAGCGAGAGTGGCCTCCAGGAATGGCAACAAGAGCTTGAGGCGGTTGCGCGTCTCCACTTCTGCAACGAGCTCGTCGATAGGGATCGAAGCAGGGTTGACCGACTGCAACAGGCCTTTGATGATGTTCTCATCACAGTCTACATCGAGAAGGCCACCGATGACAGCGGGGGTCCTGGATGGGTTCACACGCTGAACGTAAACCTCGATGGACTTGAACTGCTGCTGCTTGTACAGGTACAGCACTAGATCGTGGATGAAGTTGAAACGGTCGCAGACAATGATGAGCGGGAGCTGCTCAGTCAACTTGGCCTCCTTGAGGAAGTTCTTGACCTTCTCTGGGTCGAAAAAGTTATTCTCTCTGCAAATGCGCTCGACTTCGTTGAGCTGGCCCATTGCAGTTGCAGCCTCGATGTACTTGAAAACCACATCCTTGTCCTCGCTGAGGTTCACGATACCACCGAGGTAGAAGAACAGGCCCTCGGCGGTGCGATACTTCTCCAGCAAGTCAATGATGCGGGTCGCACCAAGGAGATCGGAGTACTTCTGAGCGATGCGAATAACAGCCTGCAAATTCTGGCGAATGTTTGTCTTCAGCATTTCGTCCAAGCAGTCAATAGAGAGCTCGACAGTCAGATGACCGAAGTAGTTTATGAGCCACTCCTCCGGGAGCTTGTCCGTTTGGACAATGATGCGCTTGATGGCCGCGGGGTCGTCGTTGTGCTCCAGCGCTCTTGTCAGCAGACCAGCGTTCTCGCACAGCTGAGCAATGCGCGCCTTGTCGTAATGCGAGAACATCTCATTGCCGAGAATAGCATCTGCGACCTGAGGAGCATTGAGCAAGTTCATCTCCAGCAGCTTCGTCTGGAGGTGGCCCTGCTCCGGGAGATTAGGCGCAAGAACATCGAGCAAAAATGCAGTGCATTGCTGGACCATTCCCTGCGACTGGAAAATGTCGACCACACGATCAATGTCGATCAAGGGACCGCTTTCCTCCTTGGCCAAAGCAGTTGCGAACTCAGCGCCCTTTTCCGGGTTGACGCGCACAATGTGCTGAAGCAGAACAGTAAAGTCCGGCGTGTAGCCACTCTGCTTCGCGTATGGGAGGATCTCATCAAACCGGCCGAGCTCCGCCAGCGCAGCTACAACCTTCTGAGACGAACCAGCCTGCTGGTAAATGGTCAAGGCCAGGTTGAGGTCATGCAACCTGACAATATCTCCAAGCTGCTCCGAGCATTCCAGCTTGCTCTCCCCCAGCCACTTTTCCAGAAGATGCTTACGACCCTGCTGAAGAACGGGCCTCACCAGCTCCAGGGTTTCGAATTGGTTCAGCTTGCCCTTGTCCAACAGCATGCCGAAGTACTGCAGGATGACGGACAGCTGGCCTTGTTGAGGGGGAGCCTGTTTGAAACGCTCGATCGTCTGGGCCGTACGAAGAAATCCGCGGGGAGAATTGGCGGCCGTCTTTGCTGCCTCAGCATACTGTCCTGATGCCAGGAGATTCTCAAATTGCTGCTGGTACAAGCTATCGGCTCCCGGAAGACCAGCACGCGAAGCTAGTCTGTACGCCAGCTCGGCATTGGCTGGGTTTTGCAGCAGATAGGGTATCACGGTGTTTTCGTCAAGGGTGACGGACAGAACTTGCCCTTTGCGGTTAATGCCGATGATTCCCGCGGCGTCGGAGTCGGGGGCGGTAACGAAGATGGTGTCGCTGGAAATGCGATTCATGAAGATGCAAGTGCCCGACTCCAAGTCGTACAGGTGAATGAAGCCGTACTTGGTAACCAGGTAGATGATGTTGTACTTCTCAGAGACCTGCATGGCGACCGGAAAGTCGTTGGTAGCCTCGGGCGGGAAGTAAACATCGACGGCCTTCTTGGGGAAGGTTGGGTTGCCGGCCTGGTGGTCAATCTCCACCACATGCAGCTTTGCACCAGTTGTAGTTCTCACGGCAAAGGTGAAGACCTTGGTGTCGGCAGGCGCACCTTCCATGCGAAGCGAACCGAAAGCAGCCGCATGTCCTTCGATGTTCTGGCTAATACCGCGATCTCTGGAGTAGAGCTGCATGGCTCCGACGACGCGGCCCTGCTGCTGGGAAATGCCCACGATAACGGACCATTTCTCTTCTTGGTTGACCCGGTAGTTGATAATTTGGCAGCCCTATCCAATGTCAATTAAGCCCGCTTCCATGGGTATTATGCATGTTGTGCCCACCGAGAGGTTGGGGTTCCGGTCAAATATCTTGACCGGCGTCGCCTGGTTCGGGTCGAAGATGTTCCAGTGGTAGACGGAGTTCTCGGTGACAAGACCAAGACTCGTGTCGCTGTACCATTTCCAGAAGACGACATCCTCGTTCATCGTAGTCGACTTCAGCTTCGCCTTCTGCGCCAGGTCGAAGATTTGCAGTGTCCGCTGTTGGGCCTTCAATGCGATGATCTGCTTGCTGTAGTGCATGATGGCGCTGTCGGCCTTGATAGGCCTCCGGATGATGTTGTTGCCATTCTTGAGGTCGATTATGATGACTTCGGGCGACGCGCTCTGGTCGGCCTGCTGCCTGACGCAAATGTACGAGTCGGACTCGAGAGTCTGACAAGCGGGTCAATTCCAGCACACACGACGCGGCGCGACTCGAGGCGCGAGACTTACACATGAGTTGAATCCTATCGAGGTGGGCTGCTGTGCGGTCAGCGCGGCGCTCCGGCCAGACGTGTTTGCGCGAACGGGTGACGTACGAGGATGTCGACTTGCGACAGCTGGAAGCGGTCAGCAGTCAGCAATGGCTCGGATGCAGCGCACAAGAAGCAGGTACCTGGAGCAGCTCGGAGAACTTAATGGGAAGCGGTGCCATGGCTGCGAGTTTATGGGTCTGCGCTTTCGTTACGCCAGCTCATCAACAAGAACCAACGCCACTCAGGATTAAGGAGAGGGTAATCGGAAAGGAAGAGGATCTCCAGCAAGCTGGTGCGCCGAGCTTGCGGGAGCGCGATCCAGAAGGAAAAGGTAGGGTGGGAGTGAGGTGGTGGCAGTTGCAAGGCCAACGCTTGTCAGGAGTTATGATCAAGCTGGCCGTGACAGCGAGCTGCGGCCAGATGTCGCTGCCGCTAGGCCGAACGCGGCGCTAGGGCTGGCCAGGTCGTCATGGCACCCGCCCAAGGCCACAAGGCTGCCCTGCACGCGCCAGCCCTCACCACAGCAGCCATCATTGCTGCTGCTGCCCGCTCTGCCCGCTCTGCCCCTTCCCGCGTCCGCGTCGCCGTAGAGCCCCGCGTGTAGCACCACTTCACTCTGCCTGCCCTTCTGCTCCCGCCTAATGCTGCAAGCTCCAGGGCGCCTCATATATGTTGACCTGAACCATGGAGCGATCCTGGATGATCTCCCCGACGAAATCAGTACACGTCTACACAGCAATAATAATACTACTGTTGCTGGCCTCGAACAGACGTTGAGAACAGCGGGGTCCAACTGCGCCGTGTTCTCCCCAAGCTTGACGAAGACGCCCACTACCGGGCCATTGCAGGAGTCCCTTTTGGAACGAGACGGTTGTGTCGCACTCTCCCTTGGCACGGCCTTGAATCCCTCTACTACCAGCAGTAATGGAACGTGAGGGAGGCCCGTCAACAGCTGCATCCATTGCTACGGTGGGGCTTTATCACATGCTCCGCCTCTGCGGGTCACGGGGCCCTCTGCTGATCTTCAAGATGAGCAAAACCAGGAGGATGGCGGTCACGGCATTCTTCAGGCGGAGGCTTGCTCGGGAGCAAGTGGAAGCTGCAAGTTTTTCATTTCTTTTCTTTTTTTTAGCCAGAATCGGGAGTAGAGAGTCGTACGCCGATTTTCAGTTAGCCGCAGCTCGTGGCATTGACGCTCACCCGACGGCGGCGCCCTCTAGCTGGTCTTATTCTAGACGGGGCCAGCGAGAGACCGATTTCGGCGGCATGACATGCTGAGAGAGAGGTCGGCTTGCACAGAACGGACGGGCGACGTGGAGCGCTTCAGTGGACGCTGCCACCGGGCAGCAAAGTGGGCAGCTGCACGGAATGCCAATATCAATACGTGGACGCACGAGGAGCGTGCAAAGCGCTGGCGTTGATACATGGCGTATAGGCGAAGCGCGGAGAAGGCAGCCCAGGATGCCGCAGTGCAGCCCGAGCCGGAAAATTAGCGAGGGGAGGGCACCCGCCGTCAGAGCCTGAACAAAGCCGTCCTCAAGCAGCCCACCTTCAATTTCCGCGTCCACCTCTCCCAGCTACCGACCGCACGCGCCCAAGAGACTACGTCCGACGGCCCGTCCTCGCCACCCTCGCCTACACTCCGTGACACGATCTACACGCATCCGCAACACCCAACACCATGCCGCCTTCCAAGTGGGGTACGTCGTGAATCACGAACCACAAGATCTCCTGTTCGCCGGGGATCGCCTCGCGCCACAGGTGCCGGTCTGTGGACAAGGCTGACCGCTGTTGCTTATCCGCAGACGACGAGAGCGACGGCGAGGGTAACTCGCCTCCGGCGCCCATCGTGCGCCGCGGCAAGTTCGACGATGAGGAGGACGAGGATGATGTAGGCCCGCACCTATGCCTACGCCCTCTGTTCCCGTGCGGCATGTACTGATGGATCACAGGTCCTTGACTCGTGGGATGCAGCCGAAGACTCCGAAGTCGAACGCGAGAAGGAGAAAAAGGCCGCTGAAGCCAAGGCAAAGGCCGAGGCTGAGGCCAAGGCAAACCACAAGAGCAAGAGCCAGAGACTGGAGGATCGTATTAGGGAGAACAGGCTGAAGAAGGAAGCAGCCACGGGCGACAGCGACGACGAGGACGAGGACGAGGCCACACGCCGTGCGCGGCTGCGCAAGTCTGAGATGGACTCTGACCTGGCGGCGGCCGAGGACCTCTTCGGCGAACTGGCCATCGGCGGCGGTAGCAAGCGCTCTGCCACGAAGCCTGCCGTCATGGTCGACCCGAAGGATGCCAACAACACCATCGATCTCTCGACGCTTAAGATCTTCAATCCGAGCACCAAGGATGACTTCCACAAGCTCCGTGATACGCTGGCGCCACTTCTCGTAGCCAACAGCAAGAAGCCGCAGTACAACCTGTTCCTCCAGGAGTTCTGCAAACAAATCGCGAAGGAGCTTCCCAGCGACCAGATCAAGAAGATCTCCAGCGGTCTCACCACGCTGTCGAACGAGAAGATGAAGGAGGAGAAGGCAGCGGAGAAGGGCGGCAAGAAGAGCAAGGCGGCAAAGACAAAGACGAGCCTGAACGCCACGCGCGACGTGGCGTACAAGGCTGACACGGCAACCTACGATGAGGACTTTGGCGAGTAGGTTTTGGCAGCAACGTCGAAGCTTGGCTCAAACTGACAGTGCAACAGCGACGATTTCATGTGAAACCAAGTACGGCTCGCGCTTTTACACCCCACCTCCCCACCTACTCGAAGCGGCGTACATCAACTCAAGATGCCGCTGCCGACGCAGCGCGAGGGCGAGTCTGCCTCGCGGCGGAGCTTGTCTTGCGCTCATGAAACGGCCCGCAAAGCTCTCACGCCAATCCGGCGGATTAGCGACAAAACTGGACAGGGCTGCCTCGTGTGCAAGAGACGTGCGAAGCGGCGGGATCGGAAACCACAGCCTTGTAGGGTACACGCACTGGGGATGTTGGAGACGTCTGTATCGCAAGCATTGCTCCCGGCGTTCGGACATCGGTTACACCTGCACAAACTCAGCCGCATCCCTTCACATACGGCCACATCCCCGTCCTCATTCGTTAGCTTTAGGGTTCTTTGGGTGCACATGGGTCTGTCCGGTCGGCACGACATTCGGTGTTCATGTATCTTACTCGGGTAGTTTCAAGGAGGAGCAATGGGAGCAGCCTTTACTTCTTCTTCTGCAGCTCCAGCCGGGCCCTAGATGCTTGGATGTAGGTGCTGCGTCAGAGCTCCCCGTGTCGTCCTTCCCTCGGAGCTCGTCAGATGGCCGGAGGCACCCGAGGCAGCACTGCGTTTGGTGCAGGTGCGCAGCCCGCGGTCCTGCCGCGCCGTCCAATGCAGACACTACGGCCGTGATCCGCGCGAGGTTGAGGAACTTTGAGACCCGGCAGACGACACCGCGGCGGGCGGTCCACCACTTAGAAACAGCTGCTATGCTTCTCAATCCATTTTCCACCAATGATGCAGGCCACGCTTCCTCACGAAGGCACTTGCCGGAGCGTTTGGAAGAGGTTGACGCGTTCGCCGATGGGCTGGGGCTGTGGGCTGGAAGAAAGCAACGGACCAGAGCCTGGTGCCCGCTAAGCAAACCAGCCTAGGCCCCGACATGTTTGTATGAGATAAGTTATGCGGGCCAAGCGTGTGTCAAATGCTTTCCGGCAAGCTTCCATATAAGAAGGGCAGAGCACTGAGGCCAAGCCGTGTCTGGATCTACCGCATCCAGCCACCGTTCGAGCCTTTCACCTTTCTCGTGCCCCTCGTCCGGATACAGGACCCTGTGCCAATGGTCGCCCTCATCGAAAAGCACGCTCTCGAGCCGAAGCCGTTCATGTCGTTTTCGCCCAAGGCAGTGGCTGCACAAGAAGCAATCAAGGTGCAGGGCCGGCGATACGCGAAACTCAGAGACGAGGCGGGCAACGTGGACGTCCTCCGAGACATCTTGAAGAGCATGATTGCCGAATCCGAGAAGTGAGTACATATCATCCGTTCTGCCGCACGCATGTCCAGGTGTGTTGTCCGTCGGCCAATGTCGTTCTCTGAGATGGTTTCCGAGCAACCTCGTTTCCTAGTAATATGTACAAGAGTTGCCGAGTCGTCAAACACGGGTCTTTGAACCGCATATCTGTTCTCTCTGTCTGCTCTTCATTTTCTCTCTCTCTCTCTCTTTTGGCTTTTCCATATTTAACTTTAGGCTCGCCGTCTGGCGAGAGATCATCTCGGACTCGGGTTTCACATCTCATGCCCTTCCGCCTGCCATCTCCCAAGCGAGCTTCTATTTTCATCGCCTACGGACGCATCGGTTGGTGCATGCCCAGATACTCACACCGTGCTATCCTTTGCGAAATTTCGGGGCTTCTCCACATTCATGCAATGCGCTTTCCATGCATCCTACATACGTTCCACAAGACACCGCAGTCAGCCCTCACTCTCACCATCCGTGCTCTTTCCCTTCACGTTCAGCCTTCTCCGATCCCTTTGTCTTGGCCCGGCCCGTCGTGACTCGAAGAGTACGCCTGAGGACGGCCTAGCTAACAGCGACACCCTGCGCAGGCTCATTCATACTCTGGCCCAGCAGCAAAGCACTGCCTCGGCCGAGCCCTTTGACGTCCACGAACGCCGCATCGAGACTCTGCAGGCCAGCATCGCCCAGTACAGACTGCAGTCGTTACACCTCGAACTCGATGATGGGGCACAAGGCAAAGAAGGCTGGGACGAGCAGGAGAGAAGCTCGTGGCTGAAGCTTTGCGACTGATGGGCGACGGAAGCTACCGCAGAAGGGTGCAATCGGCCCTCTTTCTTTCCCCCCAGACTTCTTTACTCTGTACATCTTCTTTCTCGGTTTGAGTCAGTTCCCCTCCTTCTTGCCTTGCTGCTCAGCGTCGCCGGCGATTCGCGTGGCGATTGCCCCGCCCATTCTTTCCACGACTTTCAGTGCTATGTTCCATTTCGAGGGGTTGCGGAGAAGATCCTCAGGTCCGGTAACGACGAATACGTTCCCTGCAAACGATGAGAAGAGACGTGAGAGCGTCGTCTTTTTACTACCACTCGCTCCGAAGCCACGGCGTACGGGCACCAATAAATAAAAGAAGATCTTGAGAAGTGGTCCAGTGTGCTCCACCACTGAAACAGCAGCGGGTATCCGAAGCCAAAAGTGAAGGAAAGAAAGCGCGAATGACCCTTTTGTGGCTGCTCTCCCCCAACGTACATCCCTAACGCCATGCCATGAACATGTGATACGAAGCCCTTTTCTTGATCTAAACCGAAACGCCCCGCTACCAGACTGCCCGGGACCTTGAACCCTATATTATGAACGACTTCCTCCGCGACCGATTCGGATGTGATGGACGGCAGGGTTTATTTCTCCGGTGCATCTGGCAATCTTTCGATCACGTACTTTCCCCGGGCTACTGACATGATGGGCACACCGGGCTGTTCCAGTCATCAGCATTCTCACCCCCAGATAGCGCAAGCTTTGCCACTCACAATCTTGCGTATTCTGCGCTTCAAATCGCGGTCATTCGAGGCCACAATGTAGACCTTGTGCTTCTGCACTCTGTCGACGATGCCTAGCCCTACTTCAGCCCGTGGCCGTGGTGTGAGCAGTGGAAGGAGCGACTTACAGTCATCGGCGTAGACCCCCTTGTGGTCGCATTCGAGGCGCTCCCACCGCTCATCGCGAGCTATCCTGAGCGCAATGCGGTACTTGGGGCCCAACTTCTCTAATTCGGCCATGACACAGCTAGTTATCACCGGGCAGCATTTCGCGAAGAGGCAGTCCATCATGCTGGGGAGCAGCTCGAGCTTGCGTTGGACGGTGTGAGAGAGGAAGTTCTGGGCAGACGGTCAGCGGGCCGGCTCGGGTGCGGCTCGGTGGCAGCTCAGGCGGCGGGATGGCGCTTACGGTATCGACGAGGACCGAGTACGGCTGCTCAGATGTTAGCCTGGAGTCACGTATCTGTCTTGAGGGCGGAGAGTTTTACCGGCACCAAGGCGGTGTTGTACTGGAAGAACAAAGACGACGAGACCTGGGGCACCTCGCGCACGACAGAGTCGGCCTTCTGCTTTGCCTGGTCGGCATCGGCGGCGAGCTGGTTCTTCTTGAGGCGGGCGTCGCGCTGGCCAATGATGCGCTTGACCTGGGCAAACTTCCTGGTGCGCTTCTGGACACCCATGGCGGCGGCGCGGGCTGGATTCGCAGGGCGTCGGGGGCGCGAGGGTGAGCGGGGCGCGAGGGTGGCAGGGTGCGGAGGAAAAGTTATGGAGGCTTGGCATCCATGGGTTTGGCGGTTCGGCGGTTCGGCGGTTCGGCGGTTTCCGCCCGTGGACGGATCATTATTCCTGAGTCATCCAATGATGGCGGGCGTCGGAGCAGCAGACGGGCCGGAGCCAGCTGCCCAGGGCACTCACTGCCCACTGTTTACGCGGCGGCCCCTGCTGATCGCGATGCAGCAAGGCACGATCCGGGGCCCTGCAGCCTCATGTCCCACAGCGCTCTGCCAGACGCTGCATCCTCGTGCGCCAGACCGCAAAAGCACTCTGCTCGTGCGCACCGCGCCGGTCCCTGAAGATCCGGCCAGCCCTACGGCTTCACGAGCCAGCGCGTCACGCCCGGCTGAGCCTCACGCCGCCCAGGAGCCAAATACGAGAAGCGCCCTTTGTCTCGTCTCCTCCAACACCTGCCGCCCGCCTGTCCGCCTGTCCGCCTGCCCGCCTCCCTCCGCGCCCAAGTCCTTCCCTGCGCTGCTCCTCCGCCTGCGCCCACCATGCGGTCCGTCGATCGTGCGCCTGTTCGCGCCCACGCCGCTGACATTGTCCAGGGCCCTCTATGCGCTCCTCGTGCTCCTTGCGCTGGTCGCTCTCGCCTCTGCCCAGGACGCCGCCACGACCACCACTACCGGCACCGCCGCTGCGACGACGACGACCGGCAGTGACACCGCCTCCTCGAAATCAAGCAGCGCCGCCAGCGACTCCGCTGCCACCACGCAGTCGGCCGCTTCCACCACCGCCGCCGCCGCGACCACGGCGACGACCGACGATGCCTCGTCCACCACCCGCAGCTCCGCTACCACCTCCTCGGGCACCGCCACCTCGTCCGTGCGCTCCCTGACCGGCCTGCCGACCTTGGCCGGCGCTGGCATTCCCACCGTCATCGTGCCCGATCTCTCGAGTGCGCCCTTCATGCAACAGTCCACCTACCCGGAGGGCACCGTCTTCATCTGCGTCGGCGCCATCCTCGGCTTCCTCGGCATGTGCATCCTGGCTTGGCGTGCCATCATCGCATATGCGCTACACCGCAGTGTAAAGAAGGCTGCCGTGGCCCAGAGCATGAGCGACAGCAAGACGATGCGCGGTCCCGGCTCCACGTATGGCCCCGGCGGCGCCATGTACAACGCAGTGGGACACGGAAGTACCTTGTCCTTGGATCACCTCAAGTCCTCCCACGGTGCCCCCAAGTCTCCGCTGGAGAAGACGCGCTTCATGCCTAGCCAATCGTCGCTCTTCTTTTCCCCTACCGCCGACAACCCGAACCGCGCCTCGCACTACAGCGTCTCGGGCAATCGCTCCTCAACCTATCTCCCTGCCGGCTACTACGCTGCCGGCAACTCGACCCTCAGCCCGACTGCCAACACCTTCGGGAACCCGCGCACCCGTTCCGTGTACTCGCAGAACTATCTCGGCCCCTCGCCGCCCGAGTCCCCCGGCCTGCCGCCGAGTTCACGCGATGGCCCTTCTCTCGTCCCGCACAGCCCGCTTGAGGCAAGGCATCTCGGCAGCTCGTACAACAATGCCGTGTACCCACGACCCACGGGAAGCCGCGGCAATGATTCGTCCGCGGGCGGCCGCAGCAGTGTCGCCGGCACTGTGGCCGGCGGAACCAGCACAAGTACGCTAAATCTGACCGCTGCGCCGCAGGGCCGCACCCCGAGCGCCTACCTTGAGGACCTGTTCGAGAACGGCACGGATCTGCCAGGGCCGGCTCCGGACCACCACACTCCAAGACGAAGCCGACGTGAAAGCGGCTCACGCTTCTGAGCAGCGGATTCGGATATCGTAATTGCGGTCCGTTTTCGTGGCTGGGGAATGAAGACGGCTGCATGGCAAATTAGACGCTGGGAATCAACAAGATATCAAGATGCATGTCCGCCGGCCATTGAAAATGTGTTGTTGCACGGACAAACTACTTAATTGAGGTAATTGGGTGGGTTTATTCATTTTGCCTATTTCTGCAACTTGTACTGCATGTGTTTTCTCTTCACGACTTCTCATCACGATTCAAATGGCGAGGTCTCGGGATACCAGGGTTAATAGGATGATGGGACGGATTCGAGCCTGGGAAACGTGTTTTTTGTGTGCATATTTTTGTGTTATTTCTTTGTTTTCTGTCGTCTTTTTGCATACGGGAGACATGCAGTATGTGTAAGATACCATTGCCCATTCTGATTCAGACATGGAAGCAAGTAAAGCCATGTATTGATGCAGAGCAACATGGCTTAGATGATTATCATGTTTCGGTACATGCAAGTGAGGTGGGATGCTGAACCGGTCACAGACAAACTGGGGAAATCCGGGTCAGGCTCTCTGAACTAGAAATCCGCCCCATTATGCGCTAGCATGGAAGACTATGTTTGAAAGAAAGGTCACCAGCTAACGGCTAGACTTTACAAGCTTGGCGTGAAAGACGCGAAACTATTCACGAGATCTGGACAAGGACGCGCCGGCTGCCAAAACACACACGCACACACACACACACACACACACACACACACTTACGTAGCAAACCGACCGATTGGTGCTGTGACAGCGGACTAACACCACCTAAACACGGTTACGCTCTTGATAGGGAACTCGCGTCCTTGAGGTTGGTCACGTACCTCATGCAAATGCAACGTTTCGTGCTGGTTTGGTCTCCGTTTTCCTTGCAACACCTTGTGGGAGAATTGCTCCATAAACCTCCCCTGTGCTTCCCGCTGACCAGCAGAGTCTGGGGACGAAATAGATACATCATCACTCTCAGTCGTGATCGGTCAGGTAGGGGGATTTGGTAGCCGGTTTTGATATGCGCGAGGGCTGTGGCACGAGAAGACGACAGCGGGCAGGCTCCTCTGCGTGGACAAGGAGCCGATCGACGACAGAAAGGCATCGACTTAGGCCGGGCGTAGTGCTGAGGCAAAGGCATTCGTCGACCAACAATTTGTGATCACATCGCATCGACAGGATATTGCAGGTGGTGATGCTCCTTCCCAGAAACAATCCAACATCATATTCTCGTGGGACTCGGACGTCCCTTTCCTTGGCAGCAAATTGACGGCCTGGCATTCAATGGTCCTCTTAATATCCGATTAGAGCAAAAAGTGGACCTCGGCATGAAGGGTGGTCAAGCCGCATTCAGTATCCAAGAACTACTTCGAAAGAAATGGCGAAGTTCCTCTTTCTCTTTTTTTTTTTCTTTGCGTCATTAGCTTTGCTTCTGATTGGACTGTCTGGTCACGAAACCAAGCTGAGGCAGTGCAGGCCCTCGCTTCCTCTTATTCAGCCTATTTGATTTCTGCCAAAAACTGCCCTTCTCTCTGGGAAAGACTGTAACCAGAACGCCTTTCTTGCCTTGTTCTTCGACACATAACAAAACAGCAGCCGTAAAGGCAACGGGTGGATACGTCATACAAAAGTACAAAAAGGCAATGGCAAACGTACTTTGGGGAGCCCGACGCCCAATTTTGTTTCCTTGGTCCCTGAACTTTTTTTGTCTTTTCAGATGATGAAAACCAGCGCTAGAAAAACGAGGTCCTAAGATATAGAGGAACAAGAAGAAGAGCCATCTCCGTGTCGTGACAAGTTCGACGCCTAATAAGAGATGGATACTTTGCAATTTTCCCGTCCAGTTTGCTTGCAAAACCGTGATCCTCGGAAAAGACGAACGCCTTGAAAGGAGACAAACGGAGCCGTAACAATCGTGAATATGCCTAGGTAGTTGGCCCAAGTTACAGTGCGTAAGCCGTCTCCATAAGCCGCGATAGCCATGTTGAAGCCAGCAAGCAGCTGTGAAGCAAAAACGGTCGATATTCGAGTACCAGTGATTGTTCCTTTGATGTTCAAGACATGACCAACTGAGGAGAGACTGTCGCAGTTACAGGTGGGGCAAACGTAGACTAGAATGTCCAAGTCGATGGCGGTATTGATGGGCTGGAGGGTGGGAAAGGTCGTTGAAGCAGGCGATCTTTATTTCTTTCCGTTACCTTGGTTGATGATAGGAGCAGTGCGTGGAGGCATTGTGAACATCGATGTGGCGGTCCAGTCCGAGTGTGCAGATACCGGGGGGGGATCACGCACGGAGCGTGCTTGTACTTTTAGTCGTCACCCGTTGTTTGGCTGGGCTGGTTTTCGCTCTAGTCCATGTAGAAGTCACCCTTCAAGATGCGCTCCTGGAAGGCATCAGGAGCCTTGGCGACCTTGGGTACCTCGCGGATAGGCTGGGCAGTGGCAATGCTCTTAGCTCGATGATGCATGGGAGGAGAGACCCGGCCAGGACTGGCAGCCGAGATGGATGAACGCTCGGCTCTAGTACGCATGTTTTCGGCAAAGTTGAAGCCGTCTGGATGATCACATGGTCAGTGAGGATCGAGAATCATGAACAACAACAAGCCGGCGTCCATCTTCGCGCCGGACCACTGAGTCCGGCGAGCGAGAGACAGTAGGAAGGGGTAACGGATGCCAAAGCCAGCGGGGAAGGGACTGTACACGTAACATGCGGCAAGGGCAGCGCAGAGGGAATAGAGGGCAGCGAGCAAGACAGACCTCGACCCTTGGTCGCAGTGATGTTCGAGGACGGGGTAGGAGACTTTAAAGAAGCATTGGGGCGAGCTCTACCATTGGCAGACGTGTTTCCGCTCCCATTTCCCTGCTTCACGTCGCGAAGCGCCCGAGCACCGAAACTCAGCCTGCGCGCAAACGGCGACGTAGCAGCAGTGTTGGGCGGACTGTTGGAGCTGGATGTGTCGTCATCATCGAATGGACTCTCGTTGAAGGAGCCCGAGGTGGCAGACGAGACGCTCTCGCCTCGGCTCCGCATGGTGTTGAAGGGAGAGGGCTGGCTGGGCGAGCCCGACAGACCAAGGGTGGTCAACGACAGGCGGCGGCGGTTGGCCTGAGCAGCAGCACTGGTGATGGGGCCCTGATAGCTGGCATTGCCGTTGGCGTTGTTCGGGTTCTGGTTGGCGGGCTGGCGGCCAAACAGGTCGGCGAAGGCCTGGCCGGCGAAGGACGAGCGGCGGCGCTCGGTGGGAGGCGGCGAGCGGGGCGGGGAGTTCGTGTCGGACATGGCGGAGTTGGCGGATGCGAGAGGGGAGAGGTAGAAGGGGGGCAGGAAGGCGAGGCAGCGGTTTGGCTAGGCGCTGGGCGTATGGCGCGGGCGGGCGAGCGTGCGCCAAGGACGACAGACAGCGCGGATTACGTCAGGACGGCGGGTGGTGGGTGAGGGCGAAGCGGTCGCAGGGCGCTGGGCGCTGGGCAGCGGCAGGTTGGAGGGCAGCGGGTTTGCTCGGGCGCAGAGAAGCGAGGAGCTGGCAGGGGAGGCGAGCGGGAGCGGGCGGTCGAGGAATGTAGCGGGCGGACGAGGAGGTCGAGGTAAATAATGGAGCAGGAAGGAGCAGCCTAGGGACCGGGGATCGCTGCCGCAGGCGGGCTAGCGCTCCCCGCGCTTCGAGCACGCCCCCGTTGGCGCGCCTGAGGGCATTGGCTTATCGCTCCGCTGACGTGCACCCGACGCTGGAGCGCCAGAGCGGGCCCCCCCAGGAACACTGGAACACTGGAACACTGGAACACACGAACATGGACACGACGCTGCGACGCCCTGACGCCCTTCCCCGCCCACGCAGCCACGCTGCACACGGCCCAGGACGCGGCCTCCTTTCGCGGCCGGCGCCCACGTGAGCCCGCCCAACGGCCTTTGTCTGCGCGCCTCGCCGCCTTCTCACGTCATGCAGGGCCCGGTGCTGCCCCGGTGCTGCCCCGGTGCTGCCCCCGCCCTGCGCCTCTCGCCGCGCCGTGGGTCGCTCATGCACGGCGTCGGCCATGCGTCGGCCATGCGTCGGCGGGCGCGCGCGCTGGCTGCTGGATGATGCTGGCAGCGGTGGCAGCGGTGGCAGCGGCACGCCGGCTAGTCAGCGTGCGAGCCACCGGATCTGCGCCTGGAACCGCCCAACCCCGCAGTCCTGTGCACAGGAGCAGTAAGCTTGTCGTCGCTTGTCGGCCTGCGCGCCTGCCAGCGTGCAAGCTACTGCGCGACCTGCGTCGGTAGCCTGCCCCGGAAAACTGGAGCGGCTCACGAGAGATGGCATCAGGAACCCCTCACGCTATCTTCCGCTGCGTCTCAAGGTCGACAAGCAGACACGCGTAACGCGCCTGGGTGGTCCGACCGTTCGACCCTCAGCCCACCCACTCCGTCGACCTCTGACCAAGCCATCTTGAAGATCTCCGGCCCGGCCCGCCCATCTCGATGCTCCTTCATGCTCGCGCCGCCATGTCGCGCGTCGGTCAGGAGACATGCCCATCGGCCTTTTCGAACCCTGCCCCTGTGTTCGGACATGGCCATGCGCCTGTGCCACCCATCATTCCAACGTTGCCCAACACTTGCTCAACGTCTCTCTCCCTCGGCACTGATGCAGCATGCAGCAGATGCTCGGCTTTTTGCAGGCAGAGCATTCGACGACGAAAGAAGCCCTACTGCCACCTCTGTTCAGCACTCTGGCCACAACCGTGCAGGCCGAGCGAACGCTACAGACCTGGTGCGAGATCTAGACCTGCAGGTACTGGGCAAATTGCTTCTTGAGTGGAGAACAACGAGAGTAAATTAAACGCCGTCTTTGGCCGAGCATATGGCGCAGCAAAGACAAGCGACTTGTGCTCTAATCTAGACAGCTGACACAGGAGGGACAGAACAGAACGACCGATACAAGAGGAAATTCAACGCAGGAATGTCAACGAATGTGGTGTTGGCAGTGAGCCGTCGGGTCTAACCAAATACCGCCGCCAAAGTCTCTTACCCAAGCCACGCATGCATCGCCTAGCTCCCAGGACTGCATCTCGCCACCACTTCATGGAATTTGGACTTGAAAGTCGTATCCCCTCCAACGGGTCGCAAGGCCCGTTCGATCCGTTGCAGGACTTGTCTGTGGCGGCCGAGTATGCCTGGGGGAATGGATCCAAGGGTTTTCAAGACATACATCAGCCCTCCTTCGGGCGATGAGTCGCTAACGAGGCGGACGTAAAGGTTGCCTGCCGGGTCGTCATGCCGTGCCGATCCTTGCGAGTTGCTGTACTTGCTGTAGTCCCGCTCCACCACTTCGCGGATGATGTGAATAAGCAAGCCCGACATGTACCAGACATATCCACTTTTCCGAACGACCCCACTGTCGTAGAGCCTGGCGATTTTGATGGCGTGTTCGCAGAGTTTATCGGCCTGCTCGATGAAGTAAGTTGTGGGTTTGTGGTCGTACAGGGGTTCTATCGCGTCAATGTCCCGGAACACCTTCTCGTAGCCGGCCTTGAGCTGGATCAGTTGAGCAGCAACGCAGAAGTCTGGCGTGAGCATGGCGTCCAGCCTCGGTTCGAATTTTTCATCGTCCAAGAGGTCATCGACGAGTTCCTTGAATTGCCGCCACACATTCTGGACGACCCTGTCATCGTCGCAGTCGAGACGCGACGCGCAGCACCTGGAAAAGGCATGCCAGACAGCATCGCTTGGCTCGAGGACCCATTTGAGCAGTTCCACTCTGTCCTTCAAAGGCCCATCGCCTTGGTTCGAGCCGCCAGCCCCAACGTCTGGAGTTTGCGTTTTGCGGACGGTCCATCTTCGACTAAGGCCAATTTGGTTGATGGTGATGGTATCGATCAAGATGGCGGCGGAAGGTAGCGTTTGGTTCATGTGAGCTGGGTCCGCGGTGGCTCTCCCATCAGCCTGGATGTGGATCACGTTGGGAAAGTAACTGAGTTTTTGCGAAGCGGTAAGGAAGATTTGATCCATCAGCCAGAACGCGTGCTGCAATCGTGAGTAAGCAGACGTTTTCAGGAAGAGACGCGAGTTCCATACCCTGCAAAGAACGTCTTTCTGGCACCAACAGAGGGGCGCATCCTGGTCCCGGCTCACAAACAGTTCGAGATCGACCCCTCCCTCCCGAACACAAAAAAGGTATCCGCGGCTCAGGGTCCCGGTAGACGCACATTCCGTCACCTGGATGTTTCCAGCTGCGGCAAGTCCATCCTTGACGTTTTGGTGGATGGAGGGATGCACCACGTACGTGATGCCCGACTGTGCTTGCATTGTTGCGGCCTGGTTGAGTGCGGTGGAGGTGAAGTGGCGAGATATGAAGAAAGGGAGAACACGGAGAACACACGAGGTGGAGAGCTGCTGTAGAAGACTGGTTCTCGAGTGGGAGTGGGAGTGCGAGTGGTGATGGTGGTGGTGGTGGTGGTGGTAGTGGTGCTGCTGCTGCTGCTGCTGCTGCTGTTGTTGTTGTTGCTGGACTGTCCTGGATGCTTCGCGGGGACTTTTAACTTGCTGGCGCCAGCAAACCTCGCCGCAGTAGAGTGCATAAATGAGGAAGGCTGGTCGGGAGACAGTCCGCCTAAGCCTCTATCAAAGCGGCGCTTGACAGTGTGGAGAGCGTTGCCAGCGGCGGCGGCGGCGGCGCGGGTGCTGGGCGAACGGCAAGAGTAGCGCCGCAGGGCGGGGCTCCGCGCATGGAGCACATCTACTGCTCACAGTGGGTGGCATGGCAAGCGGAGAGAGTAGTTGCAAAGGATACGGCGAGAGATGACCAGGTAGCACGGCGGCGCAAGGCGGCATTCGCAGACGGCTTTGCCGCATCACCATGGTCTACAGCATGTGAAAGTGCTGGCGTTGAAGCTGTCTCGGCGGCTTGGGTCAAGGCGCCAGCTGCGGCGCTGGTCGACGAGCAGAGAGACGATAGACAGCGGCGCCCAGTTGGGTGTTGGCGCGAGCAGTGTCGTCAATCTGGGCCGCGATGGCTGTGCATCGGGGTGGGGCTGCGCTAGCTATTTTTGCCTCTTGCTCGACCGTCGGCCAACTCGTTTTCAATTTCGAACACCAACACCGCTCTGCTTTGCTGCTGAGGCTTCACAAGGCGCTTAGCTGCTTTCTGTCTATGGGTGTCTGCGGAGACCATCTTGCACACAAGAATAGATGCCCGTTCTGCCTTGTGCAGATCACGCCAGATACGCGCCGCCTCCCAGCCGCAACCCGGCGCCACAGCATGCAGAAAAGCTCCGAAAGATCGACGCCTCTGACATGCAATGTTGCCTGCCTCCAAGAGATCTTGTGGTCCGTGTCGAGGCACAGGCATCTCGCCAGATCGCAATAGTCGAGGCGGCGACGCCGCACCGCGAGCTGCAAAGACCACAGCTACCGGAGAGAAGCCTCTCCGTATTACGACCGCTGCGCTGGCTCCGCTCAGCCCAATCCGCCCAGGCATGGAACTTGCAGTAATGGGACGGATGAGAGGACCTTCATACGTGCCGCGGCTAGGTGCCGCCGCTGAGCGTGACAATATCCTTCAGGCCGCAAGCCCCCTCGCAACATGATCAGTGGGAGTCAATGGGTCGCATGGTGATCGAATTCAGCTATCTACTGGTCCTTTACGGTGCTTGGTGTTTGCTGGAAGGTTGCCTGCTAGTGGTTAGACGCAAACCTGAGCTGTAAGAACAGGTCAACCCACAATCTATCACATGTCGACTGGAAGGACTCACATTGGCCGCGGGCACTTACCGCGAGCTTCCCCCGGTTCGAGACCTTGAGGCGTAAACCGACGTCTCGCGTGAGCTATCGTATGAGCTCTGCTCTTTGGACTTGCCTGACTCGACAATATGGCTCATCGATAGCCCTCCCCAAGGAAGGCCGGATAGTTGACGGCCTGGATGCTGCTCATAGTCTCCCGGGCCCGGCAGACTGTAGGCGCCACCCGCCAATTGCTGGTTGGTCAAAGTCCTCTCCTTTTCTTCGCGTTCGTCCTTCGCTTTTTGCCCTACAATGCGGTTTCAGTGAATACACAGAGTCTTCATCCGGCGTGCCTGTCATACGGTATTTCCTTTGAGCCAGTTTGTTTTGGATTTTGCGCCGCTCCGTCGGGTCTTGTACTTGCGCCCAGTCATCACTGGATGGGTTCCATGGCTCTCCGCTCGAGGTTTCCCCTGCTCCGCCTCTGTCTCCGCCTTGAGACATGCTGCGGTCACTGTCGTCGTTTTGCTGTGTCATAACAAGCCGAGCGCCGCTTAGATGGGGGCCGTGAAAGCTTGGTTTTGCACGCGGCGCGGAGAGCCTGTTCGGGTTGCTTCATTGAGAGGTCAACTGCTGCCGATGCGGCTGGAAAGAGGTACACGGCTCAGGCACCACACAGTGGGTATGGAATTGTGCGTGCCTCGGATTCGAGCATGCATGTGACGCTTCGTGGTGTAGTTGAATGCAAACACTGATCCTTAACGAGGCAGTGTGGGGTCGACAGCATCAACGAAATGCATGCGAGGGGCTGGGAAGAGAGTCAATTATGCTCTGGTGATGACTACGGTGGAGCCAAGCGGGTTTGTGTCTAGCACAGAATGCTCGAGAGCCCATCTTAAGGGAAGTGAGCGTGGACATGAACAGTATGCAGCGCGGAATCACCGGGGATGAGATGATAGCGTCATGCGAGCCACATACGGCAGGCTGAGCGAGAGGACATCATGACAGCTGTAGGCAGCACCGACGGCCCGGGGGTGGCGAGCATCCACATCGTTACCATTCACCCAAAAGCGGAAGGAGAGGCACGACCGGCGATCTGAGGCGGAGAAGTGCAGCACCCGCGGTCAGCTCCCCCCCAATGGGAGGCCGGATAGCCAGGTCTGCGTAGGGCTGGTGCGAGGGAGAGAAACTAGGCAGCGGTCCCAAGATGCGGGTATGCAAGACGCAGCGGAGCGCTAGGTCCGAAGGCGTCTTCCCGCGAGTCGGCACCGCTGCAGGCGCGTCTGATGAGAGACGGATGGCGGTCCAGACGGGCGGAAAGCCCGTCGTTGGCCCGCGGTTGGCGCAAAAGAAGCTCCCGCCTGCGTGGCGTAGGTCCCGGGAATCCAAGGTACCTGCATTTCCTGACTGCCGTCTTGCTTGCATGCGCCGCAGGGCGCCTTTCGGCATGTCCGCAGCAGCGAGCCGTCTCGCAAGGTCAGCCTCGGGGCTCGCCCGTCCACGCCCAGCGACACTGCACGCTGCCAGCGGCGGTAGCGCTGAGCACCTCTGCACTCTGCGGCCTGGAGCCAAGCGGCGCCGGGGGATGGCTCTGTTGTCGGTGCAGCCGCCCATGATGCGGCATCTGGCTGGGCTGGGTGATGAGCGCTGCGGTCAGCTCGGGCTCGCCTTCACCGACGCGGGACGTGGGGGCCAGGCAGCAAAGATCGACGCCGGCGCCGCTTCGACGCTTCGTCGGTGACAAGGAGAACAGAAGGGCGGCAGTCGAGGAGCGGTGACGTGGGCTGTGTGGGCAACGTCCGGGGCGTGGCAGCCAATGGGGGCGGGCGAGCAGAAGCTCAGTAGGGCACTGCAGACCGCCCCGCGCCGCTCCAGCCTCAGGCAGCACTCCCACCACGGCACCACCTGCAGCACGACAGACACCCCGCCAAAGCCCCGCGTCTGCGCCCCGGCGTCGTCGTCGCTCTCGTTTAGCACCAAGCCTGTGTTGGCATAATGCACTTCGGATGGCCCGGACGGCGCGCTGTCAGCTTACCGTCGGCGCAGGCACACTCATCTCTTTGCTGTCTGCCATGCCTTCCAACGGGCAAATTGGCGGACCAGGCTTGCGCGTTGTAGTCGCTTCCGCCGTGCGTGCGAGACCCGGCCTCGCCCCGTGCGCGGCTGCCCAGTTCCAGTTGCACGGCAATATGTTCGTCAGTTAAAATAGTCCTGCTGCTCCACGGCAAGTGAGCAGTAGGGTGGAGAAGACGCGGCCCTGCTAAAAGCCTGTTTTGCTCTTCCACTGATTGATGAAGTATGCTTCAGGGCCATCGAACGACGCGAGAGGCAGGCAAATCGTGGTGCTACCTACGGACTACACAGACAGATGCAATCGTCGCCTCCTGCCGGCGGATCATGGCGATGAAGCGAGACCTGGATCGGGCCATGGAGGCTTCCGGCGACGGGCCTGTGTTGCCAAACGCGCAGCGGGACATTGCGATGCGCGAGGCACACAGACTGCCGTCTCATCTTCCAGACGTCGAACGGAGGTTGCGTCGTGGAGAGGTGCGGCGGGCCGCGCGAAGATTTTGTGTGCGGCGGCGGCTTACATCAGCGCGCGCTAAGCGGCGCTGGCCGGGGGCTATCAAAATCTCTGCTGCGGCGCCGCCTTCTCCTTTTTTTCCTCATCACACATTCGACCGCCTGCGGGCGGGACGTACACTTAATCAACCGCCGGCGCACACTCCATGAGCTGGTTGGTCATATCGAGGTACCAGACCAATTTGAGGTGGTGCAGGCTCCCATGGCTTCGGTGCAGGCATTATTTCATGTCGCGGGCGCCGAGGCCGCCTGTCTGCCAGACATGCCGCCGCGCGCATTTCTCGCAAATGAAGCGCGCCTGTTCGGCTGCGCGGTGTGTGATGCACGCAGTAGCGCTGGGCTGCCTGCCCGCCCGACCGCCCGCCCGCCTGCTTGGCGCCACAGAGGCGGCTCCCACATACGGCAGCGCAGCGGCCAGAAACTGTCGCAGAGCACGCTGCGGGCGCGGCGGGGAGCGGGCAATCAACGTCAAGCGAGGTCATCGCATTTAAACAAGTACACGGGGACGCCGCGGAATACGCGCGAGCACTGCCCCTGACGCGCCATGTCCTCGCTCCAAACGAGCGCCACTTCTATATGGGCAACGCTATCCGCTGCGGCAGCGATGAGCCGGACCACGCGACTCGTCCGTCAGCCAGCGCCATCCGACTTTATGCGCCTGCTCGCTGGACTCCCCCAGAGCCGTTCTTCTTCCTTTCCCTGCGCTCTCAGCATGCACGCGCTGGCACGCCTTGCCCCTGGGTTTAGCGCGACTTGACGTCTGTTTACCAATCTCGAGGATCGCATCCGTCCCTCCTCCGCGCCTCCTCCGAACAGCCCAACCACCACCCAGCATGTCCTCGGCCCTGAACAAGCGCCAGCAGGCGCGCAACGAGCGCGCGCTTCAGGACCTGATCAAGTCTACCGCGGGCAATGACAGGTGTGCCGACTGCGGAGCTCGGAATCCAGGTGTGTGCCGTGCCCGCCCGCTGCCCTGCTGCCGTGTGCGCCCAATGCTAACTGCTCCCCGCAGGATGGGCAAGTTGGAGTGTGAGTGCCAACCTGTGCGATCGTGTCCCTTCCGCTGCGCGTGTTGTCCGTGACGGGGCCAACCTCAGGCTGGCTGCTGACATTGTTCCGTGACAACAGTTGGGCATCTTTCTCTGCATGCGCTGCGCAACGCTGCATCGCAAGCTTGGGACGCACATTTCCAAGGTCAAATCGTTGAGCATGGACAGCTGGAGTAATGATCAGGTCGATGTGCGTTTCCCGTCTCCCCGACCCGCCCGTGGCAGATGATAATCCTCGACAGAACATGAGGCGCGTGGGAAATGTGGCCTCCAACCGGATATACAACCCAAACAACATAAAGCCGAACATACCAATTGACGTAGACGAAGTCGAGGGCGCGCTGGAGCGTTTCATTCGACAGAAGTACGAGCACAAGGCTTTCTCAGGAGAATCTCGCCCTGGAACCAGGCACAACACAGGCAGTACCAGCTCTGCGGAGGACCGGCCACCACCACTACCGCCGAAGCCTGGCAAGCGCTTTGGATTCGGACTTAGAGCTTCGTCCGCTACTTTCCCGGTGTCGAAGCCTGACTCGAACAGCCCCCCATCGTCGCCGGGCGTCGGCGCCGGCCTCAGCGGATTCGGAGACTCTTCACCACCCAGGGTAAACAAGGCGTCAAGAGTGTTTGGGCACAACGTGCGGAGTGCGTCTGCCGATAGCTTTGAGACAAAGCTCCAGACGTTGAAGGATATGGGCTTTCCGGATGAGAAACGCAACGTGACGGTGCTTAAGGGGCTCAATGGGAACTTGGAGAAATCCGTGGAGACTCTGATCAGGTTGGGAGAGGGCAGCAGGAGTATTTCCGGAGCACACACCCCTGTTTCCGCCCATAGCGAAAGTGCAAACGGGCTCTCCATGAGCCGAACCAGACCTTCCGCGCCTCCTCCAACTGCTCCGGCAGGGATTCAGTCAACGAATCCTTTCGACCGGTTGGACGCTCCTCAGCCAACGATCCACCAGCAATTCCAACCCTTGCAGACCCAGCCAACCGGCGCATCGTTCAATCCTTTCCTTCCTTCGTCTCAACTGTCCCAAGCTCCTGCAACGGCACACCCGGCTTTGGACCAGTCTTTCCAGAACCTCCAGCTTTCTCAACCACAGCAGCCGCAACAGCTCTTTCCAAACCACACGGGAGGTCACGGTACGCAAAATCAGCAACAGGGATACAATCCGTTCTTGCAAACATTTACCCCTCCGCCGGTGCCCCAAATACCACCTCAATTCACCGGTGCTCAACAGGGCCTGGCTTCTTATGGTCAACAAGGAGGGTTTCAGTCCTCTCAGGGAGGCAATCCGTTCTTAAAGACCTCACGTTCCCAAATCTTCACCAGCAGCAATCCTTTTAATTCTCAGGTATCATCTCTCTCGGCCTTCGCTCAGCCGTTACAACAGCAGCAGCACCAGCAACAGCAACAGCACCAGCAACAGCACCAGCACCAGCAGCACCAGCAACAGCAACAGCAGCAACAGCAACAGCACCAGCAACAGCAGCAGCACCAGCAGCACCAGCACCAGCAACAGCAGCACCAGCAACAGCAGCACCAGCAACAGCAGCACCAGCAATGGCAGGCTGCCACCAATGTGCAGGGGTCTTTCCATCCACAGCCGGCGCAACAAACAGCGCAATTTGGGTATGGGCAGCAACAAGCCCCGAACACAGGGTATCAGCAACCGCAGGACCGATTTCAGGCACAAAACGCATACCAGCAATTCCAGCAACAGCCAAATCATTTTGCCAACCCTTACCAACCGCAACCGCAGCTTCCAGTCCGTCAAGACAAAAGTTCGATATTAGCCCTGTACAGCCAACCTCAGATGGCCCCCGCGCCACTTCCTGGAACCACGGCGTTTGGTACGGCCGAAGGCGCGCCAGTCAACGGACAAAGTGCGGCCGCGCCCGGCACGTCGAACACAGCCGGAGACATGGCAGGCCAGACAGGCAGCACAAATCCGTTCTCGAACGCACCTGGTCAGCCAGCGGCAAGCGCCAACGGAGGGGGGGCACGCCATGTCAGCCAAGAGAGTGTTGATTTTTCCGGTATGATGGGGGGAAGGCAAAGTCCAGACGCATTTGCAGGGTTAAGCGCCCGTTTTGGGCGATGAGTCCAGTGGCTAAAGCTATGCTGGACCTGTGCGACGATCGGTGCGCCTCGGACTCTTTCTTCATCTTTGGCAGCTGGGTTTGCATCAATGTAGGGTGTAGTATATTGGAAAATCTGTCGCGGGTTGAATCGGCCGGGAGCCAGGCAGCTGCACCGCGGATCGGTGGGGCGGCGGATGGGCACAGGATGCGGGCCTGCAGAGTTGGATGCCGGTTTCAGTGTAAAGGTCTGCACAGGAAATAGCTGTACAGTTAAGCAGAGGTAATAATGGAAAGAGCAAACAAGCCACGACGATGCAGAGCCGCGTCCGGTATCAGCACAGGCAGAGGCCGCTGGGTTCATTTCCGCATGCGCGGCAAGGGAGAAGGAGGCTCGTGGAAGGCGCAACCACGAAGGCCAAGAAGGCCAGGAAGGCCATGGCCGCCGAGCCGAGCCGCTGCCCATCAGGTCAGGTGGTTGGCGCTTCGAGGGCACGTCGGGCTTCGCGTGGTGGCTCGGAGGTTGGCCAGCAGCGGCGGCGGGCGAATCAGAGCGCGAAGCGGCGCTGGGCCACTTCCCCGCGCGCTTAGAGGCCAGGCCTGTGACGTCTGGGCGCAGGCGCATCACAGCCTTCGGGCAGCTCCATTGGGCGCGTAAACTCGATATCACGCGCCTGGACTGCCAAAGTACACGCTGCGTCCACGCCGACGTTGCCGCTGCGCGCTGCCTCCGCCGCGATATCCTCTGCGCCTGCCGCAGCTGCCCACACACCCCTCCTGCACAGCCCGTCGTTGTCGTCGCGCCTCTCCCCGCCAACTTTTCTGCACGCCACAGCCATGGACGGCTCGCGGCGCCACGGCCGCCCAGAGGAGGAACTCTTCCTGGGCCCCTCGAGCAATGGCTCTCAAACGCCTACCGTCGGCCCGCTGCGTATCAGCAAGCGCGACAACGCTGCCTCGCCTCCGCCACGCGCAGGCTCCGCGGCCAGCATGAACGAAGGCCTCGCGCGCCCACCACCGGTACCCAACTTCCCTGCCCCAGCATCCACGCCTCCCACCGGCCCGCTGCCCTATCCCGACGACGATCCGCGTCCACAGCCCGGTGCTGGCCGTCGCGTCTACACGCCGCTCTCGGAGCGCGAGAGAGCGTCCAGGAACAACACGCCTGAGCAAGATGGGTACCGGCACCCGTCCGGTGGCTCCCCGCGTGCGCGGTTCGACGCAAGTGACCCTCACAGGCCCACCGTCTCGGGCTATGCCTACGCGCCGTACGTTGCGGAAGAAGGCCGCTCAGGTTCTTCTCAGGGGAGGCCTGCGGATAGGCGGCAAGGCACGCCGAAGCCACTCCCTGCTTCACCGGGCCCTGAGACTCCAGACAAGGAGGACCTGTTCCAGAAAAACCCCCAGCGCACTGGGTCGCAGCCTGCCCAAGCAGGGGCGAATCCTTATCCAGAGTACCACCAGCAATACTGGCCACCTCCGCCAACAACGTCCTCGCCGCCTCAAAACCAAGCTCTGAGAATCCCCAATCCCGCAGGCGTGAACCGTCTCAGCTCCACCGCATCCACGTCTACAACAAGAGCCCAGCGCGGCTCTCCGCCTCCGCCAGAAACACCTGCCATCGATCATGCGCCAGGCGGAGGGATAGAGGCACGTTATGCGGCAGCCGGAATTGCTGGGCCTTCGACGCTCAGCAGCATACAAGGTCAGAATGCCGCAGCCAACCAACGCCTTCAACAATACGGCGGGCAGCCACCACAGGCAAGCCCTCAACCTCAGCAAGCCCAGCAGCCGGCCCAGCGACCGTGGACTCCAACGGAACAGCCCGGTTCACAGCCTCATGGCCCTCCGACAGTATACCAAGGCCTTTCTGAGGTGAGGCCACCAGTTTCCTCCACTCCTCCAGCCGGGCACCCTGCCGTAGCATCCCCCGCACCTTCGTCCGCCGCGCAAGCTCCAGCCCAACAGGCCGTTGCACCTGGAGCAGCCGCCACGAACATTGGGCTTCGGCCTGGCGAGCAAACGCTAGAGTCGGATTTCCAGCGAATGAACGTCACCGAAGAGCCCCCACCCGCGTACTCAAGCGTGCAGCCTCAGACACCTCAAGGCTATCCGAACGAAAAGCGGCCCGCTCCTGCGAATCAACAAGCTCCTGCGCAAGTGAGCGCTGGAGGAGCGGCCACTGATCTGAATCTACAAGGACACCCCGCCTTCGCGAACCAGCAAGGCCTCCAGCCAGGAGCTGGGGCTCAGCCAGCCTCACAGCCCCCCGTGCAAATGCAGCCGCAACCAGTACAGAGTGCTGGGCCAAGCAATCTGGCACCCCTTCAGATCCACCCTTATCAACAGAACAGTTCGCCTGGACCCGGCCCAGGCCCGGCGTCGCCTCCTCCTCTTCCAGAAGGATGGATTGCACACCTGGATCCCAACTCTGGCCACTACTACTATATCCATCTTCCGACTCAATCTACCCAATGGGAGTTTCCCAAGGGCCCGACTCCTCTCAATCTCAGCGAGCCTCTGTCTCCCACGGGGACTTTTGTGAACCCTCTCACCTCGCCAGGTTTGGGGTCTTTCTCGGGAAAGCCGATGGCATCGCCTGGGTTCCCACCACAACAAGCAACGTTCCACGAGAGCATGCCTGGAATGGCAGGCTTGGCAAGCCCCACGGCTGCTGGCTTCACTGGTCCGCCCCCACAAGCCGGAGTAGACATGTACAAGATCCAACCCACAAACGGTGTCTATTTCGGACCGTACCTGCGCTACACCAACATGGACATCGAACGCGGTATCTGGCTTGGTTCTATTCTGTTAGTCACAGATGCGCCTCAACCTCCCACTATCCACATCCATCAAAGTGTGGATCTCTCCCCCAATCCGCGACAGTTGAAACCCAATCCCATCTACAGTCATCAGAGATGGGTTTTCTACAGGTACGATGTGGATCTCAAAATGGAGGAAGGCCATGCTGCCAAGTGGACGTATGCTGTGACTTCCCATTTGGGATGCACACGTTATGAATTCCTCGTTGCAGGCCGTAATGAGACGAGCTGGCGGTTCATCGCACATTCAGGCAACGATTTCGCACTCAATGTCGGTGCCAATGAGCGCCAGAAGCTCGGTGGTGTTGGCTACATGTGGAAAGACATCTTGCAGAAACACATTGAATGTGGGGGGTTCCACGTCCAGCTCGGCCTGGGCGACCAGATCTATGCGGATCGTATCTGGAAGGAAATCCCTCTGCTGAAGCAGTGGACGTCTATGAGCGGCAAGGAGAACCGCAAGAATGCACAGTGGACGGCGAAGCATGAAGAAGACGTGACGCATGCCTACTTCCACTACTACACAAGCCATTTCGATCAGCCACATCTTCGCGAAGCATTCGCGCAGATCCCGCACATCCTTGCTCTGGATGATCACGACATGTAAGTTGGTACCTGCTTCTTGCAGCCTTGGACCAGAGGTGCTGATGATGCGCAACAGCTTCGATGGCTGGGGGTCCTATCCCGAGTACATGCAGTTCTCTAACATGTTCAAGAACATCGGGAGGATTGGCATTGAGATGTACCTCTTGTTCCAGCACCACACGACTTTGGAGATCCTTCGCAACGTAAACAACGACCAGGACCTTTTCACAATCACTGGAACAGGCTGGCACTTCGTGAAGTATTTGGGGCCGTCGGTCGTGGTTGTGGGCCCAGACACCCGATCTGAGAGAAACCCGCATCAGGTTATGGCTGGCCCGACGTATCAAGGCCTCTTCCCCAAAGTAGCACTGTTGCCTCCAAGTGTTCAACATTGCATCTGGATGATTCCTGTGCCCCTGGTCTACCCGCGACTGGAATCGGTCGAGCACCTGGCCAGCACCATGGCCACCGGCAAGAAGGCCGTTACCGGCACTTTCAACATGCTTGGCAAGGTCACAAGCTCCGTCGCCGGCGTCGTCGGCGCCAAAGGGGTTGTTGGCGACGGTTTCAACTCGGTCAAGAAAGCCGTTGGCAAGTCTGGCTTGATGAGCGGCATCCTGAGTCCCTTTGGAGAGATCGACGTACTGGACGAACTCAGGGATCAATGGACCCACGAATCCAAGGTGGGTTATTCTGTCGTCGGCTCTTGCGCGCACGTGCTAACAGGCCATTTTCCAGGATCTTGAGCGGACCTACTTGATTCGCACACTCCAAGGCATCTCTCACAATAAATCTCTTCGGATGTCGTTCCTATCTGGGGACGTCAGTTGTTGCGGCGCGGGCCTCGTACACGATCCGTCTCGTCTTCAAGACCACAAGACAATGTATCAGATCATTTCCTCCAGCGTGGTCAACAGCCCCCCTTCTTCCTACGTGTTGCGGATGCTCCACAACAACAAACCTCTCTGGGTCCCTGCCAACGGCCACCGATCGACCCATAGTCCCTCCGACACCAAGGAAGAGATGATGGAGATTTTCACGCAGGATGTGAACGGCCAACCCCGAGAGCTGAAGCGATTGATGGGTCGTCGAAACTACGTGGCCTGTGTCATTTACGATCCAGAGATTGTGAATGGGACGTTCGGCCAGGCAGTCCCAGGTCAGGGCGGAGGCAAGCTGAGCATTGCGGTAGACTTCATGGTCCAGAATGAGAACCTGTACGGAGCGCCCATGAAATACGGACCGGTGATCATCCCAAGCCTGGAGTACGGCAGGTAGAGGGCGGGATCCCGGCGCTTGCTCAATTCAGGGCTGGAAGAAAGGCCATGCTGGGATAACGACGAGACGAAGCGGCGATACCACCTCTTTTTTCTTTTTCTTTTTTTGATCCCTTTTTCTCTCTGTAACCCTTTCTCTTGCCTTTCTTCCCGTTGAGCCCACATTAGCGTGCATTCGAGGTCTTGATTGGTACACATTAGCAGGTTGTGGAGACGGGGCGGCAAGCGAGTATCGTAGACGGCGTGCGAAAGGAGAAAGGCGGTTGGCATGATGGTGTTTCGGCCGCCCGTAGGCAGCGTCCTTACTAGATAGGTCTTATGAAAGCCATGACCAAGGTGGGACTCCAATTTTTCCAGCGCCCGAGACGAGCCCCTGAACGCGAGGGAAGCCCCCGCCCGCCCCCTTGTCGGCGGAAGGCCCTTCGTTGACGTGGTCGGCGGAGCAACTGGCGGGGCACGTGGCGCGCGCTCCGGGAATCCCAGCGAACTCGGCGCCGTGGGGGACATTGGCAGACATCACACCCCCATCGCTTTCTCGTTCCCCTCTGCGATGCAGGTCGGACCGGCCTCTACGGTGCCTGATATCCCCACGTCGATCCATTCTTTGCGTTCAAGCTGAAGGCAGTCCGCGACATCAAGCCGGAGGAGCTCCTGCGCGTCCCGTCCTCTTTCTTTGCCCCGCCCGCCATGGCAACGCGCAGCGCATCCGCGTCGAAAATCCCGCGCCTGCTGCGCTCAAGCATCTGGCAGAGCTCAATGCCGCGAGGCCAGGTGCGAGGGTCTCCAGCTTCTCCCGCGCTTGTCCCACAGTCGCGCAAATGCAGCTCCGCCGCCTGGGCTGGCCACCTGCACCACGGATACCGGGGACGCACGCTCCGTCTGAGTTGCGCCACGCTGCGTCAAGCACGAGGGGGCCGGGAGTGGCTCTCCACAACACCGCGGCGGGCGTTTTCGGCGACAGCTGCTCTGCCCAAGGATCACCACTTCGACACGCTCAAGTTCGTGCAACGGCTGAAGGACGAGGGCCTGACGGAGGAACAGGCGGTGGCCATGATGAAAGTCCTGAGCGACGTGATTGAGGAGAGGTGCGTCGACGGCAAGCCCATGCGAGGGCCGCCAACTTCTTGCCTTGGTGCCAGTGCCCGCTGACAAACGGCACGCGTAGCATACAAAATCTTACGCGGACCATGGTGCTCCGCGAGGACCAGGAGCGGGCCACATACACGCAGAAAGTCGACTTTGCGAAGTTGCGTTCCGAGCTGTTGACGGCCGACTCGACCGAGATGTCCTTGACGCGCGCGTCGCACGAACGACTCACCAACGAGATTGCCAAGCTGAACAGCAGGTTGCGGGACGAGATACAACGCACGCAAGCCAGTGTCCGATTGGACCTGAACCTCGAGAAAGGCCGCATCAGGGAGGAGGCCAACGTGCAGGAACTCAAGCTCAAGGAGACCGAGACCAGGATCGAGCAGGAGACGGCGGTGCTCAGGGAGAAGCTCGAAGCCGTCAAGTTCACGACTTTGCAGTGGTTGATGTGAGTCTTGCGCCTGCCACATGCTTGCGCTGGGAGTTTCCCACGGCTAACACATGGACAGGGGCGTGTGCACGGGTACGGCAGCGTTGATTCTCGGTGCCTGGAGATTGCTCATGTGAGAGCCTCTCCAGCGATGCTTTGCGGGGCTGGCGGGCACAGCATGCCGGTGCTCCGCCCTAGAGACGCTCTACCTATGCTCCGGGAAATTGCGGGCCTGCAGCGAGCAGGCGTGCTTCTCCAAGAGAAGCGCCCGCCCGGGGCCGAGTCATGGCGAACACGCACAGGTGTGGAGGGCGAAGAGGACGACGGCGCGGACGAAAGCGGAGTCTGGGAGTGGTGCAAAGGCCAGCGCTTCGGACCGCGCCAGGCAATTTCTTCTAGAAACGCTATATTGAAGATCTCCCGCACACCGAGGCGGTGGGATGCCGGCCAGGAGGGCGGCTGGAGGCGCGGCGAACACATGTAGCGTAGAGCAGCACGCGATGGCGCAGGGCGGAAATAGAAGACGGGGCGCCGCGGGTGCCGGCGCCAGCCTCAGCGCTTGCAAGTCACTCAGGGTCATGCCGGACCGCCCTGGCAGGGCCGGATCGCTGGCAGGCAGATCTCGCGGACGCTGCTGGAGCACGGCCGAGAGTGCTGCCGGGGCAGCCAGGAGAAGGCCCAAGGCGAGCAAAACAATGGGCGCGAGTGCGTCTCCTGGAGATCGTCGCGCGACACAGCCAGGAGCCGGATCACGGGGCCTGACCCTGCGCGGGCGCTGATTGGTGGCCGCGGGCTCTGCATGCGAGAGAAAAAAAAAGAGAAGACAAACAGGCGGGCCAGCGCGGCGACGGCTGCCTGGCGAAGCGGCTGCGCGGCGGCGGGACATTTTTTTTTTCTCTAGCGGTCGCATGTGCAGGTGGGCGCGTGGAGTGGGTGCGTGTGCCAGCCAGATCTTGCTGGGCCGGGCGTGGGCAGTAGCCTCCTGCGCAGAGGCGCTCGCTGCTGCGCGGGGCATTTGGAAAACGCTTGGCAAGCACTTAATCCACCGGCCCTCGTCCCGTCACTCTCTCCCCAACACCATATCGCAAACCTACACAGCCCTTCTCCCTCCTCCATCCCACCCCCAGCGTCTCCCACTGCCCGCACCACACGCCCGTCCACCGTCGAAATGGCCAACGAAGTAAGTCAGCCCCGGGCCCGCTCTCGCCGCCCCCTAATCGCGAGACCGCCGCCCGCCCCCTCTGCTGCCGTCACCTTGGCCGCCGTGAGAAGAGCCTGTGCTAACCCGCCGCCCCCGTCCAGCGTGAGAGGTACGCCGCCGCCGCGCCCGCTGGCCGCAAAGGCTTCATTCTGACCCCGCTGCAGCAAAACTTTCCTCGCCCGCCTGTGCGAGCAGGCTGAGCGCTACGATGGTACGTCACGCCGTCCCCTCCTGGCCTGCCGCTGGTCGCTGACGCTGTTGCCACATAGAGATGGTCACGTACATGAAGGTCAGTTCCCATGAGCATTGAAACTGAGTGAGCTGAGCGGCTGACGCAGACAACAGGAAGTTGCAAAGGTACGCCCTCCATCGCCGCGCTGGCAAAGGTCATTGAGGAAAACACGTGGTTAACGCAGCAGCTGTCGCAGCTCGGCGGTGAGCTCACCGTGGATGAGCGCAACCTTCTGTCCGTCGCCTACAAGAACGTCGTCGGTACCCGCCGTGCGTCGTGGCGCATAATCTCGTCGATCGAGCAGAAGGAGGAGTCGAAGGGCTCCGACAAGCACGTCGGCACCATCCGCGACTACCGCCAGAAGATTGAGACCGAGCTCGAGAAGGTCTGCCAGGACGTGCTCGACGTGCTCGATGACTCCCTGATCCCCAAGGCCGAGTCCGGCGAGTCCAAGGTCTTCTACCACAAGATGTACGTCACCCGCCGCGCCCGGGCGCGCGTCTGCGCGCCGCTGCAGCCCGGCGCCCCGGCCGCCATTGAGGCAGTCTGCTGATTCGTCCGGCTCAACAGGAAGGGTGACTACCACCGCTACCTCGCCGAGTTCGCTTCGGGCGAGAAGCGCAAGGTTGCCGCCACGGCCGCGCACGAGGCCTACAAGGTTTGTCCGCTCCGTGCCGTCGCCATCGAAACGGGCCACAGCTGATTGAAAATTGCAGACGGCCACGGACGTTGCCCAGACGGAGCTCACGCCCACGCACCCCATCCGCCTTGGTCTTGCGCTCAACTTCTCCGTCTTCTACTACGAGATCCTCAACTCACCCGACCGTGCGTGCCACCTGGCCAAGCAGGCTTTCGATGACGCCATTGCCGAGCTCGACTCGTTGTCCGAGGAGTCTTACCGCGACAGCACCCTCATCATGCAGCTCCTCCGCGACAACCTCACCCTCTGGACCTCGTCGGACGGCAACGAGCCCGAGCCTGCGTCCGAGGCGCCCAAGGCCGACGACAAGCCGGCTGAAGAGGCACCCAAGGCGGCTGAGCCGGCCGAGGAGGCTGCTCCTGCGTCTTAAGCGGGGGGCGAATCCGGTGCGCGCAACAAGGCATCTGGTACTTCTGCCGCGGCCTGATCTCCACCGCTCATCTTGCAAGACGCGGTCTTTGTTCGAGGGAACTGGAGCAAACGGGTCGGGGGCAGCAAGGGTGGCGTCTAGTTGTCTGAGGATCGAATCATCATGGAAAGCGAAGAGTTACGTGCTTGGTTCGGCTTCGGAACGGTGATCCTTTGATTGTCTTGTTTTCCCTTTTCCCTTTTCCATGCCTCTGCTCTCTTTGAATCATCCTCCGAGTACACTAGCGATGCGTGATTCCTTAGGGATGGTGTATCCCCGATTACCAATGATATCGACACGTCTCCTCAGGTCACTCATGCCATGTGGTGAGAATAGGGGTCGACGCTCAGACCCGAAGAGTTAGATGATGGGCGAGGCGCCTTCTCCGCACCGATGACGGCACCGCCCCGGGCTCGTGTACTGTGCAGGCAGCGCACTCGCATGGCGAGACGGGTCATGTGTGCACCGGAGGACGCGCTCCCTCGCGCAAGCAGCTCGCAACAACGGCCGTACGTGGCGTGCTTTCATTCATGGATACGGCGCCGGCGCGCGAGGAGGGCGGTGCTTCGCAAGCGCGGACAGGCGCGGGCGTGCAGGACGTGGGCGTCCTATCGGAGCGGCGTGGGCATGTGTCGGGCGTGTGGTGCAGCAGCGTTCGTTGTGCGGGCTGGCCGCGTGCCGCCAGCCGCAATCGCGGCGTTTGCTGCTGGCCAACGCCGACCGCTAAACCTCTTCGGGGCAGCAGCTCTGGAAATTTTGGATCGCAGTTGGCCCTCTGTGCCTCGGACACCCCCAGAGCACGCAGCAGCCATGGCAAACGAGCCGGCCCAGGTGCGCATCCAGCTCACCACCCGCCATGCGGACATCGCCATCCCCCAGAACCCCGGCGAGCTTCTGGTCTCGACCTGTGAGCCCCAGCCCTGCCCGCGCCGCAAACCCCGCTGACCTTTCCGCGCGCCAGCCCTCCGCCGCTATGCCCTCTCGACCCTCGTGAACGACCTGCTCGACACGCCGCGGCCCGTTCCCTTTGAGTTCCTCGTCAACGGTCAATTCCTGCGCGCCTCGATAGACGACTTCCTGACTGCGAACGGCATCTCCGCCGAGGCCACTCTCACCGTCGAGTACGTGCGCGCTCTGGTGCCACCGGTGCATGTCGCCTCCTTGGAGCACGACGACTGGGTCTCTGACGTGGATGTTCTGTCGAGGCATTCGCATGCCGCGCAGTGGAGCAACCGGACGGTGCCCGAGGGCCAGGAAAGAATACTGTCGGCCTGCTACGACGGCCTGCTGCGCGTTTGGAATCCTTCAACCTCGCAAGTCGTAGCCACCTCGCCAGCGGCGGGCGGTCACACCTCCTATGCCACCTCTGCGAAGTTCCTTTCCTCCACAAGCCTCGTCTCAGCAGGCGCTGACCGAACACTGCGCGTTTGGAAATACAGCGAAGCCCCGGGCGATTCTCTAGCCTCCTCGTCTTTGACCCCGACTCTAGAGCTGTACGGCCACAAGGCCAGCGTCGACAGCGTTGCTGTCCACGCGCCCTCTTCCCGCATCCTTTCTGCTTCCGCCGATGGCAGTGCGGGCGTCTGGAGCACAACACCCGCCGACGCTCCCGCTGCTCCTACGAATCTGCTGCCCAACGCCTCGACCCATTCCAGCAAACGCCGTAAAGTGGCTTCGAAAGAGTCGCAACAAGCACCCGGCAAGCCTGCCGCTCAACGTGGCCCTCTTCAGATGCTCAATGGACACACCGCCCCCGTCTCTGCTGCCATCTTCGCGCCCACCGATCCGACTGTCGCATACACAACCTCTTGGGACCACACTCTGCGCACCTGGGACCTGCCCACCGGAACATCCGTCGACACCCGCACGACTGCGCAGTCTCTGCTCAGCTTGTGCGCTCTTCCTGAGCTGCGCTTGCTGGCAGCTGGGACCAGCGCGCGCCACATCACCCTCTTTGATCCGCGTGTTGATGCCCGTTCTGTCGCAGTATTGACACTTCGTGGTCACTCCAATGCCGTGGTCGCGCTATCTCCGCGACCCGGAGACTCATATGGTCTGGTGAGCGGCAGTCATGATGGGACATGCAGGATATGGGATGTGAGAAGTGTAAGTGCGGGTGTCAAGACTGATGGTGACGCGGGTGGTGGTCGGATCGGCGAGTCCCTATACCGAATCACACGCGAGAGCGTTGAAGGAGACAGTGAAAGAAGGGCAGGCGGGGATGGCGTCAAGGTGTTTGGCATCGCTTGGAACCAGGACGTAGGTATTGTGAGTGCCGGCGAAGACAAGAGGGTGCAAATCAACCGTGGTGAGGACATAGCCGGCCATGAAGATGCCTAGGCTCAGCTGTAGACTTTGTCGGGAATCGGATGTACATTGACGGCGTTCAAAGAGGCGTGGTCGATATATTTCATTTGTCTTTTTGGGCAACCTAGGTTTCGTGTAGTACGGGGTTCGTTCGTGCCCGTATGTGCAGGGGGGAAAAAAAAATTGGCGCACGTGGCTATCTATGGCGTGCGGAAGTGGTGGTGTGGGTAGCCATTTTGAATGTCTATTTGAAGCGGTTGAGGTATACGTTCAGGTTAAATAACGCTCGAGAAACGGGCCATACCAGGGATAATAGTCCTAAGGGGGGAAGGAGGAGAAAAAAAAAAAGTAATGAAAATAGAAATAAGACGGAAATGCGTATTTTACGGCACCCATCTAGATATAGAGTTGTTGGAGCACGATCAGTCACCAGGATGATCGTTGCAGTACCTTTTGCCAGTCAACTGGCGGAGGGTTGGCCGTATGGCTGTGTGGTATCGGCTGAAACCTAACACTACTAGCACTGTCATCGCAGCATCTACCTATGAAGATTCCGCTGACTAGTAGGTGGGTCAATTTGTTTCATCACCCAGTTTGTCACGGATGTCGACGGGCCGGCTGTTCTGGATAACTGTCCAGTTAACTGTTGAAAAAAATCCTACAACGTTCCCGGAGTGGCCCAGTGTCCCTCTTAGCAAATCACACAGAGCCTAACGAAGACACCAGTCTGTGCAGAGGTTTAGAATCAAGTTGTCCTACATTCTCTCCTACAATACTATCCTCGGGTATAATCTTCTTCGTATCTCCACCTTGCCGAACGTTTGCTATTCGGGTCCTTCCCACATAAAGTTCAACAAGCAGCGGCAGATCCAGACATGGACAGGGTCGTTGGAACCTATCAGTCTGTTTGTAGTGCCCACGACAGAAAAAAGAACCTGTGCCCGGCTAGTGACTTGAGGGGTCCGATGTCATACCCAGGCCCTCTCTGCCTCAGCAGATGGTGTGATCCACGGCCTCCTTCCCCATTGACGCACTCGTCGTAGATTGATGTTCGTTATTGGTTTTCTTGTTATGGAAAGAGAAGACCCTCAAACCAGGTGGCTGGGGAGCAAGAAGTTGGCAATGCCCTCCTTGACGGCGTACTCGTGTTCGCAATTTGCGCACACCAGCTTGCCGGACGCTATCGTGGTCTCGAGAAGCAGGTTATGCAGGTCCTTTAGCATCTGATTCGGCCCCTCCACTCCTTCAGCCGCGTCTGCTGTCGCAATGCCGAGTGCTTCGGGCTCAGGCGCCCTCTCGGGGAGGCTGGGGAGACCGAGCTGCTCGTTCCCGAGGATCAGCACAAGCACCGCAGTATCGTCCGTCGACGGGGAATGTCATGCATACCTCCGAGGCAAGGGTTCGTAGGGCGTCCCACTCCAAGCGTGGTAGGATGTTGCGGATGAAGGGTGGATTAAGATCGGTCTCGACGACTTCGAGCTCGGCGTCGCGCGGGTGGAGGGGGAATGCGGCCGGGCTAGACTTGCAGGCCTTGCGCGCGCAGGTCAGGAAGTTTAGGGTGAGTAGCTTCATGCTGTTTCTAGTTCGTTGCTGGGAAGGCTGCTGAGGGTCCGGCGTGGGAGGTATGCGGGTTATCGTGGGTCTGGAGAGGCAAGGTTGGAGGAGGAGGATTGGAGTGAAGGTGATCGGCGGAGGTGCCTAGGGAAATTTTTGGCCGGCCGCCGCGCCGCGAGTCAGCGCGCGTCGAAAATAAGCTTATCTCCCCACAACGCACTAGGGCTTGCTCGGACGTGCATGCGGCTCGGTCATCCGTAAAAGCATTTTTTTTTTTTTGCATCTGCGGATCCGGCATGATGCTGCCTTCGACCATAAATCATCAACTAGGTGGCTCTTCTCAAGCAAACTCCAAAGATGGTCTTGTTCCACCCGCCACAGCCAAGGGTATTTTCCTCATTTCCCACACCAATACACCAATCCTCAAACGCCAAAGACATGCCCCGCAAAACCATGTAGAATTGGAGGTACCAGCCGGGTCGACCAAATCAATCGAAGTGCATCTCGAGGACGTCCCCATCTTCAAAATCCTCCAGCTCCGCCATTGTGTCGTGTGGATCCAACCGCTCACCATCGAACAGTAGATAAGGCCGCTTGCTAGCAGGAACCTTCAACCTATTGATTGAAGACGTTGCCAGCTTCTCAAATGAGGTTTCCTGCGATGACCGATGAGTACCTTCTCAAATCAACACGGGTTCCGGGCTCAATGGGGCATACCGGACCGCATGTGAACTTGGCATCGCCAAAATCTTTCGTCCTGATTATTATCTTCGTCCGCTTTGGCTCCGGCTCTGCCGCTACTTCAGACTCTGGCTCAGGTTCACGTTGCCGCTGCGCCTCCTTTGCATCCTCGTTGAAAATGTACAACGTCACGGCCTCAACAGTGACCTTGCTGTCGTTTTCGTCCCAGTCGAGACTGTCTTTCATGCGCACGCGGCCGAAAGCATCAGCATACAGGCCCAAGCTCCTGCACGTCGCAACGTCAAAAAGCCTTCGGCCTTTGAACGTGAAGAATATCGAGTCTGTCATCTCCTGGTCGAATCCTTGTCGCTTGCACCAGGCCTGCCTCACCTCTTGTAGACGTTGTGAGAGCTTCCGGGTGACTATGAGCGGTTTAGTGTCGGGGATTCTTGACGTGACGAGTATCTGCACTGGCGGATCCGGCACAGGGGTGAGCTGCGACGTGCCGCAATTCGTCGCCGCTCCTGGGCTCGGCCTACACCGGTTTCCTGGCTCGATGGGAGACGATCCATGTGCCGTATTTCGATGCCGTGCGAGTATTTTCTCGCGCCGTGCCTCCCGTATGATCTCCCGGATTTCGGGGTCGGACTCGTCCATCTCCTCATCGGAGCCCGTCAGAGCAGTGTGGGTGGCTAGCGTAGACGCTGTTCCGGCCGGCAGTGGGGCATCGTCGTCTGAGTCGGTATCGCCAAGGTCAACCACCACAGTCGGACTGGGTTTGGCTTCGCGTGCTCGGGCGACAGCTTCATAGCGCGCCGAGAGGGAGTGAGCGTCAACCTTGGGCGGCCGAGGTGAGGAACACGGTGACAAGGTCTGCTCGGCCGACATGCTACTTCGGTCGGTCAGCGGGTAGTTTCACGGGTGGCTGGCGGTGGGCTTCACCTCTCGCCCGCATCCTCGTCGGGGCGATGCTCATGGTGAGCCGTCCTGCGGCGCTTGCCGTGCCTGGCGGCCTCCTCCAGCTCTCTCTTCCGCGCGCTTTCTTCCTGCTCTTGCAGCTTCTTGGCCCTAACGCGCTCGCGCTCTTCCATGATGGCGGAGAATGTCTGCTTGGAGCCATCGAACATGGCCGTTGGATCGTCATCGTCGGCGGGGTCAGCCTTCTGCTTCCACGAGGGTTTCTTGAAGAAGGATCGCTTCTGCCTTGGTGGCGCAGGGCCGGCGGCCGGGGCACTGTCAGCCATCGCTACGCCGTCGGAGGCTGCACTTGCGAGGGCCGTGAGGGCCGTTGAGGGATGTTGCGAAAGATGATGGTGAGGATGAGGATGCGGCAGAGCTGTCGGCGATTGCGCGCGGCGAAACGCCGATGGCGCGCGCGGTCCCGTGAGCTTCGCGTCTGCCCCGGACCTACCTACATGGACACTTGCCCACCTGCATCATCCCTCCTCACAGACCTTGAACCCCAACGGAACCACCATGGAAAACGGCGCCACCGACGCAAAAGACCCTTCCGGTTTTCTCAGCGAGATCATCGGCGCCCCGGTCACCGTCAAGCTGAACTCTGGCGTCGTCTACAAGGGTATGTCTGCTGGCTCTGGCCCCATTCATCCAGGCTGACGCCACAGGCAGGCGAGCTCCAGTCCGTCGATGGCTACATGAACATCGCTCTGGAGCAGACCAAGGAGTATGTTGACGGCAAGCTGAGGAGGAACTACGGCGACGCCTTTGTAAGAGGCAACAACGGTTCGTTTCGTCGCCATTCTGGACCCCCTGCTTCGCCCATGCTTACCTGGCGCAGTCATGTACATTTCGGCCGATCATTGAGAGGGAGGTCTTGAAGAACGGGTATTGCAAAAAGGAAAGCGGCGCTTCGTCCTCGGAGCTGCACGCCAAGGCACTTTTCGCACACCAGTCAATCGCTCACTCCCGCGGCTGCCCTGTCTCCCGTGCTTCTAGCATGGCGTTTCTCGGACAGCCTGCGCCGGCCTTGTGCTGGTTCGACGGGAAGTAAGAATAGAGCGCGGGGCGAGAGCTTTGGGCTGCTTCTCTCAGACTCTTTCCTGATTGAACCGTGTTCCAGTCGCTTGCGAATCGCCGTTCGCACGCAGGCGCAAGCATAGGAAAGCAGATAATGCCATGCCTTTAGGGTTTCTAGCGATTCATACCATGCATGTTCGTCAGTGTGCTCACCAAGGCTTTGTTCGCTCGGACTAGCCGCTTGCTATATCGCATGCTTGACAGAACGTGGCATTGTCCACAAGGGCGCTGATCTGTAACGGACAGTGATCACTGCGGAAGACGTGCATGAGGGTCTGGTGTCGATCTTAGCAGCATCACGCGCGATTACTCGTCCTATGCTACTTCCCTCCATTCCGCGAGAATCATCAGCCACAGGAAACCGTCGGAGCACCCATGCGCATCGATTCAGCTACCAGGCTCCTCTTCGAGCGACATAGTGGGTGACGAAGGAGTTGGCCTACGGCGATCATTTGTGTGGGCATTGGAAGACGATATCTGGACGTAGATGTAGGTCTAAACAATCTTTCTCCATGGGCACTTGCAGAAGATCTCCGGATACAGATGCGAGTATTCAAACTGTGCAAGTGCATGCAGCTATGGGACTCTACCACCCATGTGGGATAGATGTAAGCGGGTCAATTTCTTTCGTCGCCCGCTGTGGTGATACCGCCAATGCCACAGGTTCCGTCTCAATGCTCTTCGTCCGAGCTGTGTTTGCTCCGTGGAGTAATGCTACTACATGTGCGCCACGCCGCTTGCGCCGGCGGCTGGTTTCATGCTCCCCAGCCTCGAAAGCGATGGCTCAAGTCAAATGCGTACGCTGAGGGGAATAGGAGGGCCATGGTGGATGTTTCGGTTGTTGGAGTATCCAGAGCATGGGGCGGGGAAGGACAGCAAGTAGCCGATGCCGTCGCTATCATTGGTCTCGGATCGTTCGTAGGATGCGGGACATGTTTGTGGTACAACGGCTGAACCCAACGAGCACACCCTTCCAATCCGTCACAGCATGTACGGTGACGGTGAAGGCGACGCCCCTCCCCGCTCCCTAGCACCGATGGACCCAAGGTACCGGCAACCGTTCTCGGCTGCCACGCCGTTTCCAGCGCTTTGGGACTTCACTTCTGTGCCATGTGCTGCTGCCAAGAGCTGGTGCAGAGAGTGTCGCGACATGTCATGTGCTCTGCTCCTCGTTTGGTTACAATACGCTTGTGCGAGCGTCATGAGCAGATGTGCATGATAACCCCTCGTCCTCTACCCCTTGCACTGATAGTCTAGCCATGCTAAAGCCTGCACAAAGCGGGAAACCGCGTCTTGACATAAGGCCAATTGTGCCCGTAGCATGAGGGTCGTGTGATTGATGGTCATGGACAGGTTGCTTGGTAGGCTGTGCCACCGGATCTTTTAGTACTAGAACACCGAGTGAATCTAACGCACGAGCACAAGTCACTGGTGCATGGTCTCGATGGAGGATCGCCCTGTAAACGCGCTGCCGTGCTGCGCAGGGCTGGATCAACACGAGTTGTTCTCCTACCGAACGCCGCAGAGAAAAGGCTACTAGGCGGCTCTTTGGCACAGCATGATGACTTGCAGTAGTCGGCCGAGGCCCCCGACGAATGCGGAGAATCCGGTTCGACATGGAGTCGACGACAGCCGCAACTGCTGCCATTGGCAGTGGGCGTGGCACAGAGAGCATGCTGTAGACCCACACGAGACGTTCTAGTCCCAGGACGGCAGAGCTGAGCAGGGGTTTCCGTGAGCAGTGCGGAAGCTTTTGCCAATGCGTTCAGGAAGACCAGGAGCAAGGCTTCAGACGAGGAGCGTGGGATGGGGTGCAGGATACGCCGGGGGCTGTGGTGTAGTCTGCTTCTACCAGCTGCCACGTCCATGCAAACGCTGGCCCATTCGAGACAAGCCCGCACTGGGAGACAGGACGGTATCACAGAGGCGGGACTCTGGTTCCGTAGAGGGTTGATCAGGTTCTGGCCGGCACTTTTCCACGCTATGGCCTGGGGATCTGCAACCAAGGCCCGAGCCGCATCGTGCAGGTCGGGATGGGAATCCAGCAAGGCAGGCCATGAAGCAGGCGGGCGGGCGGCGAGCGGGCGGCGAGCGGGCGGCGAGCGGTGCCAAGCCAGCGCGGCGTCGACGACGCGGCTTCGAGGATAATACCTACAAGAGGGCGGCGGGAGTGCGCATCAGCGCATCAGCGCATCAGCGCGACAGCAGCCAAACAGCGAGACAGCGGGCGGCGAGAGCGTGGGCGGCGAGACAGCAGGCATGCGGTGAGATGTGGAGAGGGGGCCCGGCACAGGCCGGACGAAAACGGGGGGGCAATGGGAGAGAGGAAAGAGGTTGACAATTTCCGGGGAGGCTCGTCGGGCAGGAGGCTGGGAGGCGCTGGGTGGTGGGCGGGCGGGCGCAAGCGAGCTGTGCGGTGCTGGCGGTGCTGGCGGTGCTGGTTGCGCGCTGTCAGGCGGCCGTTCGCAGAAAAGCGGGCGGTGCTGAATCGCAGCGTGGCCGCACGCCGGCCCCTGGGCGCTCGGGTGCAACGCTGCCCGCTCGCGGCGGCGCTCGTATGCGGCGGCGGGCAGCGAAGTCGGTGGCGCCTGCGGCCGGCTGCAACGCGCGACGAGTGGCCGGGCGGGTGCTTGGATCGACGGCGGCCGCTGCACATCCACCGCTAGGCCGCGATCTGACTTCTAATAATGAACGGCTGAATGATCCCTGGCGCAGGCCGCTTTATGCTCCTCGTTCCCTGGGCTGCTTACCTAGCGCTGCCGGCCTCGTATTAGGGTACATGACGCCGGCGCACTCCTGACCCGGCACTGCGACACCTGCGAGTCCTCTCCAACGCCCTCCGCATCCGTCTGTCGTCGTCTCTCGTTCAGGGCCTGTTGCTCATTCGCCTCCCAGACGCGTCCAGGTAAGCCCCTCGCTGCCCTGCCCGGCGCCAGTTGCCGCACCCCAGCCCACAACAACAGCCCGCCTCACTCGCTCCACCCTCCCGACCAGCACCTCAACACCTGCCCGCGACCCTCTGCCGTTGCCCCAGGCCCCAGCCTGCCAGCGTCGCCCCGTCGCCCCGTCGCCCCGTCGCCCTGTCGCCCGCCTCCCTGACTGCTGCTGTCTCTGCCGGCCGCACCGCCGTCTGAGCCTGTCCCAGCGCCCGGGCCCGCGCCGCACGCCTCCTCTCGTTCCGCTGCACGTTCGCCGCGATTGGGCCGCTGCACCGTGCCGCGAGCCTCTACCTCTCGAATCTCGCTGCTAACCCGCGCCTCGTCCGCAGAACCTCGACGCCATTCGTTTTTCCCGCCAGCAGCAGTCCCTCGCCGCCGCCGCCGAGCCACGTTGGGAAGCTCGCATACGTCACCCTGCTTCCGACATAGATCTCTCTGCCGCTCGATCGATGTGCCTGTGAGCAGTCTGAACGGGTCGCATCTCTTCGGCTGGGGTTCGCTGCCGCTGTTGGCCGGTCCATTCACCCACATAGTACACTCTCGCTCGCATTCACCATGCCGAACTTCATGCCCAAGGCTTTCACGCGCAGAAAATCTTCGGGAAACGCGCTGGAGGATTTTGACAAGCCCGGGGAGCCGTCTTTCCGGGTCATGCCTCGGACAGACCTCCCGAAAACAGCCACAACCGGCGAGCTGAGCTTGGGTGTCAGGCGTGCCTTCAACCCGCGCCCGGTGAGCTCGCCCTTGGGGCACATGCAGCCTGCTCAGCCTGCACAGCACCTGCGGCAGAACTCGTACGACGAGAGCCCGTACGCCGGCCCCGGTAACAGGTAAGCAGTTGCGTCGTTGGTGCTTGCCGCTCTGCCTGACCGTACACTAGGGGAAGCAACGGCAGCAGTGCCGCCAACTCCAGTGCCTCGCGGTTCTACGACACGGGCTCATCTGCGCGTCACAGCTCGACCTCCACCCTGCCCTCTTCCGCCGAGTTCGACAACGACGATCTTTTTACCAAAAAGGTCCCCGTCCCAAGCGAAGCCCGTGACCGCACCTCGTCCTTCACGAGCATAACTGGCCGTTTTGCGTTTCACCGGAAGTCAGGAAAGGTCGCCGGGTCGCCCACTATCAAGAATGATTCGGAGGATGTACACTCTGGTCGGGATCGAGCTATGACCGCAAGCAGTTATGCGAGCACGGCCCATCCTCCTAAGCTCGAGAACTTGCCAGCAACGGATTTTGGCAACGACTTTGGAGATCTTTTCACCAGTTTTGCCTCCCAGCAGCGGAAGAGCGCTATCCTCGAAGAGTCGCCCCTCCCGCTGCCCCCTCCGCTCGCCATGAGATCCGTGAGTGAGACATTGCCTCGTGTTTGGTATTTATTAACTGTTATGATTAGGAGTCCGAGCCCGCGCTACCTCCGCCTCCCAAAACCTTTGCGTCGTCCAGACCCACCCAGCCTCCATCTCCCATCCGCGTTGACAGGACTAAAGACGTCAACGGGTCTCCGTACTCGTGGGACAGCCGCGACTCGAATGATAGGCTGATGGCGTCTCCTGTTGCCGCTCATTCCCCCTACAACGAAAGGGTTCCCCCGGTACCTCGTCACTCCGTCCCACTGTCGGCCAGCCCACCACCGCTTCAGGTCCGCACTCATTCCAACCCGGTCTCGGAGCGTAAGTCTGTCCGCAACGGAGCCATGAAGGCTCCTTCGCTGCCCGTGGAGGATGAAGATGCCAAAATGGTCCGAGAGTCTTTCCGGGCTAGTCGCGATGCCAAGGAGCTGGAGGGGGCCCAGACTCGCCAAAACGGGTCTTCCGAATCCTCCGTGAAAACACCGTCTTTCTCTTCAGCGCACTCGAGCATTCAGTCCCAACACCAAGCGCAGCCTGTCACGGCTGCATCTTCCCCGGACTCGATGGCTGAGGCAACACCCCGTGCCAAGGGTGTCAGCACGGCCAATGAGGAGTCGCGCCCCTTGTTCAGCAAGACGCCCCCCACCCCACTGACGACCAGGCCGGGCGTCCGCTTCGAATCACAGAAGCCTGCGCGCATGACTCAGGCCGAATTCGCTGTTCTACAGCGTCAGCATCAGAAAGACCCCTTGAGTGATGACGAGTCTGACGTGTCTGATGAATACATTGATGACGACCAGGAAGAGGAGGAACGCAAGAAGATCGAGGAGATGCGCAAGATCCGCCATCAGCAGCAAGAGAAAATGAGCGCGCATCGGGAGATGATGAAGAAGACCGTTGGTGGCATGAATCAGTCTCTCGGTGGCCGTCCTGTCAGCATGGAGAGGCCTGGCATGAACAGGGCTAGCATGAGCACGTCGGAGCTTCTCGGAAACCGAGCTTCGTACTTCGATGGCAATGAGGACGAGGATGAGACCGACGACATTCCCCTGGGCATCCTGAAAGAGCACAAATTCCCCAAACTCGGCAACCGCCTGTCGCACCATAGTTCGTTGACGAATCTTCGCTCGGCTTCTGCACAGGGTATGCGCCCCGGCTCAGCTGCTGGCTCCATCATGGGGGGTCCTACGAACCTTCCACCATTTGCGCGTGGCCTTCCAGCGGACCTTCCCTCAGAGCCTTACCTCGGCGCCAACTTGGTCCAGCAGCCTATGCGGGAGTCCATTGGTTACGGGGCCATGGGCCCCGCTTCCGTGTATGAAGGTTCGGCCGGTGGCAACGCGCAGCCTACGTTGGTCAACATGATCGCAGATGCTGAGCAGGCGAAGGAGGCTCGTCGCGGCGGCGCCACGAAAATCTTCGGCACTACCGCCACATACGGACAACGGTTGCCTCAACCAGGACAGATGGGCCAGGGCATGGGCCAGGGCATGGGAATGCTTGGGCTTGGAATGGGTATGCCTCAAGCGCAGCCGCAACAGATGTTCATGCCGCAACAGCAGCAGCAGCAGCAGCTGAGCATGAACATGCAGCAGATGCAGATGCAGCAGATGCAGGCAATGGCTCAGCTTCAACAGCAGATGCAGATGATGCTACAGCAACAGCAAATGGGTATCCACCAGGGTGTGCCGCAGATGGGCATGCAACCCGTGATGCAGCAAGGCATGATGGGCCAAAACAACTTTGGGGCTCTTCTAGGCCAGCGTCCGATGTCCATGGCCAGCGCGCAGGGGCTTGGCCAGCAGCGTACGAGGAGTATGGTAAACCCGCCTTCGATGAGCTTCGGTGGGCTGCAGCAGCAGTTCGGCAGCCATCTAACACCTGGCTACGCGCCGTCTCTTGCGCCATCTGAGCGCAGCAACGTAGGCAAGTCTGCCCGCTACAGGCCCGTTACTCAGCCGATTCATGACGGTAGCTCCACAGTCATGTCTCAGTCGACCGTTCAGCCCGGCCAGCCGGATGCGAACCGCTTGACGATCCGGGTCAAGGCGAAGTCGCCCAAGTCGCAGACAGGCGGAGCGAACGAGGACGACGACGAGGGCTGGGGCTCGCCGAAGAAGAAGTGGTCGGCGAAGAAACGGTCACAGTCGGACAACCAGCTCTCTGACTTCATTCCGGCCTTCGAGTGAGCACCACGGCATAACCCGATTGACGAGACGAAGCCACGACTTTTCCCTCCTTATCCGGTGCACGATTTTCTCACGCTGCGAAAGTTGTTACTTGAGCCACAGTTTGGGCTACTGCGTTTTGAAGCATTGAATTGCGTCTCGTTGTCTCGCATCGCATTGGAGACCCTGATACCACCTCATTTGCGTCTCATTTGCCTTGGCGGTCTCCAAAGTCATCCGCGATCTTCTCTTTCTATTTCGTTTTCACGTTTCGCGTGTTTTCGTCCGTTTTTCTCCCTCGATTCTGCACGGCTGGGTGGCCGATAATCGCGTATTCTGGCATTTTGGGCGGCACACCAAAAACACAAAACAATGTTTCGCGGCACGTCGAGCATTTTCCTAATTTGCATACATTTGCTGGGCTCAGGCAGATGCAAAGTGCGTCTGCGGCATTTCCGAGCGGTAGAAGTCATCTGTTCCGTTCTCAGCTCTGTTGCTCCATTTCTCTTCTTGTATAGACAAGCATTCCGACTTTGGACAGGCGGGGGTTTATAATGGGAGAGGGCAGAGCGGGTAGTCCGGGGCTTTGGAGCATGTGATGGCAGCGGGGGTTCCGGTGTTGGTGGGGTAGGGCGGCGGGGAATCGAACAGGAGTTTTGGCGGGAGCCTTGAGGTGCAAGGCAAGGGGCTGTACGTAATCAGTGGAGTCATCAATGGGAGAAATCGAAGGTTTGGGTTGACAGCAGCATGTGAAGGCGGCGGCGGACGAGGCCAGCAGGTTGCCAGCCACGCCGCCACAGCCGCGAGGGGGTTCTTCATCAAGGAGAAGTCAGGGATGGGCGGGGGCTCAGCTGCTGATGGTCAAACCAGCGCGCCAGGCATTGCTGTTGAGAGAAGGCTGGTCGGAAGCCAGGCTGTCGACGGCGGCGGGCAGCGGAGACGGGGGCAGTGAAGGGAAGGGCAGGGCAGGGCAGGGTAGGGCAGGGCAGGGTAGGCGCGGCTCGCGTGCGATTGGCGGGCGACAGGCGCGAGCTGCACCGCGCGACATGGCAGCAACAGGCGGAGCGTGCACAGGCGGTGGGTGGGGATTGGCTGGAAGGTGCGAAAAATAGCAGTCGAGGGGGGGGAGCAGCACGCGGCCTGTGGTTTGATTGATTGACAGCGCGGCGCAGGCGAAGGCGGAAAAGTGGACTTGGGCCGATAGGCGTACACTATTTCTTGCTTTGCTGCCGTCTCGCACTGATGGGCTGGACGCGTACACTGGACGCCGCGGCGCGCGCTGGGCCATATTTTGCTTCGCCGCGTCCCGTGCGTCGACGCGCCGTCGCTGGCTCCTTTTTTTTTTCCTCCTCAGCTGCGGGTCGCAGGCGGCACGGCATGGGCTGCCTGAGGCAGCGGGCCCGACGCGATCGACAACCTCTTGCGGCAGCCGACGCAACGGTAAACGGCCATGACGATATGCACCGCCTAGCTGGACGTAACGCGCAATCGATGACCCCAGCGTGCAGCTGGCGGGCGGGCATGCGCTGTCGCACGGCTCGAAAGCTGCGGCTCTGCTGCCAATTTGCTGGATACGACGCCGAGTCGATGCACCGCCACCACGTGGGAAAGCGACGCTTCATGTCGCCATCCGCTCTGCACCTTGTCCCACGGCACATCGCTCTATTATTCCGCATCTACACACTACTCCTGTCCTCGCCTCCCGCCTCCTTCCCTCCCGGCTCCCTCCGTGCCCCTCTTGTTCGTATTGTCCTGCTCTCGACGCCCCTTTCGGCCTATACTCGCTTGCCGTGGTCCATACGCAGTGGGCTTGCTCTGTCCCATGACATCAGGCTCGGGGCCGTTTCCCGTTGCTGAATCGGTTCCTCACATCTGGTCTATCCGATCAAGGCATCGTGTAATGGCCTCGAGTGCCTGCGAGACGTTGAATGCCTGCTGCGCATTCGGCGAAAAGTTTGACCCCGAGCTATAGTGCGGCGCCCTTGGAATAGCGACCTCGAGAGGAGGCAGGCCTCGTCGCGAGCGCAGCTCTTGGAAGGTCGAGCTGCACGAAAGCGACACTTCTGTCCGGCTCGATTTCATTGCCACCGCTCGTCTCGTTGATGTTGTCGTCCAGGGCTTCGCGTGAGAGCGTGTTTCATGGCAGCGCGGCCTGCCAAAGGGAAATAGGAATTGCTGTGTTGCGGCTATGGGCCCGACGGACGCTGCAGTCGCTCCCTAATTATTTACTTGGGAGTCTGTTATCTGGCGGCGTCTTCTGACCTAAGCTGATGGGATGAAGCTTACCACGTCGCATCACTGGGTTTGTCCGTGTCAGACACGAAGGCTGCGTCGCGACAAATATAGTCTGTCTCTCAGCTATTTGCTTTGTCTTGCTCGAGACGTCTCTTTATCTCGCTCTCTGTTGCCTTCTGCTTTTCGCTTTGTTACATCGCGTCGCTTCCGCTCGGTGATCGCTGCTGGCCGAGACTCCTGCATTATTGCCGTATCATCATTGTTATTGAATGATCCTATGCGCACGTGATGTTGTTAGGCTATTATCACCGCCACATTCAGAAAGCAACACTACCGTGTTCATGATACAAAAGAATGGTGTGAAGACGAGCTTCTCAAGCTTGACCCCAAACTACACCACATTCAACAGGGGCTGGTGCACAGTAACGCTGCATTGCCGAGAAGATTGGAGCATTGAAAAGATACAAGGGCGTTCTCAAGGAGTGAGTTCTGATTGTCGGTTTCTCCGTTTCGGTATTTCCGTTTCTCGGCGCTGGGGATCAACAGGTATGTACTTTGATCATTTGGAGACTCTGTATTTGAGATCCAATGTCCGACAGAGCTGGGCCTCGCATGCAAACCCCCGAGAGCCCATGCTTCAAGTGTCATCCTAATAGGTAGTCGCTTCGATTACTGACAGCTGTACCAGTCATTGTGTTCCCTCCCACTCGCTCCTTTCTTCGCATTCTGGGGCAACAAAGACTACGATACATCGCCCCGTACGACCGAAGAATCCAGGCGCAAGTGCCATTGTTTCAAGCCAATACAACCCAGCCCAAGAACCGCTCATGTCTTGGGGCAATCGTAGTTCCCGCTCATGCAGAGCCGCGGACGGCTCCCATTCACATGCCGTACTCGAGCGTCTCGATTTCTTCGGCGGTAAGGCTGGGGCTGGCTGCATCATTGGAGCCAACATCGTCCGGAGCTGAGGTGTACAGAGCTAGCGGAGAAGTAGGATGTCCGGCGGCGATGCGGGCTTTGATGGCATTCGCATGATAGTCGTAGTCCTTTCTGTTCCTCCTGGGGCTCCTGCTGGCTTCCGAGAGCTGCTCCCACCGCTTGATGCAGTACAGCAGGCACTTTTCATGACAGCGCAGCTCACACCATCGACACTTGCGCCAGGTGAAGTCGACAGTCCACTCCTTGGCAGGGGGCCCCGCGCGGAGGCGACGTGGTGAGTCAGCGGTGCGAGGCTGGAGCACAGGCGGCACCTTGTTGGAAGCGCCGCAACTGTCACAGTAGAAGCCGTAGGAATGCCGAAGGCGGTCGCGGGCGGCGATTGGGTGGCGGAAGCCGTTGAGTTGGGTCAAGACGTCGGAGCGGATGGGGCAGCTGGCGCACAAGGGGTGAGTGCAAGGGCAGACGACGCTCTTGAGGCTGCGGCGGTCGTCGGTGTCGAGGTGGGACTGGGCTCGACAGAGGCAGCAGGTGACGGCAGTGCGCTTGAGCTTGACGTCGGTGAGATGCTTTTCGTAGGCCTGCCGCTTGGAGTTGAGCAGGTCGCCCAGCAAGGGTGAGCAGCCGGGCATGGTGCGCAGCGTCGAGGGGTTGGCCTAGGCAGACATGGCGGCGGTTGCGGCTGGGGAGTCGACAGCGCCAGCCCACGCGAGGTGAGTGTGGGCATGCTGGTGGTGATGGTGATGTTGGTGCTGGGGCGATCAGTGAGGGCCATGGCCACGGCCGTGTTGGGCAGGGAAGGAAGGAGCGACCGGCACCACGGCTGCGCAACTGCTCAAACACATGGACCTCTGTGGGTGAAACAAAATACTCACACGCAACTAGGTTGTCCAAAGTGGGCGCGGTTGCACGTGACCTGGGTGACGGGTATATCAGAGCGGGCTGCCTGCCCGCCTGCCCGCCTGCCCGCCTGCCGCCATCGCCATCGCCATCTCCCCACCCACAACATGCCGACACCGCTGGACCGCCTTACGCAATCAAGGGTGGGCAGCACCCGCCCAGTTGTTGAGCCCGCCTTCTGACCGCCGTGTGCAGGGTGCTTTCTTCGGTACCGCATCGCCCGCGCCCGCGCCCGCCGCTGCTGCTGTCGCTGCTGACACGTAGCGCCAGCCTTCGCCGGCATCGTGACGGCTGCCACGGCCTGGGTCGTCTGGGGCGGCGACGTCTTCCCCGCCGAGCCCGACCCCGTCGGCGGTGCGTTGCCCGGCACCGCGTTCTGCAGCACGCCTTCTGACCTGTAAAGCAGACCCCGCCGCCTGGACGAGCACCGAGCTGCGCCGATGGCTGAGAAACGTAACCTGCCCCCTCCTCCATGCACGCCCTTCGGACTGACCCGTCGCGCAGCGCAATCTGGTCCCCAGCGAGCTTGCCACAAGGGAGGAGCTGCTGGATCGCGTCCGCGCCAACATGCGCCCTCCTCCCCGCGCCTAGCCTAGATGTACGGAGTAACGCAGCCTGGCCATCTATGTATAGCACTTTCCATATTGGGCTAGTCCAAGTCGGCTGACGTCACGACTGCCCTTCGCGTGGGTGACGAAAGGAATCGGCCCACGGCCCGCTTGCATGGGCAGCGGAATGCTATACCGGACATCTACTCCAGCTACTTACGAGGAAAGGTCGTTCAAAACTACATTCATGTCGGCATGCCTGCTTCACATGGGTCAGTCTCTTTCGTCACCCGCTGTGTGCGCAATGTATGTGTGGAGAGTAGTAGATAGATGGTCGTTCGTGTCTCTAAATCTGAAGGTGGGAGTGGTGCTGATGATGCACCCAAGTCGATGCTCGCTTTTCCCACAAATGCAAGAAACGCCGCCCCCATGCCAGGCCCATACGATGATCCCGTCCCTTTGCCAAACCCAAGCACTGCAAGAAAAGAAAAAGCGGACATGTCTGTTCCCCCGGGTATCATCGTCGAATCCAATCATCGCCGCATGCTCAATGCTTCATGGCCTGGAAGGCTCTCTCGATGCAGCTGTCGCATCCCAACTCGTCGTACTCGGACTTCTCGCACGTGCAAAATACGCCGTTGGCGTGATCCTGCAGGCCAACTGCCTTCTCGCCCGGCGGCGTCTCTAGCGAAAGGTCGGCCACCGACGACGTCTCAGACGTGAGGGCGGAGCTGATGGTCTCCGGGTGCTCGATGGCGCACAGCCCCCTCTCGAAGCACTTGATGCAGCCCACCTCGTCGTAGGTCGGCTCGGAGCAGGTGCACACGATGCCAGTGGGGGTTGTTGTGGCGAGGAGAGGCATGTTGATTGTTGTGGGTTGGTGGTATTCTGTTGTATTTGGTGGTATTTTGTGGTATTTTGTGGGTGGAAATGTGATGTTTGCCGTTGATGCTGGAGACTACGTAGTAGACCTGAGAATAAGACTGGGTTATATAGGTGGTGTAAGACAACACTCTTCTCTTTTGATTGAGCGTCGTGGTGCTATGGCCAGGTCGCACCGGTGGCGAGGCAGCCCGGGAAAATTTTATCACACCACCCGGCCAAGGCCGCAGCTGGGCGGTTTCAGGCGCCAGGGGCGCGCCAGGCCGGCACATCTCCCGTTGGTGGTTCGAGTCTTGAATGACCAGTTGCCTTTGCCCAGTCCTGCGGTGTGCTCTGGCGCGCGTGTGCCCGCCAGCTGGCGAAACAGTTCGGGTGAAGTCGCGACGCCAACCCAACTGCCATCCCGCGCTTCCTTCGCCCTCCGTGCCACGTTCTGTCCGAGTGAATCTAAATTCTCTTATCTAGCGCTGCCGACGTGTCTGGCGCCCCCACTGGAGTACCATGCTTTTCTTGTTCTCCTTTCACCACGCTTCCACGCGTGCATGGCTTCCATCTGCGTCGTCTCCCGCATCGGCCCGGCCTTGACTTGGTTTGCAAGCCTTGCTGTCGACCTTGTCGCATGCCGCTTCACAACCGCCGTGCCCCCCTACCCCCTCCCAAATCAATCGGACCTTCGATGACCAGCCCGGTCTTCACTCCAAGCTGCTGCAAATTCTCCCGGCAACGCATGGCGCGAAGTCTGTTACATTTTCTGCTCCCCGGCGGAGCGGCTAGTTGATTGAAATGTTCACGATTTTGATATCCTCCTCAGGTTTCTCCTTGTACGTCCTGGCATTTTCGATCTTGTGGATGACGTCCAAGCCTGCTATCGCTCGGCCGAAGATGGTGTGCTTGTTGTCAAGCCATGGCTGCAGTACAGTCAGCCTTTGTCAGGTCCGCATCTAGAAAACTCAACCCACCGTTTTCTCGGTCGTGATGAAAAACTGCGAGCCGTTCGTGTTGGGACCAGCATTAGCCATGCTGACCGTGTAAGGCTTGTCGTGCCTGAGCGTGGAGAACTCGTCCTCGAACTCTTTGCCCCAGATGCTCTCTCCGCCAGTGCCGTCGCCGAGAGGATCGCCCGTCTGCGAGATGGTCAGCTTGTGGCAACGAAACGGTGGCCTCGGGGGAGCGCAAACCTGAATCATAAACTTGCGGATCACCCGGTGGAAGATGACGTTGTTGTAGTACCCATTCCGCGAGTGGACAACAAAGTTCTCCACAGCTTTGGGGGCAGCTTCGGGAAAGAGCCGAACGTGGATGTCGCCGTACGTGGTGTGAACGATGGCCGAGGTCCCGGTTTCTGCCGCCTTTTGCTCCTCTTGCTTTCGAGCGTTGACACTGCGCGGCTTCTCGTTCTGTATATCGCGCTCCGACTTGCTGATCCTATAGACGACGTCAGCATCCGCGGCCAACATCGCAACCTCCGACCGGAAACGTACTGCTCGTCGTTCGTGAACATGTAGAACCGCACCTTGCCGAACCCGGTGGCGACGAGCATGGCGTCCCTCTCCTCGGCTTCCTTGATCAGTGGATTCTCACTGGCAGCCATTTCCACAGTAACCACCCCCTTCTTCTCGGGCTGACCTTGGTACAGCGCCAGGTTCAAGGCCCTGAAGGGCTCATCCTTCCCGTACACTTTGACTACGCGGTTGGTGAAGGTATTGATGACCTTGGCTCCCATGATCGAGCCGTACATGATAAAGTGGCCGGTCTCGTCGAAGATGACGTTGATGCGCGACTTCACGGTTGGGTTTTCAAGCTCGCGCTCTACGGCCAGTCGACGGCCGAACTCGACGTCGTCCAGCCTCTGCAAAGCCGTTCCCGCCTGCTGCATTTCCATGATGGTCGCGACAGACTCGTCGTAAGTGCGGTACAACTTGCCGGTGGCGAAGTCGAAGACGCGGGCCTTGCGGTCCGGGAACGAAAACGTTGCAAACTGTGACCCATTGGGAGAGATTGTGATGGAGCTCGGGACAGACTTGGCCTTCTTGAAGTCAAAGAGGTTTGTGGCGCTCTTCATCTGGAAGACATTGTCGGGCTTCTCGAAGCCGCCGCTCGGCCTCCAATACTCAAGCATGCCCCCCTCGTCGGCCGAAACAACGCAGTCGTACTCGTTGTTGTAGGCCATGAGAGACACCGGGCTGCGATGCAGGCTGGCGATGGTGTGCATGGGCTGCTGGTTCTCACCACGCCCGTCGTAGATGCGTATCGACCTGTCCGTCTCGAGCGACACGGCGAGCAGAGGCAGGGAAGCGCCGCGGCCGTGGACCCAGCAGACACACCTCGGAGCAGCGTCGAGGGTCAGCATGGCCAGCAGATCGAAGGTTATGACGTCGAAGATCTTGACGGTGTTGTCGGTACCCGCCGACGCAAAGCTCCTGCCGTCGGCGCTGACGCTGACCGACTTGATCTCGCCATTGTGCGCGCGGAACTCCTTGACGAAGTCCACGCCGTCGCGCGTCTTCTTCCAGAACTTGACCACGCCATCGAGCGACGAGGTGATGAGGAAGTCGGTGTATGGGGTGAGGGTGGTGAAGCAGAGCTGCTCCTTGTGCATCAACGACTTGGAGTAGCGGGCGGAGGCCGGGAGGGCGGCAACGTAGAGCCGCTCGTATGGCAGCCTCCTGCGCTTCTTCTTGGGAACCTGCGAGGGCAGCGCGGGCCCGAAGTCGTCGTCGTCCGAGGAGCTGTCTGCGGGAGAGCGAGGTTAGCGCAAGCCTGGCGGGCCGGGCGGGCTGGGGCTGTGGAGGCTGAGCTGACCGTCGTCGTGCGCACCGCGAGCGGGGCCATTGTCGCCCGTCTCGTCAAGCTTGCGCTTCTTTGCGCCGGGCGAGGGCGAGGGCGGGCCGGCATTCATGGTTGGGGGAGGCGGGCGTGCTGGGGAAAAAGACGGCGGAGCTGCGGTGCCTGGAGCTGCCGCGCGCCAACGCCCGTGGCTTATCTTATCTACTACAACAATACCATCTAGAAGCTGCAAATGCTACTGCTACGCTTGCCACGCTTGCCACGCCTCCTCAGACCTCTTCCTCGGTCCTTTTCGCCGTCTTCGCCTTCTCCAGCTCCGCCCGCACCACCGGGCTCCGCTCACTCTCGATCTCCGGCCCCAGCTTTCCCACAAGCAGCCCCCTTGCAAACCCCCTCTCCGGCAGCTTGGCCAAGGCGTGGATCGCCTGTGCCCGCTTGACGCGCATTGCCTCGCTCAAGCCGTCGTAGCGTGCGTTGAACAGCAAGGCGTCCAGCGCCTCCTTCAACTGCGCCTCGTTGCCTGTTGAGAAGCTGCCCGTTGGCTCTTGCGTGTATACGCGGTCGAAGAGCGATTGCAACGCCTCGAAGACGGCCACGTGGATCGTGTTGGACGGCAGTGTGTTCAGCTTGCGCGCTTGATCGAGGAAGCGCAGCGCTGCGCCCGAAAGCGCCGTGTCCTGCAGCAGCTTTGGGTTGATCGATGCCTGTAGCGCAAAGATGGCCCCCGTCGCCGTGTTGTCTCGCCTGCGAACGTCAGCTTGGTCTCTTGCTCTCTTGCGGAAGCGCCTTGGGGTGGGCGGGCTTACAGCTTCTCGTCTCTTCGCATCGCCTCTCCCGCATCCACGTCCATGGCATCCTCATCGTCGGCCGTCAACTCGCCCACCACCGGGCTGACTATGTCAAACACCGTCTCGCTCCAATCCACCTCTGCCATTACAGCAGCAATCCGTCCCAGCGGCTTGAGGGCGTGCTGCCGGTACGTCTTGTTCTGCCGCTTGGCCTCCCGCACAATCACTTTTCTGATCTGCTCGGCCATGTCTGCCCGGCCTTTCCACCATGCCCCTCCTCTTTCGACGAACCGTGCAAACGCCTGCAAGACTATCTCTTTGCCCTCCCACGACTTACCCCCCAGCGCCTTGTCCAAAGCGGGCCAAATAGTTTCCGCGTTAGACACGCTGATGTCCTCCACCGTAGAAGCCAACGCGTTAGTCGCTTCTGCGACAGCCTTAGCCGCCGTGTGCTTGAGCGTCCAACGGGGGCTATCCAGGTTCCCTTGTGCGATGGCCACAATGTCCTTGACGTAGAGTTGCACTGCAAGGCTCCCTCCGACGTTGTCATCCCACGCTCGTGAGAAGAGTTCACGCACAGCTTCCGAGCTGTCGTGCTTCGCGATGTACGTGAAAGGAAGGAGCTCTGTGCTCAATGCATTGAACTTGTCGGAAGCGTGCTTGGAGACGGCGGCGACAATGTCGCCCGATTCGACTCGGTTTCGCTCATCGTCTGACTCAAAATACAGGCGTTTGCAAAAGGCAATAAGCTCGAGTATCTGTTTCTCAGAGGCAATGCGTGTAACATATCCCGCCGCGGCAGCGTAGGCAGCCGACACAGTCTCGTTGCGGTCGTGTATATGCTTCTCAATCAGCCTCAGGAAACGGTCCGCGTATGGTTTGAACAGGAAACCACGACGCGTAGCCAAGGACACGAGGACCCGAGAAGCGCCGACTTTGGAAGGGAGACCGATGGCCGTTTTCATTGCGCTTTCCAGCCTTGGCTCCAGTGCCTTCATGGACTCGTCGTCCAGGAGGTCGAGACATCGTTCAATTGCCTCCATGAGCGGGCTTCCGCGGACACTTGCTAAGCGCATGTCATCGATCTTCTGCTCCGTCAGGTTGTATTTGGATGCGTTCAGGTGGATGTAGTTCACGGCCTCTGGTTCGACCGAGCTTAGCAAGCCGATAAGTCTCTCGATGAGCTCGGGTATGTACGGCCTGAGGATTTTCGCACTACTCTTCTTGATGATCTCCAAGAGGGTCTTGAGTGCAAAGTACTGGACCTCCTTCGCACTGGATTCCAGCCCCGAGGTAGAAAGGAGAAACGGGAGGACATTTCTAAGCATCGTGTCCGCATTCTTCATGGAGCTGTCACCAGCCTCGAGACTGCGAGTCAGGATGGCGGTGAGTACCCGAGCAAGACCCCCTGCTGCTTGGCGGACTGATTCCTTGATGTCATCCAGTACTTTGAAACACGCCGTCCAAATTCGTCCCAGGTATTGTTCGTACTTCTCTTCGTGAGCCGAGGCATATGACGGAGGGGGTTTCGTCGGATCTTACCTTTTCAATGCTTCTGCCTTGAACGAGGTCGGCTATCGCAGCGCATGCAGCCTGTCTCACACGCCACTCCTTACCAAGGATGTTGAGAAGCAAATCCTCCATGATGGCTTCGAAGTGCTTGTCAAGCGTCGTGGTCGAATCCTTCACGAGCGCATTCCAGATGTCGTTCATCGAGCGTTGGACGTTTGGGTTCGGATCGAATCTACGCGCATTAGTCAGGTCGCGGTCCGGCTTAGTGGGCTCTTACCTGTAGCGGTATAACTTGGGATACAGCTTTGGGTTCTCTGCCAAATAACCGTTGACACTGGAATCGGAAAGAACGTTACTGAGTCCAAATCTACCAAAAGCGGCCCGGCTCGACCAGATGGCATTGTTTGCCGCAAGGGACATGAACCGATAGACCAGACTGGAGTCCCCGACTTCAGAGGCCAAGTTCAAGATATCCTTGTAGGTGGTCACTGAGCCGTCACCTGTTGGAAGTGACCCAGGTTCGAAAAGCTGCGTCTCTTCGGAAACGTTGCCGGAAAGGTTTGGCTTGCTATCGGAGAAAGAGCCGACAAGATCTCGGACCAAGTCATCCTTTAGCTGGCGATCGCCCTTCTCGTAGACCAAGCCCAATCCACGGGATGCTGCTTCTTGCACCACCTCGTCGCGATCCGAGAGGCATCCTTTGAAGGCAAGTTGGCAATCCGCCAACCTGGACTTCACAGCGGGTAGGTGACCAAGGAATTTGACAATGCTCAAAAGCCATATGACGGAGGCCTTCTTCATTGCGGGTTTTGTGTTGCGGCAGTTGGTGAGAACCTTCTCCAGCACGAGGAGCAAAGTCTTTCCTCTCGACGGTGCGGACGGAATGGGGGCATCGATGTCCAACCTGGGTGCCAATATCGTGGCATTCCAACTCCCGGCGAGGCAAGCTACAGCCTCTCCAACAGCAAATTGCGTCTCAGTCTGGCGAATTTCATGCAGCTCGAAGATTTTGTCGCCCACAGAGCTCAGGTTCGCATCTGACTCGTCATCAACGATCATGGCGAGATGGCCCAATGCAAGAATCGCCTTCTCGTTGCCGGTCTTTGCCGTTTCCATGAGCTTGTCTGTGAACAGAGTGAAGTTTATTTTAGCGATATCCGTCATGCGCTCGGCTTTAACAACGAAAAACAAGCTCAGCTCACTGATGGCCAGTGAGGTGGCGTCTCTCAGCGTCTTGTCCGTGGAGCCCCTGAGCACATCCAGAATCAGCTTCAAGAGATGCTGCAGCTTCTCCTCTGAGGCAGATGCACGGCGTTTCCTGGCAGTCAGTCTGCTGAAATAGTAAGCCACTGCGAGAATCGCGCCAGCGGCTTCGTTGACCTGGCTACCGACAGCCTTCTCCCATTGGTCGGCCCTTTGCAAAAGAGAGGACAGGGATTGATCGGCTTCGGAAGCTACGACGGCGCTGTGGGTGGCCAGGAGACCATACGCATGTGCAGCTACTGTTCGCGTTGGCTCGTAGTTAGAGAAAATGCAAGGTTCGATGGCTCTGAACGCCGGTGCAGCCTGAGACATGTCCAGCAGGTCGTCCGGGCTAAGCGAGCAAAGCTGGACGAACCTCTCGCCCAAATCATCAAGGGAGGAGTCGCCTTCCCACAAAAGGCCCTCTAGGGCCGCACGCATGAGAGCCAGGACTGAATGCAGGATTGCTCCTTGATCCGATGCTGCTCGCTTGAGATATGATTTGACGGCATTGCGAGAGTCGGCGTCTGTTGATATCGCCGTGTCAAGCTTTCTTGCCCAATCGACGTCAACGGCTATGGCCATGCCGTGCGTCCTGAGTGCCTCATCCATCAGAATCTGATGAACAAATCTGACGGTAGGAGCGAAAGCATGGGGGAAATAGCGTTTGAAATGACGGACCTGGTCATTCGGGCGCCACGCGTTTCTAGTGGCCGCCGAAACCTCGGGCAGTGAAAGAACGTAGATGGACAGCTCTGCAAAGTCGGGGAAGGGTAGGTGAGAGTCTTCGCTTCCTCCCGCACCGACGCCGCTCTGGGATGCATGAAGAAGTCGAGACCAGTGTGGATCAAGGCCTCGGCTTCCTTCTTCGCGGACCTCCTGGCTTTCTGACGCAGGGCCGCTGATGGCAAGGATATCAATCCAGCGCGCAACGACGTCTTTGTAGGGAAGGCATCTGTTTGCAAATCGCACGGCAGCGTAGCGCGTGCTTCGGCGGAACGTCGAAGGGCTGGAGTCCGCATCCTCTTCGGCCGACATTTGATAGAGTAGGAGGTCTCTGAGACTCCTTTGGACGTCGACATTCGAGGATGTGGCAAGGGCACCCAGCACGCTCGAGAGAGCCTCGTCGATGCTGACACCGGTGTCGCGTCCAGACGTATCATCGCTCAAGGATCTGAACAGCCACCGGAGCAGATTGAGGCTGGGTTCAAGGAGTACCTCTTCTGGAGCCGCCTTGGCCAAGAGGCCAATAACCTCATAGACGTACCCGCGCAAGGCGATGTCTTCGTCGGGATTGGGCTTTGGCCATCCCTGATCTTCAACGAAAGCTCTGAGCCGCTGCACTAGAGTGGGCCCAACCGCATGGAGGTCGGCAGCAGACCCACAGCGTGCCATGAAGTTGACGAAGGCGAATATCGCGGCGCGGAGCTTGGTGGCTTCGCGTCCCCGAGCGCTACTACCACCCGTTGACCCGTCGTCCACGGCACCGTAGGTAAGCCCCTCTTCAACCAGCCGGGTGACTTTGGACGTGAAAGAAGTTGCCGCGATAGATTTAGCAAAATAAGAGAGTATCTTTATTTTCAGCGCTGGTCGAGCCGGTGCTTGACCGGCGGCAGTGCCAAAGTAAACGTCATACAAGCTACCGATGACGCACGGATCCTCCAGATCGGTGTTGGGCAAAGTGCGCTTGAGAATGTCGTCGCCAATCTCGGAGATGCGCGAGTTTGCGTCCGCCGACGCGTACACTGCAGGGAGAAAGCGCTCGTCGTCTGTAAACATGCCACTGACCAGGAACCTTGAAGCCGTGATCTTGGCTTCCGCGAGATTCATGCCGCCGTCTGCCGTGGGGTTCCAAACGCCCGGCTTGCCTTGCAATGTCAGGAACTGATACTCGCCGGGAGACAGGCCCGGGCACGCGACATCAGCGGCGTCTGGGCTGGCCCGGACGGCGGTGAACAAGATCAGCTTGCCAAACCAAAACGACAAGAACTTGGCATCTTCCTTGCCGACGTTGAGCTTCTCGCGCAGCTGCTCATCGTCCTTGGACCCACGCGACGGCAGCCGAAAGAGCGCCAGGAGGCGCAGCAGGAGGTTGAACAGCTGCGAGCCATGGGGGACCGACTTGGCCGTGTCTGCAGCAATGCCGTTGATGAGGAGGGGCAGCAGGCCAAGGCGTTCGCCCAGCGGCAGGCGCGAGACGCCCTGCTGGACGTACAGCAGGTCGAAATGGCGGATCAGAGGCGAGGCGGCGTGCTCCTTGAACTGCTGGAGCAGGACAGCCACGGGCAGCTGGATTTCTCTGGGGCGGCGTCAGCGGAAGGCAGGGCGAGCAGAGGCAGGGCGAGGACGGACTGCGGTCTCACGCGGGTGTTGATATGCTGGCACACCGAAATCACCTACGACAATCAGCAGCGGGCGCAGGGCCGAGGCGAGGTCGGGGCTTGCCTTGTTGCGCACGCTCACGTGCTCCGAGGCGAGCTTGAGCAGCAGGGGGCCAAGGTAGGTGTTGAGGATGGACTGGAGCTTCGCATCGGAGTCGGCCAGCGCGATCCGGAGCTCGACTTTGGCGACAAGCGCGAGCTCGCGCTCTTCCGACGAAGCCATGGTGCGAGAGGCGGGCGCGGGCAGCTACACGGGCGGGCGGAGCAGACGGCGGGCCATAAGGGTGGACATCTATCTGTCTGGAGCAGGCAGGCATGGGCTGCGCAGCGCTGGCGAGGCGAGGCGGCGGCGGGCGATGGCCGCCGCCGCCGCCGGGCTGGGCCTGCCCGGCCTGCCCGGTGGCTCGTGACACGCGGCGCCGGAGAAACAATTGAATGGCAACGGCGATGATGACGCGCTTGCGCTGCTGCTAACTGCCGCTGAGCTCTACAACACAACGGCTCGTCCTCACCCTCTCCTCACTCCTCCCCTCTCCTCTCCTCTCCGCTGCCGCGCCACGCCACGCCCGCGTCTGCCTCGCGTCGCTGCCCTCAACTCTCGCCATGGACGATAACATTGCGAGCTTCACGAGCATAACCGGCGCCGACCCCCCGCGCGCCGCCCAATACCTGCAGCTCACCGACAACAACCTGGAGCAGGCCATCCAGCTCTTCTTCGACAGCCCCAACCTGGACCTCGGTGCCGCTGCCGGTGCTGGTGCCGCCCAACCCTCGTCGTCTGCTGCTGGCGCGCGTGCCGACCAACCTATCAACCTCGATTCCGATGACGCCGACGACGACGACGACGCCGACGACGCCGACGACGCTGTGGCCACTTCGGGCCACAGTGTGGAGGACGACGAAGCCATGGCTCGTCGCCTTCAGGAAGAAATGTATGGTGCTGGCGGCCGTGATGCAGACAGTGAGGTGCGCGCCCCGATGGCCCGGACCACCGAAACTTTGGTTGGACCCGGCGGCGATTACGACGAGGATGATGTACACACTTCTATGATGGCTCGAATGGCTGCCCGACAGAGACAACCAGGTGAGTTGCAAGCCAAGGCCTTCTGGAGCCGCTGCGCTGAAAGGCTCTGTTGGGCGAGGGACGAGGGCGAAAGCACTCTGTTGGTTCCGCTTCCTTGCTAACTTTTCTCCCAACCCGTGCCTAGGCCGTGCTGGCATTTTCAACCAACAAACCGCCTCGCCCTCCGTCTGGGAGAGCGAGGGCGATCCTACCGAGCGACGCCGCGAGCTCGCTACCACCACTGGAGGAGCTTCTGAAGCCTCGTCAAAGTCAAGCCTTCTCGCCGAAATGTACCGTCCTCCCTTCGAGATCATGTGCCGCCTGCCTTGGGACGAGGCGCGGGATCAAGGAAAGGAGGATTTGAAGTGGATCCTTGTCAATGTGCAGGACCCCTCGATTTTCGACTGCCAAGTTTTGAACCGCGACATTTGGAAGAACGACCAGATCAAGGAGACCGTCAAGGAGAATTTCCTCTTTCTGCAATACAACAAGGACGACCCGCGTGGCAACACCTACGTAAATTACTATTTCCAGGCGCGTGACAGCGGGGATGCATATCCGCACATTGCCATCGTGGACCCGCGAACCGGCGAACAAGTGAAGGCGTGGTCAGGTTCACCGGTTCCCAAGCCAATGGATTTTCTCATGCAGCTACACGAGTTTCTTGACCGCTACAGTCTGAATGCGAATGCACGGAACCCTGTTGCCAAGCGGAAGCCGGAGAGCAAGAAAAAGGACGTGCACCGGATGACGGAAGAAGAGATGCTGGAGATGGCTCTACAACAGAGCATGGCTGGAAGCAACGGTGACGGCCTTCGCGACGATGACCCGGACGAACTTACCAAGTCCGCTCCGGACATGAAGGGCAAGAACCGCGCCAACGAGTTCATGGATGTCGACGAGGCGTCTGCACCAAATGGCGCCAGCGCTGCCGATACGCCTTTCGTAGGGATCTCGTCCACGAACCCCCATGAGGAGCCTCTAAACGATCCTAAGACGACTACTCGCATCCAGTTTCGCCACGCTGGTGGCCGCGAGATTCGCCGTTTCGCGCTTACGGACCCGGTGCGCCGTATCTATGAGTGGCTCAAGGCTTCGCCGCTTGAGGAGGGTAAGGCTGGCGCTGAGTTTGAGCTCAATGCTCTTGGGATGAACCTTATCGATCACTTGGATCAGACAATCGAGCATGTCGGCCTGAAGATGGGCACTATCATGGTGGAGTACGTATAGACTGGGCTTTGGTAGCGCTGTGCATATGTTAGAGGGCTGAAAGTGGCTTTCGAGGCGCCGGTGGAAAGATCTCTTACAATGGCTAACGGCATCACATGCGGCGTTACGAGGGACAATGGATATGAATAAGAAGTTTCTTTTATTTTAGCTAGCCTACGATAGTTATAGGCACTGGTAATTTTGATACACACACAACCCACGAAAACCGAAATCGCCTACCAGCGTAGGAATCACGCTAAGATCGGTGTTAATCGATTGTTACTAGAGGTGTTATGCGGCAGCTGGCAGGGGTGGCAGTGCCGGCAATGACGCGGCAGTGCCAACAGCTGTTTCGCGCTGCCGGCAGGACGCTTATTAACCCTCGCCTGATTTGGTAAAGTTTATAGAAATTGGCGATACTCGTAGCCGCCTTACTACTTCGTAGAGCGACTCGTCTAAGCACCTAACGGTTTATCGCATATAAGCGTTTTAAGGATGGGGGTTAGTCATACTATAAAAGAGCTAGGAGGCCTAACACCATAATATTCGTAGACGAATAGTAAACCACTATAGATAAACACGATATTCTATACGGGGGCTACGCCTATATTATAGAGCGTCTTACCTACTATAGCGCTTATAAATCCGCTACTAATTACCGGTAAAACCGGTAAAAATAGGAATAGTAGTAGTACTAGTAGCGATACTTTCTTTACCGATAATTTTAATACCTCTAATTATTACGAATTCTAGAATATAAGAGCTTTATAATTCTAAAGGCTAAAAGCCCGTATAGAAGAAAAAACTATAAAGACTAATAAGCCGTATAGCTAGAGAGTATAAGCGTATAAAAATTACGTCTATAGAGAATAAATAAAGGCGACGACTCGATACGAATTAAGAAACTCGTTAAAAAAAGAAATTAAATTAATTAGCCGATAAATTACTAATATAGTAGTAGAGAACTAGTAATATTAAATAAAATTTTATTAAGCGGCTTAAGTAAAGCGTAATATAAAAGTAGTTTTTTAAATAACTATATTATTAAAATAACTAGTTTTTAATAAATCTACTAAAATCTATATTTAATTTATTTAAATATATTTATTTTAAAGTATTTTTAAATACTTATATTAATAAATTATTAAAATACCTACTTTTTATTAAAAATAATTTCGAAAATATTTATATTCTTACTAAAAAAATAGACGTTATATAAAGTAAAAATTTATAATTCATAAAAAACTAGATATTTAAATTAATATAATATAAAGTAAAGTATTTTAATAAGTATTATTTACTAAACTACTTTTACTATAACTTT